CTAGCCAGCTAGCTACCAAGGAAGCCAGCCAGCAAGGAAGCTAGCTAGCCAGCGAGTAAGAAAGCCAGCCAGCGAGGAAGCTAGCAAGGAAGCCAGCCAGCCAGCGAGAGCTACCTAGGTAGTAGGTAGCTAGTAAGCTTCTTTAATAATAAGTGCCCTACTACTTCCTCGCTGGCTTGCTTGCTAGCTGGCTTCCTTGCTAGCTGGCTGGCTGGCTGGCTGGCTGGCTGGCTGGCTTACTACTGGCTGGCTGGCTGGCTGGCTGGCTGGCTGGCTGGCTGGCTGGCTGGCTGGCTGGCTGGCTGGCTTGCTAGCTGCTAACTAGCTATAAGGATAATATGTATCTAAAAAATATAACGGCCCACTTGCGTACGCATTATTTCATATCTAACCACACACTGGGTGTGAATTGGGATTTGGCGACAACTCACCTATAGGCTGCCGTACCACTCCAAGCAGCACCGAAACAAAGTGAGTGCGCCGAAAGGAACAAATTACGTGGCATGTTTTATCGGAAAAAATTGCGTGAAAAAACGAACCAACTCCATAGGCAACTCTTCTTTCGCCCAAAAAGAAGAAGAAAATAACAAAGGCAAGGCATGTTGTGGAAGCGACCGACTTCAACTTGACTTGAGAAGCGCCAACGCACTCTCAAAGGCCCTGACAACTTCAACATCTGTCAAAAGGTCAGCAGAGTGCGACCATAAGAGCCTTTCGGTTTTTGGGACCTTGTTAGACACTGACAATGTTTTTGCTTCTGCGAGAGCTTCTCTTCGGAGAGGTTGACAAAGCGCTGTCTCGTCTGCAAACGCTTCACAGCGCGAACACCATCGTGGGAAGATGCCGCGGCTGCCCAGGCTTGAAAGTACTAGATGTAAGTCAATTTGAGTCTCGTTTGCATGCTATTTGATTTTCAAAGCACCTTAGATAGGGACTCTGCTTCTTTCAAGATCTCGGCTTCCTCCTCGCTTGCTTTTAGTAGGGCAGCTTGGTATCGAGACTCAAAATCTTCCCAGTCGAAAGCATGCAACTCCTCCAGAGTTCCTGGTGATGATGGGTCTGGCGGTTGGTGCTGAGGCGTCTCTGTAGATTGGCTCTCAGAAGCGACGTCTTGGTTCACATCGATGTGACCATTGACGTGAGGGACATGATCAGTGTCGGCGAGATGTTCCTCGATGCCATTGGGTTCACCTGGAGGCGTTTCCATGACTTGGGTTAATATAGAGAGGCCTAATGCGATCGGCCTATCTATATGGGGATGATAATCTCGATGAAGAGCCTGGTAGGTACTGATGGAAATGTTGAGTTGGAGTATCTCGTAGACGAGGCGAGTCGCGACGCAGACGGCTCCTTCCCTGTCCCTTATGCTTCACTGTGGGTCATTGGAACACCTGGCCTGGCGCATTAACGCCCTGTAGCACCTTTGCACCACATTGTGGCTGGACTTTTAACTAGCGGTCTCGGCTGCGAAACATAGCGCTAGACCTGCTATAATTCGCCCGTCCAGGCGCTGGAGCGGACCCACATCTGGGGCGGTAGCAGCCAACCGGCGACCAACCAACTTGCTCATCAATCAAGCTGCCTGGCCATTCAACTACAATCATCCGCGTGACATCTAGAGGTACATAGGTAGGTACCTAGGTACCTTAGTACCTAGAGACAATTCAAACGAGCCTCTGCCCGCTCTCATCTCGCCTCACCAGCCTTTCTTCTTTTATTATCACCGGCAACTTCCTTAGCTTCTATGCTCATCGCAAACTTTCACTTCAGTGATGCAGCATAAATCACACGCCCGCCCCTCATCGCATCCTCGAGAGCCCGCACAGCAGCATCCGCCACAACCATTATGAGCTGCTACGTCTGCCTGCGTAGCCATGATGCTCAGAAGCTACCTTTTCTTTGCCCCGTGGACGCTAGAAACCACATTTATAGCGATCGCATTAAGAATGCGCAGCTTCTAGTGGAGAACGAAAGTCTGCGCAGCCAAATCAATACCCTAATAGACGGAGCCGAGGCTGTCGATGCCGCCGCCGCTGCACAAACTCTAGCCGATGATAGCACCAGGCAGATTCGTGACTCTGCAGACAAGGTTCGACGACAGATTCGAGATGCCAAGGAAGAAATACGACAAAGGAAGGCCGCCATCTCTGCTCGCCGCTCGATGCTCGCTACGGCCTCTCAAGGTGTCTCGGATCGCCGCCTCAAGGACCAGCGCGACGTGGAGAAGTCGACACAAATGTTCAACTTCCGCTGGTCTCAGAGCGCAGAGGACATGGCCGGCACCCGTGCGTTCTTGTGTAGAGAGGCTGTCAAGCTCTACGGCCTGAAGAGAACGCGAAAAGGCACCTCTGGTCGTTATGAATACTTGCTTGGTCGACTCCCAATTGTAGATCTAAGAGACATGGAATGTAAGAGATATGCCATCCTCATCGCACTGTTTTTACAATGCTAATCTATCAGCAGCGCAAGCGCCAGAAGCTATATCCACTTCGCTTGCCCATACGTCTCACATTTTGATGCTCATCGCTCATTATCTCGCTGTACGCCTGCCAGCTGAGATCACGCTTCCTCATCGCGACTATCCGCGACCGACCATCTTCAACCTTGCAGGTTCATATCACCAGGGCCGTGTCTCATTTCCAGGGACACCCGGCACGACCACGATACTGAACGAAACAGACTCGGAACATTTACCGACACCACGGCCACTGTTTCTTGACAAACCCTTACGACAATTCGCAAAAGAAAACTCCGCCGCATTTTCCTTCTTCTTGGAAGGCGTCACTCTACTAGCTTATAATATTGCCTGGCTTTGCTGTTCACAAGGAGTTTCCATAGGCGACAAAAGTTCGTTTGACGATATCTGCAACATGGGCAAAAGTCTCTACAGTCTTTTCGCTAGCTCATGTCTACAAGGACCGCCGTTTACGAATTCAACAAACGATGATAGTAAAACTCCCACAACTAAAGACGAAGCGGCTCCTAGTTGGATAGGCCGCTACTCTCACGGCACTACATTCTACGCCCTCGCCGGAGCTGATGGCACCGAGCTAGTAAGGACTTTCAAACTACCTAGTCCAATAAAGCTCGCGGACAAGCTGAAGAAGAAGATCCTAGGGGAGACCTCAAACCCGGACTGGGAGCTCTTGGATGACGATGCTTGGAGAGTAGACGACGCTACTGGAGTCGGAAATGGCAATGGCAATGAGCTTCCTGCTATTGCCCTAGAACCACCAAGGACAGAATCCAAAGGGTGGATGAAAGTGAAGAGTAGATAGCTTCATATCGAGGTCTGTCAAATGAACGATAATCAATCGCATGGTAAAAGCTACAGGTTTGAGGAGCATGAGAAAGTTCGATTTATAATTCCCTGGGTATTCACCGTTATTTAACGCAGACAGAAGCACAACCACGCATAAATCGTCCCCTCTTGCGCCGCTGTCACCAGAGTCGCGAATTGAGTCGAGAGCAACAGGACCAGAACCTTCCACCATAACCTTCCATTAATACTGTCTCGGGTCCGCCGCCTCTTGTGAGCTGTTCTGACCTTGCGCGGACTCGTCTATAACTTCTTTCTGAATATCCTCGTCCGCGAGATCAGCCGTTCGCTGCAATAGATCGGTGTCCACAGCGGCCTTCCCCTCAATTTCGACAGCCGGCGCGGGCTCGTTCTGTCAGCTGGTTCCCGGGTCGTCGTCCTCATTCTCCTCGCTCTTCTTATGGCGTTGGCTAATTCCACTTCCGTCAAGTCCCATTCATGCTGCTTAATGTTAGTCATACCAACGGTGGCATGGAGTCCGCTGGTGCTACCGCGCCAACCACCGTCGGCCCCTCCGTCGGCCCCCTCGAGCTGCCAGATCCAGTCAAGGCACAGCGCGAACTGCCTATACCCCCACGGCTTTCGCCAGACCCGTAACGGCGGCTTGTTTACGTGCGACTCCCGGGGCACTATCGTCTGGAGTCGCCGCCGTCTGGACGAGGCGCCGCCGCCGCCACCCTGTCGTTGTCGTTGTGGTCGGAGACCAGTTCTGGTCCGCTTCTGATCCAGTACCCGGCCGAGGCCACCGGGCGGCAGTCCTTGTAGAGTGTCCAACTCGACGCCAATGTCCCTGCATCGGCGTCGGCGTCGGCGTCGTCGTCGACAATGTGAAGTCGCCGTGCTGCCTGTGGATGTCTCTGTCGTGCTCGTGGGTGGCAGCGTAAATTGAGCCATGCAGGGAGTCGACGGCCAGCTGCACCATGGCCAGGAGAGCATAGTGATATCTAAGGAATCAGACTCCGGCAGAGGTGGTTTTATGGGAGTGTCTAGATACCCGTAGTACTCGGGGCCATCCAGATCCATCTCCATGGGTTCGTCGGTGGATGCGACCGGCCATACGATGACGTGATCATACGCATTCACCTCATCTTCTTGCTTGTGATTCCATATACCCAAGGGTAGTGGTGTTGTGAGCCCCCCGGGTGATGCTGTAGCCCCTTCGACCCAGTGGAAAGCAGAAACTCCGGCCATTTGGTTCAATATCTCCTCTGTTTCTCCCTAGCTCGTATTGCCCGTGGGGGAGAGTCGGAGTGCCACAAGCTGGTGGTACTATAGAGAGGCTCCCTAGTATCTAGCTCGAGTGGTCAACCAAAAGGCTCCTCGGAGAAGTTGAGGGGCTGCTTCTGGGCAGCGAGACGCGGGCAGGAGACATGGTTTTCGATCCGCGGAACAACACACATGGTGATTTGGCTGGTTCCGTGAAGGATAATATTTTCTTGAAGGTACAGGGCAAAATACAGGTGTCAAAATGTTGTCTGTGGTGCATATCGCGACCAGTGTAAGTGACTTGTACATACATCGGGAGCGAGATTGAGAAGGTGTCGATCTGAGCACGATTCAGGCCGTAGAAATAAGCGTGACATCTAAATGGAAATATTGTATTGTGTCGGTTCAAGATCTGTCAAGCGGGAGATCAATTTCTTTGTGGCGAGGTTGGAAAGAGGGGGAGAAATCAGGCAGCCGTCACATGAGCGGTGCGTCCTTTATATAGACCTTGGTAGACCAGGGAGCTGCCCCTCACCCCTCTCTCCTGTGCCATTCTCTGTAGCACTGGGAAAACAAATAGCTCCAAACGTGCAGCGCACAAGAAGATCAGCCGCTGCTGTGACGGTGTAACGGCGTTTGAGAAGCTCGGCCGTTGCTGTGTTGCACCGGGCACTTGCGTGGTACGACGGAGCCAGCGAGACGCGAGGGCAAATACCTCGCAAACTGCCAATCACAGACAATAAAAGCCGCAGCGGCAAACAGAACAGTTCCTGTCGTGGCCCTTCTTCATTCATGCTCGATACGATCTACGTGGGCTGTTGTCGGGAGGGTTGACGGAATGGTCAGCGTTTACAGACGAGGTTCGTACTTGGCTCGTCGCTGGTGAGCAAGTCAAGGATAGATTTGTACTGCCGAGGTATGAGTGATATGTCCTGGGTGTGCGTTGTGCCTTAGATTTACGGCATCGCCCGCCGAGATCACATATTGTTAGCATCGTGGTGCTAGTCGACGCAACGAAATTGTCGGCGGCATTCGTTCAAACGTATATATTCGGTTGCGAGCAAGAAGCTTCGGCTGCAGAAGACGCGCACAAATGCCGGAAAAGCAATAGAAAAACACGTCTCTATACGTAATTCTCAAGACTCCAAAGCGCCGCACCATGCTCCGCTGGTATCCTCTCATTTGCCCAAGAAATCCATACATTATTTACTGTCGTACTGCCGCGAAACCGCATCACTTGGACTTCTGGCTACTATTTTCGGCCTCGAGCGACCAGTCGCCGGTGCAGCTCGACAAAGATATCGCTCCAGTTCTCCTCCATTTCCCCCATATGCTGTCCAATCCTTGATGCCAAGAACTCTCCAATCTTATTCACGTTGAAATGCTCTCCATACACAACCGCCACCGACGAGACTATATTCATATCCAGCCCCTTCGTGGCGTTCTGGTTCTCGAATGCCAGAGTCACTTGCACCCTTGTACGTAAAGGTACTACTAGTAGGGACGTGACAACCTCGATACTCGAATCAGACGTCTTCCGAACCTGCGTCGGAAACGTGGAATTGACGCGCCGGATCTGAGACGAGACCTTAGTCGCGCTGTTCCATGACTGCTGCACGACATGGAGTAGCTCGGAAATTGTGGTGGTACTCTGTTGCAGTGCTCGGATGTAGTCTCGAATGCACTGCAAGAAAAAATCTTTCTCAGCGCTTCGAGGAACAGGATCTTTCTCTCGGCAATCAGCAATATACCACAAGTCGATTTGCGAATTCGTTCCGCCTTGTTGAAATGATGTCACGTCAAAGACAATCTCAATCTCACGCTTGTAGGCCATGGACAAGGTCGTTCCGTGGACACCCGTCACCGCCCAACCCAGTTTCTTCTCAAGTGCGTCCACGCGCCCTGCATCAGTCGTGTTAGCAAACATGTATGCAGCTAGCTTTGAGTTACACCTCACCTTTGAGACTATTGACTTCGGCGCTACTCCAGCCACGGCAATTTTCCCTGACCTTTTCTGATTGCGCGATGTCGGCTAAGCAGCTGAGCTTCTTGGCAGACAGTGATTCACTGCTTGTTTGGGCAGCTTCGAACTGGAGCCGTAATCCAGAAATGAGCTTCTTCTTTGCTTCGATATCGGCATCCAAACACACAAGTTCTTGGCGGGCGGAATTGAGCTCTGCAGGATCGCAGTCGGCGATCTCCTGGGCGGCCTCCTCCAAAGCCTCACGCTCCTCCTCCAGCCCTGCGTAAGATGCTGTTAGCTCGGGTAATACCGAATCTAACATGACCATCTGTTCTTGCAGAGCTCGGTAGTCAACATCCATGTCAGTCGAAATCTTCACCAATCCCTCTCGGAGCCCTTCTTGAAGCTTCATTCTCCACTCATACCACATGGCTTTACTCAGAAGGCGAGCATGTGTCTTGACGTTCTTGAACTGGTTGTCCATCAAGGCTTTGACATCCGGCGCCGCAGATATATACTCTTGGAACAATGGCGGGTTGTCTTCAAGAGTATCTGCCTCGATTTCCTTGACCATTCGGCGCCCTTCGGCTATGTATTTCTTTAACTCACGGCAAGAGTGTTGATAGAGCTCCAGCATCGGCACAGTGCAAGCACTCGCTACCACACAGCGCTCCAATGACATGTCATCCTCGCCATCGGCAGTAGTGCCGTCTTGTAGAGTTCCGGGGGCAGTAGTATGTCGTCGCTTCGTCGTTTGCAATTCCATGAAGCGAATAGAAATCATGTTCAAGAAATCCTGCAAGTCGATCCGATTGCCCTCGTTTTCCTCCAGGTGGCTCTGTTCGACAGGATCAATATTCGTTCCATGTACTGTATGATTCGCTTTCATATTAAATAGTGCCTCTTTACGAGGCGTAGTCGCTTGGGTGGCCTTCAACGGTGATGAAAGAGTGTGATGTAGATCTGGTGCAGCTATCCTAGCACGGAACTCAGAGAGATCACCAGAAATACCACCCGTTTTTGTTGGCTGTTGCAGTCGAACGTTCTTGACAGGGCTTCCCTGGTGACCACGGAGGCGCTTAACACCGTCGTTTTCTTCCAAGTCCTCGTCATCGAGCTCCATAGGACGCTTGCCAAGGAGACCTTTGGCACTGCCCAGATGTAGACTCTTGCGTCCCTTGAGTGGTTTTCGAGTAGGGCTTAGACTGTCTATCATCTCCCTCAAGTTGAGAGTCACATCTTTTTCTTTGTCCAGCAGGGCAAATCTTGGGATCGCACGCTCACGTTCTTCATCGCGACTTCGTTCATCGTCAACCTCTTTGGAGAGAGCTTGTGGGTCTTCGAATGATATCAAACGGTTGCCAGGTACAAACTTGCTTGCAGAGTCCCCGATCGAACTTCGACGGTCCATCACTTCGGCAATTCGCGGCGACCCCAAGCCATTTCGATCAGCGCCAACGCCCGACACACGGCGAGCCTCTGGGGTGGCATAGCTTGCGGGGGGTTGCTTCGCCGATTCTAGCTGTCGACGAGGCACGGGCGTTATATTGCTGGAAGCTTTGCTTGGTGATTTCCCTGGTGATTTCGCCGGAGACTTCGAGGGAGAGAGTCTGCTTGATCGCCTCCGAGAATTTTTTGGCGCTTGGGGGCTTGATTTGCGAGCCGCTTTTTCTCGTTGCGAGGCGGGCTGCCTTGTTGGAGAAGACGATTGTGTATTGGGTTGCGGTGTTCTCTGCTCTTCGGAGGTTGGTATTTTACCGCGCAAGGGAAGGAGATCGGTGCCGAGGTTTGGGCTTTCAGAAACCGCAATGCGAGACGATCTTCGCCTTGGTGGTGGCTTCGAAATGGCGTTGAAGATCGCAGTCCCCGGACTATCTGGCTTGTTCGCTTCTTCCAGCATAATTTGTCTGCCAAGGCTGCGTCGCCCTTGGCTGTTCAAGATGCCTCCCATGGCCGCAGTCATATCCATGCCTCCCGTCAGTTCCATATCGGCACTGGTGTCATCGTCACCGCCCTGGAAATCATTGGCGCTATTGCCGCGAGATTCATTGGATAAAATGCGGCCAACGCTGGTTGTCATGTCCATAGTCAGGTCGGCTTCCTCAAGCTGGATGAGAGTACGACGACGGGTAGCATCGATACTCTTGCGCTTATTGTTGCCAAGGACACCGCCCATGGCCATTGTAAATTCCATAGACATTTCTTCGTCACTGGCAAAGTCATCTGTCGTATCGATATGGCTAGCAGACCGGATACCACCCAGCGCTGTCGTAAACTCCATTGTCGCTTCATCTCGTTGGGGGGTATCATTTGGTACGTCTCGGATGGGGCTGCTTTCCGGAGATTGAGCAGACAAGATGCCTCCGAGGGCTTTTGTGACATCCATAGACATCTCTGCCTCATTCTCGGATTCACTTGCTTCATGAGACGTAATAATACGTCCCATATTATGAGTCATGTCCATTTCCATTCCAGCTTCTGTCGCTTCGTTATTCGAATAGCTCCGCCTTGGGGCCGCAGTTGTCGAGGTACTGCTCTGCCCCTGTGTATTTTTTCTAATCCAACCAAACGATGGAATGACTTCTTCCTCATCCTCTTCCTCATCCTCCTCGGCCTCTTCATCGAAGTAGTCGTCAAGACGATGCGTACCTGCTCGTTCAGCAGCAAGTCTGAGCGCCTCCTCAAGTGTAGAGGATTCATCATCGAACGGGGCCGATCGATCTGAGGCAACCGTAGTTCCAGTAACTTCTTCGGTGTCAATCGTCATCATCGTTCCATCGTCTGAGTCGCTATTTGACATTTCGTCTTCCTCCGCATCCTCCACTTCTTCCACACCATCCGCAGGCTCCGAATCGTCGCTATATATTATGGAGGTAGCACTACCATCATCTTCATATCCAGTTGTGTTGACTGCTGAATTGCGCCGTTGTTGAGAGGCTACATGGTGAGCACCCGTGACATTCGATGATCTGCGAGTTGAATAATCCGTCGAAGCAGTCGAGTCTTGCATATCTATGTCATGAAAAGTATGAAGAGTAGCTTCTGCGGCGAAAGATACCCTCCGAGTTGCGAGTGACTTGCGACGAGCATCGCGGCGTTCTTGCTCCTCGCGTTCCCGGACTGCTGCGTGTTGCTCTTCTTCGGTCCGCAGCGCAATCCTCGAAGCAGTAAAATCGCCGCTCCTCGAGTTACGAGGAGACTTTCGACGTATCGTTTCATCGCTGCCGGCGGACGCTCGTTTCGTCCATTTGAGTGAGGGTATCTCTGCAATAGCCGACATGCGCGGCTTGAGGATTGATCGCGGCGCGGCAATAGACTATAGGGTTAATACTCGTACATCTTCGTGGGACCGGTGAGCATACTGCTCTTCTATTTCCTGTTCCAGGTCTAAGGCTATCCAGGCCACCTGGCCCTATGCTTTTGCTTCTCGCTTTGCGATTGGCCGCCAGCTCGCTGCTGACGTCGATCGTCGCATTTTCTTTATCTCTAGCTTTCCGGGTATCATGTTGTGATTCAATAGATTTTCTAGCGCGTCTGGTAGCAGGCACTGTGGTGTCGCCGGGTGAAGACATATTGACGACGTTATTATCAGGAGATGTCGGGTTGCGAAAGCGCTGAACGATGGGCATGAACGGCCAGCCGAAATCCTACCCATCTAAAAGTGACGTTTCGCGCCAACCCGCGTTTGTTTACTTTCAGCCCGCTTTGGAAGAGCTCAGAGGTACGTACCGATTCAGGTGGGGCAACGGCAGGCCATGGGTCCACAATAATCTACGGTTATTCTGAGATCACGTGCGACGACCTCCAACTCGCTTCGTCACGTGTGGCGGTAGAGCAGCCAATCACAACGCTCGTCTAGCTAGCCAATCTAAATTTTGCAAGCCCTAAGCTGTGAAGATTTACCAAGATTGGTGCGCCAATGCCCTACTCCTCCACCCAGCGCAAATCTAACGACCTTGAACTCACTCATCCCCAAACGACACGTCCTCTTGTATCGACAATCCCCAGGCGCAGGATCATTCAAGATGTGAGAATTACCGAACGAGCGCACGACGATTATACTCGCAATCTCGTTTTGCTGACTTTTTTCCTCAGGGCGACCGAGTTGACCGTCCAGTCGGAGCGTGCTTTCCAGAAGCAGCCTCACATCTTCCTTAACTCCAAGACCAAGGCGAAGAGCGCCAGACCCGGCAAGAGCGGACGCAGATGGTACAAGGATGTCGGTCTGGGTTTCCGTACCCCTAAGACCGCCATTGAGGGCAGCTACATCGGTACGTGCGACAGCAGCTGAAGTGTCGACTCCATTTCCCACGCAAGCGACGTTCGGCAAACCGAGACGAAGACGACGAATCGAAACGCGACGACGGATCATGGAGCCGATGCGGAAACGCAACATTGATATTTCTCTCCGCCCGAGTATGCTAACCTCGGTCTTAGACAAGAAGTGCCCCTTCACTGGTCTCGTCTCCATTCGTGGCCGTATCCTCACCGGCACAGTCGTCTCCACCAAGATGCACCGTACTCTCATCATCCGCCGCGAGTACCTTCACTTCATTCCCAAGTACTCCCGTTACGAGAAGCGCCACAAGAACCTCGCCGCCCACGTTTCCCCCGCTTTCCGTGTTGAGGAGGGTGACCAGGTCACCGTTGGCCAGTGCCGTCCTCTGAGCAAGACTGTACGTTACCGACGCGAAGCTTCGAGCGGTACCCCAAATCCACGATCTCGAGTACTAATGACTATGTTAGGTCCGTTTCAACGTTCTCCGTGTTCTTCCCCGTGCCAGCAAGTCTGTTAAGAAGTTCTCCAAGTTCTAAAAATATTTTGGGCTCATGTTGTGGCATTTTTTGGCGTGATAAACAACAGAGGGATGGGAAATTCCCGCTGTCGGGTTGGGCACCGGAAGCTGCTTTACACGATTGTACGGTAAAAGCAATCAAAAATTAAAAAGAATAACGATTGGAATTGCATCATCATGTGACAATTGGCAAGCACTCGACGTGAAGTTTGGATCAGCGCCCCGAAATTAGCTGGAAAAAGCAATGCACAACGACCTCCGCAGCGACGGGAATCCTCAATTACCAGTTAAATCGACCAGAATGTCCGTAGATACGGCGACATCATTCCGCCGCCGTGGCGTTGCCAACTGGTCGGCTTCGGCCAGCAGGCTGGACCTGTTGTGGAACTTTAGCACCTACCATACATGGATAGTGTACTTCGTAAGCCCAAAGGCTTCTGAGTGGCTTTATTACATCAATTGTTAGTAGTGATCTCAGTGTCACATTCCTATGAGTGACTGCGAATCGGCTACTACAGTTGAGCTTGTACAGTGCGCGTTACAGTGTGGAACAAATCCACACCCTCACCATCTAGACAAAGATCTGCGACCTCCAGCCTCAGAGGACCTGTACATACCTGTTCGACATTCTTCACAATGGGCTGGCTGCCGTCAATATTTGGAGGGGGGGACTCCAGCGACCCCCTTAGAAATCTGGACCCCAAGCTGCGCGAGTTCCTAGACAAGGAATCGCCAGTCAAATACAACAAGCCAACAGCACAGCCCACGGCACCACCCGCCACGACAGCTACGACGTCGCAAGACGGCGCCGCTCCCGCGATCGATGGCACAAAGGGTATCGTGCCCTCGCAAAGTTTATATCAGGACGGCCGGTACGCGCATCTGTGGAAAACTTACCGACCGCTCGCGCAAATCGAGGAGGAGACCACGACAGAGCAGGAAAAGCTGGTCAAGATTCTCGACGGATACAAGGAGCGCAAGCAGGCGATTGGCATCGCGGCTATGGAGAACTGTGCCATTCAACAAGAAGAATGGATCAATTGCATGAAGAAGGGCAGCTGGTCAGATCAACTACAAATGTGCCGCCACCAAGTCCATAGGTATGAGCGCTGCTATACGATGCAGTCGGTACGAGCCGCCCCCTCCCCGCCACTATCCACACCCATACTTCAGGAAATACCGAGCTAATTCCCTATTTTCCTTGGACAGCGATTCCTGCGCGCGCTCGGATACGGCTCCGTGACGGACCGCCCGGCGCAGGTTGAGGAGGACATTCAGATGCACGCCGACAAGCTGTTCAACCGCATGCTGGACCACGAGAGGGCCGTCGCCCAGGCCAAGGAGGAGGGCCGTCCGGTCCCCGTATTCGACTCTGTCGTGCCCAAGCCGTCGCGGCCGCTGCCCACGCCCGCCGAGGACGTCGAGAAGACGTGGCGCGACACGCTGGCTAAGCTGCCCGAGGCCGAGCGCGAGGCCGAGGAAGCCGCGCTGCGCGCCGACTACGAGACCAAGGAGGCCGTGGCCAGGAACATCAAGGACCTAAGGGACGCCACGAAAAAGGAGAGGGAGGCACGCCAGGCCGCGGGGGAGGCCACCTTGACCGACACGCTGTCCGCGCTGTGGAGCGGTGGCAAGGGCAGCAAGTAAAAATTACTGAAGTGCTCAACGCGCCAGGCCTCTTTTCGGGCCGGATGTAGGATACATGTACATTATAGATCTCATTCTGCTGAGCGAAATGAATTTTTGAAAGAACGGCATGTCGCATTTGAACACGGCAGTGCCATTGAAACCGTATTTCTGGACTGCTTTCTGGTGATTTCATAATACTCGGTAACAGACGCCTTTCAACAAGTAGTTACTAACTCAAACGGATCCCGTGGTCGAGCTGGTCATGCCATCTCGCTGACAGCGAGAAGTTCCCGGCTTGGGATCACGCTTTTTCTTGCCGCTGAGACCAGATCTCGGCTATCTTTTAACTCGTACGTTTATCTATACCGTTTGATGCACCGAAGCAACCCCAACAGTTCTGCTATTCATCTTTTGCTCGTGGACGCATGAATGATTGTTTATTTAAGCAGCCTGGTAAGTCTGCAAAAAACTGGATCTTGTATGCGGATTTTAAGTCAAAATTACCAAGGCGACACTCCTCAAGCTCCTACAAGTAGCTTGAAGAACACAAATACGGGATCGTCAAGCACAGGAATATTTTACCTGCAATGTTTCAACGCAGTACAGGTGACATACCGCAGAAACAGCGCGCCCGCTTCCATGCGCCCTTGTCTACCCTGTATGCGGACATCCCGTAGCCCACCCGAGCGCGGGAAAAGGACGAGTGTAAACATGTCACGGGTGAAACGAAGAGCCAAGACCATGGGAAACATGAAAACTAGTTCGGGCACTTGGCATCAGAGAGCCCGTGGGTATTTGATCTAGGAACTGGCCTGGTAAGGATGAGCAGAGGGGGATGCTGCACAACCTTGGAATATACACATGCATGTATTTGGCGTTCCAAAAAAAAAAGAGAGAGAGAAAAGGGAGAAAAAGCTGTGCATAACATGTCACGTAATAGGGACGGCAAAAGACGCCGAGGAGAAAACATGCTCCGCAGAGAAGAAATGGTCATATTGCGCCTCCCGCCCCCCAGATGTCTATATGTGAGAAAAGAAACAGTGTCCTGCGCCATGATGCATAGTGTATGGAATGGGTATCATTGCCGAGACAGACGAGCGGCCTTGAAACGGCTCATAAACTCGCCGCCACCATCAGTATCGTCGAGGGGCTCGATAGGGCCTTCCTCTTCATTCGAGAAACCCCCGCCATCGCGTCGTATGAAGCGGCTGCGCAGACGGTGGTGCTCCTCGGCGACCGCCATGTGGACCATGTTGTCATCGAGCTCGCTGGGGTCCGCGGGACGTGCTACGCTGTCCTTGGACACGAGCGTGTCGGCAATGGTTTTGCCCGCGGGACCGGTGGGGACCAGTCTCTCCGCCGGTTGGGGCTGCTGCGGGAAAAGGGACGCGGGAACGTCAAAGGGACCTTTAGGGATGCCGGGCTGTGCCTGTGTGCCGGCCGCAGCCTTTTTGAACCGCGACGGCCGTTGGGTGCGGGGCGTGCCGGTGGTGGGCTTGGATACAGGCTTGGATGCAGGCTCTCGTTCCACAATGAGGTCACTCAAGGGCTCAGCAGCACTTGTGCTCTCGGATTTGGATTCGGGTAGGGTAGTGTTTGGCTCAGCCTCGTTAGCGATATCCAGATCGTTGGCGAAGCGGACACCCTTTTTCGGCTCCTTCTTGGTAGAGCTTCTCTCCTTGACGATGGATTTTGTTGGCGCAGTCGCGGGAGAGGCGGGAGGTGGCGTGGGCTGTGACTGAATGCGTATGCGGCCGATGCCCTCACCGTCATCGTCGTCCGAGTCCTTCTCTGCCGCCTTCTCCTCTAACTTTTGCGTGAAGCGAGACTTGACACCGAGTTTGGTCTCAAGCTCCAACATTCGTCTTTGGTACTTGTCGGTAATCATGCGACCGGTGAAACGGCCAAATCTGTCTTCTTCTTCGTCGTCGTCGTCGTCCATCTCATCGGCTTCCAGCCATTCGTCATCTTCCAAGTCATCTTCATCGTCATCTTCTTCTTCAAGGTTGAGTTCAGCGACTACCGCGCCCATTTCGCCCATGCTGTATTTGAGCATTTGTTGGCGAAGGGCCGCATCGTCGGGATCCTCGTCATCAGGAACAATTGCAGGTTGGCTGCTTATATTTTCTTGCTCTTTGGCCGTTTTCATGATGCCGTCGACACGCTTCGCCATCCGCGAGACCGGAGGCACCGCGGTTTGGTCTTGCGCTGACTCGGCAGGGAGCGGTATCGACTCCTTGACTTTCTTGGCGGGTTGGGAGTTGCCAGCGTTGGCGCCGCTTGGCGTTGTTTCTGGCTTTTCTGAAGAAGTCTCTGGTGATGAGGTTTCAATACCAGCCTTCTCAAGCGCTGCCTTGACACGCGGCAAGGCCTCACCGGGCCGGTTCAGGCGGAACGACAACACATTGCCCTCTTCGTCCAATTCTTCGACGATTTCTGTAATGGGAGGACCGTTCTCATCGACAGCACCCTGTTCGTTGGATGCGTCTGCGTCCAAAACCTCGAGCTCGGCCTTTTCTAGTTGGTTTTGCAAACTGCGAACGTTTTGGCTGACATAGTCTATGCGGCGATCCAGGACATTCACGATTTGGTCGCGAGAGCGCTGGTGGCCGAAAATATCATCAAACTCCTTTTCGACGAGAAGTTCGCCATCGAAATCAGCACGTATCCGCTGTAGATGCTCATCTGTCGGAGACTCGGCAAGGACCTGGACTTGTTCCTTGAGCGCCTCGTACTCGGCGTCCCATGTTTGCCAGTGCTGGAGGGCCTTGCGCTGCTGCTCAACCTTGCCCTTGAGACGCGCAATATGGCTATCCATATCGGCGAGCGTCTCATGGACAGGAGGTGCTTGCGAGGCCGCCACCATGGTATGCGAAAAGGGGTGACTGAGGGTCGAGGTAAAACAGAGCTTCAAGTAAAGGAAGGAAAAATTATGCTTCGTTGGCCCGGGCCTGGGGGAGAGTTTTTGGTGTTGTAAAAGCGGATCACTGCCTGGCTACTACCTGTAGGTACCTACCTAGTAGGTACAAGGCAACAGGTAGGTTCAGGGACATCTCGCTGCACCAGGCATGTAATTACAAGCTCAACATGCGAAGCAATAAAAGTAAAAATGTGAAAGTAAGCAGATAACGGTGTGCGGTTCATTTTGGATGTCTACCGCCTTTATGAAATTACTGACGAAGTTATATCTTGCTAACATTTTCAACTACAGAATTCACGCCTGCGATTTTTCAGCTCCCCCACGCTTACGCTCCCAGATCGAAGACGATCAACTCGCCAATCTTCTAGTACCCCCTCTTCTCTTCCACGTTTACAAATACAAGCCTCTGTTAACTATGGAAGCAACTACGGAGACACGTACAGTGGAGGCAAAATGCTACTGCGGTGGCGTGCACTTCTCTCTCGACCTGCCCGTCACAGACCTTCCTCTCAAAGCCTATTTGTGCCATTGCAGCATCTGCCGCTATAACACCGGAACTCTTGCCAGTATGCACGCCAATCTTGGTCAAGGCGTCGAGCCAAAGTGGATTGCGCCGTCGAGCATCGATAGCGTGGTGTCTTACAAGATACCCGGTGTTGGCTACACTCCAAAGTCGTGCTCGACTTGTGGCTGTCACATCGGCGCCGTTGGAAATGATGATGGCGGATGGACTTTTGCAACATCAATCCTAAAAGAGCATGGCCGCGACGTTGTCAATATCACATCGCACGTCTTCAACTACTCGGCCGGGGATGGCGGGCTGGCGGGCATCCTAACCCATATGCAAGGCAAAACTATACCAACCTGGAATCCAAAGGACGACCAGCCCAACGCAGCGGCCCCGAAACCCCAGACTGAAACCGGCACCGACGGACAGGAGAGGCTTCGCGCCCAGTGTCACTGCGGAGGTGTCTCCTTCACCATCCCTCAGCCGACCAAGGACATGGCCGAGCACGCCTACGCTCAGCGGTTTGTGTCGCCGCTCGACCAGAAAAAGTGGTATGGGACTCTCGATCTTTGCGACGACTGCCGGCTCGTCAACGGAACCCCAGTGGCCTCTTGGATTTTTGTGCCCATCAATGTCATCGAACCGACTCTCGGCGAGGACCTCGAGCTGGGCACCATCAAGACGTACGGCTCCTCGGACGGGGTGACGCGCGCCTTTTGCTCCGTCTGTAGCGCCACCATCTTCTTTCTCCAGCATGACCGTCGCTACAATGGCGTGCCCGTGGCCGACATCTCAACCGGCCTGCTAAGAGCGCCGGACGGGGCCATGGCGGAGAGCTGGATCACCTGGCGGACGCGGGCATCGTTTGAAGGCGACGGTCTTGCTTTTGACAAGGACATGGCTGAGGGTATCGTCAAGGGCATGAAGAAGTGGACAGCCGAAAGAAATGGTGGGCAGAGTCTGACGGGCGAGATTTGAAGTGTGAGAGAATGGCTACGTGATGTAAGTGCGCTGATTGAGGATGAGTGTAGGTAGGTGTTTGGCGTTGCGGCTGTCGGTGGACAGAGAAAAATGAAGCTGCCTTGTGGGGGTACCAACGATATATTCTTGCCATCTCTCTGTTCGGATGGTCAAGCTTGACGCGATGGAGTGCGATGCAAATTAATGTCCTACTTTTTCCCTTTGCTATCAACCTTTCTCTTTAGGACTCAGTAATAGCAAAATTTTGAAAAAAATTGGTCGTTATCGATAATAGGGAAATTCCTGTTACGTACATACCTCCCTAGGTGGGTTACCTTAGCAAGTATGCGCTGAACAAAAGAACAATTACTGTCTCCAAGTACTAAGAGAATCTCAACAAGGCATTTATCCTCGACTTAACTTTAATTCCATATTCAAGGCATCAGCAATATCAGCCAGTTTTTTCTTAAATCTATAGACAGTTCAATCCCCACCAGTTTCCAGGCCGCAGGCCCGTTTTAGGCCCCTACCTCAGCTTCAACCTCTCTTTGTTCAGCCCGCCGCAGCCGCGACCTGCGCAAGCATCGGAAGCGCCCTTATTTCGATGCAGCATGTATCGCGGCAGCCAGTTTCCCTCATAGCCAGGCTCTTCCCCGTACCGCGACGGCAAGCCCTGCGCACAATGGCGACCTCTGCCGCCACCAGATCCTACAACGTGAGTCACTGCTTTTGTCGCGGCATTCTCTCTCACGCCAACGCCAACCAGCTGACGCCAACACGGCCGACAAGGATGCGATTGACGCGCTCAATACGCTGCAGACGCCGTATGAGGTAATAGAGGCGCGACGCAAGGCGGGCATCAAGCCCAATGCCGCGTCCATGCAAGAGATGCGCATCTATCTCAACCGCATCGGCTACTCGGTACGGCCCCTTCCCCTCTGCCCTCCCCAATGCCTTTCTGCCGGATAGTACCTTCCAACGCACTCACTCACACGCCCGCCAGCCATCCGACCTGGACCGCCTCAACATCATCCACGTGGCCGGCACCAAGGGCAAAGGCAGCACCTGCGCCTTTGTCGACTCCATCCTCGGCGAGTACCGCGAGTCCCGCCACACCCCTGCCAAGACGGGCCTCTTCATCTCGCCGCACCTCATCGCCGTGCGCGAGCGCATCCGCATCAACTCGGCGCCCATCTCCGAAGCGCTCTTTGCCAAGTACTTTTTCGAGGTCTGGGACCGCCTCGAGTCGTCGTCGTCGTCGTCGTCGTCAGCGCGCCAACCCGATGACGATGAAGACGGCGGCGGCACCGCGGTGCTGCCCCCCGGCAGCAAGCCCATCTACGGCCGCTACCTCACGCTCGTCAGCTGGCACGCCTTTCTGCAAGAGGGCGTTGATGTGGCCGTGTACGAGACGGGCGTCGGCGGCGAGTACGACGCCACCAACCTCGTGCCGCACCCCCTCGCCGCCGGCATCACCACGCTCGGCATCGACCACGTCTACGTCCTCGGCGACACTGTCGCCAAGATTGCCTGGCACAAGGCCGGTATCATTAAGACAGGCCGTCCGGCCCTGACCGTCGAGCAGTTTCCGGACGCGGCCGAGGCCCTGCGCGCCCGCGCGGCCGACAAGGGCGTCGCGCTGCGCGAGCTGCCCGTCGACCCGCGCCTCGCGAGCGTGCGCATCAGGCCCGCGGCCACGTTCCAGAAGCGCAACGCCTCGCTGGCCGTCGCGCTGGCCGAGACGGCCCTGGAGCAGCTCGGTGTGGCCATGGACACGGGCGACGATGGCAAGGGCCTGCCGCGGGAGTTTGTCCACGGCCTAGAGAAGACGAGCTTCCGCGGCCGGTGCGAGGTCAAGGCCGAGGACAAGATTATCTGGCACGTGGACGGCGCGCATACCGCCGACAGCCTCAAGGTGTCTGCCAAATGGTTCGCCAGCGAGACGGAAAAGAGGTACAGACCCCCAAACCAACCAACCCCCTGCGCTCACAAAAGCCCACAAGAACACTAACATGTACACCCAACCTCCAGAACCGGCCCGCGCGTCCTCATCTTCAACCAGCAAGGCCGCGCCGAGGCCGTCGACTTTCTCGCCTCCATCTGCGCCGCCAACAAGAAGCAGCCCGCGCCGCCGTCGTCGGAGGCGCAGTCCTTTGACCACGTCATCTTTTGCACCAACGTCACGTACGCCGCGACGGGCTACAAGCGCGACTTTGTCAACCGCCAGGTCGACCCCGCCGAGGTCGCGGGCATGACGGCCCAGCGGCGCTTCGCCGAGACGTGGGCGTGCCTCGACCCGGGCGCCGATGTGCGCGTGCTCCCCAGCATTGAGGAGGCGCTCGCCTGCGCGCGAGGGCTCGGCGCCGATTTACCGGAGGGCAGCGCCGTGCAGGCGTATGTCACGGGTAGCCTGCACCTGGTGGGCGGCGCGCTGGGAATCCTGGAGCAGGCGGATGCGCTGTAAGCCGGGTGGGTGGTAAGAGGGGGGGATCTAGATGGCTACGTTGCCAAGGAGGTGGCCTAGGTGAAGTCGAAAATATATACGAGTTGAGACGTGTACATGTTATAATAGACCATCGGGCTCCAAAGCCCGCATGATACCCCCAACGAGGTGTAAACTCCCAGTGACCAGCACTTTTTGCGTCTTGCCGCGTCCGCCCGCCGTCTTCCTCACCTCCGCCACCGCACTCTGCACGTTGTCAAACACACTCACGCTACACCCAGGCGCGAGCGTCCTCATCGTCCCGGCCAGCGCTTCCTGCACGCTCAAGTCGCCGCCATGGTCTGACGCCGCCTGCTCGTTCCTCGTAAACAGCGCCCGGGAGAAGACGTCGGGGCCCCTCGCCGCGGCCGCGGCCGTCGTGTCCACGAGGTGCGCCAGCAACGCGGGCGCGTCGCGTTCCTGCTGATTAAAGACGAGAGTCACCAACTCGTCCGCGGCCAGGCTCTGCGCCAGCCACCGGGCCACCTGCTCGATGCTGTCGCGCGTGTGCGCGCCGTCGAGCATCCACTGCACGCCGTGTGCCTCGTCGTGGAGCGTCTCGCAGCGCCCGCGCAGCGTCGCTGCACGCAGGCCCGTCACCATAGTCGCCGAGAGATGCCCCAGCGTCTCGGCCGTGCTGGCCGCCTCGTCCCGGATGCCGAGGTGCTCCTGGACGGCGAGCACGGCGAGCGCCTGGTTGCGCTTCTGAAAGTCGCCATGCAGGGCGCTCTCAACGCCGGCCCACGCGTCCACCGCCTCCTCGTCCGCCTCGAAGAGCCGTGCCTGTCGCTCCACGGCGCGCCGCCTCAGGACGTCCATGACGGGCGGCGCGCTGCCAAGCGTAAAAGCCGCCACGCCGGGTTTGAAGATGCCCGCCTTGTGCCAGGCAATCTCCTCCACGGTGCCGCCCAGCATTGCGACATGGTCGATGCCCAGCTGTGCCACGACCGCGGCCGAGACGGCCTCGGGCGGCAGGACATTGGTCGCGTCATGCTCGCCGCCGATGCCGCACTCCATGACCACGTCGCGCACGCCCGCGCTCAGGAACACGTGCCACGCCAGGATCGTCAGGAAGCGAAAGTAAAACGGCTTCGACGCGGGGCCCTCGGCCACGTCGCGCGGCTGGCCCTCGGCGAGGGCCGCCGCGGTGAAGCGATCCCACAGCTGCCAAAAGGCTGTGGCAAACGCGGCCTGGCTCACGGGCTCGCCGTCAACGGCGATGCGCTCCCGCGGGCTGACCAGGTGCGGGCTCGTGTACGTACCCACCGGCCGCGGCTCTCCGCCGCGCTGCCGGTACGCGGTGCGCAGCAACGACGTGGCAAAGGCGCACACGGAGCCCTTGCCCTTGGTGCCCGCGACGTGAATGTGCCGCATGGCGGCGAGGTCGCGCGGCGTGTAGCCGGCGCGGCGGAGCCACGTGAGCATCTCTGGGAGGGCCTGCGCGTTGAGGTCCAGCGCGGCGGGCGGTGACGGTGATGTCGGGCCGTCGCCGCCGCCGCCGCCGCCGCCTTGTCGTGGCGTCTCAAAGAGCGTGGTGATGGCCCGGTTCGAGGCCAACAGGTTGAGCTTGGCCAAGGCGGCCTCGTAATCGCGTGGGCTGGTGGTGGCGGATGAGCTCATTCTGTGCGAGTTAGGTTGTGATGAATACTTGACAGCGATCGTTTGCCGTGATACCGCGCAGACAGGTATTGAAGTGGCGTGCAGGCAACGGATGCCGTTCAGGATGAGGCGGCTGCGCCTTGCAAGCATCGCAGGGACGCACGAGCGCAATGCCTCTTGGCCCCTGGCGTTCCAAAACCTAAAGAATTGTCCAAATATCAATATGCAAGCAACTCGATATTTTGTTGCGCTTCCAACAGAAGCGAATGTAAACGTTGTCAACGGTAAATCCTCAGCGTTGAGGGTTGTGCAGGAGAAAGAAGCTGCGGGTCATAGGCAGAGCAGCGTCAGCTTTGGTGTCAAGACGTCAAGACACTACCAACACTTACAACACTGGGCACTTCGTAGCACCGAAATGCTAGGCTTTCACCCATAAAGACAATCTATCGCATTTCACAATTCTTATTCAACTTTCAAGACGGTCTATTGATATATCTAATACACAGGCTACGTGCCTCCTAGACGCATCTCCCTGAAACCAATGTACACCACAAAGAAAATCGACGTATTGTTTTAATATCTTCCCAATTTTTAGTCTACGCGCAAGCTCTGCAGGCGGGCTTCCGTGGCAATAACCTAACAAATGAGTATTAGTCGCATTCAGCAGCAGTTTGGGATGAGATCAACAACATACATCAAGAGCCTGTTGCACCTCCAGCACCTTGCGAACCTCTCCGAGCCAGTCGCGGCTAAGAGTCTTCGCCCAGCCCTCGAGGCCGTTCATTTCACGAGCAGCAGCATCCAAATCACCCTCTTCGAGGAAGGTCTGCGTGCGGGTGAGAATGCTCTCGACATCGTCGCCCTCCGCAAGACCCTGCTTCTTGAACATGAGGTGGCTCAGAACCCAGCTGGAAGCGTGGCTCGCAACACCGGCATCATCGGGTAGCAGGGAAGCCTTGCGGACCTCGCTCGCTACGCGGCGGAAGCGGTCAATAAGATATGAGGGGGAGGAAATACCCTTCTGGTAAGCAGAGGGGTTGATAGACGAGATGGCGGCGTCAACGACATCGTCGTTGGCAGCAATCTCCTTGAGAGCGACGAGCTCCTTGATGAAAGGCTTGGGGTGCGTAGCACCCTCAAGGCTAGCACGGACGGCCTCAACAGCAACGTGGAGCTGCTGAGTCTTCAGGTTAGTATCAAGAACGCTGTTCCAGCCAACGGTCAGCTTCTCAAGGTCAGCCACAGCGGCTGTGAGCTCGTTCAGCTTGCTGAGGCGGCCTTCACGCTCGGTCTCGACACGGTTCTGGACCTCCTTAACAAACTCCTTCTTCAAAGCTACAGCCTGCTCCAAAAGTTTGGTCTGAAGCTTCTCCTCGTTCAGCTTCTGCTCGCGTTCGAGCAAGAGCTGGGCGCGTTGATCGTATGTGTCGCGAACCTTGGTCATTTCCTCGTCAAACTCCTTGCGCCATGAGTCCTCTTGCTGGACCATGGTGTTCTCGACTCTCTTCACGAGCTCGGTGGCGGCCTTGTCAAACTCAGCGATCGTAGACTTGACCTCGCCAGCAGCCTTCTTCTCGACACTAGTCTTGAGGGCCTTGAGCTTTTCGCCGACCTCGCCGACTTCACGCTTAGCCTTGGCAATGGTAGTGGAGTATTTGCCATGGGCATTGTCGGCATTGATGACAAGGATGAGGTCGTTGAGCATGCGGACGAGATCTTGGATGATGGGCTCCTTGGCGTCGGGAAGGCCCATTAAATCGATGGGTTCCAGGGGCGGGAAGCGAGAGGGTTCGTTGACCTCGGGAGCCTTGAAGTCCTTAGACTCTTTGCTAGCTACAGGAGCAGATTTAGCCTCGACAGGTTTGGCTTCCGCAGGTTTAATCTCCGCAGGTGCAGCCTCTTTCTTGGGAACTTCATCAGACTTCGCGGCCGGCTTCTTGCGCGAGGAAGAAGCAGAAGATGATTGCCGGCCGACCGGCTCGCCGCTGTCGGCAACCCTCCATGATGCACCACTCTGGGCTGGGATGCGCACATGCTCGCCGGAACTCGAAGCAGGGCGCTCAGAGTCGTTACGGCGGGCATTGGGGAATTTCTTCTGGAACTCGAGCTCCTCGAGGTACAGGACGGCCTGCTCACCAAAGGGCACAAACTCGGTGAAAATGTCGTGGAAGGTGTCGTTGATGCGCGAGTACCAAACACCGCCCGCGAAGCCAATGACGCCGAGAAGTATGAGGGAGGTGACAAAGCGGCGGAGACGGGCCATGAAGCCCTTCTTCTTGGGAGGCGGAGGAGGCGGAGGAGGCGGAGGAGGCGGGGGAGTCGACTTGCTAGCACTGCCAGCAACTTGAGAGGCAGCGGAGGCAGCCGCGGCAGCCTTTCGGATAATATCCTCGGGCACAGGAGGAGGTGTCAGAGGAACCTCATGGATACCGACCTTTTTCTCGATAGTTTCCTCGGCGGGCGCAGGGGCACGTTCGGAGCTCTGGATCTCGGAGGTCGGGAGGACGGGCGGTTTGGGGACGTCGGGGTACTTGCGGTCGGCATAGTACCTCTGTTAACTTGTCAGTAATCGAACAGCAACTCGATTGCCTGTCGATGGCAGGGCCAACAGCCAGCTCATTGTAGGCGTTCGCGCAGCGGCCATTGTCGGGATACCCGCGCCAGAGGGACAGAGCAAGCTCACGTTTTGAAGCAGAACCGAGCGTCGCGACGCGGCGGCGGCCCATTGGCGCCCGGCAGCCGCCGCGGTGGGCTGGCCGACGAGCAGCCTGGTTGACCGGAGCGATGATCGCAGCATTGGAGATGCAATGGCCAACAGAATAGGTTGTGGTTGAGGAGCGAGATGCTGCGACGGCGGTTAGGCTGAGTAGTACCTGCGCAGTGGACAAAAACGCTCAGGGTAAAAGTTCGGCTAAGAGCTTGGATAGCGCTAATGCGGACCTGGGCTGGGCGCCGCGGCAGGAACCGGGAGTGACGCAACAGATGAACGTCGGAACTGGAAAGTGTTTAAAAAGGAGGTAAAAGATGTCACGGCCTCATTACTGACGATTTAGAAAGGCGAAGCGGCAGGGTATTTTGTAGCTTCTATGAAATTCGTATGCCGCTCCAGAGATCCCCCAAGTCCTGGGCTTGTCGTCATTGAGGCTTGCCGTTAACTAGTGGACCATTCACAAGCTTGGAAGAGACAGTTCCGGCCTCAGCATGATGTACCTCTACCCGAGCGCTTCATTGAATCACATCTAATACCTGTAAAACGAAAACAGGTTGTTCAGACACATGATGCTACGGCCACAAACACTCAATATCATATTCTATGCATTAAGATCTGATGGTACAAACTGAAGTACGTACATGTAGACGGCTTGCCCACCAGTCCAGTATATCACTCCGCTGGAAGCCTGTAGCCAAACAGGTCGCCAGAGGCCATTGACGACAACAGCCGCTGAGCAAAGCAAATGGCGGAAGCCATGCCAGCTACTAGAAAATCCACGTCGATATTAAGGTAAACCAAGAAAATAGAATCATCAACCGAATTCAATACAAAACCCTGGACTCCAAGAAATATACTGCGCAAGCCCGAGGCCAGAGGGACGAAAAAAGAGTAACAAAAAGGCCTTTGTCAGATCTTCACGACATTAGTCTATTTGGGACAGGAGGGCCGCAAGGCGCAGCCCAGTGGTGCAGTCTCTGCTGACCCAATACATGTTCCGCCGCGAAATTTCGCGAAATCGAAAAGCAAGAGCCCGTTAACAGCTGCAGGGGCCGGCGGCGTTTGTGTTTGAATTTTCGGGGGCCAAGCTGACACCAGGGCGCTGGCCAGGGCGAGCGTGTCTGGGACCGGCCTGGTCGAGGGGAAGCTTCCTGGCGATGGCGGTAAAGAGTTCGGGGACATTTTCGGCAGTCTTGGCCGAGGTTTCGAAGAAGAGAAGCCCGGCCTCTTTTGCGTAGGCTTCAGCGTCGGCGGCGGGAATGGCGCGCTTGTCGGGCTGTTCCGTGACGAGATCGAGCTTGTTGCCAGCGAGGGCGATGATGATGTTTTCATTGGCTTGACGTTGGAGTTCCTTGACCCAAGCCTTGGCCTTGTCGAGGGAAGCCTGCAGGATGGAGCTTATTAGAGATATATCCGACATAACCGAAGCAGAAAAAACGGGCACGTACAGATTGTGTAATGTCATATACGACGACGGCACAGTTGGCGTTGCGGTAGTACATGGGGGCCAGGGACTTGTAACGCTCCTGGCCGGCGGTATCCCAAATTTCGAACTTGACAGTGGTGGTCTCGTCGAGGGAGATGGTTTGGGTGAGGAACGCAGCGCCGATGGTGGATTCGCGGAAAGAGTCGAATTGATCCTGACAAAAGGTCAGCTGCAGTCAAGCGAGGAGCGAGCGGATTATGCGAGCGACCGACGTCTTACCTTGACAAATCTCAGGACGATGGAACTCTAGATTCCTACAATGTTAGTCGGGGAACTTGGTCGTGGACGACTCAGATTTCTTGATGGGGATAGTCGCACCTTTCCGACAGCGGACTCTCCTACACACCCAAACAGTTAGCATTTCCCAGGTCAGAAGAGCGCCGTCTCGCATCAAAACATACCAAGGAGAACGAGCTTAAACTGAGCAAAGCGGTTGTTTGAGGGGCCGCGGGCACCAGGGGGTCCTCGGGAGGCCATTATGGTTATTGTTGAGGGGTGGGTATGTATGTGTGAAGACAGCAGAGAGGACGTAGGAAGCGTCGTCAGAATTGCCCCAGCGGTCAGGGATGAAGCCGAGGGAAGCGTCGGTCAAGGCGGAATTCGAGAAGCGACGAATGAATATGGAAACAGATGCGCGCAGGGGTGGACACAGCGGGAGATGAAGCAGTCCGGAGGGTGGTGGTGGCAGAGTTGATGGTGGGACGTTGCAAGTGGTGAGCAAGTGGATGAGGTCGGCGGTTCGGTCGTCGAGAGGCACCAACTCAGTTCAAGGCTGGGCGACGATTAGTGGCGGCGGCCTACGGAAGCAGAAGGCAAAGTGGGCAAGGCGTCGAACAGGTTGCCGTGTTCATTAGAGGTACCTATACCAGGTATTACAGTGGCTCCCCGGGCAGGTAGTGACTTCAGCGCCTGCCTGTTAGCGCCTCGCCATTCACGTCAGGTGACGGACAATAAAGATGCGGATTGCACGAAAAAGAAAAAGGTCTCGTCATGTGCTGAGATAATTCTCGGAAGTGTAACCTTTCTTCTTTGTTAAATCATCAAATTAATCATAGTTTTCCCTGTTGAAGATCTAAGTCTTCGTTCTTTTAATCACCTCGGGCCGTGATGACGAGGCGTTCCAGGCAGCCACTCAAGTACCAAGACGTTACTGTCAGTGGCTGAGTACGCCAGCCTTCCACCACCAACCACCCGCACGCGTGGCCGTGTTTAAATAAACGTCCACATGTCAAGCCCTTGGCGAAGACGTATATCAGAAACAGATCTATTATTCTACCAAATCTAAATTACAAAACTCCTTTCTCCTTGCAATGCTCATCATATCAATGCTCGCTTTTCCAGCGACTCCCCTTACAACTTGATCTCAGCCCTCAGAGGACCAAGGCCGGCCTTGACAGCCTGCTCGCTGAAGGGATAGTCGATGTAGCCCGTTGACACCTTGGGAAGGTAAAAGGTCTTTCTGTTGTACTCGGTAAAGGGAATCTGGTTCTTGATGCGGAATACAAGGTCGGGGTTCGAGATGAAGGGACGGCCATAGCCAATAATGACATCCCATCCAGCATACTCCTGATCGACGGCTGGACCCGCAGCCTCGAGATCATAGGCGCCAGTGACAATCACGGGGCTGTAGTTGTCCCACTGGCGGAGGAAGTACTGGAGGGACTTTTCACCGCCGGCAAAGGGGTCGACCTTGTGAGGCCCGATGAAGAGGAGGACGGGGTCACCGCGGGGCTCGACGAGAGACAGGTAGGCAAGCTTGTGGCCGCGGGCCTTGATCTGATCCAGAATGTAGCTGGTCTGAGTCCAGGTGTCGGACGACACGGCGTCCTGGAAGCTGGCAAACGGGCTGAGGCGCAAAGCGGTGCGGTCAGCGCCAATCTCGTCGCTGACGGCCTTGACGATCTCGAGCAGGAAGCGCGCGCGGTTTTCGACAGAGCCACCCCACTTGTCGGTGCGATCATTGACACTGTCGCGGGTGAACTGGTCAATCAGGTAGCCGTGGGCACCGTGGATCTCAACACCATCGCCGCCAGCGTCGACGACATTACGAGCCGCCGTGCGGAAATCGTCAATGATGGTCAGGATCTCGTCCTCGGTCAGTGGCTCCGGGGCGATGTCGCGGCCGGGCATGACCTTGGCAGAGCTGGAGCTGTACTTGAAGCCGCGGTCGCCGACGTATTTGGCGTCGACAGCGCGGCCCTGGTGCCAGAGCTGCTGGTAGACGAAGCTGCCCTTGGCGTGAATAGCGTCGTAGACCTTCTTCCAGGCCTGAGCCTGGGCGGCATTGTGGACACCGGGCAGGTTGGGCTGGCCCTCGGCGGCCGGAGAGATGCCGGTGGCCTCGGTGACGAGCAGTGTGCCGGGGACGGAGCCGCGCTCGGCGTAGTACTGGGCCATGATGTCGGTGGCGACGTGGTCGTCGTCATTGCGGAAGCGAGTCAATGGCGCCAGGGCGATGCGTTGCGAGATGGTGGTGCGGCCAACCTTGAGAGGCTGCCATAGCTTGGAGGTGGACGAGACAGTCATTGTGTGAGGTGTGTGAGGGCTAGTTGCAACGGGAGAAGAAGGAAGACAACAGTTTATAATTGAGTGGCTAATGACGAGAAGCAAATATGGCAACGCGGGACAGGCAAGGGCTTTATACGAATGGAAGAAGACAAAGGGATTGTGGTGGATCACGCATTAGTAAACGGCTGAGTGTAGGCCTTTGAAGTTGCAGGATGAAGTCGCATTATTAATCGCATCAACTGTCGTGCTTTGCGGCCGATTACATGTTAGTTAGCGTGCTTGCGGGTTTTAAGATGGTGGGTTCGTTCCATAGGGCCGCGGAGTTTGAGCAGCGAGTTATCGGAAATGATGAGAAATATTATGGGAAAGTCCGTCACTGAATTAGGTTGAGATGGATTATTCCAGATACTTGCAAATTGTCCATCTATAAGCGTGCGAGGCGTTTTGAACCGAGGATAACTTTGCTCAACTCGGGAGCGACGCCACGAGCGGACGCCACCAACCGCTGTTGTTGGACGTGGTGCACTCATAAGGACGCCTTTATTATTATTATCTGGACCTAGAGTGTCACGTTAGAGTGATGCAGTGCTCAAGCTAAAATGGCTTCTTTCATCACTATAGCAGCCCCTGTAACTAGTTGCACGCCTTCTAAAACTTAGGTAGGTAGGTAGGTAGTCGGACAGGCCAACAGCCAATGCAGCCAAGTGTGGACCTGGTGAGAAGCTGAAAACACTACCCTGTACAGAGTACGGAGTACCTAGGTACCTTGGGTACTACGAAACAGATGCCGTAGTTGGAGCATGATTGAACTTTTCTCATCTTCTCATCTCCGCATATTCGGCATTTGGCAGCGGCTTGCGGCTTGCAGGGGCCTTCTCACAGATGCATAGATGGATGGCCAAGAGAGCTTCTTGACCGACGGCGTTTGAGTTGCTCCACGGACAAGCAAGGTTGGCTGACAAATGCGACTTGGTACAGGCCCAAGCAAGATTGCGCAAGAACGATCCGAGGAGGTGCCACCATTATTCATCTATTGCTTATCAACGTTTCATTCCCACTAAGCGTCACGGGAAAATTCGAAAGGCATGTTTCTGATGAAAAGGATCTCGGTTTGCTGCCGTGGATCTGTCCGTCGGGATCGGGATCGCAAAGCCACATGACGAGCATGCGCTTTTCTGCAGAGTAGTTTAAGCCATGGATTGATTGTGCCAACTAACTACAACTACCTACATACCTGCGTGCTTTATGCCGTACATAGCTGTCTGCTGCTTGTACAGATTAGAACTTGCCTCTTTTCTGGACGGCAAGCCTACCAGCCGTGGCGGGGTAACAGAATACCTAGGTACTCATATGTCAAACGTTGGCACTACACCTGACCGTCGCCCGGTAACTTCCATTCAACGACCCAGCTGGGGTAGTTTGCTTTCCTTTAGTGAGTATTCCCTTATTTTTCTTTATTTATTTCAGAAAAGGTAGCATCGTCGGCGTGGCTTGCCTGTCACAAGCCTTGCTCCAGACTCTACAGTGACCCTTCAGCGCTGCGCCCTCCCTTGGCCGACCGTCCCTCGGCTAATCCCCTTTCAGCTAGCGTTTGAGCGACAGCAAGGAACAGTGACGTTATGAGCCGCGGGTTGGAACCGGGAGCTGACCCTTTGCCTTTCTGTATTCCGTCTCTCTTCGGCTACAGGTGGGTAAATAAACTCGTGAAAAATATTCAAGATTTTACAACGCCTGAGATGGTACGGTATATAATTTTTAGATGATTCAGCCCCTTCATGAACGTGCACGCCTAGGTATCATCAGCTGTTTTGCCTCTGCTTGACTTGCACAGTTGCACCTGCTCCGCCCCGGCCAGGCGCCTCCAGTCAGGGCGCTGGGCACTGTAGGTAACCATCGCCCAACCCGCTCCACGCCAACGAGCTCAGCTCAGCTTCGCCCTGCCGCCTCTGCCTCTGCCTCTGCCTCGTTGGCCTCAATTTTACCAACCTTCCATCCCACCATCCACCTCCTCGGCCGCCCGTCCGAAGCTTGCCTCGTCCTCCCGCATCGCTCACCCTCCATTGAGGCGCATTCACTGCTGCCCCTCACTACTTGAATCGCGTCCGGCACGCCCTCCCGACACCATGGCCCCCATCACCGGCCCCTTGTTCCCGTACCGCGATATCAACCTGCGTGTTAGCAACGACGCCTACACCTTCACCTCGCCCTCCTCCCCCAATGCCCCGGCGTTGGTCCTCGACCGTCCTACCGGCGATGTCAGCTTAACCGAACCGTCTCTGCAATCAACCAAGCGCGCCACTCGCGTCTCCAGTGTTGCCGGTGTCCTCGGTCTCATTCAGCTCAAGCTTGGTCCGTTGCCCATCCCCCCTCAGATCCTATCGTTGACTCGTCAATTTGCTAACTAACGATCCATTCCTCATAGACAAATATGTTATTATTCTCAACAAGACCAAACCTGTTGGCCGCCTCAAGGGCCAGATGGTGTACAAGGTCCTTGCCGCCGAGATTCTACCCATGCGCGAACGCCAGATCCACGATCCGGACGAGGACACCTTTGTTCGCCTACTCGAAACCTTCCTCAAGAAGGCGCCTCTCTACTTTTCCTACTCTCTCGATCTCACAAACTCGTTCCAAAGGCAGTCCCAGGCCGACACCACCAAGCCCCTCTGGATGCGCGCCGACGACCGCTTCTTCTACAACAGGTTCCTTCAGTCTGATCTCATCAACTTTCGCAACCTCGGCTCTCGCGCCCAGCCTGGCCCCCAGCCTGCTATCGACCCCTTCATCCTTCCCTGTATGTTTGGCATGTTTGAGATGAAGCAAACTTCGTTCAAAGGCACTCCTCTCAGCCTTACTCTCATCTCCCGCCGGTCTAGATACCGTGGTGGCACCCGATTCTTCACCCGTGGTGTTGACGAGGAAGGTCACGTCGCCAACTACAACGAAACGGAGCAAGTTGTTATTCTCAATGAGGCCAGCACCGGAATGGGCGGTTTTGCTGGCAGTACCGATATGCAGAGCGGAAAGCTAGGTGGTACCGACGGCAAGGAGATGCAAATCATGTCTTACGTCCAAACTCGAGGCAGTGTTCCCACATATTGGTCCGAGATCAACAGCTTGCGTTACACCCCCAAGCTCCAAGTCCGGGGCACACAGGCTGCTACCGCCCCCGCTGCGCGCCATTTCGACGAGCAGATCCGCATCTACGGCGACAACTACCTTATCAACTTGGTCAACTCCAAGGGCCGTGAGCGCAATGTCAAAGAGTCATATGAACAAATGTGCCAGGCTCTTTCTCGAGCTGGTAGTGCCGCCGATGCTACCAACGAAAAGTTCACCGTGACCCCAAGCAGCAGCAGCCGCAACCACTTTGACAGGATTCATTACGTCTACTTTGACTTTCACACCGAGACCAAGGGTATGAGAATGGACAAGGCATACAACCTGGTCACACGCATGCACCAAAGGCTCGAGACACAGTCGTACTTCCGTGGCGTGGATATGCCCGGCGGTCTCGATGACAAGCTCGAGGCCCGCAGCCTGCAAACCAGCGTCATGCGCACCAACTGCATGGATTGCCTTGACCGCACCAACGTTGTTCAAAGCATGTTTGCTCGTGCTGTCCTCGACCGCATCTTCGGCGAGCTCGGCCTCATGCCCCGTGGCGCCTCCTTCCGCGACCAGGACCCCGATTTCGAATTTCTCTTTCGCAATCTGTGGGCCGACAACGCCGATACTGTCTCTGGCTCCTACTCGGGCACTGGAGCCATGAAGACAGATGTCACCCGTACGGGTAGCCGCACCAAGCTTGGCGCCCTTCAGGATGGACGCATTGGCGTCACACGCTACTTCCTCAACAACTTTCTCGACGGTCCTCGCCAGGACAGCTTTGATATCTTCCTTGGTGCCTACCAACCTGGTAAATCCGGCGTCGGCCTGGGGCGCATATTTGTCGACAGACGCCCTCTCCTAATCCAGTCAATCCCATACCTGCTCGCTTTCAGTACCTTCATCGTGTTTATTGGCATTTTCACTAAGCGCGAAGCCGATGCAAGGGTCCTGCCTCTGCGAATCTTTATTCTTTTCTGGACCGCCGTTGCCGCATGGTGTGTGCACTTCATCTTCGGCCACGGCATGCTCTACGTATGTCCCTCGATTCCCCGCATTAGGTGTGCAATACTAACATGTATCGCTCTAGGTAAACTGGCCCAAACTTAACCCACGTTCCTTTGCGACTGAAGGCTACAACGAGCACTACTCCAAAGCACGCAAGGATGCCTTGCTGGGCAGCTTTGTGGCCCGCCACGAACGCGGTCTCAGCACGGCACGCTTCCTTAGTGCTGAAGAGGGCAAGAAGAGAATCGAGTAAAGGTGTGCTAGAGAATGGCCGAAAAAAATGTATAGTTTCTTCTGTTACTTTTTTAGATTTGTGCTCTTTATTTTGTTTCTATGTCCGTTTTAATTACAAGGATTTCCTTGGGGAGAGGTTCTCCGAAGACCGGCACAAGAGCGTCCACTTCTGCGTCACTAATCCCAAGCTCTTCCATCTCTTCATCGTGCTACCACAGCATGATTTCTTCCGTCGTTCCCAATGTTCGTACGCTTGCTGGACAGTGTTTATGTGCAGTGGAACATTGCCATTTCAAGTCTTGGTGCCAGCAACATGTCTCTTTCAAAGTACTCTATTTGTTGCCATTTCTCAACATTCATGTAGCGGAGCAAGATCAATCAAAGCTCCATGGTATTTTGCGGTTAGTGCAGTAATAACAATGTGGTTGAATAAGACAAAAAAGGTAAATACACGCTCCTTCTCATTGAAGAGGGCAGAATTGATAGCACTTCCAATCGCCATGGGTATACCAAAACGTGTCCTGTCAACGAACCCTTTTCGGGAAGGAAGAAATACACCATCAACGTTGACATAATCAAGGGAACAAGAAAGAAAATCCAGAATGGTGACAGAAAAATGCAATGCATCGCCAAAGAAGGGTATCAACTATCGCTTTCTGTAAATGCATTCATCGATGACGGACCAGAAAAGAACAAGAAATTAGAAAATCCAAAGTAAGAAGAGTTGTAGTGTTGGAGCATAGCCAAACGTGTTGGAACAAACGAGGCAAAATAATCAAAAAGAAATAAGGAATGAGAATCGTAGAGACGAGTGTCTAGGCAAGCCACAAAACCCACTTGACGCCGGTCCAGATGCCCTTGCCGATGCCGAGAAACACGCGCAAAATCATGACGACGAACCAGACGTACCACATGAAACCAACAACGAGCCACTCAACGCTAAGCCAGAGGCCGCGACGCAGCCAACGCAGACGACGGCGCCGTCTTCGGAGCATCTTTTCAATCGTGTCGACAACGTGCTTGATGCGCAGGGGTTGATCGAGCGCAAGGCTACGACTCGCCTCGTCTGCCTCCTCGACAGCTGCGCGTGTCAGGGGCGCCAGATCATCGGCGACGCGGGATCGCACGGCGCCGACGCGCCGGTGCAGCGCTGGCCCCGTGTGCGACGTGAACCGGTCGGCCGCCGTCTGCCAGCGCTGACCGGCGCGCTGCATGTTGCTCGTCAGAGTTTGCGCGGCCAGCGGGTAGACGTCAACCAGCGGGACAACCTGGTCGTACAGGGTCGTCTCCGGGCACAGCGCGGCGATGCCGTCCCAGTCAATGTTGGCAAGCTTAGGACCGTCGTTGCCAAACGGCTTGTGCATCTCCTGGGCGCGCCTGTTGATCTCCATGGCCTTGATGCCGGAGCTCAGGACGAGCGTCTTGACGCGTGCCATCTCGCGTCTGGACAGCTGGCTTTGCTCGACTTGCCTGCTGCCTTGGTCCGCAATGGACCACTGGCGGCTCATGGTCCGTTCGCCGCGGTTGACGCGGCGCGCGGCCGAGCCTCCCAGAATGGCGTTGAGTCGGCGGTCACTCTCGCGCACGCCGGCGGGAACACGGCCCTGGGTTGACTCGGGCTCCGAAATATCAGACTCTCCCGGGCGACCGGCGGCTCTGGGCGGTGGGGATGTTGACATGGATGGGCTTCGAAGCCCGGTCTGCGGGGGTTGGAGCAAATCAACGCGCGACGATTCATTGCTTTGAATCCCGCGGCCAGTCCAAGACGCAGATTTATGAATGCCAGTCGTGTTAGAAGCGCCAGGAGCATGCTGGAACTGCGGCATAACGTCGAGGAAGTGTTTCTGTTCCTGTTTATTCTGTTGCGCTTTGTTGGACGGACGGCGAGACAAAGGCGTCGAGGGCCGTCTCCTTCCCCTGTTGCGCTCACTGTCGGATTCATCTGTAGAATCAAGCTCCTGTGATTCGGAACCATCCTTCTTGCGTAGAATATCGCCAATGCGAGATACACCACCTCGCAAAACTGTGTCAATACGGGGACCTTTGAAGATGCCACGGAGCCCAGAGGTGGGGTCATCAGTGCGCTGCAATAGACTTCCCATGCGGCGATGGACTTTAATTGTGTCTCCGGCCAAGGGAGCTGATGCATTCCTCGCCAACGATGGCTCCTCATCAAGTAGAGGCATCCGGCCAACAGCGTCTCGTGGAAGCGTATCAGCCCTATTATTGCCTGCGGATGCATCTCTGTCGGTGCCTAGCTTTGCTTCAGGCGTAGTGTAGATCTTTGCTGTATCAGTTTTAGAAGGGGATCCTGAGCGGCTCCAGGGAGCTGGTAGCTCTAGAGTCACAGATTCGAGGGTTGCTTTTCTTGAGGGTCGTAGCTCAGGCGATGTAGGCAGCGACGAATCGTTGTCTATCGATTTGGGTGCTCGGAGGTGAGGCCCATCAACGACCTGGTCATCACGGCGGAAGCGGGAAGGAGATGTTTTGTACATCCTCTCAAAGGTGCCCTTTGGTTCAAAGTCGCCGGTATCCGTGATGGACTCCCTAGAACTGGGCAAGTGACTGCCTGATTTTGAGCGCACGTTTCGTTCTGGGCTGGTCATGCTGGGCGGCACAAACTGCTCAACCCCCGGAAGCTCCAGAACGTCTTTGCCTCCATGTTCCTTGGCGATCATCTCCAGCATTTGCTTATGCAAGATGTCACCTGGCTGGGCATCCTTATGTTCTGCCCGTCTTCGGGAATCACGAATGGTCCGGTTGCGTGCCTCGTTGTCACTCTCGGAGTACTCGGACGCAGAATCCTTTTTAGAGCGAGGTCGGGCATGGATATGATCAGAGACGTGCCAGTGGTTTGGATCCTTCATGTGATGGAGCTTCTCTCTAGCGCGTTCAATGGTATGTTGACGGTCATGGTCTGGGCCATGGTTTCTATGAATGTGATGTTTATCGCCAGTGTTGGGATTGCGGTTCACAGGATCTGGGGAAAACGGCACAACATGTCTTGGCTCTTCGTTCTCACGCGACATGGGCCGAGAAAGCTCAGAAGTGGGAGGGAAAATTTTGCGCCAATGGCGGTCTTCGATCAGTTCCTTATTCCGATCCTGCTCAATCCAATAGGCATCGGCAATCATGTCGCACGGTTCAACGAACCAGTCGACGCGGGGTCGACGATTTCGAGCGGCTTTAGCCACAGGATCAGGCACATACTGTGTAGCTGATTCCTCGGCCGCAAAAAATGGAACCATGCACTGTGCTTCATCTTCTGGCTGTTGAAGGGCCATGTTTTGTTCGCACTTTTCAACCCAAGACTTGACGCTATCGACAGCCGCAAAGCCTTGCCGCTCTCCATCGATAACCTTCCTCTCGCGAGCTCTCACTTTTCTGTTTCGAATGTATTGCAGCGGGTTGTATTTGCGCCCCAGCTGTGGTGTTGAACTCCAGGTGAAGGCTTTTGCGCCGCCTGCGGGTGATGCCGGGGGGCTCGTTGTGACAGTTCGTACTTGTGGCGGCTTCAAAAGCGGCAAGACATCAAGAAGCCTTCTGTACTGGGACATGAGCTCTAGCTGATCTTTTGCCTTTTGGGCGCGTGCCAAGGTTGAGGCGGAGAAGTGATAGCGATGTATGTCGTCTTGTGCAGAGGGGAAATTGGCGTGTAGTGGGCTAGACGCTGATAAGCCTGTGCTCTGTCTCGGTATCATGCTCTGTCCGGGGCGAGGAGAAATATTTCGAGAGGACCGACGTTGCTGTTTGAGCTGTTGCCGAAGGTCGTTGGAGGTGGCCGAGTCGGGTAAAGGCAATAGTTTTGGAGGAACGCCGCGGGACACGTTCCGACGAGAGGCGAGGCGACGAGACTCGCTCAAGTTCAAGGCCATGTTCACAATCTGTGTAGAATCGGCGTCTACAGCAGCGGGAGCATGGCTGTTCTGGGACGACGCAGGGGATGACTGGTAGAGCGAACCAGTGCTCAAGTTGTGGGCAGCGTCGGGGGATGGCGTGAGAGGCTTCCCGGCAAAGGGGTCGGACGCTACTCGCATGGTTTTGTCTCGCAGAGCAATGGATGCCGCGGATTCGGGTGTGTTGGAGAGTGAATCAGTCGTTGCACGGGTCGTACGGGTATGAGGAGCGGCGATGGTGGGTTTCGGGAGGCGCGAGCTCTGGCTGCGCTTGACGGCTCGGCCATCGAGCAGAAACGAGCCGGTTGGCCTTTCTCTGCGCTTCCTTCTCATTGTTTCCTGTCGCGCTGGCCCGTCTACCTGCTCCTCGGCGAGCCTCGACTGGTGTAGCAGCAAGCGCTCGCGGGTTAGGTCTGGAGCCGCCGACTGGCTGCTACCGCTGGTTCCACCGCGACGGCTGCCGGCGCTGCTCGATTCGCCCGCCTCATCATGGCTTTGACGGCGGCGGGAGTCTGGCGTTACTGGAGGTTGGCGATGCTCGAGAAAGTTGTCGGCGTCGACGTCCGCCATGGCGTAGGGGCCGAGCACATGCTCTGGGGGGACGAGTTCGGGACAGCGGGTGCGAAGAGCCTCAGGCGGACCTTTGGGCTATGGTGGCAGCGTGTGCATGACTTGACGAGAAGCGGGATGGGAGTTTGTCGTCGGAGGGGGATGAAAATGGAAGCCCCAAGTATGGTGGGGGCAAAGAGCGATGAAGGATGAAGGGGGAAGTGATAATTCACCGAGAGATGGAGTACTGGGGAAGTTCAAACGGAGTGTCACGATGGGGCATGTGCCAGGGCAGCCAGAATGTACTAAGGTACTTGGCCGACCCGCGATTTTGAGTGGCGCCAAAGGTACCTGGGTCTGTACGGTGTCGGCTAGGTACCTAGCCTAGGTAGGTAGTACCTACCTAGGTATAACTTAACAGATGGTCATTCGCAAAAAATATAATAAAAGCATTTGCTGCGCCTTGTCTAAGACACCTTCCCGCTGTTGTGGATATTGTACTCAATGAATAGTTAGTTACCTGGCCTAGGTAGTTTGCTTGCTTTCTCGCCATGACCCAATAAACGTGGGCCGGCAAAGACCAAGTCAATGAATGAATAGTCTACAAGGATAACTCGAGCAAAATGATGGAAGAAATAAAACAGACAGAAAATAACAAGCTCAAGAATAAAAAATTTACAGTACAAATTACATTCCAGTATGAGGATAACCGGTGCGTTCCGTGGCCCCTCAGCCTTGAACGGGTAAAAAAGAAGAATCCGCCGCCTTGCTTTCTTTCCTCTTTCCTCCTCTCGCTAATGATTACATGCTGACTTTGGGGGTTTCTACTCTCATAATAATTATAGCGCATTTTTATTTTTACATTATAACCACCTCCATGTTCTAGAAGCGTCGCAGGGCCGGCTTCGTTTCTGACCCATGTCGCAGGGAATCACACGCAGTCGCCCGCCCTACGGTGATGCCGATGCATGTATGTACGTAATCCATGGGCCATTGCAGCTTCCATTGATACGTCCTCGTCTCGATGCAACCATAAACTAAACCCACTCTCTTAAGCCACGCAGCCTTTTGCTTTTGGGTGGGTTACAGCTGGAAAAGCTGAATAGCCAACGCCGTTCCGTCCTTGGGGGCGAGCATCACTGCACGGCTATTGCAAAGGATCCTGGATCTGCTGACTAGCCAAACTTCGGAGTAGCCGTAATACTTGGGGTCTGTACTACATCTTAAAGGCTCAATCGCGAGCGCCGGCCTGGTTGTGGCTGGCTAGGCAGAATGCTCTGCAAATAGACTCCAATTACATCTCGCATGGCTACCTGGACTCAAGCTGAACTCCATGCTTCGATTAAATCCGGAAAAGTGATGGTTTTGAATAGCCGAGGGTGTGCGCAGTGGTAGCAAGTATAAATAAAGGCTTTGACGCAGTTGCCATATCGTGATACATCTCAGTTTCGAGAGCAAAACACGTCGCAACATTACTCTACATCACTGCCGCCCTTCTCCACTGCTACATTCTTTCCCATAAAATGCTCCAGGAAAAGACGCAACATCCTCACTATGTGGATAGCACGGTGCTATTCAAGCATGAACAAAGCGAATCAACCTTGGTCGTCTTGTCAGAATGGTCTGCCGTGGAGAAACACTCGCACACAGGCTCTGACACATTCGCCCTCTACTTTCCAGAGTCAATGAACCTCCAGTACGACAATGAGCTGGAGTATCAGCTTGCCAAAGATATACGAAAATGGTCATTCTTTCCTCTCCTTCCACCCAAATTTCAGCAGCTTGCCGTCCACCTCTCACATCTCTGCTCATACAAAGCTGATTTGAGCTACGAGCGCAGAGTTCTGCTACATCACCACGTAGCGTGGATCTTCTTGATGGATGATGTCACGGAGATGATGCCGTTGTACGGCCTTCATGATACCGCTGGAAAGCTGTACCTCGACAACCTCAGAAACATCATCGTCGGTGGCCAACTACACGACATGACCCAGTTCAAGGACAAATGTCCAGTGACGCTCATCGATGCAGCCCTCTTGGCACAACAGATTTTGGCAGAAGACCTGATGCCTCTAAAGCGGCAGCTGCTCTCACGGCAGCACGTGAAACTATGCAGCGATCTCCTCGTTCAGTTCTTCGACTACGAGTATGACGAGGGCAAGAAGTTCTGCACCGAAGCCTCCTCACAAGAGGTGCTCCAAACAAGGGCCATCACGGTCGGTGGCTTGATACCCATGGCCCTGACAATGACTTCCAAGCAAGCAGAGCAATGCGCGCTGAATAACTCGGAGATGATTCAAGCTTCCGTGTTGATGATTCTGATCAACGACATCATTGGCCTGTACAAGGATCTCAAGGCGGTCGAGCAGCAAAACGATGGTTCGGCGTACTTGAACCTCGTCCGAGTGGGAATACGAGAACAAAAACTCACTGAACAGGACGCACTCAGACTCTATATTGACAAGCTCAATCGACTGACCTGGTCCGTCGAGTTTTACCAGCTGGCGTATCCGTCGTCCCGGCAGGGCCTGCAGCGCGAGTGCTTGAGGCTGGCCTTCAACTATCTGGACTATCACTTGTATGGCATCATGGGCAAACCAAACAATCGATATGGATGGAAGCACAAGAGCCAGGGTTGAGGCTATCAGCTGGCAGTCGTGGCACGGTGCGTTATTGCATCAGGAAGTATATGGTTGGCGGCTGAAAGATGGCTAGACAAGTGCCAAGGGCCAACGGTCGGAAATTTGCAGCTTTAGATTGGTGTGTGAGGTATTTTGAATACAGAGTAGAAGATAAGATTGTTACCTACAGTTGAAAAGATTTACTGCGATGCACCAAGGCATGACTGTCATCGTGGTTCTTGACTAACACTCCGTGCCTGTTGTGTTGCATGATGTCTGGCAACTGACGCTCTTCTCGAAGAAAAGTACAGATTGATTATGATATTAATCAAGTTATAATAGTGGAATAAAAATAACGCGTGTGCCCATAATGTGGTACCAGCAAGGGGTAGCGAGCCTCGACCTGTAGATCGCCAGTTTGGCATTCCCAAATTAGATGGCTCGTCCGAACAACGCAGGAATTAAGCATAATCCAGGTTCCTGTTATTTTTTCCGACTTGTAATATATCTACGACTTTCTACATCGGTGCATCTCCACTATTAGACCAAAATAGGAAGGATGGTAGAGATAAAGTTGGTTCTATGCGTTTCATAATTGGGAGCCCTTGTTTCGGACTCGAGGACGATGAACTAGAGCCGCAAGAATAAGCCGAGCAGCGCACACCAATGAGACAAAAAAGGCAAAGCTGCGTTTTGTTTTCTATTCATACATATTTATTCAACTAGAACATATTGAAACAATGGCTGCGACGAATGGCGGACGTCCTATTATTGCAATTGGTCGTGCGCCGCCTGTGCCAAGCGACTTATACCACGTCGTGATTACCTAGGGGCAGGGGCAGCCAAGAACGAAAGCCAATAGACTTCTACCAACAGCCAGCGCTGGCAAGATCGCCGTGACAGGTCAGGCCAGGATCTTCTATAGAGGAACGACCGTCGTCTTGGATAGATCAGCTCGTGGGGGGCCAGAACGAGAACGCCTACAAAGGACCGGGAGGGTCTTACAGCGGCGCAAACTTGGCGGCGTGGAAAACCTTCCATACCGGGTATACCATAATGTTTATCCCATGTGTCCAGGCTTATTCGAAACTTGATCGCTATAGGAGGAGGGGCATGCGGGAACATGAGACGGAAGAGTCCATGTTTGTCGACGTGTCGCCTCGTGGACCATACGAGGAACTTCGATACAAAAAGCCCAGCTCTGCCCTCCTCGGTTCCATAGGAAAAGTTGTGATTCATCAATCAAGTCACTCATTCCCTTCTCGACTCACTCCTTTGTCGCCCACACTCCTTTGCCATAGAACGCCACTCATCGTGCCGAAGCCCAGCCACTATCGCCATGAAGTTCCTCGGTCCGCTTGCCCTGGCCTCTATGGCCCTCGCCACGCCCCGCGTCTGGAACACGCGCAAGGCCAGCAGTCCGCTGGACCTGCGCATCGAAATGGACGGCAACTCTAAGGTCCGCGCCGTCCTGACCAACCGCGGCGACCATGACCTGCGTCTCCTCAAGACGGGCACCTTCCTAGACGAAGCGCCCGTAGAAAAGGCCAAAATCTACACCAGCTGTAAGTCGAGTGAACCACACCCGTCCCCAACCATCACACAAGGTTACACACGAGATGCTCATCGTGTGCTTCTCCCGAGATAGCCGTGTACTCTGAAAACGCCGTCCCCTTTGACGGCGTCCGCCTCCGCATCGCCACCTCGGAGCTCGAGCCGTCGGCCTTTCAGGACCTCCCCGCCGGGCAGTCGGTGACGGCCGCCTTTGACCTCGCGCACATGCACGACCTCTCCGCCGGCGGCGACTACCACGTGGAGCTCTCCGGCGCGCTGTCCGCCGCCGCCGCCGCCGCCGATGCCCCGACCTCGGCCGCCCTCGTCGGGTCGCTGCCGTACCGCTCCAACCGTCTGAGCATCCGCGTCGACGGCGACACGGCACGCGCCGCCTCGTCCGCGTTCCACCTGCAGCGACGGTCGCGGGTGCGCGACTGCCGCGGGGCGCAGCTGCTCGCGACGACGACGGCGCTGGCAGGCTGCACCGAGATGGCCGCGGCCGCCGCGGCTGCCGCGTCGAGCGGCGACGCCGGCAAGATGGTCGAGTACTTCAAGGCCGCGGACAATGGCACGCGCGGCATCGTCGCCGGCGTCTTCTCGCGGGTCGCGGCCGAGTGCGGCTCCACGACGGGCGGCGTCGCCGACTACTTTTGCTCGGACCCGTACGGCGCCTGCTCGGGCGGCGTGCTGGCGTACACGGTCGCGGCACGCAACCTCATGGCCTACTGCCCGTTGTACTTTGCGCGCCTGCCCCCGCGCACGCAGCGGTGCCACGGCCAGGACCAGGCCACGACGAACCTGCACGAGGTCACGCATCTCAGACAGATCAAGGGCACCGACGACTTTGGCGGCTACGGCTACCAGTTCCTCCAGGGCCTGACCAAGGAGCAGAATCTCAACCACGCGGACACGTACACGCTCTTTGCCAACGCCATCGACCTCAAGTGCTGAGGGCGAGGCGGGCTCATGCTGCGGTGGGGAATGCGTTCGGGGGGCGAAGAGGGTTCGGAAGCGTAAGCCTCTCTGTGCTGGGCCTTCCGAGATCGGGTTGCATGATGCAACCTCGTTATTTACTGTCAATTGTTTTAGTACATATACAAGTCAAAATGAGTGTGGTTGATATTGCAGTCTAATAATGGCACTTTCGTGTTGGTGACATTCCTTCTATGAGTACATGCGGTCAACAAGCAGCGGCTTAATCATGCCATGAGATGTAGAGCATGATACCGGCACCCAGGGCAATAGCCGCAAACTGGGTGAGCGTCTTGCGCAGCTCCTGCAACTTGTTGGGACCTGTCTCGAGCAGTTCCGGAATGACGGCGACGGTCCCGACGTAGAGAAAGGTACCAGCCGTGAACGGAAGCAGCATATCGCCCCAGGTCTACATTTTTTGTTAGTCAAGTTCTGAAAGAATGGAAAACACCATGTGTGTAACATGATGCAGTGCCGACAGAAGTGGCGGGGAAGAGACTCACCAGACTGGTGCCCCAGAGACCGGCGTTTCGGGGCATGCCCGTCGTCTGCTCCACGCCGGGGCCGCCAAACTCTTGTACGGCGATGCCGATGAGGGTGCCGAGGAAGGCGCCAATAGCGGTGACGAACTGGGAGCCCATGGCGGCGCGCTTGGAGAAGCCCGACTGGACGAGCAGGGCAAAGTCGCCGACCTCGTGGGGGATCTCGTGGAAGAAGACGGCGACGGTGGTGGTGGCGCCAATGGTCGGGGAGGCGTAGAAGCTGGCGGACATGGCCAGGCCGTCGGTGATGTTGTGGGTAAAGTCGGCGCTGGTCCTGCATCAGCACCGGCTGTGTCGTGTGATGTGGGTGCAACTTACATGAGGTGGAGGTAGCCGCCGAGCTTGACGCTCGGATTAATCTCCTTCTTCTCCTCCACAACAGCCACCACCTCACTGGCGGCCTTGGTTCCCTTGCGTGCCTTGACGCCTGCCCGCGCCGCACCCGCGTCCACGCCCGTTGCCGCTCCCGCCACGACGTCTTGCGGCGGCGGCAGCGCGTGCGAGTGGCTGTGGCCATGAGCACCGCCGCCGCTGCTTGCCGTCGCGATGCGCAGGCCCTTGTCCATGGCCACAAAGACCAGGAAGCCGACCATGATGGCCAGGCCGAGGATCAGGTTGCGGTTGGGCTCGACGAGGACAAAGGTGGCGCGCGTGGGGTCGTCCTCGCCAACGAAGATTTCGGGCAGCAGGTGGAAGAGCGTGTCGCCGAGCAGGCCGCCGACGGCAAAGGCCACCATGACGGACAGCGAGGCCGGATCAATGTTGGTCGGGCACAGGGCGAGAAGGAAGTTGGGCGGGCCGGAAATGTAAAGCGTCGCGAGCAGCGCGTTGACGGCGGGCGAGCCGGGGAAGAGCACGGCAAAGAGGCGTGTCGTCAGCGACGAGGGCTGCGCGTCGTGATGTGCCGCCTTGGCGGCGTTGAGCTGCTGTACAATGGAGCAGGCCTGGTAGAGCGAGTCAGTCGGTGTCCTTGGGCGAGTTTCTCGTGTCGTTTCTTCCACTGCTCGGTCTCGTACGTCGGCTCTCTCTCCGCACGCGACCCCTCGTGAGCAGCCGCGCCAACCACCAACCACGTCGATTACACACAAGGAAGCCTCCTCTGCTGATGGCCATCTCGAACTCTGGCTCTCTCGTCCTCTCATCATCGAATTCGTACCTGCAGTTCGTCATCGAGCTGTTCCAAGCTCAAGCTTTCGGCCGCGTCTGCGGCTGTCACACTCTGTGGAGCAGCATACACACAGATGGCGAGCACGGCCAGGCAAAGCGCCCAGGTTCGCAGTCGAGGGCCAAACGCCATTCTTGCGGATTCCAAATACTGTATTCGGATGAGATGGCTGCCAGACTAGTCTTGGATGAAATAGTAAAGGTAAAGTTTAGGTGTTGCCGTCCAAGATGGTAAGTCAGGATTTTGTCGCGCGATCAGGGGTTCGTTGGTGGTTCGAAAAATAGCTACGAACAGGGCGCGCCAGCTGAGTTCCAGATTTGGATCCGTCTCGGATCATGGCTCGGCTCGGCCGCACATCAATATCAGTCCGCCCACCAATTCAACAGTAACACAGTAGTTATTATGCACATCAAATTTATCATCAAAGCAACTGAGTGCAAGCCAGTCATCAAAGTCACAATCTCTCTCACCATGATCTGCATTGGAGCTGTGTCTATCCCAGTCTTCAATCATGTCAAATGAATCTTATATTTCATGTATCCAAACAATGCATTATTATCCAAAGATTCCCTTTTGTGACCCAGATCCGTTTTTAAAGTCTAATTAATTCCAAAACATCGTCAAAACGCGTCAGCGCAGCGAAAAGTATAACACGTATCTCGGCCGCCTTGTGCCGCGAGGCTACAGTGTACACGGAAGCTCCGTCAAGCCGCGTTTAAAAGGCGGCAACGGCCACGAAGATGGCAGCGACGGCGGCGGCAACAGAGTTGAGGCCAGCAGCAGCGTTGCTACCGATGGGAGTGGGAGTGCTGGAGCCAGAAGGCGACGTAGGGGTGCGGCTGGGCACGACGCCGGTGCCAGCGCCGGTGCCAGTGCCAGAGGGCTGGACGTGCGAGGGCACAAGGCCGCCGGTGCCGACGGGGACAGGGACGGAGCCGGAGCCGGAGCCGGAGCTGGAGCTGGAGCCGGAACCAGCAGCGGAGGTGCTCAGGGTAGAGGAAGCATCCGAGACGGTAGAGGCGCCCGAGGACTGCTGAGAAGTGGCGGTGGCCGTGGCCGTGGTGTCGCTCTGGCTGCCGCTGGCCGAGGTGCTGGACTGCTGGCTGGAGCTGGAAGAAGAGCTGGAGGAGCCGGAGCCGGAGCCGCCGTTGGTGTAGCCGTCGCAGGAGAGGTCGAATAGAGGCTTGGTGCTCAGGGTGCTGCCGCCGACGATGCCGAAGCTGGGCTTGTCAGACTGGCTAGGGCCGCCATCCTGCATAATGAACCAGAAGGTGTTGACCTTGCCGAAGCGAGGGCAGCCAGCATCGCGCCAGAAGGTCTTGGCGTTGTCAACGCTGGCCTGGGCCTTGTTCTCCGACTTGCCGCTGACGGGCCAGCCAGTCTCGGTAATCCAGAGGGGCTTGCCACCAGTGCCAGTGTTGGTGTTGTCGATGGCGGCCTGGAAGAGCTTCTCAGCGTTCTCAATGCCGTTGTCCTTCTGGTTCTCGTAGTAGGGGTAGGCGTCCATGCCGACCCAGTCGAGCTTGTCGCTGAGGGCACGGTTGGTCGAGTTGGCATAGGCGGTCCAGGTATCGACGTGGCCAATGGGGGCCTTTTCGAGGCAGGTACCTTTGATAGCATCGCGGGTCTGCTGGACGTAGTTGGCGAGGACCGAGGGGCCGGCACCGGGGTTCTCACCGGCGGCCTGGCCGATGGGGGAGTCGCGGTAGAGGTCCTCGGAGCCAACCGAGATGCCGGCGACGAGGCCGTCGAGCTTGTCGCAGTACTGTTGGGCCGTCTTCTTGAGGGCCGAGATTTCATTGTCGAACTGGGCCTGGCCGGCCGAGGCCCAGAGGCCGAAGAGAAGGCTGGTCTTGGTGCTGATGGCGGCGGGGATGGCGGTGATGGGGTCGCTGACGGTGCCGTCCTGGATCATGGTGTAGAGGCGAGCAGAGTTGAAGATGCCGTTGGTGCCGTCGAGGCCCTGGGCGTTCTTGAACTCGGCCTCGAATCCGGCCTGGTCCTTGCCCTTGCTCTCATAGTTGAAGCCGGTGAAGGCGGCGGTGGCACCGGTGATGGCGGTAGCCAGGGCCAGAATGCTTGAAGAGGAAGGCATCGTGAATTAGGTGGTGTATATGTATATGGCGGCGATAGCGAGCGTCGTGGCGTCTAAGACGATTTGAGGCGGTTAGGGTGTAAGATATGTACTAGGTTGTAAGTGTGTAGTACGGCAACGACTGTACGCAGAAAAAAGCTGCGGTAATTTGAGAAAGTGAAATCACAAGACAAGTATACACAATACAGACAAGAGATGAAAGAAGAAAGATGATTAAAAGAGAGCGGATCAAAGAACTGGGGGCAGGGCAGGTCGGGTAGAAAAAGGAATCTGGCAGAAGCATCCGAATCGAAGAGGCTGAGTGCGTGTTGTTCCCTGTTTCTCGGGGGCGACGGCGGCAAGTGGAACAAGCCAGGAACGGAAGTAGAGGTACATGGCGGGAGGGTACCGCCAGGATCGGACAGCGACCAGTGCGACGCAGCAGCTGCTATAAAGAGTGCCACGGGGGACGCGAGGACGCCAAGGCCCCACTGTGTGGCCGCAGCGAACAAGTCATGCAGTTGAAGTACTGCTACCGCCTCGGTTCCTGTGCTTTCTGCACCGAAAAAGAAACCCACCCACCTACCCACAGTCTCCTAAGGCACCGTATCCATCCGCCCACAGCGCATCAACCACATCCACAAACAATCCATCCACTATAAGCATCCACTAAACAAATCCATCTCGGCCTCTCAGCATTCGAACCGGCCCGTAATAACTAATCCGCCACCGTCAGCCACCTCACGGAGTCGTGGCCGCCCAGTGACTTCTCAGGCAAACGGGGAGAGGAAACACACTCCTCTAGTTAGGTAGGTAGCCAGCCACTGGTCAATAGACATGGGCTTGCATAAATCTCCCGCAACAAAGCAGCAACCCCAGAAATAAAAAACGATGAAATGGCAAAACTCATCTTGCTGCATGTCTCTGCCAACGACGCTACATACCTCCCAGTAAAACCAGGCCCCGTGGCAGAATACGAGCCCCAACACGTCATGGCGCCCATCCACTGTCCACGCCAGCGATGCCATGAGCTGGTCAGGTCAGGCTCGCCTTGGCGGCCCTCTCCAGACTGCTTGTTTTTTTGTAACTCGCAAGGTAACTAACTACCTAGGTACCTAGTTAACTATTGTTGCTTCTTTCCTTCCGTACAAGATACGAGGACTGCTGCTCTCAACTCATCACCTGCCAACCTGCCCAGATCGCTTCGTACCCTACACCACCACTTCACCTTTCTGCCAAGGGGTACTCAAACAAACAGTAGGTACCTTGCGAGACATCGGCATCCGTTAAACGTACGGTGCAAAAAAAATACACGCGCCGTCCTGTACACCGTATACGTGGCCCTGAATACACTGTACGCGCGCGCATTCTTACTCCGTACCTGATTCCACAACGACTCGTGCGATCCTATCAAAAGACAGCAGCCGACTAGTCGTCTTGTCCAGTTGACGCCATGCAACGTCCCACCACCAAAGTTTAATTTTTGACAATTGCCGTTGGCCGGAGAAATTGGATAAGCGAAATTCTGCACAGCCAGTTCTGCATGTCTCTGCATGTCTGGTTGGGACACACACAACAAGTTCGAGACCTTCCTGTCCACACACACTCCCCCACCACACACTGCTGTTTTGGGGGGGCATTTGGCTGAATAAATGCTGGCGAATAATTGACTGACTGTTGACTGTCACCTGCTTGGAAATTGCCTATCAACTGTCAACTATCATCTCTGATCCACAGTTGCGCTGCTCATGAATTGCTGCCACTGACGCGTCACTCCCCCATGAATCGCCGTTTTCGGTCAATGTCTTCTCTTTCTGCTTGATACTTCTCTATTACGCCGCCTCTTGGGCCGAACCCCGACATTTCATCTACAAATTCTGATCAAATGAAAAAAAAAAAAAAACCTCCACCATCCATGTCAAGCCAGGTACCGCCGCCGTACCAATGGCACACCACATCATCCCAAACACCATCCGCTGGAATGCGTCTCGCCACCACATGGCCCAGGCTTAATTTCATTCGCCAGTTATGCCCAATTTCGAAACACAAATCCCATTGTTTTGCTCAAATAGCCCATCTTCGTAAATATACACATTGACTAACTACTACGCTCTCACCCCTTCCTCTTCATCTCGGCCCCGATCCGACAGCCATCGTGCAGACAATGCACCTGCAATCATTCCACAATGTTTATACCGCCATGTATACTTTTATAGCAATTGCCTTGCGGCTAAACGAACCCGCGGATACCTCGCAGCGTAGATCTCTTCTCCTTCTTAGGCTTGCCTGATGAGTTGCCTCCATCGTCTTTGCTCTTGTCTCCACCATCTCGCCGCAGTCGATTGTGTAAGCCTGCTGATAAATGTTATTAGCTGTGCAAACTGCATTTGCATCATCTTTCCTCGACTTACCGAAATGTCTCTGCTCAGGACTTCGCGGCGGCCCAGACACTTCTGTACCTTTGCTCTGAGCCTGAGGGCTGGGTATCGCGGTAAGAGCTGCCCCAATCTTGGGATCCAATGGCGGCGTCACATGGTAAGGACTCGCATCTGCTGATTTCGGCGGTCCATGTGCTGCCGCTCTCATCATGACAGGACTTGCCGACGTTGACAGATAGTCGCTGCCGTCTCCCGCGCAAGTATTGACAGGCGCTGATGTCGACGAATTCATGTCTAGGAGTGACGACTGCAGTTTTGTGTATTTGCGCTGCAACAGATCAAACTGCTTCTGCAGCTCTGCCTGCTTAGCTCGACTGCCAGCTAGCGAGGATTCAATGGCCAAGTCAGAGTTGGCGCCCGGCCGTGATCGCTCCTCTTGCGTTGTAGACAACTGTTCCTGCAAAGCAGCCAGCTGGCTTTGGAAGAGCCTCTTGGTTCGCTGGACCTCAGCTTCTTGAGCCGTCAACTTCATCTGAAGCTCTTCTATTCTGTTTTGTGTCTCTGCCGACTTGTTCATGGCTTCCTGCCTCTCCAGGTCCTTGGCCTGGAAATCCCGCTCTGAGACAGTCAGTCGATTGACCTCACCCCGTAGACGTTCCAACTCGTCGCTATGAATTCCAATGGACTGCACGTGCTGCTTCCAGTTGAGCTCCTTTACTTCCGCATCGCAGAGGAGCACTCGTAGCTTGCTGCATTCTTCTTGTGATGTTCCGAGCTCCTTCTTCAGCTCTTCAGCTTCGGCTGCCGTCTTCTTGAGCTCTTCACGCATATTTTTCAACTTGTTGTAAAAGTCGGTCTCCCACTTCTTTGCCATGGCGCGACTCTTCTCCGACTCCTTTCGGACCTGCATCTCTGCCTTCTTCGCTTCCTCGTAGCGGTTCTTGAAGTTGCGGTTTGTAATCAACAGGTTTTGTGTTTCAGCCTCTGTGGCAGCTTCCACAACTTGACGTCGTCGGAGGTCTCCAATGTGCGTCATATGCTGCTGTTTCACGTAACGCTCAAAGCTCAAGTCATTTTCCAAAAGAAGCAGACGACGCTGAAGCTGGACCACCTGAGTGTGAGCATCAAGGCTTGATGGCGGTATGGCACCGGATGTGGGCGGCAGGGCGTGTGGTGCCATTGAATCTTTCATCGATCGGTCAGCGTTCGAATCAGGATGACTCAGAGCCAGTGAAGCGACACTATCGTTTGCGAGGGACTGATGGAGCCCTGATTTGATTGTCTTGTTCGATTTGATCATGTCCTGCAGCTGCGTGTGGGACGGCGATTGCGTCAATTGAGTAGGGCTTTCGGTGTGCCTGTTTCTAGGGTCGCCCGACTCTCTGTTTGACGGCTGGCTGGACTGAGAGCCTCTACGTAGCATCATAGAGGGGGCTCGGTCGCTCGACACAGAATCTGCGCTGGAGAATTGAGCTTTACGCCAGTTGTCCACTTTATTGCTGCTCAGAAGTGCTGGATCAGAAGTCACGCGCGGAGCTTGTTCATAGACGTGCGGTAACGCAATGATGTCGGCTGACGGGAATGGTGGTAGGCCAGCATCGGTGAAGGGGTCAGCCTCAGTTGTCGTGCGTAGTCCCATACACCCAGCAACGACTTCGGCAGCTTCGCACTTCATCCATCGCGAGAAATCCGTCTTCTCGGATTCAATTGTCAACGCATAAAAGTTGGGGTGTAGCACATGGATGCTGCAGAACTGCTCCGAGTGGTATCTCATCTCCGTAGGCTGCACCTCGATGCTGCTAGAGTCCGAAGTTTCCGCATGACGGAGATGGCGCTGTGGCTTCCGAATGTAGTCCATGAAATTGATAGGATAAAGGCCATATAGTACGGAGAAGTATTGCCCGAGGTGGCCAATCTCCAAGTCCTCCGAATCTGGCTCATAACGGCACGATTCCCAGTTTGTAGTGTAGGCGGCATCTAGAGACGGCATCTCGATGGAGCCCGATCGTTCTTGTTCCCAAAATAACAAACGCGCGTATATATTAAATAGTGTCGGTAGATGGGGGACTAGATCGCTCGGCATATGTGGCAGCAACATGACAAGAGCCGTCAGTGCTGCGGACACGACTGTGGTGGATGTATCGAGCTGCAAGCAGAGCAGCAGACTTGTCCAGAGTTGTGTTTCGAGAATCTGGTACAAGTGTGGTGGTTGTCCCTGAATAAAGGCACAAAAGAATCGTAAGAGTGGCTTTCGATACTCTTTCTTTACAAAGAGCTTGTTGAGCGAAGCAAAGAATTCCTAGACGAGAGTCAGCGAATATGGAGCCGCGAGCAATGCGGCTGGACACACTTTTGGTTTTCGCCGTCCAAATTGACCCAAAGCTTCTCGAAGAAGTTGCTCATTGTGCTCCAGGGACTTATTCCCTTCAATGTGCGCAGGGAAGAAGTTGTCAATCCAGATGGAGAGGAGACGGTCTATGATGGGATTGGACGTCCAGTCTTCCTCGAAACTATCCTGCAGTTTCTCGGCTAAAAGAGCCGTGTTCATCATCGCAGAGATAGTTTCCTTGACAACGGCCTTGTCCAAGGGTGTATTATCGAGTATGTTTTGACAGGCATCAAACCAGAAGAGCACCTTATCGGGGCTCTGCAAGGCCATCTGGATGCGGCGCAGGACGGCCATCCATGGTCCAGTAGCGGATGCATTGCCTCGGACATATTTATCGAAGATGGAGACAAGCTCTTCCTGAAGTCGATCGGCAACGGTGTCGTCGTAGGTCTCGTGCTTGTTGAGGTAGGCGTCGATGGCAGTTTTGACGTCGTCCGACAGCGGCAATACAGGCTCTATGAGGTAGGCTGTGATGATCTTGCAGAGGTCCTTAACGGAGCTATTCCAATGGGCTTAATCAGCGGACTGCAATGCCGGCGCGGCAGACGAGGAGAAAGGAGCGGGGAAGCGGCGGCGGTGATCCCATACCTTGAGGAAGCCATGCCGGTCGGCTGCAGAGATTTTTAAGCAGACTTGTTCGTTGGCTGCGGGCTCAGAGGAGCCCGCGCTTGAAGTGAGCGTGCTGCTTGACAGCCGGAGAAAAAAAATGACAGGGAATAGCCAAGTTCCGTGATGCCACGGCTGGTAACACGAGCTTCGTACAGACAATGCGGTAATGGCAAGCAGGCGTGGTCCGATCTTGGTGACGAGGTCAGGTTAGAGTCCCACTGGAACTATGGAGCCAGCATCCGGCTGGCGTTAGTCGCAGCGGCGCGATCGCTGGCGAGAGCAATGGCAGCGAAGCAGTGGATACCTGTAAAAGGCAGCAAAAGTCGCAAGTACCTATCACACAGGCGTCAGCGTCGGCCATGACGTATGTAGCGAGTACTTTCAGCGGCCCACTTTGTGCAAGAAAATGGAGCCCCTAAAACCCCGCACCAGGGCGCATGACCGACCCCACGGCAGAAGGACATGTTCTGAGTCGACATGGCAGGTGATCTTTCAAATGTTTGAGTGCTTGCGCGCCCAACATCCTAACCAGCAACGTACCTACCTAAGAAAAGAAGCGCAATTCTTGGTAGTGGCTGAAGAATGCTGAGATGGTGTTGATTGTCGAAGAGACCAAGGCGGGATGGACAAGCCAGCCTCTAGCTACCTCATCTGGAGCAAGACTCGGGCCATCCACCCTGGCACCAGGAGCGACCCGCCGGGTCTAGTCCCGCATGGCTGGGTTGGGGTGGCCTTTGTCCTCTAGTTATTAGGCTCTGAGGTAGCTGGTAAAAAGGTCCCCTTGCGTAACCAGATGAATGCAGTGTATTGCTGGCATTGGCCAGCCCACCATCCTAAGTAGGTAGCTTCTATTCTAGCACAAACTTTTGGCCAAACGCGGGGTAATTGACCCAGCATGCGTGGCTGGCCTCTGGCCTTGTAATTGAGCCCTGAGGCACCTTCGGTTCTCCTCTGGCGTGCCTCTTATATCATGCTCTTCCTGACCCCTCATTCTTCGTTTCCTCCTTCTTCCTCTTCCCCTTCATCCGTCCATCAAAGCCATCAATCCTCCCCCCAATTTCCATCTCTACCATCTTCAATTCACAGCCTCTTCGCTGCTCTATCCTCCTTCACCCTTCCACCGTTTAATGTGCTCAATTGACTCGCGTGACCACACCACACCAAAACATACCCCCTCCTAACACAAACACAACATACAATACCGTCAAAATGAGTGTGAACAAGAGCTCTGCAGTGGCTGATGAGCCCATCGACGTGCTCATCGCTCTGCACCCCAAGTTTGACATTCTCGACCTCACTGGTCCGATGAAGGTCTTTACCACGGCCGCCCACGACTTCAACAACGAGTGTAAGTAGCTTGGTCCCAGCCGCGTCTGCTGTGGCGTTTGCAGTACCTCGCTGACCCCGCACCCTTACCACAGCCAGCAAAGCCTTTGAGGTCACTATTGTCGGAGACGAGCCCAAGGTTCTCTCCGAGCAGGGTGCCATTATTGGCTCTCAGATCACCTTCAAAGAGGCACACGAGCGCCTCGAGGACTTTGACATTCTCGTCATCCTCGGCGGCAACTCGGAGGAGATCCTCAAGACCGATGCCCAACCCCTCGGCCTCATTAATGACTTTGCCGAGCTCCAAAAGCGCGACCCGGGCAGAGAGCGAAGTGTCCTGTCCATCTCTGGCGGATCTCTCTTCCTCGCTCGCGAGGGCATCCTCTCTGGCCTCTCCGCCACCTGCCACCCCGACTACATGACCAAATTTGAGAACGAGTGCAGCGATGCTGCTACCCGCAACCTCCAGGAGCGCACTGATGTTCTCGAGGATGCCCGCTACGTCGTCAACAACCTTCGCTTCGACATCGGCGATGAGGACGAGAACCCATACATTCGTCGCAAGTCCGATGCAGGACGCCGACCCTCCCAGACTGCTCGGTAAGCCCCACCCCTCGCAAATACGATGTTTCAAAAAAGATGGCCTCATAGCTAACAATTTACTGCAGCAAGGGTAGCATGTCATTCAAGGAAACGGGTCGTCGGGAATCGATTGCCCGCCGTGCTGCCATGCGCCTCGGCGGTCTCCGTGTCATTACGGCTGGAGGCAACAGCGCTGGCATTGATGCGGCTTTGTATCTTGTCAGCGCTTTGGTTGATGATGGGTGCGCGGCGGAAGTCTCCAGGATCATGCAGTGGAACTGGAGCAAGGGCGTGGTTGTCGACGGTCTCGATGTCTAATTTTGTATAGTTCGTTGTATTATAGCCTGTTGGGACTATGCACCCCTCTTAGGCTTGAGACCTGTTGGCCATACCGCCAGTGGCAGATTGAGTGCTACGCCTGGTGTGAGTCTTATTGCCATTTACTGGATCTTATGGCAATACTATCCTGTGCTTTTCTTCCTAGCTAGTTGAGAGCAATACATGTACCATCAAAGAAACATTCTTCGTGCCCCTCACCAGTTTGATCATTGATGCATGCGTCGACGACCCCACTGATGGGGCTGTGAGGGGCTGCAGTCGTGTGCTTTCCAAATCCGCATCACTCGTCAACCTGCGAGAGAATTCATCCAGGTGTACTACGTCAATCATGCGTATACCTGTGAATAGATGCAGCGACTTACTGCCCGCACTTTGTCCACCGTAGACCTAGTCAGGTTTCTCTCAGCATTCAGAGCCATCTAAGCTGCTGAGGCCGATTGCCCACTTTTAGCGCGGGACAGATAAAGCGGCATGGTCCATCCCATATTAACCCCAAGCTTTGCCCAATCGCGTCGCGATTAGCTAAAAGCTTGACGGCGACCCTCGCCTACTCAAGCCGTCACCTTTGTCCTTGACATTGCTCAACGCGCTTGCTTTTCCCTTTGTCTCAAATAACTGCACGGAGCAGACAAGGCCCTGAGCTGCGGAACTTTCGTTTTCACCTCTGGAATACCACGCTGGGTTTCCCTCGCTTTACGCTCGTCGTGCTGCCACAGAGTCGCCTATTTGCACTCCCTGCAAACGGCGCAACAATCCCTCGAAACCAATCGACCGAGCTCTCCTACGCCGCGACTCTAGGGTTACCTATTCGCGCTGACATATCGCTTGACGCCTTGGAACAGTGGATCCTACGCGTCCAATGCGCGTCTATACAGGATACAGGCCAACTATACATTTAACACAATTCTGCCGATTATGGCTGACTGGGCCAAACTGAAGGTCGTTGACCTCAAGGCGGAGCTGAAACGACGCGATCTTCCGCAGCACGGCCTCAAGGCAGAGCTTGTAGCACGGCTTGATGCATTAGACGCTGCCCCGGTGCCCGTGAAGGACGAAAACCCGACGAATGCGGACAGCGCTGAGCCAGCCCCGGCAGCTGAAGATTCCATCCAGGAATCAGAGGCGGTGCCGGAGACGATTGCGGACACCTTAGAATCCAAGCAAACGGGTGTTCCCACAGGATCATCTATAGAGCCTGTCGAAGTGATTGCGGAGATTGCGGAGCCAGAACTGGCAAACGCAGCGCCGCAGTCACTGGCAGAGAACGACAGAGCGAGCGACGAATCGCAGAAGCGCAAACGCAAATCGGCGACACCGTCGCCCGATGAAGAAATAATCGCCGCCAAACGAGCCCGATCTTTTTCAGAGCAAGAAATAATACAAGAGCAGGCGGACTCTGCACCAGCCACAGAGGACGCGGTGGCAGCAGCTGACAAGCTTGCACCTACGGACGTTGAGCAAACGCCGCCCCTGGCATCAGATAGGGTCACCTCTCCTGTATCACCCCCTTCCCCTCGTCCCACGCATGCACTCGATACAACCGCCCGCGACGATCACAACAACATGGACATGGACGTGGACCGCGACGTGGCGCCGGCGACGCACCCGCCCACGGCGGCGCTGTACATTAGCAATCTCATGCGCCCCCTCCGTCCGGCTGACGTCCAAGCGCGCGTCTGCGAGCTGGCCGCCCCGTTCGGCCAGGTACCCGACGACGGTGCCATTGTCCAGTTCCACCTGGACCAGATTCGCACGCACGCATTTGTCGTGCTCTCCTCTGTCCAGGCCGCCGAGCGCGTGCGTGCGCGGCTGCACGACTGCGTCTGGCCCAACGAGAGCAACCGCAAGGCCCTCTATGTCGACTTTGTGCCCCCGGACCAAGTCGATGACTGGATCGCCACCGAGCAAGACCACAGCAGCGGAGGAGGGCGACCGGGACGCTCGACGGTGCGCTGGGAAGTGGTCTATGGCACGGGACCCGACGGCGTCGTCGAGGCTCGTCTGCAGCAGGTTGGCGTTCCGGCCTCGCGTCCCGGCCCGCCGCCGCCATCGGGCCCAATGAGCCACCACCAGACAGCTGCCTTCGCCACCGACGTAGCCGCACCTCCTACTGGTCCGCGCGGCGACCGCCGTCGGCAAGACGACCAAGCTCGCGAGCCGCAGTTGCCACCACAGCAGCCGAGAAGCTTTGGACAGCCCCCCAGCGTGCTCAACTACGACCTGCAGCGGACGCGCGCCCGGCCGTCTGTTACCTTCCAGCTCGTGGCCTCGACGGTCGCTCAGCGACGCGTCGACAATATGCGCGCCTTTTATACCCAGGACGTGCGGCGCGTGCTCGGTCGCGACATCAACCGATACTCGTTTGAGGACGGCGACGGCTTCGTCGACCGCGGCAAAGAGGTGTTTGAGGGGATCCGCCCACCGCACCGGGAGCGTGGCGGGCGCGGCGGGCGTGGCGGAGGCAAGTTTGGTGGCGCTGGCGGAGGAGGCCGTGGACGTCGTGGTGGTGGTGACTGGCAACGTGGTGATCGTTACCTTCCTGGGGCTTCTGGGGGCGGCGGCGGCGGTGGTCGGCGAAGATATGAGGATGACCGGGACCGCGATCGCCGCTACTGAGGGACGCGATACGATTTTCCCCTTTATCTTCTCGTCTGTAATATTTCGCGTCTTCATTTCTTGGTCGCAAGTGTGTTTCTCGTTTCCACAAAAATTAAAAGGCGGCGTTTAAGGGGGGGGGAGGGCCAAAAGGCAAGCCGGGGAGGGACATGGTGAAATTTGATACAACTTTTGCTCTGATTGACGAGAGACGGTCACTTTTATAAAAAGCCGGACTTGGAGAGGCAACAATCTCGACGATTTGTGAGAGACGCCTAAGACAATAAATAGAATTCTAATATTTCGGGCCAGTGACCCAAGACATACTTGATCTCATCTTTGCACCTTCATTTAGCGGTATCGAGAGTAAGTTTTGCTCGAGCGTACATCAAGAATTTCCAAAATGAGCCGGCTTCAAATGTCTTGTCCAATTAGATAGGTTCCTTTGTTTCCACATGGCCCTCCGTTTTCCGTCTCTGTTCCGTATCTTAAACCACACATCGTCAGATGAGTATTTCTAGCGTTCAGGCAGCGGTGGCAAGAGACTCGGGCTCAACACCAACACGCTCGCGGCTCATGACGTCGAGGAGGAACTGGCTGGGGCGGTTGTCCTTGTATTCGGTCTGGGCGTTCTTGGCCTGGCGAACGCTATCGATGTATTTCTCAAAGAGGTACGAGCTGTCCATGGGGCCACCCTTGGCCTCGGGATGGAACTGGGTCGAGAAGATGGGACGGGACTTGTGGATCATGCCTAGAATTCTTAGTTAGCTTGATATATCCCTCGTCATAAAATCTTGCAATGCTTACCTTCGTTGCTGCCATCATTCAGGTTGACAAAGTACTCCTTAAACTCGCTGGGCAGAGTACTGGCGTCGATGGCGTAGCCGTGGTTCTGGCTGGTAATGTGGCATTGACCAGTAGTCAAGTCGAGAGCGGGAATGTTGTGGGCGCGGTTGCCGTACTTGAGCTTGATCGTTCGGGCGCCGACAGCGAGAGCCAGAAGCTGGTGGCCGAGGCAAATACCCATGATAGGGATGGAGGAGGTCTCCATCAAACGGGCGAGACTGTAGACAGTTTCCTGGCAGTGAGTCGGGTCACCAGGGCCATTGGAGATGAAGACACCATCAAAGTGCTGAGAGACCTTGTGGATTGGGTAGTTGTAAGGGAGAACAGTAACGGAAGCGCCGCGGCTGACAAGGCTTCGCATAATGTTCTCCTTGACACCACAGTCGATGAGTGCAACGTGCAGGTCAGCGCCGGGAGACTCGACAACAAAAGGGGCTTTTGTGCTGACGCGCTTGACCAGGTTAATCTGGCCGGGGTCGACAAAGCCTTCGTCTTCGTCAGCATCGTACTCGTCGCCAATGGAGATTCTAGCGAGGGAAGAGCCCTGCTCTCGGAGGAACGTGACGATTTCTCGGGTGTCGACTCCAGAGATGGCAGGAATACCCTCGCGGGCGCACCACTGGCCCAGACTCTCCACGGCAGTCCAGTGGCTGTAGTCCAGGGCAACGTCGGAGACGACAACACCTGCGCACTGGATGTGGGGGGACTCAAAGTACTTGAGAAGGTTGTACTGGTCACGCTCGTTCGAGGGAACTCCGTAGTTGCCAATCAGCGGCTGAGTGAAGACGAGAATCTGACCGCGGTAGGAAGGGTCGGTCATAGACTCGGGGTATCCAACGAGGGACGTGGTAAAGACAGCCTCGCCAGAGATGTTAGCATTGGCGCCGAAGGCTTTTCCACGGAAAATGGGACCGTCCTGCAGATGATCAGCTTAGCAGGCGGCACAGCCAGGCGGACTGGGTGGATGTGAACGACATACGCGGATGGTAAAGGTGGCGGGCACAGAGTCAACTGGTGTGGTTCCGGTGACGGCACGTTTGGGCATACTCCTGCCTTTGCTTCCAGTAGAGAGAAATCGATATTGAACCGGCATGAACTTGCTGCGGGCCGGCATCGCCACTCGGGCGGCCGGCTTGGCAACATGGCTTGTCAGGCGGGCAAACATTTTGGGCGAAGGCGTTTAGATTTGCTTGAAAGCCGGGTTCCAGATCTGTTTCGAGGGAGGGGTCTTGTTCATAATCTGAGGGTGACGCTTGGGGGGCGGAGGAATCTTGCTTAGGGCCGCGCAGTCTATATGAAAGGGATCAGTGGTCAATTTGGTTTGCGTGCTGACGGCGTGATACGTGATACGTGGTGCGGCGTGGAGAGCGGTGTATGCAGGTAATTTTCGGGGGAGGGACGTACCGAGGGCAGCGGCCACTGTCAATGGGATGTGAGTTGGTAGAACAGCAGGAAAGAGTGCGCGTGTCACAATCAATAGAAACAGAGAATAGAGGGATTGGCGATATCGCCTGGGAGAATATCGCGGAGGCGGGTGACGAAGTTGTTATAGAGGATGAAAGGAAAAGAGAGTGCAGAGAAAATGTACCAGCGCGGGAAGGTTTGGTGGTGCGTGACAATGACTGGAAGGAGCCCGAGACCGGCGGGCGGATGCTAGGCAGGTACCTTATCAACCTAGGTAGGTACCTATCTAGGAACGACCTATTAACAGGCTAAGTTTTTCCGGTGGATTTCGAACTTGGTACCTGAAGATAGGGTAAATTTACCTACCACCATAACTAATACCGTCGTTTCCCGACTGGTGCAAAGGGTACCTACCCGCCCACTTAGATAGGTACAGATCTGAGGTAAAAATGATAATAAAAATGACACGGAGAGGACACTTGGCAAAAGCTCTACCAGTTGCGCGGACTGAAGAATTAATGTAAGGTAGGTACCTAGGTAGGTACCTATTTACCTTAGGTAATTACAAGAAGCCAGAGTCACAGAGCCTGGCGCGGGGCATTTGTAGCATCATTTGGAGGGCAACCCCACTATTAACTATCTAGAACGACGAGTCTGTGTCTGTAAGCCCAGCTGCCCAGTGCTCAGTGCTCACTGCACTTGCAGCCTGTTGCAGGGCGCTCAAGGGAAATCTTGAATGAAGAATGACTCTGGTTCAAAGCGAGCTACAATGTACTACCTAGGTAGGGGCGGACGGTATCGGCGGCTTTTTTGTAGTATGAAGAAAAAGAATTCGCCCGTCTTCCATTGGCTAGGCTAGTCAATAATCCCTCTTTTCTACGCCTTATCTCTGTCGCTCCACTGTTCTTTTTTTTTCCTTCGGCACAGGGAAAGCCGTGTCTGTTTGGACTGAAGCTGCAATTGAGGCCAATTGCTGCCAGTTGATTTCATATAATAAACCTCTTAACCATCTGAGGTCGAAGGCGCTCAGAGCCATGCAGGGTATGAGAGTGGGCGGTGCGAGGCTCTTGTGTCGAGCCGTCGGAGTGTCTGGCAGAAGTATGCCGATACGATACGCCACATGTGATCAAGGCCCGCTGCCGGACTTGTCAAGTTATCAGGGCAGACAATACTGCTACATACGATTGGACAAGGAAAAGCTGAATGTTGATAACTAGTCGCAGATGTCCTGAGCGGCTGGTATCTAGGTACGTTTCGCTGTCATTGATACGCACACGCAGAATACTCAGCCTATTACTTAGTCTTAAATACTCTCTAATAATAGATTACTCCGTACTCTGGGGTAACTCCCAAAGGCGGCCTTCACTCAGCAACTGTCACGCGCAAGGGCGAGTATTATGTAGTTACTAATATTCCAGCGAACACGATCTGGGCCTAGCTAGTATGCAGGGATTCTCTTGAGGTATATGCATCCGAAGATGTTCAACAGACTTGTACCCAGGCGGCGTCGCAGGTAGGCAACCATGGCGTGCCTCCAGCGGGCACTACAAGGACGGAAGTAGCCATTGGTTGTCAGGTAAATAATTTGGAAAGAGACGATAATTGATATGGGAAATCAATATTTATGGCTGATAACTAGAACGAAGACGGTTATTGTAGTTATGCCAGTGTCATGTGGCTGCCTGGCTTTTAACTGCTGCACCAGTCAAGCAACAAGGAACTGCAGATCCGCCCTATTGTAGGTAGGCTGTTGTGGTCCTCGCGAGTCAATTACCTCTACAATTAACACGAGCCACGAGTAAACTCGAGCTCCAAGCACCAGCTCTGCGTGTCCACGGACACTTGTTCTGGCTTCTACCAAACCACCATAACTATGCTTGGCATAGCAATTATTAGCCATGATTGACCGCTCGTAATAAATGCCCCAAACCCTTGCGGCAGAAACCACGAACTCAGGACCTAGGACCTGGTAGAACCCCCAGAGGCAGTGGGGAGGCTCAAGTGGACCACGCTGTCTCGCCCTTGCCAGTGACCAATCATGGTTCATAAAACCAACGCCTACGCCAAACCGAAGGAGGGGCTTTCCAGCCAGTTGCCAGTTGCAGTCCACCAAGACCACAGACCGCGACTGGCTGGTGGTGGGGGACCAGGAAAAAAAAAAATTACTTCACCGGCCATCAATCTTTTTCCCTCCTCTCTCTCCCTTCCCTCTCTTTTATTTTCTCCAAAAATCGTCTGCCCATATACGACTCCCATTCTACTGTCGTGGCAGATGACAGCAAGGTAGCTAACTGACTTGCTCGAAGGACCTCTGGAAACGAGTCGTCTTGCCTGCTGTCGCTAGCTCCCACCTCGTCAAGCTCTACACACTTCTGCCGGAACCCCTCCAACGCGTCATTGTCTGTTGAGCAGGGCCTCAGCTTCTCAATTGCTGCTGTCTTAGGCGCAGTTGTACTTTGATCACCCTCAATCGACAATTACCCCTTCGCACCACCAGCCAGTTCCATAAAAATGGCCGTCAACATCATCGCGCCCGCCACCGCCCGCCTCCGCGGTTGCGAGGACGATGGCCTTGTCTGCCTCGAGACTGAGGATGGCGCCGCCTATCAAGGCTACAGCTTCGGTGCCAAGAAGTCCATTGCTGGAGAGCTCGTCTTTCAAACCGGCATGGTTGGCTACCCAGAGTCGGTCACCGACCCTTCCTACCGTGGACAGATCCTCGTTATTACCTTCCCCTTGGTTGGTAACTACGGTGTGCCCTCGCGCGAGACCGTCGACGAGCTCCTTGGCGATCTGCCCGCCCACTTCGAGTCTGCCCAGATCCATGTTGCTGCTCTGGTTGTCGCCTCGTACTGCGGCGAGGACTACTCCCACTTCCTCGCCCAGTCCTCCCTCGGCTCCTGGCTCAAGGAGCAGGGTGTTCCCGCCATGTACGGCGTCGACACTCGCGCTTTGACTAAGAAGATCCGCGAAAAGGGTAGCATGCTCGGAAAGTTTCGCCTCGAGATTTCTGGCACTGCCAATGGCACTGCCAGCGACGAGCGCACTCACACCACCCTCGACGCTTTTGAGAAGATCGAATGGTCCAACCCCAACGTCGACAATCTTGTTGCTCAGGGTAAGCTTCCTCACATGCCCCGCCGCGTCTGTCTCTTGCAGTCTACTAATCACAATCGCAGTATCCGTCAAGACCCCCAAGCTCTACAAGCCCCACGCTTCTTCTGTGCGCAAGCACCCCTCCGGCCGCGCCATTCGTGTCCTGTGCGTCGACGTCGGTATGAAGTACAACCAGTTGCGCTGCTTCCTCAAGCGCGGAGTTGAGGTCATGGTCTGTCCTTGGGACTACGATCTGACCAAGGCCGCCGGCGAAGAGTACGACGGTCTCTTCATCTCCAACGGTCCCGGTGACCCCGCGGTCCTCGAAACCACCGTCAAGAACATTTCTGCTGTCATGCAAAAGAACAAGACTCCCGTTTTTGGTATCTGCTTGGGTCATCAGCTCCTGGCTCGTGCCTCCGGTGCTGCCACCAAGAAGATGAAGTTTGGCAACAGAGGCCACAATATTCCCTGCACGAGTCTCGTCTCGGGCAAGTGCCACATTACTTCTCAGAACCACGGGTTTGCCGTCGACGCCGAGACTCTACCTACTGACTGGAAAGAGCTCTTTGTCAACGCCAACGACGGTAGCAACGAGGGTATTATGCACGTGGGCAAACCCTACTTCAGTGTCCAGTTTCACCCTGAGAGCACTCCTGGCCCTCGCGACACCGAATTCCTCTTTGACGTCTTTATCAACACAATGGCCAGCTGTGCCGAGAACCCATCCCTCCTGCAGTCTCCTGTCAGCTTCCCTGGCGGCGCTATCGAGGAGAACGAGAGACTCCACCCCCGCGTCTCGGTCAAGAAAGTTCTTGTTCTTGGTTCTGGTGGTCTTAGCATCGGCCAGGCCGGTGAGTTCGACTACTCTGGTAGTCAGGCTATCAAGGCTCTCAAGGAAGAGGGCATTTACACCGTCCTCATCAATCCTAATATCGCCACCATCCAGACCTCCCGGGGCTTGGCTGATAAGGTCTATTTCCTGCCCGTCAACGCCGAGTTTGTCCGCAAGGTCATCAAGTACGAGCACCCTGACGCCATTTACTGCACATTCGGTGGCCAAACTGCTCTGCAGGTCGGTATCCAGCTCAAGGACGAGTTCGAAGCGCTTGGCGTCAAGGTTTTGGGTACACCAATTGATACAATCATCACTACCGAGGACCGTGAGCTTTTTGCTCGCAGCATGGAGTCCATTGGCGAAAAGTGTGCCAAGTCTGCCTCCGCCAATAATATTGACGAGGCGCTCGCTGCTGTCAGGGATATTGGGTTTCCTGTCATTGTCCGCGCCGCCTATGCACTTGGTGGTCTAGGCAGTGGTTTTGCCAACAATGAACAAGAACTTCTTGATCTCTGCCACAAGGCCTTCGCCGCCAGTCCCCAGGTTCTGGTAGAGCGCAGTATGAAGGGTTGGAAGGAAATCGAGTACGAGGTTGTCCGCGACGCCCAGGACAATTGTATTACTGTTTGCAACATGGAAAACTTTGACCCTCTTGGTATTCACACCGGTGATTCCATTGTCGTTGCACCTTCACAAACTCTCTCCGATGAGGACTACAACATGCTTCGCACCACTGCCGTCAATGTCATTCGCCACCTAGGCGTTGTCGGTGAATGTAACATTCAATATGCTCTTAACCCCTTCTCCAGGGAGTACTGTATCATTGAAGTCAACGCCCGTCTGTCGCGTTCTTCTGCACTGGCCTCGAAGGCCACCGGCTACCCTCTGGCGTTTATTGCCGCCAAGCTTGGTCTCGGCATCCCTCTCAAGGAGATCAAGAACTCCGTCACCAAGGTCACCTGCGCCTGTTTTGAGCCTTCTCTCGACTATGTCGTTGTCAAAATGCCTCGCTGGGACTTGAAGAAGTTCACCCGTGTCTCTACTCAGCTTGGATCTTCTATGAAGAGTGTTGGTGAGGTCATGAGTATTGGCCGCACCTTCGAGGAAGCCATTCAGAAGGCTATTCGCTCTATTGACTTCCATAATCTTGGATTCAACGAGACCAAGGCTCTCATGGCCATTGATGATGAGCTACAGACCCCCTCTGACCAGCGTCTCTTTGCCATCGCCAATGCTATGCACCAGGGGTACACTGTCGATAAGATTTGGGAGCTGACCAACATCGACAAGTGGTTCCTCCGCAAGCTCAAGGGTCTGAGCGACTTTGGCAAGAACTTGTCTCAATATACTGCAGCGGACTTCGCCAAGGCCCCCTCTCTGCTTCTCCAGGCCAAGAGACTTGGTTTCTCCGACTCTCAGGTCGCCAAGTTTGTTAGCTCCAACGAGATGGCCATTCGCAGACTCCGACTCGATGCTGGTATCCACCCATTCGTCAAGCAGATTGACACTGTTGCTGCCGAGTTCCCTGCTTTCACAAACTACCTGTACCTGACGTACAACGCCTCTGAGCACGACGTTAGCTTTGATGATCATGGTATTATGGTTCTTGGCTCTGGTGTCTACAGAATCGGTTCGTCAGTTGAGTTTGATTGGTGCTCTGTCCGCGCCATTCGCACCCTGCGCGCCACTGGCTTCAAGACTGTCATGGTGAATTACAACCCTGAGACCGTATCAACAGATTACGATGAGGCCGATAGGCTTTACTTTGAAAACATTAATCTGGAGACTGTTCTCGATATTTACGGCCTTGAGAGTGCCTCTGGTGTTTTGGGTGCCATGGGTGGCCAGACCCCCAACAACATCGCCCTTCCCCTCTACCGCGCCGGCGTCAAGATCCTGGGCACATCCCCCGAAATGATTGACAATGCTGAGAACCGATACAAGTTCTCTCGTATGCTGGACCGCATTGGTGTCGATCAGCCTACCTGGAAGGAGCTTACCAGCTTCTCAGAGGCGAAGGCTTTCTGTGACAAAGTCTCGTACCCGGTTCTTGTCCGTCCTTCATACGTGCTTTCTGGCGCTGCCATGAACACTGTCTACTCCGAGAAGGATCTGGAGTCGTATCTCGCTCAGGCTGTCGAAGTTTCTCGTGACCACCCTGTTGTCATTACCAAGTACATTGAGAATGCCAAGGAAATTGAAATGGATGCTGTTGCCAAGGACGGCATTGTTGTTGGTCATTTCATCTCCGAGCACGTTGAGAACGCTGGCGTCCACTCTGGTGACGCGACCCTGATTCTGCCCCCTCAAGATCTTGAGCCTACCACTATTGCCCGCATTGAGGATGCTACCCGCAAGATTGGTGCCGCTTTGAACGTAACTGGTCCTTTCAACATCCAGTTTATTGCAAAGGACAACGATATCAAGGTCATTGAGTGCAATGTTCGGGCATCTCGATCGTTTCCCTTCGTCTCCAAGGTCATGGGCGTCGATCTGATTGAAATGGCCACCAAGGCTATCACTGGCCAGCCCTTCCAGGAGTACCCCCCCACTGACCTCGCCCCCAACACCGTCGGTGTCAAGGTTCCTCAGTTCAGTTTCTCGCGTCTTTCTGGTGCCGACCCCGTGTTGGGTGTGGAAATGGCTTCCACAGGCGAAGTTGCTTGCTTCGGCGTTGACAAGAATGAGGCCTACCTCAAGGCTTTGCTTTCCACTGGCTTCAAAATTCCCAAGAGGAACATTCTCCTGTCCATTGGTTCCTTCAAGGACAAGAAGGAAATGCTGCCGTCTGTGCAGAAGCTCCAGCGTCTCGGATACAAGCTCTTTGCCACGGCTGGTACCGCTGATTTCCTCCAGGAACACGGCGTTCCCGTCCAATACCTCGAGGTTCTGGGCAACGACGAGGACAGAAACTCCGAGTTCTCTCTGTCTCAGCATCTTGCAAACAACATGATCGATCTGTACATCAACCTGCCATCAAGCAACAAGTATCGCCGTCCTGCCAACTATGTCAGCAAGGGCTACCAGACTCGTCGCATGGCTGTCGACTACCAAGTTCCTCTGGTTACCAATGTCAAGAACGCCAAGATTCTCATTGAGGCCATTGCCCGCTCTTTCGAGCTCAATATTTCGGGACGCGATTTTCAGACTAGCCATCACACTGTTGTTTTCCCTGGCTTGATCAACATCGCTGCGTTTGTTCCTGGCATCGTTTCTCCTCACAGTGCTGATATCCAGACCGTCAGCAAGGCCTCCATTGTCGCTGGTTTCAGCATGATTCGCCTTATGCCTCTTGGGGTTGACGGCTCCATCACTGACGCCATTACGCTGAAGGTTGCTCAGCAGAACAGCGCTGCTGGCGGACACTGCGACTACAACTTCTCCATCTCTGCCACCAGCAACAATGCTGAGCAGATTAGCACTGTCATAGGAGAGGTAGGCTCACTGTTCATCCCTTTTAACCATCTGTCTGGTTCGGGTAACATCAGCAAGGTCGCTGCTATGACCGCCCACTTTGACGCCTGGCCCACCAACAAGCCCATGGTCACTGACGCCAAGTTCACTGACCTCGCCTCAATTCTGCTGCTTGCCAGTCTTCACAGTAGACGCATTCATGTCACATCTGTTTCCACCAAGGATGACATCCGCCTGATCTCTCTCAGCAAGGCCAAGGGTCTCCAGGTTACCTGTGATGTCTCTATCTACTCGATGTTCCTCTCCCAGAAGGACTTTCCCACTGCCGACTTCCTCCCTACCACCGAGGATCAAGCCGCTCTCTGGGAGAATCTGGAGACCATTGATGTCTTTTCTGTTGGCAGCCTGCCTTACCAGCTGGCTACCTCGCTGGGCCATAAGGGTGATCCTTCCATGGGGATTTCTGAGGCTCTTCCGCTGCTGCTTACGGCTGTCACCGAGGGTAAGCTCACTATTGATGACATCAAGGCTCGTCTATACACCAACCCCAAGGAGATTTTCGAGCTTCACGAGCAGACTGGTACCGCCGTCGAGGTTGAGGTTGACCGTGCTTTTGAGGTTGCCAAAGGCTCTTTCTGGTCTCCTCTGGAGGGCCGCCGTCTGCATGGCTCTGTTCGCCGTGTCACCTTCCAGAACGCCACTCCCTGCTTGGATGGCGAGGGCCTGAATGTTCCTCCCACTGGCAAGGACATGTCCTCGCACATGATGGTCCCCCAGACCCCTGCCATGAAACCCGCTACTGCTGCGGTCTCGGTGGAGAGCCCCAAGGCTCGCCAGCAGGCTGCCTTCGGTACTCTCCGGCCTATAGGCCGCCTTCGCGGCATCACGTCCCCTCAGGCTCTGCCTGCTCTGGGCCCTCGTGGAGCAATCGAGGATCTTGGTCTGCCCCTGCAGGTCCAGCCTGCCACTAGCACCTCGTTGCAGAAGCTCTTGGCGCAGCCTTCCACTTTTAGAAACGCGCACGTGCTCTCTGTCAAGCAGTACTCGCGAGCTGATCTTCACCTTCTGTTCACCGTGGCCCAGGAAATGAGACTTGGCGTGCAGCGCGACGGTGTTCTGAACCTTCTTGGTGGTCGTGTTCTGTGCAACCTGTTCTATGAGCCCTCCACCCGAACGTCGGCTTCCTTTGACGCTGCTATGCAGCGTCTTGGCGGGCGAACCATCAACATTGATACTTCCCAGTCTTCCGTCAAGAAGGGTGAGTCTCTGCAGGATACACTCCGCACGCTGGCTTGCTACGGCGACGCAATTGTTTTGCGCCACCCTGAGGAGAACTCTGTCAACATTGCTGCGAAGTACTGCCCAGTCCCCGTTGTCAACGGTGGCAACGGCAGCAAGGAGCACCCCACCCAAGCTTTCCTGGATCTGTTCGCCATCCGTGAGGAGCTCGGTACTGTCCAGGGCCTGACCATTACCTTCCTGGGTGATCTCCTTTACGGCAGACCCGTGCACTCCCTGGTCTACCTCCTCCAGCACTACCAGGTCCAGGTGCAGCTCGTTGCCCCCAAAGGTCTGGAGCTGCCCGCCAAGATCCGCGACCAGCTCGTTGCCTCCGGTCAGCTTCTGTGTGAGTCCGAGACTCTTACCCCCGAGATTTTGGCCCGCAGTGACGTCCTTTACTGTACACGTGTGCAGCGTGAGCGCTTTGATAGCGACGAAAAGTACCAGCAGGTCAAGAATTCGTACTGCGTGGACAATGCAACTCTGAAGAGCGCCAAGAGCACCACGGTTGTCCTGCACCCGCTGCCACGCAATGAGGAGGTTGCCGAGGAGGTTGACTTTGATCAGCGCGCGGCGTACTTTAGACAGGTAAGTCTGGATAACGACTCTCCGTTAAACTCATATGCTAACCTTATCCTCACAGATGAGATATGGCCTTTACTGTCGGATGGCACTGCTGGCTTTGGTCATGGCCGGCTCTTGAGACAAGCTGTATATTAGCTTATAGATGTCGTCCGTTTTGAAGCGTCTTCCATGCACTGGAATGTCATTCAAAGCATGTTTCCTTTGCACTTTCTTCATGGGCTACGATTGCTTCTTCCATTTTCTTTCTTCAAAAGCGTCCCGAACGGGAAATCTTTTTAGATGGCTTGCTTTCATTTGGGTTTTACATTATCTCATATTTACAAGGCGGATTCATTTCATTCATGATACCCGACACGGGCCTATAGGCCGTGTCCCATGGCGTTTGGGATATTGATTTTGGGAATGTAGTGGCCAATTTTAAACCAAGGCCTGCGCAAGTACGTGTGCGTATGTTTTCCACTTGGGCGCTCGTTGCGTTTGTTTGGAAGCTGCGTTTACGTTTATTGTGTATACTTGTGTGGTATAAATTTACTACGTTTCGTTTATCTATTTTTGCGTGTTGTGTGTGTCGTCTGCATGTGTTGCATTACAGTGGATAGACTGGTGTTGGTCTATATAATTGGTAGAATGGAGATACTCAAAGGCTGAGCAGTACGGCATTGCCTTGCTCCTTACACAATATTTCTTGTTCAAATACTTTGCATCATTTGCATCAGGTCTAGTCATGGTACTGCAGGAATTTATCGCTTGCATCGTTTAACTCCATCTCCTCCATTTACAGCGCGCCGAGCTCCTTGAGCTTGGAAACCAGTCCATCCACGTCTTCGACCTTGCCACCGCCTTGTCTCGTCGGGGGTTCTAAATTCAAAACTTGTCAGTACGTGACCGTTTTACCACGACCGACCGCCCCCCCCCCCCCCCCTTTCCCTTTCCCAGACTCACCAGTGACTTTTAGGATCTTGAGGCGGACCTCGTTGCCGATACCGAGGTCGCCAAGCTTGAGCTTTTCCAGCTTCTTCTTCTTGGCCTTCATAATGTTAGGCAGGCTCGCGTAGCGGGGCTCGTTCAGGCGCAGATCCGTGGTGATTACCATTGGCAGCTTCGCCCTGACCGTCTCGACGCCCCCGTCGACCTCCTTGGTGACTGTGACGGCGTCGTCGGCGCCAAACTCGATCTTGCTGGCCTGCGTCGCCTGGGGCCAGCCGAGGAGGCCGGCGAGCATCTGGCCCGTCTGCCCGGCGTCGTCGTCGATGCTCTGCTTGCCGAGCACCACGAGGTTGCTCCGCTCGCGCGCGACCGTGGCCGCCAGCAGCTTGGCCACGGCGAGCGGCTCGAGCTCCTCGCCCTCGGCCAGCTCCACGTGCAGGCCGCGGTCGGCGCCCATGGCCATGGCCGTGCGCAGCACGTCTTGCGCCTTGGCCGGGCCGGCGGACACGACGCAAATGTCCTCGACGCCGCCGGGGCTGCGCTTCTTCTCGCGGATGCGCACGGATTCCTCGACCGACAGCTCGTCAAAGGGGTTCATCGAGTGCTTGACGCCGGCCGTCTCGACGCCCGTCTGGGCCTTGTTGACGCGGGGCTTGACCTGTGTGTTGGGAGAGAGATGTTCGTTAGCTTGCCCCATTGCTCCGAAGACCCGAGCCGCACGAGGAAATGGTTCAGAGAAAGGCGCGGGGAGGAGAAACCGACTGCATAGTCAATGACCCGCTTGATGGGGACTAAAATTCGTAGCGAAGACATGTTTTTCTCGTCGATTGGCGTCTCAATGCCCGGGACGAAGTGTCGAGAGTTGTATATACAGAGGTGGGTTTGTGCAGGGAAGAAGTCCGACCGGCTTTGGCAGGTTGACTAGCTTGGCTGCACCGGCTCTGCGTTCGCTGAATGTGGCTGAATCCGACGCATGCCGGCTTGCACCGGCTGCACCACCCTGGGCGCATTGTGTCACGTGAGTCCGGACAGGTCACCGATCCATCGGCGGTCGACCGGAAATTCGCATCTTTTGACCAAGGTCAATCAACTGGTGCCAGATGTATCTTTTGAGAGATGGCATGAATTACTTCCTTTCTATATTAGAAGACTCTATAGCTATTTGCTTCATGCAACGACCTTCCAACCAAGAACACGCCATACACTCCCATGCAAAACGTTTGCAAAAAAAGGGGCATCATCCGAGCAACATGATGCAAAAACGCAGCATGACAAAAAAGAAATCAAAAGACCAAAAAGTCTCCAGACAACCCCGATGCATTAATTGAATCACCAGTCTTCCCATTCGTCATTCTTTTTCTGCGCCGCAGGCGCCGTATTTCCCTTCTTGCCCATGCCCATGGCGCTCGTGCCAATGGAGCTGTTGCTCTGCGCCGGCTTCTGGTCCGCGAGGCTCGAGAACGAGTCCCAAAAATCCGTTTTGCTCTCGTCCAGAGGGACCTGGCGTCGACCGGCGTTCCCTTGCTCGTTTGTGCCCTCGACGAAGCGGTTGAACCCGTCCTGTGCGCTCTTACCGGCTAGCTGCGCCTGTCTGGCAAGCTGCGCCGCCGTAAGCTGCGCTTGCTTGGCAAAGTCTCCTTCAGCAAACTGTAAGATTTCATTTTCCTATTAGTAAACATAGTCCTCGACACCTTCTTGTAGATAAGGTACTGCGTAGACGTACTTTTGTGGCGGTGGGCTGAATGTATCCGTCATTGACCGTCTTGGCCGTCTTGGACACGGTGGAGGTGAACCAGCCAAAGCCCTTGGAAATCGCAGCAAAAGGGTCCTGCTGCACCTCGTCAAAGTTGGGCAGCGCGCTGTTGCCGTTGCTCTTGCTTGCCGCCGGCATGTTGCCGAAGCCGGCGTACTTGCCGCCCTGGCTCGGGTGCAGGTCCTCCGGCCGCGAGGCATTATCCGCACCGAGCCTGGCAAAGTACTTGTCGTCCACTTTGACCTTGCCGCCGAGCTGCGCCGGGCTCTGGCTGCCGCTGTTTCTGTTGACGTTGCCGCTCAGCGGCGTGCCCGTGCGCGACGCTGACGACGCGGGCACGGGTGCGGACGGCTTCTTCTCCCCGGGCACGTAGTCCCGGTCCTCAACCTTGCACGTAAGCCGCTCCTTGTACTCCTCGCCGACCTCGCCGCTATAGCGCTCCGCAATCGTAGCGTCGTCCCACGAGAGGCCGCGCATCTCTGTGTCGTCGTGCGCGTCGAAAAAGTCCCGCCAGCGGTCATTGCCGCCCAGCCGCATTCGTTCAATCTCGCTCGCTTTGAAGGCGTCCATAGAGATGCTGCGCACAAATGAAATATGCACGCCTAGGCCCCGGTGCACGCCCGCGCACGACAGGCAGATGAAGACGCCAAACTTGGGCGACGCCCACTGTGGGGACGGCGCGTTGCAGTCGCAGCAGACATTGTTTTTGGATTCTTTTTGGATCGCGGCCAGCTAATGCGCCAAGGAGAAGAAGGTGTCAGTCGGGTCGGCGCATGCGATGGTTCGGGGAAAGGGGGGGTGGGCATCAGGTGGCATGCGACGAAGTGTCCTTACCTTGGATCGCGTCTCCGGATCGACCTCCCACATTGCCTTGGCCGCCATTGTGTCTGGCTATACCGCGTGAGAGGTGTCGAGATTTATTTTGCCTTTGCCAGGCCGGCTGTTCAACGTCACTCCCAAGGTGAAGTCGGGGATGCTGGCAATATCGAGGGAGGAAGTCGACGTTTGTACCTGCACTGCAGCCCCCGGATTATTATGGGACGCCAAAGGATCATAGGCGGGGCAACCGCCACGAGCCGCCCATCAGAAAAGAGTAACTCTAGAACGACCGTGACAACATTCCTCCCAGGTAATAGTCAAAAGCAGATGCACAAACAGAGTTACTATCATGGCCACTCGCTCATATTAGTTAATTAATAAGCTTCATTAGTCTTCTGTCCCATTTAAATTAAAAGCAAGAACTTCCAGGAGCAGAATACATCAAAACGTGGCAAGCATTAGCTGTAAAGTACATCTATGCCATGCTCATCATGCACCAATATCGATACGAAATCGCCAGCAAAATAATTGATCAAAGCCACCCAATATCAAGGCGTCCCATGAGTCGTTCACATCACAATCGTGCGAAGAAGGATTATTGCGTTGAAAATAGTAATATTTCGTCGAACTTGCGTGTCATATCGTTTGCGGTGCTCATAGGCAAGGCTAAGAAACTAGCGTAGGCTTGCCGTGCTGTCTGTGCCTATTGATTTAGACGGCGACAGTGGCGACAGGAGCCTCGGTGACAGTGGCCTCCTTACCGGCGGCCTCACCCTCGGGAGCGTTGGCCTCCTCATCAGTCTTGTCAGGGCTGTCGATAGCAACCTTGACGGCAATCTCACGGCCCTCAATCTCCTTGCCGTTCATCTCACTGACAGCCTTCTGCTGCAGCTCCTCAGTAGCCAGGGTGACGAAACCGAAGCCACGACCCTTGCGAGCCTCACCACGAGCCTGCAGCTTCTTGATCATGAAGCGGGGGATGGGGCGCAGAGCAATCTTGGCAGAGGAAGGCTCGAAGGCCTTGAAGAGCTCGATAAGCTGAGAGTCGAGGTGTTATTAGCTATTTTCTTCTACCCTTGGCGGATCAGTTTTAGCATACCTTGTCCTCAGTCAGGTCGTAGGGCAGGTTAGCGACCATGACCTTGGTCTTGGAAGCGATGCCATCGGCCGGGGGGCCACGCTCACGGCGCTCGCGAGGCTCACGAGGCTCGCGAGGCTCACGAGGCGCGCGAGGCTCTTTCTTGGAAGCCTTGTTTGTCGTGTCAGTTGGTTTCTTGTTGGTAATGTCTTTAAGTGGCTGAACCTCAGTGGTGGCGGCATCCGCGTCGGCAGCAGGAGCGGGAGCAGCGGCGACCTCAATAGTTTCAGTCTCGCCTTCCTTCTTCTCCTCACCCTCCTATGTAATTGGTTAGATGGTTCTGTCATGCATGGGCGACGAATGTAGAGCAACTTACGGCACCACGGCCAGTGCGGGCACGACCGCCTCGGGCGCCGCGGCCACCACGGCCACGGCCACGGCCAGCAGTACGGCGGCGACCGCCCTCAGTACCGGCACCTTCGCCGTTGGTCACTTCAGCCTTCTCGCCAGCGGGCTCGGGCTTGCGGGCGAGCTGGACAGAGACCTTGCGCTCAAGGATCTCCTTGCCGGAGAGTTCCTCGATGGCACGCTCAGCCTCGGCCGAGGTCGAGAGGTCGACGAAAGCGTAGCCGACGGGACGCTCGGTGCGAGGGTTCTTGGGGATTGAGACAGACTCGCTGGAAGAGGACAAAGGTTAGCATGTATCGGGGCGATGGACAATGACGATGCGCCGGAGAAAAAAAAACTAGGTCGCAAAGGCAAACAGAGTTGCTTTGAGCCCGGTGGGGTGGGTTGTGTTGCGGGAGAGGAGTTACAACATACACAAGATAGTTCTTGAAAAAGTCCTTCAACTCCTCCTCAGTTGTCGGGTAGGCCAGGTTGCCAATGTAAAGACGACGACCCTCTGCGGCGGAGGCAGAGGCGGCCTCGTTGGCGGCGGCTTTGTCATTGATAGAGGTGTTGCTCAGAGTGTTGGCAACGTCATTGACGGCGGCATCAGTAGCCTTCTCCACGTTGGTAGCAGACATTTTTGAAGATGTGCGAGGTTGGATGGAGATGGAAATGTGCGTGGTGTGGCTTGGAGGTATGAATGACGTTGAGAACGTTGCGAGGTTGACGGGGGTTCAGGTATCCGGCGAGAGGCGGAGGACGGGAGTTGAACTCTGGTGCAATGAGGGGAGTTGGTCAGGGTAGCTTGGTGCCCTAGAATCGGGTTGAAAGTATCGACAGACGACGGTGCGTTGCGCGGAGACACAAGTTGACTTTTGTTTGTGATGAAGGAGAGGGAAAGGGGGGGAGGTGGCCTGGTCTGGAGAAAGACATGCTAAATAATTTTCGCCACGGCGCCGCAAAATGCAGGCGCGTTGGTGGTGGCCCAGCCCAAACCAGTTCAGCCCGCCAGCGGCCATCACGTCAAATTTTAGCAAGTGCCTAGGTGCTCGCTGCCCATGTTACACAGGGGTATTAAGTTGATAAAAAAAAATAAGGATGAAATATTCGTCCGTGCAGCTTATTCGTAGGTGCCTAGTTACACTTGACACTTTGCGCTGCAGCCTGCAGGTACCTTTGAGCTATTACAGTGGGTGGCTGGCTGTGACTTTTGATCCAGTGCACGGCAGTTACAGTGGGTGTGCCATGCAATGTTGTTAGGTACCTTAGTACCTAACCACCTACTAAGGTACCTCCAAAATGCATACCTGAGGTGCCTGTACTCAGGTACATTAGTAGGTACCTATCAGCAGCCCCCCCTTGCAATTTGTGAAGGCTCTGTCAACGAGTCACCAGTGCAACCCTACCGACCAAGTTACCGACCTACTTGCCTACTACCTATCCGACTACCTGTATCCAGGCCATTATCGTATTCACATCATGGTAGCATGAATATGTAAAATAACAGCGCCTTTCTAGAGGACGCCCACCCATCCCGAGCTGCTCTGGTATAGGCTCAGGACTGTCAACGCAGTGGACTCTCATCCACCTCCAACCAGAAGATGCACCCACTAGTTAGGCCTGCCTATACTGTCGCTCTTCATTTGCTCATTCATGCTGCACCGGGCAAATAAGAAAAGGAAATGAAAGGAAGCTGTGCTACTTTTGTAAGGCCCGAGTTTTTTTCTTCTATTTCATTAGTCTTCCTATGCAATCTCCCGTCATAACACCACCAACAGCTGGTCACGTGGACACTGCTCTAACAAAGACACTTGTCAATCCCGCCAAACCTTCGCGTACGCTGCAGAAAACGTGCTAAGCTTGGCCCCTGGCTCACCGCTATTAGTTATGACTCCTTACCCACCCACCACCACCATTCCTACTCTCACACCGAGTGAGCAATTCCTGCAGTCCGGCATCGTCTTTGTATCTGTTTAGTGCTGTTTCTTTCCAGTCCTCCCATGACATTCCCGCATCGACGCCGCACGCATCCCGCAGACCCCGAAATAGGCCCAGAAACCCGTCCCAGTCACTGAGGTCGAAGCCGCAGCAAAACGCAAATAAGTGTTGCACGCGACCGCTCAGGACAAACTGCGCCAGCGCCCCATGTCCCTTTTCTTCTAGAAGCTGCGCGAAGATGGCCTCGTCTGCGCCGATGGATACCTCGCCGGCATAAAAATCTGCCACGGGAAGCAGCCCAACCGGGGAGTTGAAGGCCTCTGCCGGCCCGGCTGTGTGCGCCCACTCCCAATCAATAACACCCGTGATATTGAAACTCTCGTCCACCAGAATGTGATCCCCTTTGTCATCGTCGTGCTTGAGATAGAATCTGTCGTCGTCAGACGCCGCCGGCGTCAACACGGGTACCAAGTCGATCAGGAATCGATGCAGCAAATAGGCTTCCACAGATCGCGCGGCGTACATTTCTTCCGCTGAGATCCTGTCTAGTATCAGCTGCAGAAGAGACTTGCGGTACTGGTTGGCAGAGCGAAAAGGACTGCAGGTTTGTAATTGGCCGTCAACCATGTTTAGCAGCGACTCGTGAGCGAAAGCACCGACGTGTGAGCTTCCAGGAGTATCGAGAGACCCCAAAACCGGCAGCGGATGCTTGTGAATCTCAATGAGCACATCCGCAAGCTGATTCATGACTTTGCGCCTCCGGTCTGGGTTTGTGGCAGGCCAGTCCAACGCTTTCCCCGGAAGCTTTTCCAAGAGAATGTAACCGACGCCGACTGCGTTGCTGTCGTGCTCCAGTGCATAGCCATACACCTTTGGTGTTGGCACGGCTGTCTTTTCCAGAAACATGAGAGTCGCTACCTCGCTCGTCAAGATGTAATCACGCACATCACGTGGGGTCGACGTCGCATTGAAGCGACGTATGCGAGCAATCCAGACTACATTGTCTGCAAAGAGAATCTCTACATGATAATTCATGCCACCCATGTGAGATCTTCGTTTCGCTGAATCATGCTGAAAGGGTGCCACGGAGCACTTGATCCCTTGTCTCAACAGCGACGCGCGTGCCTCGAGAGCATCTACGTTGATCTTGCTGAAGAGTGTCGACAGTTCGTGTCCCTCGGCTGCGGAGTAGGCCGGGTAAAAGTGGTCATGATCCTTTTTTCGTAACAATGTTAGCACGGACCACTGGTGATGGGAACTCGACGTACTTTCCAAGACGGGCAGCCATGGGAGCCCGGCCCGAGATGCTGCGCGCAAAGGTGGCGGTTGCAGAGCACGCAATCTCCTTCATGTCGCACACCCGGTTTCGTGCAGTTTTCGATGTCGCAATACCAGAGAGGCATTTTGAGAAACAAATCCTTGTTGTTGTCAGTATTGATCTGGACAGTGTTGGCCGAGTCTTATGGTCCGAGGTGTAAGTGCCAAGTCCTAGGTGCGAACTGCCGCCTTTCATACCCCCTGCGTTTCATGTTCTTCGGAATACGACCACTAGAATAAACACAAGACGAGTTTTTCCGAGACTTGCTCGTTCACAGCAGCCATTTCAGGCAACACTGAAATCAAATACTCACACCAAGACACGAGTGTGACTGAGGTCTGTAACACAAAAGCGCGAGACAGTGGGACAATTATCCCTGCGGAATTCAAAGGCTCTCCGTGCTTTCTCGGTCTTGTCTAGTTCTTCCATTTCACTTGATCAAATCGATCAACAAGCAAAATACTGTACTTGCGTATTCTGTTCAAGTGCCACTTGAACGAAGACGAGGTCAACGAGCGTGGCCGAACAACAACCAGCGCATGACTGCTCCAACGTCCTGATGACACTTGTCAGGCAATGAAACAAATGAAATAGTCGCAAAACAGAATTTAGCTTAATCCTGCCGCCAGTCGCTCGACCTCGGCTCTCGGCTACGCCATGGGCAACTGGGTGGCTCGCCTCACCCGGACTCGCGCCGCCATCGGCTCCAGACCCAGACCCGTTTTTCCAAGCCAACGACTTGCCGTAGCGACAAAGGCATGAATTCATCGAGACATCAAGCCGACGCACCAACAAACAAACTTTGTCCGCTGTCCCCGCCCAGTCGCTACCACCATACCACAGACTGCGCGTCGTATGAAAGCCGTATCAGATTCACACATCCGGGAGCGCTAACGAGCCTACGGTGCGGCGCGGGGCAAAAACGCAGCCTGGACAAGATGGCTTTGGCCGCACAGCCGAGGACCGTCCTGGTCCTGTACGGCTCCGAGACAGGCAATGCGCAAGAAATCGCCGAGGAGCTGGGCAGGACATGTCAGCGATTGCATTTTCAGAGCACGGTCGACGAGATGAATGCTGTGACACTGGTTTGTCCTCCGAGAATCTATGTTGCACGAACGACCTCTGACTGGGTGACAGCCGACACTGCTGCAGAATGAGCTCGTAATATTCGTCATTTCTACTACTGGACAGGGTGACATGCCACACAACTCTACTCTATTCTGGAAGAGGTTGCTCCAGAGAAGACTACCGGCAGGCTGCCTGGCGCGGCTTCAGTATACGTGTTTCGGGCTGGGCGACAGCACATATGTCAAGTACGTTTCATGCGCCGTCATGCCTGAACCTTGATTTCAGTCTGCGTTTGATTAACACGCGAAACAGATTCAACTGGGCGGCGCGCAAGCTGCTTCGACGTCTGGACCAGCTGGGCGCCTCGACATTCTACGACGCCTTTGAGGCGGATGAGCAGTTTCCCGACGGGTAAGGCCGCCTCCTCCTGCCTGTTATGACTTCTTGAGCTCACATGGGATAGCATCGACGGGTCGTTTGCTCGCTGGTCCGAGGGCCTCTCCAAGCACTTGTTGGACAAGCACCCACATCCCCAAGGGCTGGAGCCCATCCCGCACGACGTCATTCTCCCGCCACGCTGGTCCCTCGAACCGGCCTTGCGGGACATTGAGATCGCAGCCGCCTCCAAACCACACGAAAATGGCGACGACGCGTCCACAACAGCGTCTCTGGCGTCCACGCCTCCTCCTGATCTCCTACCCGTCCCTGGAGGCTGGACAGCCACCCTCGCCCTTAACCAACGCACAACGCCAGAGTCGCACTGGCAAGATGTCCGCCTCGTCTCCTTCGACGTCCCCCCCAAGCCCAAATATGGTCCACCCCACGACGGCACGGCCACCGTAACAACCGAGCCGCTCCGCTGCCAGCCCGGCGACTGCCTCACCATCTACCCCAAAAACTTCCCCGAGGACGCCCAGCGGCTCATCGACCTCATGGGCTGGGACGCCATCGCTGATGCGCCTCTCGATCTGTCTCGGTGCGGCGCACTGCCACGCGGTCTCTATGCGCCCCTGCAGACAACCCTGCGCGCCCTACTCCTCAATAACGTCGACATCACCGCCATCCCGCGGCGCTCCTTTCTCAAGAGCATGTCCTTCTTTTCCACCGATGCCTACCACCGGGAGCGCCTGCTCGAGTTCACCATGCCCGCCTACATTGACGAGTATTTCGACTACGCCACGCGCGCCCGCCGCACCATCATCGAGGTCCTCGAAGAGTTCACCTCGGTGCGCCTGCCCGCTGCGCGGCTCCTTGACGTCTTTCCGCTGATTCGCGGCCGCGACTTTAGCATCGCCAACGGCGGCGACCAGCTGCGCCCCGTCGCGCCCTCGTGCAGCGGCGGCGGCGCGCGCGTCGACCTCCTCGTCGCCCTCGTGCGCTACCAAACCGTCCTCCGCAAGCCTCGCCAGGGCCTCTGCTCGCGCTACCTCGCGAGCCTGCCCGTCGGCGCTACGCTCACCGTGAGCAAAAAGGACGCGCAGTCGCCCGTGTACGGCGCCGCCTGCGCCCGCCGCCCGCTCATCGCCATGGCCACCGGCACCGGCGTCGCGCCGGTCCGCAGCCTCCTCCACGAGCGCCAGACGCACGCCGGCGCCGACGATGCTGCCATCGGCCCCGCGCTGCTCTTCTTTGGCAACCGGAACCGCGCCGCCGACTACTTTTTCGAGGCCGAGTGGAAAGCACTGGGACACGAAGCGGTTGCCAAGGACGAGGCCAACGCAGCCACCCCTGCCGGCGGGCTCACCGTCTACCCGGCCTTTTCGCGCGATCAGCGCGAAAAGGTGTACGTGCAGGACCTCGTCCGGCGCGAGGCGGCCGCGCTGGCCGCGCTCATCCCGCTGCGGCCCATCTTTGCTGTCTGCGGCGGCTCGTCTCGCATGGCCGACGCGTGCCGGAGCGCCGTGTGGGAGCCGTTCCTGGCCGCGGCGGGCGACGACGAGGCGGACAGGGAGGAGCGCAGGAAGATGCTCAGCGCCGTGACGTGGTGGCAGGAGATCTGGTAGCTTGGCAAAGGACAGGTGTGTAAATATAAGAAAGAATACCTTATCATGTATCAAGTTTGGGCATAGCCGGATGTGCTTCTGGATAGATAAAATAGACACAATCAACACTAGCTGCTCAAAGCTGCTTCGCCCTTTACCATTAGTCGCATATGGTTCATAGCGAATTTGCACTGCTCAAGTCCATGCAGATATTAAAAATGATTTGTCTGTGAATTCTATGATATATATTTTTTTGTTGAGTGTAGCTCTACCTAAAATAGCCAAATGTGGCTCTCAGGTGTATCCCATACCGAGAGCATCATCCTTCTCTTCCTGCGCGGTGGAATCAAAGAGAAAAAAAGAGAGTAGTAGAGAATCCGGATCAGACGCGAGGCTCAAAAGGAGAGACAGGGCTTCGTGTGATGCGACAATCAAAACGTACATGATAGCGTGCTTCGTCGAACATGCTAGTGAAGGGGCGGGGGATATCGATGCGAAAAGTGAGAGAGAGCCCGGTGATGGAGCAAAAATAAAATAAACAAAGTAGGATCTCTGGCAAACGCCAAAGATGCGTTCCAGGAAACCAAAACATCAGAGATAGGGAAATCCAACCACTCATTCTCTCGTTGCAGACACAATAGTACAAAAGGTGTAAAGTGCCCAGATACGCTACCGCCCAACTCCAAATGACAAGTAAATACTCCGGAAAAAAATTCAACCCCAATTTTTGCTGCAAATGTAAGGATCGTGCAATGGCCGGTGTAGCCCCATGGAAATGGCAAAAAAACCCACGTCTCTTACCACATTAATATTATGTATTATTTCGTACAGTCCTTTCGAGCTGGCCAGGGTTCATCGCTCTTCTTCCCAGCTGTAACGCTTCTCTGCCATCTGTGGAACGTGGATGAGGTCATCGCCACCAATGCGCCCGCCGCTGCTGTGAGATTCGGAGCCACTTTTGTTGCTTGTGGGCGAGATATTCCCATCTTCTTCCGTTCGCGAAGGAAGAACACTGCGAATGATGGCGTTCGCCAACGTTGGGCGTTGTGCGTCCTCAGTGCGCGGGCCAGATACGATGGACTGACGCGTCAGTTCTTCCACCATGGCGTCTTCCTCGTCAGTGTAGTTGCTACCGAGACTGCCTGTTGAAGGTCGGTGACGCGAATGAGATGGTCCTGTCCAAGACTGCCCATGTGACCCGGCGGTACTTGACAACATATTTTGTCTGAACAGAGTGACATTTTCGGGCAGAGGGCCGAGGCAGACGACCTTGGAGGGCTCAATGGGTGATCTTTGGAAGGAGGCCTGTGCAAGGGGAGTAGCGGCGTTATTCTCTCGAGCCTGCTGCTGGTCATTGGAATGCGACGAAGAGTTGGAATTGGATCGGCTTGCGGTGCCAGATTCGCTTGTTGTACCATTCATCGTATTAGAGCCTGCACGTCGGCGACCTGTAGACCCAGATCGAGACGAAGCCGAGTGAGGGTGCAACGACGCTGTGATAGGAGATGGCAGATCATTGGTGTTCCAGTCAGTGCGAGGAGAAACTGGCGAGGGCAAAGTGTTCGTTAAGGAGTAGGTCCCTAAACCCTCGTGGGACCGCACCGGAGATACGTTGTGGTAGTGATAGCTAGGCTGCGGGTGGGAGATTATCGTAGTCTGAACCACGTTTGTATCGATTTGCATGTCTTTGTCGACAGGCATAATGCCATTCGCTGGAGGAGCATAGGCTGGAACAGGGCCTGCCAGTTGTCGAGCAAGCTTGCGTCTAGCAAGTTCATAAGCACTCAAGTCTTGGGAGTCGTCTGTTCCTGCTTCCGTATCACCCAGAATGGAATCGTCGTCCTGGGGATGAGCGGCAAGCTCGGCGGGTGGAAGCGGTGCGGGCAGTTCGTATATTTCTGAAGCCGGCACTTCTGTGGGTGCCCCGGTTTCAGCTGCGGTAGCAGTGCGTCGTGATCGCTTCCTGCGAACGATTCTTGACAAAATGCGAGAAATCGGAGTCGTTGTCGACTCTGGGCCAATAGTTGACGATGTATCTTGCGCTTCCGCTTCCTTGCTGGTAACATCACCACACTTCTTGTGCTTGCGGCGACGTCTCCAGAAACAGAGCCCGCCGACAAGAAGAGTGCAGAAGGCAACCACACCAACGGCAACCCCAATCATTTGGGGCGTCGTCAGGCCGTGACGATCCTTGGTTGGCGGGGGTCGTGGGTAAGGGCTATTGCTCGGCTGCTTGATCATGTTGAGTTTAATATCGGTGTCGGGGTCGCGAGGGAAAGCAGCCTGGTGCAAACTGAACACGCCAGAGTCATATTTGGTGCGAATATAGGCTTCTTGCAGAAAGGAACGGCCAATGATGGTATTGTTACCACTAGTGGCTTTACGAAGCATAAAGTACGGCACAGCGGGTTGCCCATACTTGATAGCTTCCTTGCCGAAAGGATATTGTAGTGAACCAACGAAGGCTTTGATCGGGAGGCTAATGTTGACGACTCCAGGGGCGTTAAGAGGTAGGCCAAAGTTGTCGTTATTGTCAATGCTCGCAAGACTGAAAGTAAATGAGTACGCGTTGGAGTTGGAATAGTCTTGATACTGGTCGTTGGTTAGAGTGTATAGCTTGTATGTGTCATTGTAGGTGAGATTGAGGGCGGATGCAAACGACTCGCAGATGCTCTCGGGCAACCATAGATAGGGGGTAGTGCTATCGACGAGGGCCATGAAGGTGTCGTTATAAGTTGATACGGATTTGGTTGATGAGCTCCAGCCATTGGGCTTGAGATTGTTAGATACGCTGATGCTGCGAATGTTGACACGGGGCGAGTTGTCTGATTGCGTAATGGTGAAAAGCGTATCGTGGTCAACCAAGCGTGCGGAATCGTAGCCACCAAGCGTCAGAGAACCAGGCATATTTTTGTAACTGGCTCCAGCAGTATAGCCATAGCTGTAGCTGGGGATCCAACCAAACGTCTTGACAGCTTGAGTGAGAGCTGACTCGCCAATGTTGCCTTTGAACCGGCCCTGAGAGATTCCGAGACCAAAAAGGCCGTTGAAATAATCAGTGGTGTTGTAGGCGGCGATGAGAACACTGCTCATGCCGAAAGCAATGTTGGTAAAGGGACTCCAGGCATTGATATTGTCGATGCCGTAGGCACCGTTGCCTCCGTAGCCCAGGTATTCGAGGCCGAGAAAGTATTGTCCCCATGATGTCCATCTTTTCGAGTCGCTAGGCGTGTAAATACCACCGCGCGCCGTCATGCAGTGTTGCTCCTCTGCGGATAAGGTTAGTCAATGGTCGGGCGCACGCTGTCTGTAATTTTTTTCGATGGCGCTGGGGTGAGGCGTAAGCCGTTCGACCGGCGTTTGCTGGGGGCAACGTACTACTTGGACAACCACCAGGGCCGACCGCCCATAATTCTGATAGGGAAGTGCTAGGTATAACATCGATGAGATCGGATTGGGTACCGAGTAGAAACCGAACAGTGGACCAGTTGCCATCGATGCCTAGCCTATAATACACCAGAGGTCAGAATTCAAGTCACTTATAGACGTGACGGTTGAAAGAGCATTGATGTCGGACGTACCAGTCTCCGTAGGGAATGGAAACCGCAGCAGGATCGTAGGCATTGACGACGCCTGTGTTGGCGGCGACAGATGCTGCGGCGACCATTCGACTTATCCGCATAGCGTCGCCGAGTGTCGAGCGACACGATGTAGAACAAACTTGCTTGAGGCAAGCGGACGAACTCGAGAGCCGGCTCGCGGCGGCCTGGACGGGGTCAACAGACGGTAGGTCGTCGGAGTTGCACAGTCGGGTGCGCAGGATCCATATGGGGGGTTGTTCAAATCGCAGAGCGGGTTGCACGGCAGATCATGGTCGAGGAGGGTTGAGAAAACGAGATGTGCGATGACCGTTGAGAGTTGCCCGTGTCAAGTTTCGTCGCGCCTGAGAAGGCAATTCAAAAATCGCCAAGAAACCCCAGTGAGGGGAAACCAGAATCGCTTTGCCGAGAGTCGAAGGATGAGAATAAAAAGAGGTCGGCGTGTGGAAGAGAGTCAAGGTTGGCGAGGAAGTAAGAGGATGGGACGGAAAGAGAGGGAGAATGCGTTTTGGCGGGATGGGCACTGGAAAGTATCATTGGGGGATGAGACCGCTGTCTCTTGTCTACAGGTCAGGGAGCAGAGCGCCATACAGCGAGACAGTGGCAGAGCCCACAGTGGGCAGAGACAACGCCGCTCTACGGAGTAGTGCGCCAAGGTATTGAGCATCCGCTCCAGCACAAGGCCAACCGCGAGAAAGGTACATAACTACCTCGAGCGTCCCTCCTAACTAGTACAGGTAGGTAGTACCTAACCTATGCTGAGGGCAAAAGGGCCCGACACCCGCTGAAAAGGCAGCGGCGGTGCGGGGACAGGTCTCAGCGCGCAATCACGAGGAATGGTCTCCCTCGGCCACCAGCACCAGCGTCGGCCACCAGCAGCCTGTCGGAGGGCCCTTGTGGAGGTACTTTGGCTTCCCCGCATCGTCCCCCTCTGGACAGGTACTATCCGGTCGAACAAGTATACCAAGAACTCAGTAATATGCGGCGGATACAAGGTAGACCCAACCATGCCCACAAGCCGCGTTCCATGGCATTTACCAGCCCACCCTAGGCCCCCCCGCCGCTTTTACGGGCTACTTCTTTCTACTACGTAGGCGACGCGAAAAAGCAAGACACTCAATCACCCTGAGTCAAAATGACTTTTGCACCACATTGTTGGCAATTTCCACAGTCTCACTTTCTGGAGGAGCTTCGAGCTTTTCACTGGGCTCTTTCCTCCACGCCATTTACCGACCGACTTCCCCATGGTATCCGTCCTCACGAGTTCCTGTTGTCCCCTGTTTCTGCCATGCTGCGATGAAGCTCTCACGCCTTCTTGGCTATGCCAGTGGTTCTCTCGGGCAAGTTTGTGTGCGCGATGGACGGCCAGACAGCCACTTGACTTCTTGATGGTGACGAGATCCTGGACGAGACCCTGCCAAGCAAACACCTGACCGAGTACAACATACCTACAACTAGTTACTCCGTACGGAGTAGTTCCAGAGCGCCTTGTCTCCCCAGCGGCTGTTGCGACACGCGGCTGAATCATCCATCATTTTGTCCTTCGTCCAGCCACAGTGGCCGCCCCCCTCTCTTTCGTCCAAACTCTGGATGCCATCTCCGCTGTTCCGTCTGGCTGCGGCCCTCGTCCGATTTGATCAGAGAAGCCAAAAGTCTAAACGTCGATGCACACTGGTCACTTGTCATTCGTTGACTACCCCGGCGGACTCAACATTTCAATGAGCTTCCACAGACTAGATGGAAACATGAAAGAATAAAAAAGAGACGCTCGTTACAGAAAGAATGAGGCATTTGGAAACGGCCCTTTCATTGCAGCGAGAAAAGCAGCATGCCAGCTAGTCCTGATGCGGAGGGCGATGGCTGATGGCTGTCAGCAGCATACCAGCCACAGACAAAAAGGGCTGGGATTTTGCGCCTTGGTGGTGTACCGTCCTCGCCGCCAACTGGTGAGACTGCCCGCCGGTCGAGCTGACCCCCCCTGTGGCTTTTTTCTTTTTGCCATGTTCTTTCTGCATCGTACTCGAATCTGCCCGCCAGACGCTGGTGATGCAATGCCATGCGGTGCGACGCGGGCCGCACGTACATAGCTTGAGGAGGGCTGACTAAGTCCTGTAAGAAGTAGATGAGCGGAATACCATAATTAGCACATGGTGGTAACACTACAGTCTTTATCTCTTGCTTTCATCAGAGCCATGGCATCTGCCCCGCGTTTCGAATTCGCGGTGTAATACATGGTCCATGTCAGGTTCGAGAATGGTCATTCGTGTTGCCCGTCGCGGTTCTATGCATGACCGTTGACCTGTGTCCAAGAAAATGTGGTCTGGCTCAAATCCACGCCGCGTACAAATTACAAATTACGAATTCATCTGTATTATATACGTCAAAGCTTGGCCCACGCGGACGACAACAGGCCTACAGATTACAGCAAAGCAACATCTCCTCCAAGTCCTTCCTTGCCACCAACCAGAGGCAAACTCTGGCCAGGGAAGCCGACGATTCTTGGAGCGTCGTAGATCTCTCGATTGCGTGGCTGAAGCTGCGGCGTTTGACCGACCTTTCGCTGATCATTGATGGAGCGTGTGTGTGCATCCGCGTGACTCGACAAGTCGTCTACGTTCCTGTGAGTGCCGTATGTAACTTGTTAATTTGTGAGTTTGCTGGTCGCCGGTAGCACAAAACCGGTTGCCCGAGGTGGCCAGGGGATATGTATTCTGTGCCGGATGATGAGCTGAGTTGAATTCATCCGGCTAGCTTCCGAGGAAGAAAGCGCCCTCTCGTCGCAGGACAAACGACTTTGGCCTGCATCTTTTGCTCTTACCGCTTTATTACTTTTTTGGCCTTTTGAAATCGAGCAGCAAGTCAGGGATGAGTGACGACCCAGGTCGACGATAAGAGCGACACTTGCGCAATCGCTCACCGGGCGAACCCTTTGTCATGTTGATGATGGTTGAGCAACAATGGATCCGTATGTACATCTGTAACTACGTATCCGTACATGTGCCCGAAATGAATATCGAGGTCAAGGGGCGAACGTGTCTTGGACCGGGCGTTGTAGACGGGCCACTGCGGTGACGGCGGTGACAGATGGTGAACCGGCCGTCGTTCAATCTGTGACGGCCAACAACAGCATGGAGCAGCATCTGGTGATGCGTACAAATTACATGTCGAGGGCTCTTTGTATTATGCAGCACAAAGGGACTGCGACCCTCTGTATGCATGATATGCATGAGAACGAGTGCATGAGCCGGGGAAGGAGGGCAAACACTCTTCATATTTCACGACTGATGGCGTAACACTGTGCTGGATAAATTGCACGCCTACCATCGGCACCAACCAGTAGGAGCAAGGATCATCATGGGAGAACGTTGAAAATCCCCACTGACGCGTGCATCAGTTGGCGTGGGACGGGCAGGGGGGGCCTGGTCACAGGCCATCCAGTTTTGTAGTTATGCGAAAAGCAAAAGGTCAAAGCCCGGTGCTGGGCGCTCATGTACGACCCCGATCAACCGTCCAAGCCGAGTGGCTGCCTGGGCCGTCCACAGTCGACGAAACTGGAGTCGAGAGATGGGCTATTCGTACGGTGGCATAACTAGTTACTGCCCAGAACCTGCGGGCGCAGCGCCAACGTTTGTCGACAAGATGCTTGCTCATCATCACCTACCAATTTGGTGTGCCGGTGGTGGTGGGAGGATGCCAGCTGTAGGAGCAATGGCGTAGCGGGATGCTGTTGCGGTAGGTGGTTGATGCGATGACCTATCCCGGCCTTGGCGGGGTAAGGACCATGTCTATGAAAACGGCATGAATCGATTTACCAGCTTGATCGGCCCGGATTGCATCATGGTAAATTGACAAGAATTGTTCATGTTTGTATCAGTACTTGGCATTTGCTGATGAGCATTGAGAAAGATGAATTATCATCAACAAGCAAAAAAAAGGAGACTTAGTTCATTTGTAGTGCTTGCCCAAGGGAGTAAATGTCTTGGAAAAAGATTCCCTGTCACCCTGCCCCTGGCAACCTGGGCGATTGAGTTGTGCGTTATTGGTAGTATCATGTAATGCGTAATGCGAGGGGGCGGCAAGACATTCGAGGCGCACGCACAGGGAAGGGTGTGCATGGCGAAATGAGCGGGTGAGACAGAGCTGCGCAGCCTGACCCCTCTGGTATGAACAACCACGCTTCTCTTTCTTTTCTTTTCTTTTTTTCTTGTTCTTCTTTGTCGACTTGGGTGACTTGGAGGCGTGGATGTCAGATGCTCGGTGAACTGGGTGGTGTACCTCGGACCACGCCGAACATGTAAAAGAATGACTAGTAGTGGTTAGGACAATTGATTCGCTGGAGAGGAGTTCTAGCAGCAATGGACGTGTGATGGAGAAAGAATTCGGGCCGGCAAGATCGAAGCACGCTATATTACGTTTGTTATAGGGGCCTAGATGGGGGCCGTGATACCGCCAGCGACTGATGCACTGAATTTGATCTTGTTCACAGCACTACGGATAACTGTAAACACAGTGTCTGCAAACTGTATGGTCAGTTATCCACCCGTAAAAGGACGTACGAATTACGTAGAACCAGGGATGTGAGACATATCGTGTTTTCTTTTTTCTTTTTTTTTCTTTTTTTTGCAAATGCCGTGATGGCCTGTTTAATCTTGCCTGCTTTGGTACCGAGCAAGTTAACTACCTAGGTAGTTAATTACTGATACGTATGTGCAGACTGTACATGACCTCGTCGCACTATATTACGAAAAAATAATGCCACGTTATACAATGTGTCGCGATGAGAGAAGGCAAGGGCCAAGACTCCAGACGGCCAAGAAAAAATCAGATGGGCTGCATGGGATTATGTGAGCTAGCTGAAAGATCGCATTGACAAGGCCATTATTTAAATGCGCAGGTGGGGCCCCTCAAAACTGCCGGCTATAGTTAATAACTGGCGACTGAATAGGTAGTTAACTACAGGTACAGATCACAGATGAATAATACCGAGTATACTGTGCAACTCGGCAAGGTACGAATAGTCCTTGCAAGGGGGTAGCCAGTACTCCGTAGATGTCAGATCGCGGCAGTGCGACATATAAGACAACGTTAAATTAGTTAGCTTCCAACTGTTGCTGATGAGTTCAATCGGGTTATCCGCATGGCAGCAGACTGCAGGCTGATGATGATGAGGACCTGTTATTTCGTTCGAGCAACTGACTATAACTATACCTACCTCGTCTGAAACTACCCATCGTCTCTACTCACAGCACAGAGTGACGAGGCCAATAAGCAATGCGTAATTTGTACTATACCCGTACTCATACGTATTCGGGATGAACCTGTCGAGGGCATACATACCCAAAGGTCATCCCGCAGCATCGTCGTCCTCTGGCGCCACCGTAAATTACAAAAGAGCGCAGAGTGCCTATGACTGTCAGTGTTTGCAGCTCACAAGCCAATTGATGAAGCAGAGGGGAAGAGTCGGATCATCTTGCGTAACTAGTGAGTGACACTTGCCGTTCTGGCTCATGGCGGCTCAGCCGCCTTGTCCCAAATAGTCAGGTAACTACATTTTGGCGCACAGGCTAGCCGGGCCTCTGCCCCTCGTGCCCTCCCACTAACTACCTGTAGGACCTAGCCTTGTACACCAGTCGTGCAAGAAAAGAGCCGTGTCATGTGTGGTCGTGGTCTCGTGGTGCGTAACGTGGTACTCGAGTTGTCAAAGTGCTAGAGACGCTGTGGGCAGTCATGTATCTACTTTGAATCGTGATTTACATCATCAAGACAAGAATCGACCTTGATTCTCAAAATCACCCGTGCCGTATCCGTACTAATAAGCTCGTGTTTATTGTTCATGGCAAAGTCTACCAAGGCCCACTGAAGCCACTTGAAGCCACAAGAAAGTCAGGGCTCGCCACGAGTAATTCAGACGCCAGAGGGCCACCAAGCCCACCCACTAAACCGCCAGGTACGGGGTTGGCTGACAAGAACGACCGCTAATCCAGCGCCGGTCAACGCACCAGAATCCGCCAGAGCCCCCCAAGGCCCCCCATTTGCCAACTCGCTAAAACCAGCCCGACAGCCCGCCAACCCGCTAAAATCTCCGCCTAAACACATCTAGCCCAGCGCCCCCAGCGCCCACCTCCAGCTAGTACCTCCATCGACTTTGGGTGGTGCCAAGCAAGGGCAGCCCAGGGCACAGGCCGCAGAGCAGCACCTGCCTCTTATCGTCTCTTCTTTTTCTTTGCCTGGTGCCTAGTAGTACCTACCTACCTACCTACCTACTAAGGTATGAGAGGTAGGCAACTTTCAAATCTCAAATCATCCCCCCCCCAGCCAAGGCTCACGTCTCACTCTTCCTCTGCCTCTTGACTCTTGGCTCTTTCTTTCCCCATCGCCGAGACTACATCACCAATCACCCGTCGTCATCCATCCTTCACCTCTCGCTCGATCTCGCCCGCCGCTTGCCTCCTCTTCCGAGTCGTTTTTCTTGTCTCTGCCTCCCCCCGACTGCCGCAACTAGCCATTGTTCCCTCTTCGTATCTCCGCCCGCAGTTGCTAGACATTGTGGCTCTCCAGTGACGAATTGCAACCCCGTCCAGTCCATTGTCTACCTAACAATTTGGCTGCCACCAAGACTTCACCGCACTTCGGGGACCGCCACTACGGAAGATCGACAAACTGCTGCTTGCCGACCAATACCTTTGTCGTCACAACAATCGTCCGCTGCCTCTTGTTTGCGCCCTCGCGCCTGATTGCGTCTCGCTCGTCGTCTCCCCCAACATCTCATTGCCTTGTACAGCCATGTTGCCCATCTGCCGCATATAGCCTCCCCAGCCGCCGCCTCGACGTCTCGACGCCTCGACGCCCATGACAGTCGCTACTTACGCGCTTGTCCTCGCTCCACCTCTGTACCCTCTCGTCGGCTCATAGTTGTCGTCGGCGCTCGAAACGCGACCAGCTACCGCCATCATGAGAGTTGACGCCGCCCGCCTGCTCGCCGCAGCCCTCCTCGCTTCCCCTGCATCCGCCATCACGAGAAATGGTAAGTCGCTCCGCCGCCTGCTCTGCGCCATTGCGATGGGTACCTCTTTGCTCGGATCAGCTTTGTCCTCTGGAGCCGCGCACAATAGATGACATGCTTGAACTACACAGAACCTCTTCCCGCTGACTCCTTTGTCTTACAGAAGCCCCTCGCAAAAGCTCTCCTCCATACGCCATCTCAAACAGCTCCTCAATTGATGCACAGCCCTCGCCCAAGTTGAGCAGCAAATCTTCACCGACTTCATTGATACCCTCTTCACACACCTCGTCTACTGACGGTACATACCCGACACAAATAGCTTCGTCAGCTACTTCCTCAACAGTCTCTTCCTCAATATCAATAATCTCGACCACATTAGCAGTTCCTATTGCGCCAAGCAGCTCGCAATTAACATCATCGACGTCGTTGGTGTCGCACTCTACCATGAGCCATCCCAAGACAACGAGACGCCAATCGACAACTCACAAAACAAATCCCCACAAACCACCATATAATACACCATCCACGCCACCCACGCCTTCTACGCCAGCGTCATCCTCAAACATGACATCGACAAGAGGCTTCAACAACACAACACCAGCTATAAGCGCCAATTCAACTCAGAATTTCAATTATACCACCATCCAGCCCCCGAATCTGCCATCTCCCCCGCCCAATCTGCCTCCTGGCTACACCGTCACCAGGCTTCCCTGCAACGCGACGGCAACTCGCATACCAAATCGAAATGGAACTCGATCCGGTCAGCCACGCTGCAACAACGGCAGCTCCATCAGTATCGTGCCCGCCTGCACCCCGCTGCCCATGTCTAAAACATTTACTCGCTATCTGGTCGTTCATACCTCCACCGTGACGTTCAAAGGACACAGATCGGACTACAGCCCACCATTTGCTCCCATTGCCACACCTAACTACTGCGATCCCAACATCTACCCCGCCGTCCCTCGACCGCCATCCTGGGGTAAGACATCAGAGTATCTGGGCGCCATGTCAATGGTCACCGAGACCTTCACCATAGAAGGGATATCCATCACCGCCGAATTTCCCTTTCTGAAAACAGCAATCGCCCGCGTTCCTGTCACGACTTTCATCACTACGGACAAGAACCCTTCTGTCGTCTTCCCATCGGACCCAATTCCTGATTACAGCCAGACCTGGCCTGTTAACGGAGGCGATGGAGCGCACACACCTGTCGGCGGAGGCGGGCCTGCTCCAGAGTCCTCGGCTCCTACCTATACCGTCACTGCCGGCCCGACCTCTGTCGTCATTGGTACACAGACCTTTACAGTGGCTCCGGGAAGCAGCTCAACAGTCACCCTTGACGACGGTGGGGTGTTCACAATTAATCCTACCGCCGTTATCGGGCAGGGAACTACTGTCACTCGACCACCTTCTGTAACGGGGCCATCCTCGTCAGTCTTGGACGGCATTCCTGTCACTTCGGCAGGTCTCAATCTCGAGATCGGCGGAGGCACATTCACCATTCCCACGGGCAATTCCAATACTGTCAACGTCAACGGCAAAGTCGTAACTATCAATCCAACTGGAGTTACTATCGGTGGCGACAGCATGGGCTTCACGAGACCAGCAGCGTCTGATGTCATTGTTGCCGGCGGCGAGATGCTCACGGCCAGGGGCCGCAGCGTCGTTGTTCTCCATTCCGTCACTTATACATATGGAAGTGGTATCCCTCCCGTTGTTCAAGTCATCAACGGTGACACGGTCGCCATCGGACCCACTGGAGTTTTCGTACATGGCTCGACACTAGGTGGAGGGAGCGCCGATCCTACCGACACTGATTACGAGATTGTTGGCGGTGCTACCATTGAAAAGATTCCTCCATCCATGGTCATTGTGAATGGCGAAACCTATGCGGTTGGTCCAGGAGCCAACACGAAAACTCTGGTGGTCGGCGACCAGACCTTGACTGTTGGACCCATCGGTCTCGTCATGGCCGCCACCACTTTGAAATTCCCATTCGATGCCTCCGTCACGACGACCATTGCCGGCCGCGCAACTGGCGAAACCATGCCCCAGGAAACCGGCAAGGGTGAGGAAGACGCCGCCTACTCGTTACGACCTAACGTCCGCGTTGGTCTTTTGTGTCTCTGCATTGTTTTTGGCGTTTTGGTTCTCGGCTAGACTCGCACAATGTACCGAGGCTGGGCATTCATAAAGAGCAGAATATGTGTTTAATGAGTTTCTTTTTTTTTCAATTCAGGTTATATATTATTTGGGGAGGGGGTTCGGCCTTGCCAGGGTGCGCGAGGTCTCGATTTCAATTGTACTATTCTACGGCACTGGGGTCCAGGTTATACAGAACCGCTACAGGATACGTCTCCTGGCGTTTTGTTTTGTTTCTAATGTCGCTACCGTTCTCATATAGGTGGCTTGACCTTTTCTGTTTGAGGGTCCTTGTTTCATAGTATACAAAGTCTCTGTTGTTGCAAAGGCGTGGCATATAAAGAATTTCAAAATATGTTTGATAGATTCCTTTTGGCGCTCTCATGCCTGATGTGACTGTGAGAACGCGCGCTCCCAGGCGAGGTCAACGGAATAGGCTTCGTCTGCCAAGGTACACGGTAAGAAACAAAAAAACGTCCAACAGAGTATCGAGAATGTTGCAGTCACGTAACGACTTTGGTCCGTGTTGACGGTGTGGAGGCAAGCACCTAAGCCGCCGCCACTCGACAACGAAGTTGTACCTTCAGAGGGTAACGAAAGAACGCAGGTCAAAGTATATGATTCTAAAGGGGTAAAATAAAAATATCAAACTAAAAAAGGTTGGCCAAGTTGTGGATAAAATCCATAGCATGGTAATCACCCGCGTACGGTTCGGGTCCATAGAGATGCCAACCTTGAGGGTGATGCGAGAAAGATACGTGAAAATGGTAGCGCGCTCGTCTACAACGAGGCATCGAGAAAGTAAACAGGCAGCACACAATGGTATGCTTGACCCTACCCGGCAGGTTTCAACCGACCCAACAAGTCCATCCGCCCTCCTCTCCTTCACCATCTCGTCACGCCCTTGCCTTTGCTGGCGCCTTGGCCAGCGGGCAGTGGCGGAAAGTCCAAGCCAATATCCGCAAGCGACTCCCGGCCGCGGCACCGGCTCTGCGCCTCCTGCTCCTCCTCTTGCTGCATACTCAGGGCGAATGCCAAGTCCGCATCCACATCCACAGCAGCGTGTGCTGAGGGAAACCCAGAAGAGGCCGAGGGAAACCCGGCCAGCGCGTCAGGCGTGTGCTCCGCAACGTGGGGGGGGACACGCGGAGACGAGGGCGAGGTCGTCGAGGAGCTCTGGCGGCGGCTACCCCTCTTCTTACCGCCCTTGGTCTTGGCTTTGTAAGTAATGGTAAAGCCAAAGTCCCGTGTGCTGCTGCGCTGTGGAGACTGGCCGCGATCATTGACCCCTTCGAGCAGAGACAGGCGAATGGCTTGCTGAATCTGCTCCTCATACCCGTCCTCGTCGTCGCTTGTCAGGTTTTGCTGTAGAGGACTAGATTCGACAAAGCTAGCCTCGGGCGTCGTCGCGTCTGCGGTACTGTGGCTTGTTATCGAAGCCGTGTCTCCGCCACTGGTATCGGCGGCGGAGTCGCTGGCGCGGCGCATTTCGTCAGCCAAGAAAGTCTCCTCGGAGACCATCTGCATGTAAGTCAGAGCCTCCTGCTCGGTGAGGTCTCCAAGCGCGCCGACACCAAAGCGCTTGCGAAGGCGCGTTTGCTCACGAGCCCGATGCTCATTCTCGTGGCGCAGTTCTTCCTCTTCCTCCAGGATGTAGCCAGACACATTGCCACCAGAACGACGACCCGCGGCACGGCCCTGAGCATCAGGGTGTCGCAGGCGTCTCTTGCGGCCCGGAGCGCTGCCCTTAGAACTATACGACCAGTAACGCATAAAAGCCCCAAAGGCCACGACACCTCGGAGAACTGTCGGGTTCGAGTCTAGGACAATGGCACCCACAGAATTATAGCTGGCTGAAGTTAAAGTAGGATTCATAGTCATCATGAAACGAGGGACACGACCGTTTGATCGAGCATTGATAGTGCGAATGGGCTCTGATGTTGAGGCAAGAGGATCCCAGGCCTGAACGAGGCCATCGCTGCCACCATGGACCAGGTATAAAGCAGAGGTTGCAACGCAAGAAATCGATGGCGACTCTGTTTGAATGATGCGACATGGCTTCACCGTTTCGGGTCGAATCTCTCTGGCATTCCACACGATAACACTGCCGGCGCTCGTGCCAATAGTGAGGAAGCGGGCTCGACGACCCGGAATCTCTTGGACATTTCGTTCTCCATCTGTGCAATTTGGCGCAATGCTTTCATTCGCGGTATGCAAAGGATCTTCGCCGAGAGTGAGAATAGCAAAAGCTGAGTTGTCCAAGGCGCTTGCCGTGATGATATGGCCCTCAGGTGCCTTCAGCTGGAAAGAGACAGCTCGCCAATCATCCATAGGCGCAGATGAAGCCTTTGGAGAGTGAGGCGTAGGCGGTGGTGATCTCGGGGACTGGGGTTCAGGGGTGCTCTTTTTGTCAGCCTCTCCAAATAGAGACGGCGGAATAGCTGGGGCAGTTTTGGCGCGTCCAAGAGAAATAGGTCGATGTGGAGTGGTTGATCGGCAGAATCTAGTGACGCGAGCTTTCTGACCATGCCCGCAATCGATGACGAAAATGGCTTCACCGGCCTCTTGGCCGTCATCATTTGCAAAATCAACCTCAAGCTTGCGTTGCATATCCCAGCCCACACAGACATTGAGGAAATGCTCTGGCTGATGGCGCATAAACGTCTCAATTTCTCTTGCTTCGGCAGCTATCTGGATGTTGCTCAAATTCATGGCATTGGAAGGGGTTCTGGGCGAGTACGTGCCACGAACAGCATTGAGATCTAGCTCGTCTGGACGAGCAGATCTGCGCGTCTCTTCGACCAAGTGCCAGTAGGCAGACCGTCCAGCAAGCCAGGCATTGACGAGAATAGCACCTGCAGACTGTTGAAGCGACACGGGTCTGGGGGTCTCGGTGAGATAGAATACCTCTCCAAGCGCATTTAAGGCGACAGCCCAGACTCTGCCCGACAGTCGACGGCGAACAGTATAGTTGTCATCAACCTTGATTGAGACAATGGGTACACCCGGACTGAGTACCCAACGTGCAGTCATGTCACCGTAAGCATATCTTGGACCGCTAGGGTCAGATCCGAGAGAATAGGCAGTCACGACACCGAGAGTAGAGCCAGTCAACATGCCGCACATTGCGGAAGTAGTGACTGGGACAGCCGAGGACTTGGCAATCCAGACGCAGCCGATGGCCTCGATGATTTCAGGGATGCGAGGAATATCAGCTGGCTTCTCTTCGGGATCGGGCTCAGAGCCGAGGTAGCGTCCTGCAATTTCATTGACGCTTCGAAAGTAGGCACGGCCACTTGGGAAGCCTTCTCCGGCAATGATGCCGTAGAGCTGACTTACATCCATGGTATTGTCCGTAGCTGCGGGGCCGTCTCCGAGGCCGTACGGCTGGAGACCAGGTGCGACCTCTTCAATTTGGGCGGAAGAGTGGTTGTCCTTGAGGCCCCAGCTTTCAACCTTGCCTGTAGTAGGATCGCTCAGGGTGGCCACACCAAGGGTCCCGGTGCCTTGGATGGCGCGGGGAGCCCTCTTGCCATTATCAAACACGGCGTGAACACTATCAATGAGCCAGGGTAGCTTCGAGTTGTACGTCAAAACAGCACTTGACTTCTTGCCCAGCTGGCTGGCGCGTGTGGACGAGCCAATGGCACCAGCAATTGTGTTAGGCTTTCCCTTTCCCAAGCTTCGAATGAGCCTGGTTCGAAACACATACTCACTTCGCCAGGTAGCAAGCGGCGTCAGTCTATCAAAGTAGCGAGTCTCGGAGCGCACAATGTCAGGTGAGGGCTCAGACCAAAGATCAGCAGAAGCTTTGATGAACTTGTCGCCAAGGCTAGCATGGCCAGGGAAATAGCGCAGAAAGGCCATGCGCCAGATGTGCGGTGTGGTGGCCAGCACATAGAAGCGTTTTGAGACGAGTGCGACAGCGCTATGAGAGTCCGGGTGCAAATGCGAAAGGATGTTGGTCAAGATCTCTGTCTCGGAGTTAGAATTGACACGTTCATCAACGCTGACTCGATTCAAGCGCAGTAACGGCGAGCGGAGGGGTGCGGCTAACCGTTTGGAATGTCTGTCAAGAGAGTCCCTCCGGGTTCTCCGGCAGAGCGCTTGATGACCTTGAAGCCCAGGGCCTGCCTAGGGATTGGCGGGGTGAGTGCGTTTTCATAGTCTGCAATCCTCTGTCCAGGGGCGGTGGCGAGGAATTTGTTGTGACGCTTGCCATTGGCATTGCGGAGCCTCAATCCAAGCAGCTTCTGGTCGAGCTGGTCGGCGTCGACGCCGTCGTCGACCGAGTCGCGTCGGCGAGCGTGCGATGATGACGAGCGGCTGCCGGAGGAGGCGGCAGAGTGCACTCGACAGAGACTGACGGGTTCGTGGTGAACGAGGCCATGTTGGGAGTTGGGGGATGATGCGGCGATGTTTTCGGGGGGGTTGTTCGATTCTAGTGTCGCAAGAGGCTCTTGGGGCATATAGCTAATTATCTGAGACGGGGGGGTGGTTAAACGGCTGTGCACTATTGTCTTTGCACAGTCGGGACGGCAGAGCGGTGAACTCGGCGGCTGGAGGCTTTCGGAAGGCTACGGTCTTTCCTGAGGTGGAAAAGGATGCGACGGGTTTGCTATGGGCAACGAGAGACAATAATTTTTTGTTGTTTGGGAGTCACTTTGGATGAAGATGGAGAAGAGAAAGTCGAATGTGTCACAAACTGCAGGTACTGTTCATTACCTGTACCTACCTGTTATATGGCGCGTTCCACAGGCCAAGTACCTCGAGGCGCCATACTAAACCACGAGTATATCAAGTACCTCGCCCCGTTTCGTTAGGGGGCCTTTTCTCCGGCAATGAACCGATCATCCGCTGGGCCTTGGCCATGACGCGCGCCGTGATGCTACATCATAACTTTGCCAAGTGCATGATGCAGAATCACCATCAGTTGACCGTGTGGCATGTCCTCTTCGCCCCTCTTGATAGGTTCGACCTGGTTTCCCCCGAGTCTGGTGGCAGCCAAGAAGCCAGCACCTTTCAAGCTACCGAGGACGCGCTGTCACGTGGTGCCGCCATGACATCGCATAGGCCAGACACCCCGCAGCATATCGTACCTATCTACAAATTATGTATCCGTACATAACCATGTAGTTGTTACCTCAGAGTGCAACATCATCTCCCTCATCTTGAGCGTGCACCCTACGTTCAATCTGGTAGCAATTGCAAGTTGATGATCGTTCGGGGCTCCCCCCACCAGCTCGCTGAGACATTCAGCATCAGACAACAATCTTTCCTCATCATCACACATGCCGCTCACCGACCAAGAAAGACATTGAGCGCAGTCGTTCTAAGTCCTGCGACACGTGCCTGCTGCACCTCACACGACAGTAAGCCGATATTACACTCATACTTACACCAACAGATATCAGAAGGATTGGTTTCCTCTCCGCAGAAACTGCATATGCCTTTTATGCACAAGATCGTGATCAAGAACTCCTGGAGACAGCCCAGACCAGTCGTACTATAGGCACTGCTAAGAGCCACTAACGGAGAAAAACGTGTACGAAAATACTCATCTACGACACACAACCACCGCTATTAGACGAATCTCGACATTCTGATAGATCCATGTAGAAGCGAGTTGTGGTCGGTCGGCCCACACCACCACAGCAACTGGAAGGCGGTCGTGGAAAAGATAATAAGAACCCACCCCATCGGCCACAGCATCACCCCGTCACGAGAAGCTACACCAAGCCGGCCACATCAGACCACCATGGCGCAGCCACACGACACGATGATATGAGCAGTCTCAGTGTGAGCACATGCATGCGCTAATAATGCTAGAAGACGGGAGTTTCCAAGGCCGAGATTCTGGCCAAAGCAAAGTCGCTTGCCAGTGAAGGCGCTCTGCATCGTGCCGTTGTGATGGGCTTATGATGGCGCATATTGCGAATCTGGCCTCCGTCTTGTACCTACGAGGCGGGCCCTGTTTTCTAATAAATACGACGTGCTAGAAGCTCTAAAATGCTTACTATAGACGTATAGATGTTGTAAGTGGAGGACGTCTCTGGTGCGCTGTCAGAATACTCCTCTAGTAACTACTGTGGTGTGACAGAACAAGAAGAAGAATAGGAATAAGGGTGATAGGGTGATAGGGTGATGATGGCGCCAATAGTAGTCTTGGAGCCTTGGGAGAAGGTACTATTGGTACTATAGGACTAATAATCCTTTTTCAATATCGCTCTACAACTACACAGATTTCGTTCTCTTAGATTGCCTGCTTGTTTAGGTGTACTATGGCGCACTCACCGAAAGTTATGTACTGCTCGCCGATCGCAAGTCTCGTCTACCCGCACCGTCCCCGAGCCATTGGTACAGTACACACCCCTCGGCTGCTCTGCTCAAGCTGGGTCACTGGAGGTATTCCTACTAGTGCAGTGCAACTTGAATCGCCAAGCAGAGGCCCCTCTCGAGTGCTCTCTGTCTTACTCGCACGCTATCTCTTGATTGTCGAAACAGTGTGCTTGTGTACAACGGTTTGGCAAGCCACTTCTGTTGCCCCCCCCCCCCCCCCCGTATGCGAGGTGCGGCCGCACATCTGGCTGGTCATGATTGCACCAGGTCTGGGTACAAACAGACAAATGAACCCGTGTCATCCGTTGCGAAGAAGTCAAAAAATGACTATAAAGAGAGAAGACCAGGATATAGTTAGGAGGATAAAGTACCCCGTGTCATGTCATGAGATATCCAAGACTCCCTCAACTGTCAGAAGTAACAATAATCAGTCAGATGTAATTTGTACTCATCAGCCAGTAGTGTAGCGTCACATCATCCTTGTATCCGCTCCCGAGCACCTGGTTCTGTATGCCACGCTGGCGTACCCGCCCACATCCCACATCCCAGCATGATATTGCTCGATTGCGCTTTTTCTGCACGACGGCTGCTTACAATACTACCAAATTGCTTTTTATTCGGTTTGGGAGGACCCTTGCCCATGTCATCGGATCGGGCCTGGTATTCCAGAAGTGCCCAAGCCGAGCGGTGTATTACTGCTGGCAGCTCCTCGAGAAAAGAAGAACAAAAGTACAAACATAAAAAGGGAATGGGCTTGTGCTTTGCATTGTGGCAAACTAGCTCCCGCCGCTATGGCGAGTCAGTCAGCAAGCCCACCGCGGAACAGCTTTTACCTCTTTTGCAGTGGCTGATTTACGGGCAAGGCGTGTTTGTGGTCTTGTCCGCCGAGGTGTAGTTGAATATAAAGCTTGAAAGCCAAGCTGAAATTGACAGTCTCGAAGCGGCACATGGTAACGAGTTGGTCGTACCTAGTTAGCGGGCCGTCTCCGTGCAGGGCTCTCCCCATGACATGGGACGGACGGGAATATATTGGACGGCGTCTGGCAGTGTTCCAGACTGCAGTGTGACGACATTTCTTATTTGTGGCTCCCGCTTCTCAGGCCATTTTCTTTGTTTCCCTGGCTGCATTCTCGCTTACCATTGCACCAGTCAGAGCCTGCCATTGTCCTGCGACTTGCCAACCCACTACCCCCGCATATTAGTGTAACTTGCTGCCCAAGCTGCCGGGACACAAGTGCCATGACCTGATGCGCAATCGAGGCAAAGTCGGAGGGGGGAGGGGCAAGTTTCCACCGAGGCTGAGCTGGCTTGCTGGCACTGCAGCAAAGGAGAAGGAGAGCGAGGGCGAGGAGGAAGAGGAAGAGGAAACAGGCTGGTGGTCTCCGGCAACGCTGCAGGATGCACGACGACAGATTCGGCGTGGTCGACGGACAGCAAGCGGCGAGAAGACGGCAGGCAGGTGTGGGATGGACCGAGTGGCGTGCAGACTCTTGTCCTTGGGTCGGTGGAGCTGGCCAGTGAGAAGTGCAGAGGGAAAAGACGAGGCGTTTGCGGGCCGACCCAGGAGCCTGGGAACAGGCTGGTGGATGGGTGGAATGGAAGAATTTGGTGGTGGTGATGGAGGAGGACGAATGGAGGACAGGCGGCGGGTGTGAAAGTGGAAAATGAAAATGACGAGTGGTAAGGGAAGTGGGGAGAAGGGGGTTGTCCGAACCCAAAGTATTTATCAAGGATTCGATGGTGATGAACGGGGGTAGGAATAAGGAATAAGGAATAACGGCATAAATACAAATACAGCAGGGTACCAACAGGCGACGGGATACCTATTTTGCGAAAGCCGGATAATTAGCAGGTAATGTATGTAGGTACTAAGCTATATTAAACCACCTAATAGCAGTATTAGCGCGCTGGCCGCTGCCATCAGTTACAGTGTGCAGGCTGTCCCTGTGCTTTGGGTCCTGTACCTCCAGGTACTACTAGTACCTTATTAGAGGTACCTCTAAGGCCAGGCAAGCCCTGAGCCTCTGGGCTTCAGCCGTCATTTCGCCGTTTGTACTGATAAAGTCCAACCATCAGCCACCTTCTCGTTTCTCGTTGCATCTTGCATCTTGCATCCCATCTAACTATTGATTGCAATTCATTCAATCCAATTACAGCCCACACCATCAAACCATCAACACCCTCTGTCTCTGGTCTTCCTTTCAACACACCCTCCACACACCCCCCGGTCCGCCACTGTCCCATCCATCTATCCATCATCCCTACCTGCATCAGAGATCAGTCTTTTGCTGCACACCTTGACACCAAAAACTAGTTTTCCTCCTCCACCGATAGCCGACACCTCTTTCTCTCCCAAAGCAGAGCGCCTCTCCCCCTCCCTACCTATGTAGCATTGCTTCTTTCACGTCTTCCTTCATCGTATCGCCTCCACTCGCCCACCTCCTGCAACCTTTTCCTCTTGTCTCGCCTCGTTTTACCTCTCCTTCCTACCAGTCCCTATTCTCGCCTTGGCCCAATACAGAAGCAAAATCTTTGCCTGCCGTCACATAGTCACTGACTCCGTCTCTGTCCTTGACTTCCTCACTCAACTCACTCAACTTACTCAACTCACTCACACCTTACTACACACCTGCCACTGTACATCGCCCTCAGCCAGTACCACACGGAACTCGAGCCACCCGTCGCCATCCCTCCCACGCCAGCGTCAACCTACTGGCCACATATTCCTATTTATAGCCAGCAACTTGATCTCTCGCCATCTCTCTGCTTCTACCTTTGCCTTGACGCCGCTTCTTCCCACCTACTTACTTCCTGGGCACTTCTCATCTCGCCCGCCGAACGCCCAGGTTGTCAAATCATATCCTCTACCTACACACGTCACTCACAACAACACCATGAAACCATCGGTCAAAGGCTCCTTCAAGGCCAAGGCCTCCTCAAGGTTAGTCCAGCACCCTTCTCATCTGCCTGCAATTCTCTGTTTCCTTCGTTGCATCGCACACCCCACTGACACAACCCAGCCATACTACCACCCATAATACCACGGCTCCCATCTTCACCGTCTCAAAGTCGGAAATCGTTGAGCAGCGCGGCAAGGCCATCTCGACACGCCTTGGCATTCAAATCTCGACCTGGGAGATGAGAACCACGCAACCGGATGAGACGGTGCTTCGCCAGGACAAACCAGTCAGCCTTCGTCTCCGCTGGTATTGTCACCGATGCAATAGCGACATCAACTCGCAGGGATCATGTTCCAACTGCGCTCATGTCCGCTGCAGGATATGTATCCGTCTTCCGGGAGACCATGATGTAGATGACGATGCAGTTGGTATGATACCAACCCAGAGCCGCTACCAAGCCAACGATGAGGGCTACCATGTCCCCGGTTCCGATCGTACTGCCGCTGGTATCGTTCGTCAAAGACGCAGCAATACTGGTGGGCACGATCTAGTTCTCAGAAAGCCCCGTCACCGAGTAAGGCGGACTTGCCATGTCTGCAAAACCGACTTCGCCCAGCTTGGCCAGACAATTTGCGACAAGTGCGAACATGTTCGCTGTTCGGACTGTCCTCGAGACCCGTAAGTCCTTCTAACCCGTGCCATCACATCATTTATGATGTGGTGGCATATTGCCTCGTTTCCCCACAGCATCCACGGCGAATGATAGGAAACTAACATGCATATAGACCGAAACGCAGCAAATACCCGTTCGGCTATCCTGGTGATGTGTTCGGTCCCAACAGCATCCCCTACTACGAATGCATCAAATGCTGGGCGTTGTACCCTCCACATACAGAGAACGGCACTCCTTGCAGGAGGTGTGGCGAAAAGAAGTCGGATAGCTCATCCCGGGCCCAACCGCGCGCCGTCGACCCAGACTACGATCCAAATTTCTTGCTGAAGCTCGAGGCAAAGCTCGATGCGCTCCAGGCGCAAGGTGCGGATCCTTTTCTAGATCCATAGAATGGACTACAGCCGTCACTTACCGGAGAACGCTTTATTTCCGCCCGGAATTTATGTCCTATCACGATTTATGGATATGATGATGGGCTCTTTTTACTTTTTGCAGACTAGATCATGCCCCGCGCGTCGTACAGGAGCAGTGATATGAATCAACGGTAATATCGGGCTCTTATTCAATGTTATTATTTTATTAGAGATTTTTGCTATTTAGGTATAGAATCACCAGTCTAAAATATCCGAGATAGGTACAAATTAGACACTAGGAGGTATAGAAAGGGATTTCAGTATACATTTAGATGGCAGGGCTACGTATTTCGGTTGAGCAAGGGTCACCAGCAGATCAGAGGGCACCTTGTCAGCGCAAATTGAGGGCGTTCTTATTGTTTGCTTTTCAAGTTATGTGGCTTTCTCTTCTTTCGCGTTTCGGGTGGTGAAATTAACTCCCTTTATCGTAATTTGTACTCAAGTAGAACTTCGGAGTACATCCGATCTTACCTGACAAGTACTGTATATGACCGAGGAGTAAAATGCCGAGACTAGAAAAATCTCCACTCTCTCTCTAGTCAGTGGACAATCGCAATCATTAATCATTTGTATGCATTTGTCTAACCCGTTCTATTTTTCCTTCCCAACGCTACTATGAGAAGCCAACCGCATCTCAGTCTACTCTGTGTTGGCATATCACAGGGTGAACCTCTAGGATTACATCTGGTGCATCCTTTTTTACTTATTATGTAGTAAATCAGTCATTTGGTTCTCACCTGCATGGGTGCCGACTTCCATCTCATTTTCCAGTACGGAGGATCCGTAACTACAGGGGGGGGGCAATCAATGCAATGGACACGCATCTTCTCCGTACTATGGCCAGGTCCCTCAATTTCAACATGGCAAGGGAGGACGAGATGTGACAAGAAGGCCCCGCCACCGCGCCATTCGCACGCAGGCTCTCGGAGGGTTCTCCGGACGAGGCGTTTCGAACAAGGAGGGGTCGCAAGGGCCATGGACCGCCACGCCACGTGTATGTGCGTCTTTGGTCTTCTTCCTCCCCTTGGTCACGGCGAGACCAGATTCAACAGAAACGGAGGCCCAATCGAGAGCCGTGCCCCTCTGTTGGGACACACGCACGACTGCATCCTTGTTCTCTCATGAGCCCGCCCGCGGCCCAGTCTGCGTTGGAGGAAAGACGAAAAGGCTGTGGTTATGCGTGTGTGCGTGGCGCACCGAAACATGGCGGTTGATGCGAAATTGACCGGCTGGGGGCTTAAAACTGTGTTTTTTTCGGCCGGGTACATAGTCCTTCGCATGCACGCGATGCATCACTTTTCGGAACCCGTCTTCTCTCTTTTTTTGCATGGTATTATTACCGAAATCTCGCGTCGTTCATCTCCCTCGACGTTGGGGTGACTCTTTTGTAGAGGCCGTCTGCCATCCTGCTTGCGAATTGTCAACCCTATGGTAATGCTAACAATCAACATATACGGATAGTTAGTCTCTCGATTCCCTTGCAGCTGAGAAGAGAGACTCCATAGTCTCTCGCGTGCGTCTAATAGTTACATATTTTTGGTCTTTCCACTAGTCTTTTCCACCAAGCTGGCGCGCCGCTCACGCTCGCCTCATATCTTCCCGCACAAACGGCTCCAGGTTTAGTCTGGCGCCTGCAGGCACGCTCGCTCCCAGCGTCAGCAGCCTGTTGACCTGGCGACCGAGGTAGCGTCCCACGCCGTCCATGCGGCTGTTGAGGTAGGGGTGCTGGTCATCAATCTGCCGGCGCGCCACGGCGGCTTCAAAGACGGACGGGTTGAGGATGGGCATGATCCGGTGCGCCGGGTACAGCCGGCCGCGGATCGATTTTTCCTTGAGACGCACGCCGTCGCCCACCACGATCCAGCCGTGCGAGGTCCCCGGCTGCACCTGGCTCCTCCAGTGCGTCTCGTCCCGCAGGGCAATGGGCAGGTGCTGCATGGGCACGAGCGTCGAGGGGTCGGCGCCGGGGTCGGCGCGCTGGTAGAGCGTGCCGCGGAAGAAGATGGTGCCGGGAAAGTCGCCCGAGGTGTAGATGAATCGCAGTCCCATCACAACAAGGTCTTCGGACACGACGCTGAGCTCTGGTGGCAGATTTCGTACGCGCAGACAGTCGCCCACCTCGATGCGCTCGGCGCCGAGGAAGCATCCGTAATATGTAATCGTCTTGGCATGCACATCCTCTGACATGGCTGACCACAGCGAGTTGGACCAGTCCACCTTGGAAGCCGCCAGTTTTGACGCGTCGAGCAGAAGTAGATCCCGCTTCGAGGGATCCGCCCCAAACTCGCGAAACTTTTCAGCCCACGGTATTTCATCGAACGTCTTGTCATCCAGCTCCTGGATCGCCACTGGAGGTACGCTAAATGCTTGAAACGGCCTCATGTCCTTGTCGTGCTTGGCGACATTTTGCTGCGGTATCACGCCACTGCCTAGGGGTAGCAATTCGTGAACACCGGGCTGCTGTGGATTTTGTGATGCAATGATGCCCAGACGCCATGTGTTGCCATTTTGAAACCACACTTGCTCTCCCACCCGGAAGAGGATGGGTGATTGCAGTGACCACCCCGTGTTGCGTTGCTGCTGGGTCTGCTGCTGGCTTGTCAGGTGCGTGGGCTGCCGTGCCTGTCGCTCCGCCTGTTGTTTCTTAAGTTGCTCTTGCTGTGCTGCTGCTTGAGTCTGAGCTTGGGCTGCCGCCTTCGACTCCGGTTTGGCCTGCACTGGTTGCACCTTGGGTACAGATTCCGTTTGTCTAAGCGCCGGTTGTCCGGGAATTGTCGGTAATGGTACTGGCGTAACTTTTGGCAGTGCTTTTTCCGGTTGAACCTGCTGCAGCGTTGGTGTGCTACTCGTCTCGTCCAGCGCCGCGGCCAGCTTTGCCATGTTGGGTGAGTTGCAATGGACACAACAGCAGTCTTTGTATTCCTTCGATGATGATAGCAGCCATATCAGATGCGCAGCAAACTCTTGTGGTGTCTTGAACAGCTTCGATTTGACCGGGTAGCCGGATACCCAAATGTGCTTGGATTTTTCATATGGCCAGTATCCGCGAGGAAAGTCTACAAACCATGAATTTCCTTCTGATTGGTTCGTCAATATTGCTTCATGGCTAGGGCCCAACTCCGTTTTCGCGGAACTTACCATCAGGATGGGGTGATAGCTCCATCTTTAGAATAATCCCTAGCTTAACTTTCCATTCAATATAGCGTGGGTCATCGTGAGCTAGCCGTATCATTTGTGGCTTCGACCTAGGTGCTTTGTCTGTTGCCTCCTTGGTAGGCTTCTTGGGCGCGGGTGCGGTTACTGGCCAGTAACCTGGGCCTGTGTCTGCGCCATCACTTCGCGCGACGCGCACGACGTCAAATTCCTTCAGGTCTGCCATTCTCAGCTTCTACCGGTAGTCTGGGCGCGCGTCACAGCATGTGCCGACAGCTTCACCTTCAGAGCACTGACTGCCCTTGTTCGGCGGCGTCTCTCTCCTGTTGGCCAGTGGACAGAAGCTCCCGAGGGAACTGTCGGGGGGGTTCGGGAGAAATTTCGGGTCCCTGTCGTGGTCAATTCGTATTTACTGGTCTACGCGCGCCAATTGATATATGCGCCACGCAATACCGCCCTATGGGTAGAGAAGCTGCGCTTGGTTGCTTGATGAGATGAGGTTGGCAAATTCCAGCAACGGTTTGTGGTAGAAGTCGCCCAGGCTGGATGAGTCAGCATACGATGACCACACTACCCTGAATCTCATACCCTTTTTCGGCGGCCTTGTCCGGCGTTAATTGAGCTGGAAACTTGTGAAAATTTGCCTTAGTCCGTGGAATCTGTGTTATCTCCAGGTCAAATCAATACTCGTGTAGCGGAGGTCTCTGTATCTGGGTGGCTCTAGGATTACAATACCCCGAGAGTGAGTACCTATGTATAATAAGGTGACATCCCGAAGTACAATCACCTTTTCTGGTACAAAGCTACAGTATTGATTTTACAGTATATCCATGAAAATAAGCTACAGTCTGTGTCAATTGACATACAGCCATACAGCACGGAAGAGCAAGAGTTAACCGACATTTCACTGATTTTGCTCAGCGTGGCTAACTGAACAGCTTGGTGCGGCGCCCCACGTACCAAGATCAAACGCGTAAAGAGGACGCGCTCAGCCGCCCCTCCATCAGGTAATCACCCAATTTTCGGAAACAACGTCAGACACAACACAAAACGGCACAATGGAAGTCGATGTCGGATCGCGCTACAATCATGCAAACCGGGCATTCCTGCAGGCCATGATTTCGAGGAGTTCCATGACCTTTCGCGAATCGCGCCCTGTTATCGCTGCCATCCTCAATGCCGACAACGACGGCGACCAAGTGCGGCCAGAACAAATAACGGAAGAAGCGTTTGAAGAATTCATGGCTACAGCCCGAGAAGCTGCCTCCCTATTCGACTACGAAATACGAAGAACACAACATCAAATTACCAAGGAACGAGTTTACGCCTTTGTCAATACTTCCTCCGACCCCCAGACGCAACTCGCGACAACGTTTAGCCATGACGAGCTTGCTTTTGTTAAACGAGCCCTCGAAGCCATGTTTGACAAATACAATAAACCACGAATGGAAGTCATTGCCCTTACCGGCATGCAAGCTGTCAAGCTTGCGAGACCAAATCGTCGTGAGAGCGCTGTTCCTCGAAATGAAGACGAGGGGACTCAGACCCAGACCGCCGACAAAGGGCTGAAGCACAGCGAGGTAGAAATAGCGCTGGAGAATCTCGTGGGTGGTGGATGGTTTGAGAAGAGCAGGGAGGGGTTTTATTCGCTTACACCGCGGGCTCTCCTCGAACTGAGGCCATGGTTGCTCGGCACATTCAACGATCCGGACGCGGGAGAGGGAGAGTGGCAGCGGATCAAGTTTTGCGAGGCATGCAAAGACATTGTGACAGTGGGAGTGCGATGCATAGAACCTGACTGCAACGTTCGAATTCACGACATCTGCGAGGAAGCCTTTTGGCGAACGAGACGGAGCAAGAATTGCCCCAGATGCTCGAGAGAGTGGGCGGGAAATCTGTACGTAGGCGAGCGGGCGGTGACATCTACACAGGCATACCAGAGAGGCCGTCGTCAAAGCGGTGGCAGACGAGGAAATCTGGCCGACGAGGTCGTACTGCAGGCCATGGCTGAGTATGAGGCGGAAGACAATGAACAATGAGATGACAAAGAATGGAGAATAATGGCAAACCCCGTGTAATTAGCGATACCCACAGTATATCCGTACAATTGTCTTATGTGCGCCGATACAAGCATACCTTTGTGCATGTACGAATTAGATAAGGTACAACAAAGTCTGTGGCGGGTACCTGCATGTACTGTAAGGTGTAGGCGATTGGGTGGCTGGGCATTGTTTGTTGGGCTGTGTTTGAGGTCACGACGATGTTTAGTTGGATGGAAGTGATGAAGGAAACCAAGGTAGGTACCTAGGTACCTAGGTAGCCATTTTCCATTAAATTTCATTGATTCCAGTAAACCGACACCTTATACCCCGTAGAATTCGGCCAGTAGAACCAGCCGCTAATCTTGCCGTGCGGTACCTGTCTGGGGCAACTGTATAAGAATACCAGGTACGAATTAGGTACCTACTAACCCACCTACCTGCCTGCCTCGATCACAAGCTTGTGGAGTTCAGCTGGGGATGGTGCTGAATGACGTCGCATCCACTGGTGGCAGTGCCGGGGCGGCCTCTTCCCCAACAGCGCTAATATGGAATTCAAGCTCCAAGCCCCGTACTTGAAACAGTACATTAACTCATCGAGGTCGCCGTCGCTCGAATTGTCCTTCGATTCTACAAAGTCTGCTGTGCAACTCCGAAGGCCATCCCATATACCCCCAGAATCAACTACCCTGAAACGCCGCTGAGTCTGCGCACAGCCACGATGCTCGAATACTTTACGTACAAAAAGGTCAAGAAACACAACGCCGAGAAGAAGGCCAAGGAAGAGGCAGAAAAAGCTTTCGCCGACGATGCCGCCACCGCCGACGACATGGACAATAGAACGGCCAAGTTGCTAAAGGGCAAAGAGCGCGACGACGGCACCGGCACAGTGGACGCGGTCCTACGTGAAGCCGACGAGCGCTTCATCGAGAACCTCCTCGCCGAGCACGACGGCCCCGCGCCGCCCCTGCCGCCCCGCGTCCAAGTTTTCGACATGGACTGGCACTCCGACAACGAGGCGTCCGTCATCGCCGAATCCTCTACAAAAAGCGAGGCCGCGACCAAGGAGGCGGTCAAGGCGGACAAGAAGCCCAACCGCCTGGCCCTCCTCTTTACGCGCCACAAAAAGGCCGAGGACGGGCTCAAGCCCGAGGACGCCAGCCTGACCCTCACGGAAGCCGAGCGCGAGAAGAAGGACCTCGGCAACGTGCTGGACCGCCTGAACCTGACGGCCAAGAACAACAAGGTCGTGCCCGGCGGCGGCGGGGACGCGGCGGCGCTCCTAGCCAAATTCACCCAAATCTTCAAGGACCTCGTCAGTGGAGTGCCTACCGCGGTCGACGACCTGACAAGTCTCGTAGAGGACCGCGACGGCACCATTGCCAAGGGCTTCGACAAGCTGCCCTCGTCGCTCAAGAAGCTCGTCACGCAGCTGCCCGACAAGGTCACTTCTACCCTCGGCCCCGAGATCCTTGCCGCCGCCGCCGCGAGCCAGGGCATCAAGGCCAGCACCGACGACGGCCTCAAGGGCACCGCTAAGAAGATCTTTTTGCCCCAGAACCTCCTCGAGCTCGTCACCAAGCCCGGCGCCGTCGTCGCCATGCTTCGCGCCATTGTCGAGGCGCTCAAGACGCGCTGGCCCGCCTTTATCGGCATGAACGTCCTCTGGAGTGTCGCGCTTTCATGTAAGTCTTGTCTGCTGAGTGGAAATTTGTGCTCGCCCACCTTTGCTAACCGCCCGAGGAACAGTGCTGCTGTTTGTGCTGTGGTACTGCTACAAGCGCGGTCGTGAAACCCGCCTGGAGCGCGAAAAGTCGGAGAATGACGAGAATGAGGCGATTCGTGACAGCGACCGCTTCGAAGAGCTCCCAGATGACCTCATGCTGCCTGCACCACCTCGTACAGAAGTAACGCCCCCGGAAGAGACAACGGCGGCTTCGTCTAGCCGGGAGCGGAAGGAGCGTGAGGCAGTGGCAACCTCTAGCAGGGCTAAATAACTACAGGCTGGCCTGTTGCAATGATTTTTTATGACGCTTAATGACAGAAATACCTAATTCAACACACTGGTTTACTTGAGCGAGTGAAGGCAATGCGCCCGAAACGTCGGCAGATATTTGCTCATTGCGTAATGGTGTATCATTATTCATGGGAACGTGATTGTAGTTATTAATGAAGTACATTCTTCAATCCTCTTCCACTAGTTCTTTGATTTCTTCGCGGCCGGGGGCCAGATTTACTGCTTCCGTCTTTGCGTTTACCCCCTCCGAGGCTGAGCCGTGGCCCCCATCTTGCATCCAGAAATCCACCTCGTCAATAATATCGTACACAACGTCTTCTGCGACTTGCTCCTTGTACCTGTCTGATACTGCTCGCAGCTTCTTGCCCTGGGGCTCTGATTGCGTACCGTCGAAATCAGGAGGCGGATACCAAAAATTTGGCCCAAAGTTGACTTCTGCCGCTCCGCCGCGGAATACACTAATGGCTGGGTAGTACCCAAGCATGCCATCGTCGAGACCATCGCGAGCGCCAACTTGCGGCATGAGTGGCCGCGAAGCCGGGGGCAGGAAACCTAGTAGGTTCTCGAATGGCGTTCCCATGAGCACCCCGTTTTTGTACACCTTGATATAGGAATTGGGAAGTGTTCGGAGGGCAGGCGTGGAATGCGTCGGATGGGGTGGGTGTGAGTTGACGCTGGCGGCTGTGGATGGCGATGGATTCATAAGGTCCTCTAGCTCCCGCGTTGTGTGATACTCGATTTTCTCAAAGTAGGTATGTGCCTTGAAGCGAATTGGCACGCGATCGCGCACAATATTTGCTCCTTCGGCCGTCGGGGGTGGAGGCTCGTCAGCTGCATCGACTGCAGGGTGGTATTGGCCCGCCATGATCTTGCGTTGCAAGCGCTCGGATGGCAGCTGAATTTCCAATCCAATAACATCGCCTTCGCGAATGCCCTCGCCCGCTGGAAAGAATTCCTTTGGACGGGACATGTGAACCTTTTCTCCCGCGACGTCGCGAATACCGTAACTGTAAGCATCAAAGCCAACCGGCGCATCTAATGACGCTTCTCGCCTCGCCCACCCCATGCGAATATGCTTGCCGCCCTCCGGTTTCGTCTCTCCCGGTGGCGGAGGTCGCACTCCTTGGGCGATTTTGCACTCCCAGTACCACCTACCCTCTCGTACCGCAACATTGGCGCGCGCCATGCGGAAGCCTCTATCAGTGGTAACTGTCCGCGCCGACTTGTCAAAGAAGACGTGCGACGCGGCATCCTCAAAGCTGAACCGGGGACCGAAAGGCTCGGGCTCAGTCTGGCGATAGTAGATCATCGAAGGAAAACGTGGGTCTGCTATGCAGTGTGTATATCGAAAGTTCTTCTTATTGGCGACACTGTAATGGTGATCAGCTAATGGCGAGTCCAAGGTGGCGGCTCGTTATATGCCGGCGAAGCATACTGATCGGATGTCTCAAAGAACTCTACAGCGTCACCTTCACACATGATGGCCTCATGGTGAAGTGTCAGGACCGGCCCTCTCGGCGGGTCAAAGTCGGAGGGCTTGGGTGGCGTGAGCTTGTAGCGCAGTGGACTTGAGTTGCTCTGCTCGATTTCTGTGTCGGCGGCTTTGGGGTCAGGGGTCGCGGGAATACTTTCGCCCTTGGCTTCGCGCTTCTTGAATGTCTCCTTCTTCATTCTACCGGGCTTTGCGCGTGCTTGTCCGTCATCGTCTGTCTGAGAAGGTGGATCCGCGAATTTCACATCGGGATTCAAGGGCGATGGCCGCGCCGGGCTGTGCACCTCGTCAATGGCGCGCTTCTGAGGGATTGAAGACACAGGGGCCGTGAGCGCAGGCTCCTGTTTGGGAACTTCCGAATCAGAGGCCATGATGTGCTAGCTGGCGGAGTTGGGTAGGTACAAAGTAGTTGATGCAGCTTGACGAGTTGGACGCGACGCGAACCAAAGCTACACTATTACGTCAGCAGGCATATATGCACAGATACATATGTAGTCTATCTAGTTAAGTATAGATTAGAAAGGATCTAAAGGAATAGGGGAAACAACTAAAATAAAGAAGATCAGAGGGGATAAAAGTATAGAGGTAGATAATATAGTAACAATCAAGAGACTATCAAGAATAAAGAAGATGACAGCATGTTAACTACAAACGTAGGTACATAGCATTGGAATGCAGGTTGCTCGGATCAAAGATTGATTTCAACTGATAAGGTTAGCGCGGCCTCGAGGCTTGAGCTAGGTAAGTTGTGGCTCCCTTTTTTTCGGGCGGGTCGCTTAGTGACCTATTACAGCGAGGCAAATGTCATCAACAGGCTTTTGCATCAACCAGCAGTGTCAGCGCACGCTCAGAGACCCCACCTGGACAATCTTGGTGGTGATCCGTCCCAAGTCTGGTGCCTGAAAAGCATCAAATCAAGTACCGAAGCCGGCGAGAAGCACTGAGTGAAAGTCGATATCTTGAGCAAAGCAGAGCAGGCAGCGCCACGAGAGACGCCGCAGCAGATAGGGTAAACCACTCGCCCCGACTTTGGCGCTGTCCAGGTTGACCGCCACCGACTCGGAGTTAGCTGGACTCGCTATACTTTCGGCAAGCGTCACGACTAAATAAATTGGCCACTCGGCCCCAGGTCTACTGAGTCCCTACCTACGAACAGGTAGCTGCGCCGACCGACCTACCTACTAAAGCACAACTGAACTGTTTTCATCGCGGGCCCCTCGGAGGACATTTGCCCTCTTGCAGCCACAACAATCTCCTCGACTCGGCCAGTTAATGCGCCTTGGAACACTGCTATCGCATGCCTATCACAGCCCTGCTCCTTGTCACGCCATATACCCTACCTATTTTCGCCTTGGCCACAACTTGGACGTAGGGGGTCACGTTGGCGTCAAAGTCTGCCGCGTTGTTTGATTTTCCCGGCGCTGGACAATCGCCACCTGCTTCGGCCTGGCCAGCAGGCTTTTCAACTTTAACAGTTGCAGCCCGCTGGGCCTCGTACACTTGCGTTTCGGCAACCTCGCATAATCTGATGCGTCGTGCGCACCGTTTATGACACTACGCCAACTATCGCTAGCGCACCAACTACCAACACTGCCATCAATTTGATGATGGCTGATGCCTCACGGCCAGCGGCAACTCTGTCGCAGCCGCGAACAGCTTTGCCATCGCGGCCCCTTTCTAAGGGTCGTGATGGTTCGGCTGCCACAGGTCCCTCGCGACCCTCACCGGACGGCGACAACCAGAGACACCCCCTGAAGAATGGAAGCAGAAGCCCGAGCGCAACCGGTACCGCCGAGTCGTCTTCAAAAGGAGCTGGATCTAAAAAGAAGCAACAATCCGGTTCCTCCTCTAGCCATAGCCAAGTTTGCAGGTATGTCACCACAGCGTATTCAGAGCGAAGAAGATCAAAGCTGACCCTGTCAACAGCAACTGTGGAACGACAGAAACGCCGTTATGGAGAAGATCACCGCAAGGTGCAACCATATGTAACGCTTGTGGGCTTTATTTGAGGGCTAGAAACTCAGCCCGACCAACGAATCTGAAGAAACCACCGAAAGTAGTCTCTGCAGAACCGCCCCGGGCAAGCACACCGAAAGCCGGCGGCTCTACGCAAGATTCTACGCCGAAAGTCGCTGGAGCTACCTATGTTGCTGCAGAAAAGACGCCATCGGGGACATGTCCTGGAGGTGGACGTTGTAATGGAACAGGTGGTGCAGAGGGCTGCAATGGTTGCCCTGCCTACAACAACCGCGTTTCGAAACTCAGCATGCTACAACGGCAAGGTGGCTGTCAAGGAGGAGACGAAGCAGCGAACAATGCGCCGGCCCCTATCGATGTGAATGCGCTTCAGGCGCAGCAAAGCCAACAGTCGTCTGTGATTATTGCGTGCCAGAATTGTGGCACTACAATCACGCCGCTCTGGAGACGAGATGGAAACGGCCATGTTATCTGCAACGCATGCGGTATGTAGCCGAGAAGAGACGGCTATCTGATTATCAATGCTAACATGGGATTGCTATAGGGTTGTACTACCGGCTGCATGGTGTTCACCGGCCGGTCACGATGAAAAAGGCAACGATCAAGAGACGCAAGAGAGTCATTCCTTCAAACCAGGAGGAGGAAGGAGAAGACGGGGATGTGGCAATGGACTCGCGCAGTAACGAGACAACACCCGAACGCGGGACGGTGAATGACGACGGCTCTATTAATCTCGGAATACGACATAAGCCCGAGGATCCTGTACCGATGGATTTGGATACGCCGCTGCATGACGCGAAACAACCGTCGCCGCTGCCGACGTCATTACCACATGCGTCGGATTTGGCAGCATATCGTCAAACACTATCGTCGTCTCGAAATACGCAGTCGTCTCTCAACAACGAGAACCGACTACCACCCCTTGCATCAATGACAGGGGGTTCCGAGAGACAATCGTCTCTTTCACCATCTTCCTTTATCTCGCCTCGCCGAAAACGATCCTTTTCAGCCACTGATTCGGTTGCTGCCGTTGGCACAGAAGGGGGCTACGACAGCGCGAAGCGTGTGTCTTCTATCAGGGATATCTTGAACCCAGCCTCAGGTTCCTATGAAGGAAGAGACGGTAAATCAGAGTACTCACTTCCGCCGCTTCGATCTTCCGGTGAAGGATTCACACCGGTCAACCGAGCGAGTGCCTATTCGTCGCGCGATGGTACCCCGATACATGGTACGCACGAGAACGACAAAAAGGCAGAACGAACGCAACTTCTGGAAAGAGAGACGGAAAAGATCCGCGAAATGCTCGCAGCAAAGGAGCGAGAGCTAAATCACCTCAGAGCCAGCTAATTGACCACCAATGGGTTCTGAGTTGAATGGACCGATGGGACGACGGCTGCAGAATGATTGATGAATTTCTGTTTTATGGCGAGGAGCTACGGGATAGGCGGAATGCATGGTTACGGAATGAAGAGGGCGAAGGCGCTTTGGGATCTTAATCTTTTATATTTTAAATGTTGTTTACGAGATAAGTTGGAAAAATGAAACGACTGTGTGGGATGTTTGGTTGGACGCGAGACTAGAGCTGGAGGGATTGGAGATGTTGAGTACTTTTGCTTCTATTTTAGATAAAACAGGCCTGCCCGGGTTGGTCGGTTCATAGCACTGGAGGTAGAGCGTTTATTCAAAACTTTTTGCACTAGCCGAAGCTATTCTAACATTTGGCGAAAGTCAAGAAGAGCCAGCCAAGGAAGCACGTTTGCACAGCATAATATGTGGAGCTGTACCGATATGAAGCATACCGAATGAGTCAGAGCAACTCGCTTCAGGGTAAGGGCATGGGCATAGGCCGTGAATATGAGGGCCACCGATGTTGCGAGGTCAAGCTATGGTGCGAAAGGCCGGGCATGTGAGTCCGAGTCCGCCAACTTGACGCTGAGGCGTAATAAGTACGAGTAATTATTAAGCGTTAATAAAAGCCACTAGTTAGACTAGTTAGGGCCTTTGAGCCATAAGAGGATAGACTACTAGGGGTTGCCAGCCACGAGCCCCCCCCCGCGCTGAGTAGGGGCATGGGGACACCGTTGTATTATTAATGTAGCAAGAAGGGGGGCTGTTTGGAGAAGTGCGTCCCCCCCCTTTTTTTAACGGTGCTGTCTCGTCGAGCTCTCAAATTCTTCCTCATGTGGGTGCTAATAAGTATCGTCTTCCACCAGAATAGGCCTTCACATGGGCTTGAAGCCATTGGGAAAGCTCCTAACTTGACAAAGGCCCGGGCCACAAGGCTCCAAACCCCGTTCCATTACGCCCCCAATTGGCCCACATTTCTGCTTTATTCGTCATGGTCTTCCCCTTTCTCTCTCTCCTTTTCCTCTGCGTTCATCACCCTCACCAGCATGTAAATTCCTCGCCTACTCCAGCTGGTATTCACCTGTGACCACAATGGCGGATGACGAGATTCCGTTCCCCCCAGGCTTTGGAGTGAAGGACATCGTAGCCTGGGGGAGCACTGGTCTCGTTGTCCTTGATTCGGCCACACAAACAGTTATAAAAACACCATTCGACCCAGAGCAGGACGCACTTATTCAGAGAGAACGAGAGATCTATAAGAGGTTAGTCGAAAGGGGGAAACACCCGGGTACACTGTCATACATTGGCGAAGTCAACGGAAACAGCATACGTCTTGAGTATGCCTCGAATCATGATATGCGGTCCTACCTTAAGCAACAAGGCGTTGATTCAGGTACCCGGCTTGGTTGGATGATCCAGATCGCCGATGCTCTCGCTTTCGTTCATGACGCAGGCATCATCCACGGTGATCTCACGAGTACAAATGTGTTCTTAGACGACAAGATGAATGCCAGACTGGCCGATTTTGCAGGATCATCCATCGACTCATCGGCACTCCTCATCCACGTTACTCCCAGCCACGAATACCCAGGAAACCTCTTGTCGCCGCAAGGAGACATCTTCGCGTTGGGCTCTGTATTCTACGAAGTCACGACTGGGAAGAGGCCGTACGCCGGGCTCGACGATCACATTATCAGGTCAAAGTTTCAGAAAGGAGACTTTCCTGACGTATCGTCTCTAGGCGGCTTAGGGCACGTTATCAGGACCTGCTGGGATGGTGGCTATGAGGACAGCAAAATTTTGGTCAAAGATCTTGAAAGTCGGTGATTGACTTATTGTTCTCTTGTGGATTATCTAACTCCGACGACACAGCACTTCGAGATGCGGAAGACATGGTCCCGGCCGACGCATTCCTTCATTCCTTCGAGTCTTCATCGGCATTGCTGCCATCACCCTGATGAGCGGCATCCTTGTCAGATTAGCGAGAACATCGCATCGCGTGTTGCAGATGTACTCATGAAAGACACTTTGGGCATTTGCCCGGCCGAAACGTTGTACCGCACTGTCGTAGTTGTGTCCCGATGCCCCCGCATCCGGCCTGTAAAACCAGCCCACCGACATGCAGGCAGCAGGCAGGCAGCAAGGCAGGCAGCAGCGGCCGTGACTGGACAAGGGCGAGATGTAGTTGTTGGTAGTGACGCGCCTGTGTCGTGCCAAGAAGAGGACAATTCAAATCGTCAAGACATAGCATAGCCATGGCGTATGCTGAGGAAAGATGAATGAATATGTACGGAAACCACCGTGATTTTAGCCGTGCTTGTGATGGGGTCTGGCTTTGAAAAGCTCAAGAAAGTTGAGTCCGACTTCGGCGCTTGCCTGGCAGCAAGGCTGATGGAGAAACTACAAACGGCTTTTGAGCTGCGAAAAGCAGGGCTCGAGTCCAACACACCATCCTGATATCCTGATCCTGGGTGTGGGTGGTGCATTGCAGATCTAATGACGCGGGGGAGTCATCTGAGCATATCAATCTCGGCCTGCGTCGGCGCGCGTGGTGAAAAAAATATCCGCGACTAAGCTATCAGTTGGAGATTTGGAGACTGGAGAGTAATCAAAACCGCATCTCTTTTTTTTTTCTGCGCCAGCAAGAGGAAACAGTCTGCGGGGAGTCCACATTGGGAAGCCGCGTGGCGGGCCCGGACCGATGACGGCCAAACGAGGAAGAGGAAGACGGAAGCCGGGAGAATGAGATGGAGAGTTCTGGCGAATGGGAGAAGCCGGCCGATACCAAAGCTGGCGGGAATGCGGGGAGAATCGAGAGTGTAGTTGAATCATGCGGTGGGGGTCTCATAGAGTTGAATCAAACGATGATTGCAGACGGGTGTTGCATTTGGCATATAGGCACGTATAACACGTATAACACGTATAACACTGAATGATGTTATTTTGTAGAATATTTTTCGTGTAATAATTGTGTGGCGTCGTCATGAGTCCTGGTTTGGGGAGTGAGTGATGTGAAGGAAAGGCATGAACAGGGGCCTAGGGACTGCTCGTCTGTTTTGCGACAAGATGTTTATTTGAATTGAGCAGGTTTTGATCGTGTGATGAGAGCGCATTGCGGGCACCAATGCCAATTGTGATTGTATATCTGTATGCATGGTGTCCCGAGGCGACATGGCGTGCTCAGCTCAGTTGTCAGTGTGGGTGTCAGGCGCCCCGGAACGGTGAAGCCCGGTCAGACGGTTATTTCCACATTAGATGGTTCGAAGAGTTGCAGCTAGGCTATTCGGGTCGGCATAACTAGCCCATGGCCTTGATAACTAGTTGGAGTTCGTGTTTCGCAACTTGGCGGGCGCGAAGAAGGGCGCGGATGACATGGGTTCCACAGTGGATTTTTTTTTGACTATCACCGAGTACATCTATTGTGTAGTTGTAGTTACGGTATGTCCAGGCTCTGTGTCTCCCGGTCGAGGGTTGAAGGGTGACACAGTCCAGGAACTGTATGGGATGAAAGGAAGAGAGGGAAAATGAGAAATACACCAAGGAGAAATAGAGTCATCAAGATGAACAAAATAGAAAGAATGAAGAAAACAGCAAGAACAAGAAAGACAATACCAGAATCAGAATGAACGTCAATGCCTTGCCCGACAATGCTCCGGATCGGACTTGCCCCCACTGCGTGACTCTAGCTGCCAGCCAGGGTCTTCCAGATACTTGTTTCGCCATGTATTTGCGTAACAAACTCGGGTACCATGATGCCGGTTCCTACAGATATACCTGCAGCACTCAACCACCCGTTGCAGACACCAAAATACAGCGCCTCTCCAATCCACCTCGCTGCACAGTAATTTGTACTCTAGCAGGTACTAATCCCCGCTACCAAACTCCAGCCCCAGAAATGCAGCTCGCTGAACAAAACTGACGGCCATCCTCCATCTCACCGTTCAACAACTCTTTCGTATTCACATCATTTCTGTCTGCCTGTCCATTTTCCCGTGTCTGTGTGACGGATCAACTCGAACATCTTTGCTCAGAATACATCTTCCTTTTGCTTATATACATACTCCAGTCGCTTCTTCTTCGCCAGCCTCCTCTGTGCCTCTACTACACCCTGTTGCGTTTGCGCCAACCGTCTTAGCTATCGAGCATCGTGCCTCTGCAAATGAGACGCCCTTTTCCACCCTGAATCCCGCTCACGCTCTTGGTGACCTCAATCGGCTATCCATACCACTTGCGTCCCCGCCATGTCCGGCCCCATGGACGAGTTTGTCCACTGGGACAAGGCCGCCGCCGCCATTGGTGCCGAATTCCAGCTCGACACCGAGAACCTCGATCTGGTTCTCGAAAATGTCGACGAGGATGACTTTGGCTTCTCCGCCCTCCAGCATTACTCTGGCGACGCCAACCTCGATCTCTTTGCCATCCCCGGCATCATGCCCGACCCCCCCATCTCCGAGGCCTGGTATGAGACGCCGCTCGCCGCTTGCGCCCACTGCGTCGCTGGTGCCTTTTCCTGCAAGAAACTCCGCCAAGGTAGCTACAAGGGCTATTGCACCAGCTGCGTTGCCCTGCGCGTCGAGTGCAGCTTTGCCGGTGATGCCAAGGTCGCCGCCATTGACCCGGCGGCTGCCTTCCCCCCCAACCCGTGGCCCGTCATGGGCCAGCACCCAAACACCATGCAATCAAGCTTTACCAACCTCCATGCCGCAGACGCAGCTACCTCGGCTTCCGAGATCAACGCCATCATTGCCCCGATTCCCTCTGCGCCCCCAAAGATTGGCGCTCGCTTCTCTCGCGAGTCTGTCCGCATCCTCAAGAACTGGCTCTCCACTCACACTAGACATCCTTATCCCAGCGAAGAGGAAAAGGAAATGTTGCAGCGCCAGACTGGTCTGAACAAGGTCCAAATCACAAACTGGTTGGCCAATGCTCGCCGCAGAGGAAAAGTCCAACCTCCTCGATCAGTCTCACCCAATATTAGGAACTGGTCCACCCCAGGGTCAATGGACATCCCCCAGCGTCGCGGAACACCTGCTCTCGAAGCCATGAACCCCCTGCAGCGTTGGCAGGTTTCTCCTCCGGAACACGAACCGGCCTCGGTCAGTGCCATTGCCAGGGCCGTCACCGCCTCGTCTTCTGCCCTCTCTTCTGGGCTCAACTCACCATACAGCTTTAACTACACCGACGATGGCTCCAACAGATCGGTCTGCAAGGAGTCTTCGACATCCAGTCTGGGAACCTCGCAGTCAAGCAACGGTTCATTTGGCTCGGCATACTCTCACGGCTCCAGACATTCCTGGGGCTCCTTTGGATCTGCGCCCTTCAACAGCCGAGGGCGTCGCCGCCGTCGTCGCAGGGGTACCGCCAAAATTGAGGGCACAGCTCATCCTTCGGCGCCGCTCAAAACCTTCCAATGTACCTTCTGTACTGAAACGTTCAGAACAAAACACGACTGGCAAAGACATGAAAAATCTTTGCACCTGTCTCTCGAGCGCTGGGTATGCACCCCTGATGGACCCCGCGTCTTGAACCCGGAAACGGGACAAATGTCTTGCGTCTTTTGCGGCGTCAACAACCCAGATGATGCGCACATTGACTCCCACAATCACTCTGCGTGCCAGGAGCGCGCCATTGAGGAGCGAACATTCTATCGAAAAGACCACCTCAACCAGCACCTTCGATTGGTTCACAATGTCAAGTTCTTGGACAACGCGATGAAGCAGTGGAAGATTGCCACGCCAGAGATTCGCTCACGTTGTGGCTTCTGCGGCATCGTAATGGACTCTTGGACTATCCGTGTAGATCATCTGGCAGAGCATTTCAAGACTGGTTATTCCATGGCTGACTGGAAGGGTGACTGGGGTTTCGAAGTGCCCGTCCTTGACATGGTTGAAAACTCGATCCCACCCTGTATGCGACCGCTTAATTTTCCCATAGACAAGATTCCGATATCTGACCTTTGGTAATAGATCTTATTCATCATGAGCGAAAGTCGCCTATGCCTTATTTTGCCCTCCAGCCTCCGCCTGCTTCTCCACGCAATGCGTATGAGCTCATCAAGCTGGAACTAGCCAACTTTGGCTCTTCATACTGGGAACAGCACGGAAAGCCCCCGACCGACGACGAACTCTGCCTGGAAGGATGCCGCATCATTTTCGCTTCTGAATTGCTCTCCATTCAAGGCATCGCCACTCAAGTATCCTGGCTTCGTGACATTGTCATGAACGACGAGGAAATATCCCGCAAGGCTAAGTTTGGGCCCCTTCGCCGCGCTGCCGAGCTTCAGAATCTCAAAATTAACGGCAAGGACAACCTTTTCGAAGAGTGCCCGATGGAAATACAGCTCCACCAGTTTGTCAAGGCTAAGCGGCTACTGGGCCTGAGTGCAATGGATGACGAGCTGCAGGAAGAGGCTTGTCGAATTGTTAGCCGTGTTGAAGAGATGTGCACGCACCCCTCTGAAGCAGTAGCCAACTGGCTGCTCCGTCTTATCAAGCGGTCGACCTCTTGGTTGTCTTCCTTTCGGCGCCGCGCACATCTCCCGCGGACGGAAGATATCAAGAGCGAGACCATCCGCTCCAAGGATCTCACCTCGATCGACTCGACAATTCTCAGCTATTCGAGACTGGAGCGTGAGCTTAGTGACTACTTGAAGGCCCAGCGCTGCTTGAACAAGGAGCCCTCTGACGAAGATCTCCAGCGTCAAGCGCGTATTATCATATACGAGTTCGACGACGGGTGGAACCAGACGGCAGCCGACAACATGCAGTGGCTAGATGCTTTCAAAGAACGACACGCCTTAGCGGAAAAGACACCGGGCAGCCCGACCAAGACGTCTCCAGAACAGTCTGACCAAGCTACCGCTGTAGCTTCTTCACCCGGCTCGCAATGGACCGCACAGAGCAAGAGGCGACCAAGTGTCGCGAGCAATGGCAAGAATGCCGAATTTATCCCGTTTGGCAAACCTAGCAGCACACCATCGTTCCTCAACGACGCAAACTGCTACCGGCGTCTTGCTAAAGAACTGAGGCGTTGGGTCGTCTCGGCCATGTCGCCCAACAATCCTAACCGCCATGTTCCGACAGATGACGAGCTGCGTTACCAAGCACGCTGGATCATCTACGACGGCGACGACCCCTGGAACCAGACGGCCGCCGACAATGCCGAGTGGTTGCAGAGGTTCAAGCGTGACGTCGGCATCACCAAGGACGGCGGGCCTGGGTTGCCCGAGAGTAACGCCTGGGCTATGGAGCAGGGCGGAACGGGCTTCGCGCCGCCTTACGCCTGCCCCAAGTCGGACAACATGGACCCGTTTGCGGATGCGGTGCACGTCGAGATGCGCGACGGCGCCAAGGCTTTCATGGCCGGGCCGACGGCCGCCAACAGCTTCCTCGACGCGCTCGCGGCGCCCAACACGCGGCCGGCCAAGGTGTTTTGCTCGCGCGAGCTCGAGGCCCACCTGCTGCGGTACGCCGAGGGCCACGCCATCACGCACGGCGGCATACCCGGCGACGCGGCCCTCCGCGCCGAGGCCCGCCGCATCCTGCGGACCGACTATACCGCCGCCGATGACGACCAGCTGCTCGGTAAGTTCAAGGAGCTGCTGTGGGAGAAAATGCCGTTCCTGGAGCCGCACATGAAGGAGCAGACCAGCACCGCGGCGCCTGCGGTAGCGGCGGCGACGGATGTTGCAGTCGCGCTGCCGACGGCGGCAGACGAGGATCTGGATATGCTGTTGCACAGCATGGACTTTGAGTTTGAGCTTGACTTCATGAGTAGTGCTGTTATTGGTATGGATGGGGAGGATGGTGGCGCGCCACTTTTCTAGAGCAATATGTGTTACTTGTTTCTCTTTTTTTTTCTTTTTTTTTCTCCAGCATTGATACCTGGTACCAAAAGGAGGGACGAGATGGGGCGCACCTGCATGCTATTGTTCGGAGTACTTTACGATGGATGCATTGCGTGGTGGTTTTTCAACACGGTGTTCAATGGGTGGGCTCATCAGATTGACATATTTCTTTCAATAATGTATTTTCGTGACACTTCTATATACTGCGTCTATAAACAATGGATATTCTCAGCTCTGCGATATATGAAGGTGAAGTCGCTACAATTTTTTTCAACCAATTAGAAGGTCGAGGGTTGTCTTGTAGTTGCAGTCCGTGAGCATTGTAGCGTCTACACAAATGCCAGTACGAACTCCAAGCAGCATACTTCACCTTGCCACCAGCCGCAGTATTCTCGCCCCATCGCCGCCATGCCGCCCAGCCTCGTGTTCTTGGAGTCAGATAGCTGAGCTCCGAACCATCGAAATTCGCCACCTTCGAAAGCTCGTGTAGCTCAGTTGGTTAGAGCGTCGTACTAATACCGGGCGAAAGTCAAATATTGGTAATGCGAAGGTCGTAGGTTCAATCCCTGCCATGAGCAAGACAACCGTCTTAATTTCTTTTTTTGGGTCCCGATGTGGGTGATGGAAACAACCAGGCCATACAAATATAGTCTATTAGAGGGCAAGCGAATAAAAGCAAGGAATCAGAATAAATAGAACTATAAAGCAAAAGAAGGAAAGCATGAAGGAAACATTACTCGGAATAAGGAACAGTATTACTGACTGGTGGTTTGTTTTGTTATGCGGGTGCCCCTTGCCATTGAAATCCTAGTTGATGCAAGACTGGTGCTCCTGAGTTGGCAGGCACTGACGAACCATTCATGACACTTATCTGCTAGGTACCATTCCCCCTCTTCGAATCTCAGCCACTGCACAGGCACTATCGCACATAGAGTTAACATCTTTCAGCATCGTCAGAATGGCCTATCATTACACCCTTCCAGCTCAGCGCAGCCCGTACACTTGCCGACCGCGTGAGATTTCTCTCCGCAGTCAGACTGTTTCCGAGGCCATGGCTCGCTCCCCCGGACACAAACGGACAAGTCTTTACGCAAATGACTCCTCTAACCCAAAGGATGCCTCTCCACACCATCATCAGCCATGGTTTGAGCATGCCAACAAGGAAAACGTAAAAATCACAACACATCCGGCCACATCGAAAACTGTCCTTGACGAGGACAGCTGCCAATATGACCCCGCTGACCCGACAACTTGGGGCATCAAGCCGTTACCACCTCTGCCCCGTGGTGGCTCAAATCCGCTCAAAGCCTCCTCCATCATGTCCAAGTCGGATGACGATGCCACACTACTCCAAAGTCCAGTTCTGTCACCATACGTTGAGAATGCAGAAGCCCCCAATAACCTCGCAAAGCTCATCGGGGATCATCTGCGCATCGAAGATGAGCACCCAGACGATGCACACCGTCGAACTACGTCCTCTTCCTACCACTGCCCAGAGAGCGAGCCTTCTCGAGTGCAGTCTCCCATCCCAAACGGAAATGTGAATACACTCAGTGTGTCAAATCTTGCCAAATATGGCAAAACAAATGACAGACTCTCGAATCTTCGTTCTGGCTCTCCCTCATCAGCAACGGGGGAGCTGACTATGCATGAGGATGCTGATCTTCAAGACGACTCTTCTTCAGTGAACAATGGCTAGCGGACACGGTCTACCAAGATAGTCGAACCATATATGTACGAGCGCCAAATGAGGCGATACCGGTTCTTTAGCTCTCCCAGCGATAATAATCATGGCAGGGGATACGATGGAGTTGACGAGACTACGATACCGAGCCGATTGACACCATCCCCAACCCCATCGGCTAGCGCTCGCTCTCCTCCTCGCAGAGCCAAACGCTGTGCATCCCATTTTTCTCTTCGCAGCCTGAGCAAAACATTCTCGAAAAGACCGCGAATTGGCTTCAGGAAGTGGGCCAACTCCATCTACCGCGAAAGCAGCCGCCGCTTTGGTGTCGCAAAGCAGAAGATTAGGAGGCACCCATATACTGAGACTCGAGACTTTTCTGCCATCAAGACCCAGAGTCCTCGGAGCAAGAAGACAGAAACACCACGGCCCCAAGAAAATGGAGCGCTGTCAGTGGCACCTTGCCGAAAGAACCAAGATTGGTGGAAGGAGGTGGTTGCCAAACACCACGTATCAAAGAGGACAAAAGTTCGGAAGGCATGAAGGCAGCCCAGAAGCTGGTTGGATGTATTATTAACTGGTTGAGTTTGTGAGCGTAAATCATAATGATGCCACACCCAAGGGGATTATATCCAAGAAGCATAGATACAGAATAGAGAATGAACCAAGCAAATTTATCGGCGCCGTATATATTGTACAGACCTTTTTGTGCGTAACCATGGCATGATGTTCTCTTTAAATCATGTACCTGAAGCCGTTGCTAGGGCTCTTGTATCCTGCAGAGCCAACCAGTCTCTCCGCCTCATCATGGTCCTGGTCAAGCGCACCTAGACCGCAACCATATGGGCTATTATCCTCCATTTCAGCAAGCTTGCGGTTCAGACGCTTCAAGTAGGAACGCAGTACAAAAGCACAACCAGCAGCACCGAGCAAGACGGCAGCACAGACGCGATGCCCCGTGCTATAGTATGGCCCATCACTGTCAGGATAGAGTCTCGTGCCGACAAGAGTACCGAGCTGGCCAATGAACTGCATCATGGCAAAGGTCGCGCCACGCCGCGTCTCATCCGGCTGGCTGTTGATTCCCCAAGTGATGATGAGGGTCACGACGTTGAAAAAGCCCATGGTGGCTGGGTAGACGGCTAGATAGCGCACCCAGGTCGGCAGGCGGAGAGGTTCAGCGAGGCCCAGGATGAGATAGCCAGACGCGGAGAAGAGGGCGTGGAAGACGATGGGAAGCGTGCGGCTGCCGCGGCGGTCGGACATGTGCGCGGTGAAGAGGACGATGACGAATGTGAAGAGGTAGGGCGGGGCGGAGAGCGCCTGCGCAGAGAGACTGCTGTAGCCCATGCTGTGGATGATTTTGGGCAGGAACACGGGGAGCGACGAGTAGGCTATGTTGACCATGCAGAAGATGGCTGAGGCGAGAATGGCAATGGGATCGAGGGCGACGGAGAAGACGTCGCGCCACGACAGACGGGGCGCGTCCTCGGCGGCGTCGCTCGCGTCGGGCTTCTCCCTGCGGAGGCGGAGCGTGGCAATCTTGCGCTCGCGCGGGGTGAGGTACGGGGCGGCGTCCGGGGCGTCCGGGATGACGCCCCAGGCGACGACGCCGGCGAGGACCGAGGGCAGGCCCTCGACGAGGAAGAGCAGGCGCCAGGGGGCGACGGGGCTCCAGCGGCCGGCGGCGCGCACGATGAGCCATGCGAGGGACGAGGCAAAGGCGCTGGCGAGGGGCGCGGCGGCGATGAAGAGGGCGACGCGAAAGGCGAGCTCGTGGCGGCGGTAGAAGAAGCTCAGGTAGTAGGGCACGCCGGCAAAGGCGGCCTCGGCGATGCCGAGCAGGGCGCGGAGCCCGACGAGGACCGGGTACGACGGCGCGACGGCCTGCAGCGAGGCGACGACGCCCCAGGCGACGACGGCGATGGAGATGAGCGCGTGCGCGGGCCAGACGCGGTACAGCAGCGACATCCACTCAAAGGCGCTGTAGGTGACGTAAAAGGCCGTGAGGGACCACTCGTACCAGCGGTTGTTGGGCGGCGTCGTCTGCAGGTCCTCCTCCATCCCGGCGATGCGGGCGTTGCCAATGTCTAGCGAGCAAGAACGCGGGCGCCCGGGGGTTAGCCTTGGGGTGGGGGGCAGCGTGGTTTGTGAGGGGCATGATATATTTGTATAGGGAAAGAAGACGCACTTGATCGGTCCACAAAGCTCAGCAGGAAGAGCAGAGAGAGAAAGAGCACGAGGCGGCGGTCAAACTTGCGCCGCACGACGGCCTCCTCGTCCGGGGTGTACAGCTTGTAGCTCGCCGTTGTGCTGGCGCTCCCGCGTCGAGTCCGCGCCGCCGCGCGTGCTTTGCGCCGCCGCGCCGAAACGGCCGACGATGACGCCGCTTCGTCGCGGGAGCTGCCCGGACGCGGGCCGCCGGGGCCGCGCATGCCGCGCAGCTGGTAGGCCTCGGCGCCGCCGACCTCGGACTGTAGGTCCACGGCCTCGTCGTCGTCGTCGTCATCGTCGTATTCGTCGAGGTGGAAGAGGTCGTCGTCGCTGTCGTCGAGATCAAACTCGGCGCCCGTCTGCGCAAAGGACGGCGAGGCCTCGCCCGGCTGCGGCCGAAACGCCATGGGGCTGAGGAATGTGCTGGTGTGTGCTCTTTCCTCGTTCCCCGTTGGCGTGAAGGGTGACAAGGCTAGCCCCTGATATGGCTTCGGGGGGGGGGATGCGCAATCGCAGTACGAGCTGGTGGGGATCGATCTGGTTGATAATTATATATATCTCGGATGGCAGGATAATTGGATGCGATTGGCGTGGATATTGACTGGGGCGTCGTGTTATGAGCGGCGTGATGGGATATATGTTAGCGTTGGTCTGGACGGCTCGAGGGATTGACGCTCGACACGTGACGACATCGGCTGTAGATGTGAGGGATCTTGCTCATTTATTTCCTTGATTCGATCTGGTGCTAGGAATTCATGATTTCATTGAAAGTGCACCGTTCCGTTTTGTGTATCGGGTATGATGTTCCGTTTTAATATGTGTCGTTGATAGATCCGGACCCTCAAATGGTGGAGCGGCCAAGTATCTCGACTTGCAGACGGCGTCACTTTCCCCTCCTTGTCTCTCTTCCCGCCTTCTTTTCTACAGCCGTGTATCATGCTTCAAGTTAGATGTTTGTTCCCGATTCTTCAAATTTAACGTATCAATTGTGGGTTCAACACACAGTCAGGCGTGGCCTCAACACCAGCTGCGACTCTATAAACCAGGGGAGAAGTTGATGTGTACAAAGAAAATAACAGTTCTGGATATAATAATAAAACTGGCTGCCAATAATAAACGCAAATCAAATACATGTCTCGTTACGCGTAGCACGTCAAACTTCAACCACACCGCGTGTCGAGCGCGTGCAAGGACCAGCCGACCCTCTAATAAAAAGCAAACTTGTCTACAGCTCTGAATTCTACCTTGCGCATCATTCCAATTAAAAGCGCCATATCCTGTCAGCACGCAAGTGACGGCTGACTCTTCACCTGATCTGTTCCTGGGTCTGTTCGTCCTTTTTACTAAATATGCGACGCAGTCCAGCCTTTGACAGGCGATGCCTCAGCGATGGCCGACGACTGTGGCCGGGGCTGCCTCCTTGGCTACTTTCATCGTCTGGGATGGGCGGTGGCTTCATGTGCGAGTAGTCTTGGCCCGCCCACAACTGTGATTGGTCTTGTGAAGCCCGGGTGCTGCTGGCCGTCATAAAGGACCCGCGCTGTGCGGATTGAGTCGTCATCGTGGTCGTGGGTCGCTGTTTCTCAGCCTGGGAAAGGCGGAGATTGTCCAAATCGGATCTGGTCTCGGTCTCGTCGTCTGGGTATTCGCGTTCGGTGTCGCTGCAGACGACGACGTGCCAGCCAATGTCGGAGTCTTTCTGCAGATTGTCGCGCAACTTTTGGAACCAGTCATTCTGGCCGCCCTTGGTCACCTTTTCGTAGGCAGCCATTTCAGCAAGCACGTCGGCACCGAGGTCGACACGGACGACGTGGTCGGCAACGTATGCGTAGGGCCTGGCGGGGCTGACGGTCTCGTCCGGGTCGTATTCTTCGAGGAGCTTGACTGGCGACCAGGTATACTGCAGCACAGGGTCGTGGGCTACAGGGACGCGCGAGGGAGGTTGCGCAAAGTTGTCATCGTGATGCAGGGCGACGGCTGTTGGGCGGATGCCGTTCCAGGGATAGGACGCGGCTTCGGCTTCTTCATCCGAGATTTTGGGCAGAAAATCGAAGTGCTTCGTGAATTGGTCGAGAATCGAGGTGGCGGTGGTCTCGCCCATGACCCAATCGGGAGCGGCTTCTTCCAGGTCATTGAGGATGACAAAGATGCGCATGTCGCGGCGGTGCCATCGAAAGCCGTGGCAGAGATAGGTCGGCATTTTGTGTGTGTGCTTGCCTGGCTCGAAAACCCCCGTATCGCCCTATGGCGCGCCAGATGACGCAAGCATATATGGAAGCGGCCGATGGAAAAGATCAATGGCAGGAAGTGCGGTTGGCGTTGCAACGGATAGTTGGAAGAAGAGGCTGCGTTGGTCAGGGTTTTGGGAGCAGCCCCGTTTGGTGTGATGATCACACCTCCGGTGTCTCAAGCACGTCTAAGAATAGACGACGAAGAAGCAATTTGGTACGAATACCCGAAAGAACGTTTCTTGGCAATTCCGAAGCCTGGTCGCAATTCCGAAGGCCTGTCGTTTGGTGGTGAGCTTGAAGGTTCAAGGTCGAAGCTGGAGCTGGGGAGGGGACAGCAGGTCCGAGGCATCAGGTGGGGGGGTTGGTCCAAAGTCAATGCCTCCCAACAACCTCCACATTATTCATGATTGTTTCTTGTCGTTGCATTTCCTTTGCTTCTTGCTAGCCCAAGTATCTAACCCTAGTTAAATCGCCTGTCCGAAGGATCCGGCAAACCCCGGCAAGCCGTTGATACGCCATGATGGTCAGAGCTTGAGATCGACACTGGCGATGCCAGATACCACAATCGCCCTTTAATCCACTCCGGCTACGACCAAGCCATGTTCACGCCTTGCTGATGGAGGGTAACAAAACTGAATCCCATCTATTACACCAGCGAACCCGATACCAGTACAGCGACTAGTTAGGCGGCGAATCCGCTCAATATTGCGAAAACGTGTGCATTTCTGCCGCCTTTGTGCTCCTTCCACAGATCCCCCCAAGCTGCTTAGCAAAGGAGATGGCACAGAAGCCATCCGAGGCAACCACAAGCTACCAACTTGCCTACCTAACCTATTCAGCAGCTAGTCAGTCCCCCGCGCCGTGTCTCACTCGCTGCAAATCCGCCTTTTTAGATCAGGGACAAGCGCTAATAGGTGGCCCGCTGACGCCAGAGGCGCTTCGAAATGGGCCGTTTACAGGCTGCCAAGCTTACCAACCTTGCAGTGGCGGCATGCTTCTTGCTTCTTTCATGTTGTCGTGGTTTCCATCCAGATGTCGGGCTCAAATGTAGCGATCCTGCCAGCAGCCTTGTCCCGTCCATATTCGCTATGTATGTAGTCTACCAATGAGTACAGTGTCGGGAGTAACATGTCGGAACCCAGCACCCTTCTTCTTTTCACCTCGACAACTCCATCATTCCATCTTAGTCAATAACGTTATGACATCGAGGGCCATTGCCGCTAGTTTGCATTGTTTGCATGGATCACCATCCTCGCCGTCCTCGGTCCTTGGCGACCGACCCTGACCACCACCCTGACCATTCTGACCACCCTGACTACCCTTGACAGCAAAACTACCAACAACAGTCGCGTTGCTCGGCGAGGATGGAGATGTGATATTTCAGATCGGCCTCTAAGACGACTCTTGTGCATAAGTGAAGTGGGCAGTATGGAGCACCGAACTGCGCCCTCGCCGATTGCCAAAAGCCGGCCGACATGACACTGTAAATATGGAGCATTGGCGGCTTTCAAAAGAAAGATGCAGCTAGGAACATTCAATTGTTACTTATTGTTTATTAATTATTATGTATTATCATCAATAGCAATCCTCCACAAATGTCAAATTGGCCCGCTCTTGGCTGTTTCCACCTTGGTATCGTGGCGCAACTTCTTCTTGTTCTTTATTCCTTCCATTTCTTCAAGTACAGATCTCGGCTTTAGTCTTCCATCTCTCAACTACAAATCTCGGCTTTAGTCTTCCAGTTCTCAACTACAGATCTCGCGGCTAGTCTTTCTTCCAGATCACTCAAATCTCGGCTAGCCAACACACTTGTTACCATTGCCCATCATGCTTCAGCCAGCAACGAAATGTTCCCGTCTCCTTGGCCCATGCTTGCCCACCATTTCCGCAGCAGGTCGCCGCAATCTACATCGAATGGTGTTGAATCATCGCAATACACATTTCGGCATCTCACCGCGCTGTACCTCGTGCCAATCTACAACCAGGGCAGCCGTTTCTCAGCCACCAATTCATGCGTACTCGACACACGCTGAATCGTCGTTGCTGTCGCCCTCAAATCATGTCACCACAGATACTCAGCCGATTGTCCATCACATATTTGAAAAAGTGACCGGAACCTGGCAGTACATTGTTGCCGATCCCGCCACTGCTGCTGCAGCCATCATCGATCCAGTTTTGGACTATGATCCGTCCACGGGAGAGCTAGCAACGAAATCAGCAGATTGCCTTGTAGCCATTGTGCGAGAGAATGGCTACAAGGTTGAACATATCCTGGAAACGCATATACACGCCGATCACGTTACTGCGGCGGCCTACTTGCAGCACACGCTACGTGACGATCACAGCCATGCCCCCAGAATCGGAATTGGCAGCCGCATAGCGACAGTCCAAAAATTCTTTCAAAATATATACGGAATTCCGCACGATGAAGTCCAGGATGCTCATCAATGCCTTTTCGAAGATGATGAAGTCTTCCACATCGGGAATCTCAAGGTGCAAGCCATTCACCTACCCGGACACACACCGGATCACATGGGTTATAAGATCGGAGGTAAGAGGTTCCATACTTGATAATAATGTACTGATTCTGTTGCGGGACTAACAATTGTACCACTCAGACAACATCTTTTGCGGCGATTCCCTATTTGCTGCTGACCTTGGAAGTTCCCGCTGCGACTTCCCCGGAGGCAGCGCCAAAGAACTGTACGAGTCCGGTCTTAAGCTGCTCGGGTTCCCAGACCACGTCAAAATATGGTCGGGCCACGACTACCCTACCCGTATACGTAGCGAGCCAGTGCCTTATCAGAGTGTGGGAGAGCACAAGAAGAGCAACAAGCATTTGATGGGAGGAGTCACACAGGACGAATTTATTGTTATGAGGGAGAGTCGTGATGCTACTCTCAAGGAGCCCAGGCTTCTTCACCAGTCATTGCAAATAAATGTCAGGGGCGGGAGACTTCCGAACCCATCTTCAGGGCATCGCATGATTCAAATTCCCATCACTGCAGTCAACGGCGGATGGTAGTACTAGTAGGCACAATGTATCAACATCCCATCTCTTTTCTACAGTAAATCTCTATGACAAACAATTAAACCTTGTTCCTCTGCCCGATCCTTCCATTCCGACCAACTTCCATCATAGAGTCTCGCCTTGACGTCGTATCCGGCGACCTTGAGCGCTAGCCACAGGATGGAAGCCGTCACACCCGTGTTGCACGACAAAACGGCAGGTTTATTCTCGTCAACGCCGGCATCCTCCAGAGCGGCTCTCATTTCCGGCCGAGGAAGCAGATTCTTGCAAGAATCTACTAGACAAGCTACCGGGACGCTGAGGGCCCCGGGTATGTGGCCGTCTCCGACAGCCTTGCCCAGAAAGCAGTCCTCGCTTCTGGAATCTAGAATCTGGTACTGTCGGCATCCATCAAGGACACAATGGCGAAGCTCTTCAAACGCGATTGTTCTCGCCGCGTCGGCGACCCGGTACATGGGAGTGGCGTCGTCGGGCTTTGCCGAGGGTGGAAACGGTGCGGAGCTGTGTGGGTAGCCATCCTGGACGTACTGCCGAAAGCTGTTGAGTACCCGTACGTTTTTGAGCCCAAAGTGTGCCAATGTCCAAGCCACTCGGGGAGCGCAATAGATGCCCGCCCGCCTCGACTGTATCGTATACAATGAACGTGTCCCCCCGGGTGGCGCGGATGCCAAGCCGTTTCATGGCCGCCGTGAAGACTTGGCAAGTGGGCAACATGACGGGATAGCGGGATGTCGTATCTCTGATTTCGTCTAGATTGAAGAAGCTGTCCAGTCAATGGGGGAAATGGGTTAGCCTGCCCGAAATTCCGGCCTGTCGCGGTTCAGTCCACTTACACGGAGTTGGGAAGGTGACAAGACTCAAACGACGCCGAGGCGGCATTTCGCCCAGCTGCAATGCAAACAACTCGATTTTCATGATCAATAGGGGATTTAAAAATGACATGCAGCTCGGCAGGTGTGATGAGAATTGATTCGTCTGCATCTGCTAGAGCGGTTGCCATGATGAGTGCGCTGGGTATATTAGTAGGTGGACTGCCTGAAACTGTGCGCTAGTCATCACTTCTTCTTGAGATGCCTGGCATTGTAAATATAGTGAGAAAAGACATGCTGTAATCGTGTCTTTGATCAGACCACTGTCGGAGTCTGACTGCAGAGCCCGAGTCGTAACAGCTCAATCGCCGATTGCTCCTGTGGTAGAGGCCGTTATAGTCTTGGGAAGCTATAGTACTAAGAAGTCGACAGCGGCCCGCGCCGACGCGGCCGAATATCTTACGGGAGGCTGAAGGCAATCATCTCTTGGGTTCGGTTTGATTACTGACAAGTCTATTTCTTCTCTCCTTCTTTCTCTTTTTTCTTGGGTACATTCCTTGTACAGAGTAGAAACATCGTCGCTCAGCGCCCTGGAACTCGGACAAGTCACACTACGACATCGCTTTACCGATAATGAAGCTCACAAGAGTCACCGGGCGCGTTGCGCAGCTTGCTGCCCATCAAAGCAAGGCGCTAGCAAAGAAGGGCTTTGCGACGATTTCCCTCTCTCTCGTCAGCACTACGAGGAGCCATAGAATCGTCGTGATCGGCGGCGGCTCGGCGGGCTCCAATGTGAGCCACCAGCTGCTTCGCTCCGGCAAGTATAAGGCGGGCGACATTGCCGTCGTCGACCCGGCCGAGTGGCACCATTACCAGCCGGGCTGGACTCTGGTCGGTGGTGGGCTGGCGAAAAAGGATGACTTCAAGCTGAAGCTGGCCGACATACACGACGCAAAACTCACCGTCTACCAAAACCGGGTGGCAACCTTTGAGCCACAGGAGAGCCAAGTCGTGCTTCAGAATGGAGATAGACTCGAGTACGGTCAGCTCGTCGTCTGCCCGGGCATCAGCACCAACTATGAGAAGATTCGTGGCCTGCCAGAAGCCCTCGCCGACCCCAGCTCGAACGTGTCCTCCATCTACAGCTACGACCACTGCGACAAGGTGTTTCCCAACATCAAGCAGCTTCGAGGCGGCAGGGCCCTCTTCACGCAGCCCCTGGGCATCCTGAAATGCGCCGGCGCGCCGCAAAAGGCAATGTGGCTCGCGCTGGACTACTGGAAACGAGCTGGCCTGTACACGGGCGGCGGCGCCTCGCCCATCAGCATCTCGTTTGCGACCGGCCTGCCCGTCATGTTTGGCGTGCCAAAGTATAGTGCCAAGCTCAAGGAGCTTGCGGAGGAGCGCGGCGTCGAGAGCCTCTTCCAGCACGACCTTGTCGAGGTCCGCGGCAACCAGGCGACGTTTGTCCGCGCCGACGGATCGCGCACGACCAAGACGTTTGATTTTCTACACGCCGCGCCCAAGATGGGCCCGCACGCGTTCGTGGCCAAGAGCCCGCTGGCCGACGCGACGGGCCTCGTGTCGGTCGACGCCGCCACGCTGCGACACACGGCCTATGACAACGTGTGGGCGCTCGGGGACGCCTCGAGCCTGCCGACCTCCAAGACGGCGGCGGCGATTACCGCGCAAGCGCCCGTGCTGGTGTCCAACCTCCTCGACGCGGAGGAGGGCAAGGCGCCGCGCGCCGCATACGATGGATACACGTCGTGCCCGCTCATCACAGAGTACGGCAAGGTGCTGCTCACCGAGTTCAAGTACGGACCAGAACCCAAGGAGACGTTCAAGAGGCTGCTCGGCGTGGACCAGATCAAGCCGCGCAGGGCCTTTTACCATCTGAAGAAGGACTTTTTCCCGTGGGTCTATCGAAATTTCATGGTCAAGGGCACGTGGGCCGGCCCAAAGGGGTTCATTCGGTAGGGGAACAGTTGTTCGAGGATGGCCTATTTCTGTGTTCATCTGGTAGCTTCCTTGGAAAAATATCTACAAATTAGTAATATATGCATCAGATAATCGCAAGCCGGCCGTAGAACTTGGGGTTTGCTTTCGAGAAGATTATTGATTATCTGTCGGTATACAGGTTGTGTATCTTGGTGTCGGTTGGACTAGCATTGCGATTCTACTTAGACTCGACTCAGGAGCGAACGGAGATGCCAGAATTTGGAAATGATGGGTATACGATGGGAAGTAGTGCGGAACCGAGAAAGAGAATCCGAGCAAGTAGCGGTTATTCCGAGTTTTCCCTGCTGTCATGATTGCCGTGTCATTCCGATGATCCGAAGCCATAGTACGAGTCAGGTTAGTATAGAGAGGTGCAGGCATTATGTCACGTAGGTTGTGAAGCATATTAACAAATCAAAATTCCACTAAATAAGAGGATATATAGGAATTCGAAAAAGAAAAAGAAGAAAAAAGAAGAAAAATATCAAACCCGGTTAGTTACATTTACTACCTCTAATACGGCTTCAAGTGCCGAAATGCCAAGCAGCCGTTACGACACGTGGAGCAACACCCATGTAGGGCTGCCCGTTCTTTTCTGCCCACCCCTCCAAAGAATGGTTACGCGTAATATTGTTCTTTCGAGAATCATGATTACTATGGGTGCGTGGCTGATGTTTGTCTGAAAGTGCCTGCGTACACACCACCAGTCTCACCCCGGCCAAGAAGACGCACCTTGTCAGCCGCCGCCGCCGCCGCCGCCCACGTCATGGCAGGCTCCGTCGCCTGCACGGAATGCCGGAGGTCTCACCTCAAATGCAATCTGCAGAGACCAATCTGCTCCCGATGCGCCACGAACCGGCTGTCGTGCACCTACCTGCCCTCGCGGCGCGGCGGCCGGCGCGTGCCGCGCGACCACGGTCCGCCGGTGACGGACCAGCCGCCGCGGACCGCCACAACACCCGCGTCACCGGCCTGGCCGACTCCGCGAGCGGCTCCCAACACCAGCCGAACCCAAGGGCGCGATGCCGCCGCGCACCACACCGGACGGCGGTCCCCGGCCGCGAGCCTCAGCCTGAGCAACTTTGGGAGCGGCTACTCACCGGGGAGACCCGGCGAAGGCGGCGCGCCGCAACCCCTGGTGCCCGAAGCCCGCCTCGTCCATCTCTACTATGCCGGCTTCCACCAGGCGCATCCCATCCTGGTCCCGGCCGCCTTTTACAGCCGCCAGGAGTACCCCGACTACCTGCACCAGGTGGTCCGGTTCATCGGGAGCCACTACTCCAAAGTCCTCTCCGGCGACGACTTCCTGGAGCAGACTACGACGCTGCTCCTGGGCAGCGACGACCCCTCGTCGCCCGCCATGGTCCAGGCCCTGCTCCTCTTCTCCGTCATCATGTCGGCGCGCAACGACAGGCGCGAGGCCCTCTCGGCCATGTCCCGCGCCGTCACCCTCGCGCTGGAGCTGGGCATGTACCGCGCCGACTTTGCCGAGCGCTACGCCGACGGGTGCGCCGTGCGGGTCGAGAGCCTCCGGCGCACGTGGTGGGAGCTCTTCATCTGGGAGATTCACCTGGCTCTTCCCGAGTCCAGATTGACCCTGCGCTGCAGCGACGTTGTCAGCGAAGCGTACTTGCCTTGCGAAGAGGCCGCATATACCGCGGCTGCTTCGTCTACTGCGCCCCGCCGCATGCCGCCGCCGCAGACATTCTCGGCCTTTCGAGCGAGACTGTTCAGCCAAGACGGCGACTCGGATGACGGCAGCGACTCGGAACAGCCACGGGCGCATGTCCCTTCCCAGTTCTCCTCATACAGCTACCGCATCGAGGCTTTCCATATACTGGCACGCGTCATGGTGCTCAACACGCTGCACGAGACGCACCCGGACCACTTGCAGAGCGTCGTGAACAGGATCGTCAGCTGGGGCCACCTCCTGCCCGCCTGCAAGGTGGATGTTGTCGACATGTACGGCCACATTGACGAGATGCTCTTCCAGGCACAATTCACGCTGCACTACGCCTCCGGGCTGCTCCACGTGCCCCGGAGCAACCTGCGACCCAAGTTCCCCAGCTTCCCCAGCACGATATGCCCCGAGACGCCTGTCCGGCTGTCGCCGTCCCTGACAAGGCACATCCACGACGTCAAGGCCATTGAGGCGGCAAAGGAGCTGTCCAACCTGCTCTCCGTGCACTCCAAGCCGCAGGGGTACAGCCCGTCGATGATCCCGGGAGCCGTGCTGAGCGGGCTGGTGCAGCTGGCCGCGGCCGACGCGCATGCCTCGGAGTGCTTCGAGCACCACCAGAACAGGGCCATCCTCGTCCTCGCCACGCTGACCATTCTCAAGAAGCAGTGGGCGACGGCACGCGAGGCATACTGCTACGTCAAAGCCGCCGGCGCCGCGCGACTGACGCCCGCTGCATGCGCCCCTGCTGCTCCCGCCAGCGAGGCCGGCGCCGCCGCAATGCTGCAGCCGGCCGAGGCGTACGGCCATTCGGAGACGCGTCTGTATCATGATGCGACCGCGAATGCCGAGTACGCCGACGCCAGCGCCATGGATACGGCCATGAGTGTAAGCAACCTCGATCCCATGGACAGGATCTTCATGGCCGGACTCCTTTCGCCTCACATTGATCAAACATGCGGCGAGCCCTTGGCGCTGAATCAATTTACCGACTTTGATTAGTATGACCAAGGCCTGTATCGTTGTTTTACAACTACTATTTTCATGTAATTTACTGTATTTTAGAAATGACTGCAAATCGCCGACATGGTACCAGCAAAGGTTCCTTAGCAAGCATAGTCGCTCCAATTGTAACAATGCAAGATGAAAATGAGTCAAGGCAGCCCAAAAATGCGATTTTACATTCATCATATTTGCTACGGTATTATGTAGAAGCAGATGGTGAATACGAGGGCTACATAACGCTGGATCCATCAATACCTCGGTGTCCAAAAGGGAGTGGGACTGGGCTAACTTCCCTTGAACACAAAACATTCCGTCTCTTTCATCAATCAACCGTTTATACCGCCAAAGATACAAAGTACAGTAGTTCAATTCGTGAGCCCTCGCAAAACACTACGTTTCCCTCTTCTCCCACTTCCTTACGCCGCATCATGTCCCCCTGGTGGTCGCGGCTCGTGAGCCCAGTCTACAAAAACACGGGCTCCGTGGCGCGCGACCATCTCGCGTCCGAGCGCACCTATCTCGCCTGGACCAGAACCGGGCTCGGCTTCGTCGCGCTCGGCATGGGCGTTGAGCGCTTCTCCCGTTTCGAAGCCGTCGCTCTCGGGGATGCCGCCAAGGCGCGGCGGACCGCCGGCGGCGAGCACGACGAGGCCAGGGACGAGACCGGCTCGAGGCTGCTCGTCGGCACCCTCCTCGCGCTGGGCACGGGATGCATGGTGTACGCGACCAAGAGGTATTTTTCGGTGCTCGGGGCGCTGGAAAAGGGCGAGTTCCGGCCCGCGTACCAAGGTGTCGCCGCCATGGGTGCATTGCTCGGTGCCCTGGGTGGTGGTGTGTCCACGAGGATGATGAGTCCGTGGTTTGAGGGCAAGGATACCACCGCGACCGAAGCGTGATGGACCGTTTCTCTACGTTGAATACTTGGTCAAGTTGTATATACCGAATGAGGACCTTGCCCAGCCGCCCGCTTGAGCAGACTTTCAATACCGTCTGGACATGTTCAGTATCTTGCTGCATTGTCCTATTCTACAAAGATTCGCCGCGATAATACATCATGTTCCTTTCGTGGCTGTAATCTACCCCAGTGCCGGTTCCGTCCAACTCCGACCGTGCCCCAGTCGGCGAGGTGCAGTCGGCGAATGAGGGAAGCAAGACCCAGACAACTCCGTCACAGATGTGGCGGGATGGTAGGTAGAGGCAGCTTCCCCGCTGAAATCTATCATGCAAGTAGGAAAGAATCACTGGTATCTTACATTCCGAATCACGGGTGACTTCAGCTGGGAGGATGACCAACATGGTGTACATCAGCCGGCATGACTGGTCTGATGTGATAACCAGCACTCTCTTGACACCACTGGCTTTGCATACCGAGTTTCTTTCTTATAATTAATCGTATAGAACAATCTACTAGAGCCAAATCTCCATTTGTGGCGTCTTTCACCATAGTATATAAAATTCATGTGGAAAATGAATCTTGTATTTATCGCACATCAATAGTAACAATTTGATAACTCAATCTAGCTGGATTGTCCTAACAATAAACAAGCACCACATCATTAGCGACATGCCGCAGCCTTGCTCAAATTCGCGACGGCAGCTGGACAGGCATCGACAAAAACGTCACTCCGCTGCCAGGACTCGCCTCTACGAGCTTCCCGCCGCGAATGTTGGTCTGCAGCGCCGGGTGCAGCAGCCGCGGCTCCTTGAGCCCAGCGTCGCGCTCCCGGCGCCAGCGCACGTACTCGTCGCGGTCCGTTCCAGCCTTGACGTGCTTGTTGCGCTCCAGCTGCTCTTGGACCGTCACGTACGGCATGGGGGCCCGGCCCGAGTCCGCGGGCGGGTAGTCGTGGCCCGTGTACAGCCGATAGTGCGGCGGCAGCGCAAGCAGCGTCTGCACCGAGCGGTACAGCGTGGCGGCGTCGCCGTTGGGAAAGTCGCACCGTGCGGTGCCCACGTCTGGGTTGAAGATGGAGTCGCCGGTAAACACGTTGGTGCCCAGCTGGTAGCCGCTGTGGTCCGGCGTGTGGCCGGGCAGGTGCAGCGCCACTGCCGTCAGGTGGCCGACGGCAAACGCCTCGTCGTCGGAAAATAGCTTCTCAAACGCCGCGTCCAGCTCCGCCCGAGGCACGCCGTACGTTCCCGCAAATGTCTCTTGTACCTGGCGAATGCGGTGACCGGTGCTTCTCGGCGGCTTCGTGCCTTGCGACTGCTGCAGCTGCTGCTGTAGGTAGGCGGCGGCCGTGAGGTGGTCGGCATGGGCGTGCGTCTCGAGCAGATACTCGACGGTGTAGCCGTGCTCCCGGATTAGTTGTAGGAGCTCGTCGGCCGACTGGGTGGATATAGTCAAAGTGCCAAGGTCAAAGTCGAGGACCGGATCAATGACGACAGCTTTCTTGGTCTCTGGGCAAGCCACTATGTACTGCCATGTGGCCGTCACCTTCTCGAAGACGGTGTGAACAATGGGCTCGGGCGACATTGTGGAAAGAACAATCAGAAAATCTGCTCTGAGTGGATGCTAGACAGAGTCAGCAACAACGGCATCAGGATACTTGCATAGATATATATAGGCTCGGCTGTCAGTGGTACCAACCGAGTGTCATGCATAGGTGCAACGTGGATTGGTCATGATTAGTAGCGGGCAAGTTGTCAGTGGCTACATTCACGCAGCTGAATGTGGCAAACCCTTTCATCAACTTGCCCGACGTCCGAAATTCAAACCCCGAATCATCGTGGCTCCCGCCACCTCGCCGAGGTCGCCCACTTATTCAACGGCCATCTCGCCGAAGTTCCCCACCAGATCGCCGGAGGTCGGTCAGATGTCAAAGTGGACCAGATGCGACCATTTGAAGGAGGAGAAACTTGCATCAATTTCCATCGGCGACACGAGCCTGGACAAGAAAATACGAGGCGCCTAGCACCAACTGGTGCGTGTTGTAATGGTATTGACCTATCTACAGGGGGACAGTCTTGTGTGTCCCCCCGGCCCCGTACACTCTCAGTGTGCGTGGCACGTTCGAGTGCTTTTTTCTAATCAAAATGTATTTTCGCTTGTCCATTTTAGCGTCCGTTGGAGAGCTACGTTGCTCGCAAACTCCTCGCAGGCAGCGTCCATATGAACCAACTCCAATCATGTATAAGCGGCGACGGCGACGGGCATGGGGGTATCGTTGAGATATGTATCCGGTATGCATGCCCAAAACAAAAGAGAGAAAACAAAAAATTGGAAGCAGCAGGACTTGGGCCGCTGGTGTCCCATACCACTGCGGAAACCAATCCAAAAGCCAAAAAAAAGAAACGTGCATGATCAGTGTTGTGACCATGGTTCTACCCGCCGTCGTGCGCCTGACTTTTCGTCATAAAATGCATGCATGCATGTATCCAGTGTAGCTTTTTGTTGAAAAAGACACCGACTCCTATTTTAGTAATAAGAAGAGGGGGAGTCACCAGGTCTGTATAAAGAGACAACAGACAAGGTAGGGGGCCCAAAACAAAAAAAACAAAACAAATGTATATGTAGAAATTGTGTGCTGCGTCGCATTGTCCGGCCCAAGATATCGAATCTCTCCGTCTATGCGGCAGCCCCAGTCTGCACCGTGGCGGGCTTCTCCACCTCAACAGTAACAAGGGTATCAAGGCCATCGACCTTGAGATCCTTGAATAGCTCGAAGAGGGCGCTGTTGTCGTGAAAATCGTTATTCACAATATTGAGAAGGTACCAGTTGTCCATGACATTCTCAACAAGAATACGGCTGGCCGACTTGGCGTCGAAGCAATGGGCCCAGTCGACACCCAAGCGGAAAGCCTCATCACGCCAGGCGAGGAAGCTAATGCTCTCGACGATGGTGGGCTGAACAATCTCCTTTCCGGGGAATACACCCCAGGTGACAGCGTTGGGGCCATCAGAGGGAGCATTGGTCTTCAGATTGCCATCCTTGGTCACGGCATAGTAGGTGAGGGAAGGATTGCCGTTGACAAGAGGGATGACTTGGTCGACAATCTCGGGAGAGACTAGCAACTCGATGTATCCCTTCTGGTAGACGTAACCGTTGGCAGGTCCCCAACCGTGAACAGGGTGAGACGACTTGACACCGTCAACAGCGGGCTGGGAATTGATAGTCAAGAAACCACGCTGGTTGAGCTCAATCAGGGCAGGCTTGATAGAGTCAGCTTCGCTGGTAAGAGGCGCCTCACTCCAGGGCAGAGAGTCAATATCCTGGTTCAGATAGTTCACAAAGGTGTTGGCGATATCACGAAGCGACTTGGGTTCGCCCCACTTCAGACGATTGGCCTCGTTTGTGCCGGTAAGACCGATGCCGTAAGCATCGAGCTCACCAAAAGCAGGAGAGCGAGAGTCACCCCAGCGGCCATTGGGGAACTCGTCCCAATCTTGGGTGCGGAGAACGTAGGACTTGTTACGGTTGCGCCAGAAGATGGGACGAACGTCCTCATCACGACGGCCAAAGCCCTTGGAAGGTTTCCAAGGAAGGGCCTGCTGCAGCGGCCGTTCAGCCGAGGGGGTCCAACTGAGTTCCTCGAGTACCATGCGAGTAGCTTGGGCAAGGTTCATGGTGTAAAAGTGCATGTGATGGATGCCAGCAGCCATGAGCTGGCGGCACATGTCGACGACAAGCTTCTTGCCAATCTCCCGGACAGCAACATCGTCATTCTTGACAGGTTCCAGCAGGTCTAGCCAATTCTGAGGAATGTTGCAGCCGGTGTGCTTGCACCGGCGGAAGAAGCTAGCGTAGGTGGCAATGGGCATGATACCTGGCAGAATGGGGACATTGATGCCGGCAGCGCGAACCTTGGCAACCCAGCGAATGAAATTTTCGACGTCGTAGAACATTTGAGTGACAATGAAGGTACCACCAAGATCGACTTTGTACTTGAGGTGCTCAATCAGCTCATCCTCGTTGTCGTTGTCGTCGCAGCCTTCGGGGTAGCCAGCAACGCCAATGTCAAAGTGGTCGCCATAAGTGGCACGGATGTGTCGAACAAGATCGCAGGCATACTGAAAGCCGTCTTCGGTGGCGGTCCACTTCTCTTGGGCACGAGGGGGGTCACCGCGGAGAGCAAGAATATTGGTACAGCCAGCCTTGTAGGCCATGCGAAGAGCCTCGTTGACCTTGTCCATGCCCATGTCAGTGCAAGTCAAGTGCATGCAGGTCTCGAGACCGTAGACCGCCTGGGCCTGGAGGACCATTTCGCAAGTAAGTTCGGCAACGCGACCACCAGCACCCCAAGTAATATCGATAAACTGAGGGCCGAAGTTGTACATGCGGTCCATGCGGTCGTAGAGGTTCTGAACACCCTGAGAGGTTTTGGGCGGGAAGTATTCGAAGGAAAAGGAGGGTTTCCCCGACCTTTTGGTCTCGGCAAGGAGATCCTTGATGTGCATGGCGACGACTTGTATGTAGGGGGAACAATGGAGATGGGGTACAGGCTATGTCGGGCAAAGAGCGGTGATGAGTCGTCTGGAGGGTACCGGTCAAAAGAGTCGAATCGCGAGCGAACTAAAAGGTCGAGAGCAGTACCGTCACCGGAATTATGAGCGTCACCTTGGCTCAATAATTTTAGCATGCGGACAAGTGGTTTGGAGGACACGGGTCGAGGATATGTGGGTGCAGAAGCTATTGACAGAATGGCGGGAGGGAGGGTTAATTTACTCACAGGTGTACCTGCGACACGTCAAACAACAGCAGGACAGGAACCCAGTGAAGGGGCCTAGGAAGAAGAGTTATTCAAATGGTGCCAACCGTTTGGAGATTCGAGTTGGGCAACGCAGGATAGACAAGAACAAAGCCAGGAGAAAAGATGGAAAAAGACAAAAAGAAGAACGGCGGGCACTCGGAGCAAAGATATGGGGATGCACCTAGGCGGGTCAAAGACTTGATCAAGGCTGGGATGGTCTGGGTGTGTGCCCCTCCATCCGCCTGTACATCTACCAGGTACCTACTCAGGTAGCTAACTACTTCTACTGGACAAGATTTTGAAATGGTGGAAGGAGAGACAGGCCAGCAATTAATTACCATTTCAATTTCAATCCTCTCTAATAAGACTCCCAGCGGGTAGTAAAAAAGGCTGGCAAGAAGAACCAGGTACGTACCTACAACTAGAACCCCTCGGAGGCTCCCCCAGCCGGTACCCCTCTTATTACCTAAAAGCTCCCCACCAGGACTCTGTTGGGGCATGTCTTGAGCTTCCCCTACGGTTCAAGGTACCTACATACCTACAAATCCGTACAAATCTCGGGTGCAAACGTGCATCGCGTTGATACAGCCTCATCCAAGTTGGCCATGACGCACTGGCAAACTCCTCCCGCTATGCAGGGTACACCTACCCGCACAACTCAATTCACCTCAAGCCTCATACTATACAGCTCCCCTTCTCATATATCACGCACAAGATCCGTATTCGCATCCACTCTCGCGGCCAGTCTGCATGGCACCGATGGTCCGGCGAATTGGAGTGCCCCCAGCAATTGCGCAATCGACGGGGCTGCTCCATTGCCCGCAACAAAAATCGACCCTCCCAGCTTCTAATAGGGGACCGGTCGCTGTCTGGTACAGAGCAGCCTTCCAACTGTGGTCTGAAAAGGCCGAGCAGCATCATTCTCAAGTCCGCAACTGTCACTGTCACGTATGCCACCCCCCCGCCCCCAAACACCCATTCCCGCCTCCCGTGTACATACCTTAAACGCTTGCTGGCCACTAGCTAGCATTCTGGCATCACGCTGCCACTCGTACAAATTGTTTGGATGGTGGAGGATACTCAGAAACAGATGACCACACGTTGCACCGCATTGAGTTTCCGTACGCTAGCATGTGCTGTTGTATTGCGCTGCGTCAGTCGATTGTGTCTAACATTGCTGGCCTTCGATGTGTCACGCCCAGAGCAAATTCCCCGCCCGCCTCGGATCTTCCCGCCTTCATCGCTCAACTCGCAGGCAGCTGCCCGACAGGAGTCTGACCTGGATCACTGAGGCTGATGCGCCTGCATTATGGCTGTATGCAATACAACACACCGCAACCCCCGCAACCCACCCGGATATTCTCCGCAGGGCTATCGGGGCTCGCAGCCACAAAGCTCAAACACAGCTTCCCCTCGTGAGATGTGCTTTCCTGTGAGAGGGAAACAAGAGGTGTTATGAGACGCGTCCTGTCAATTCCTCGACGGACCTTATATATATATATATATTCACTTAACTGTACATTGCAGTTACCTCCTGGTACCTCACGAGGCAGCATCTTCGTCAGCTGCCTTGATTGTGAGCGGTGGCGCACCGCGCAACCGTCGCCAGCGATTGCTCGTCGCGATGATATCTCTGTCAAATAAAAACCACCATCGCTGGAAGAAAACTTGTCCCACCTCCCAGTATGTCGGATCATAAGGATCATCGCCATATATTCTCACACCTTCCGAGTTGTCCTCAATGTCATATGCCAGGTTTGCCAGCCCTGTAGGCCCGGCCGCGCTTGGCGGCCGTGACCTTTCCGGAAGAGCAAAAATGTTAATCACCCTGTCCCGTACACTTGGCCATGGCAAAAAGTCCAAAAATGGATGGTGAGGCATTAGAATCTGCGTTGTTGTTGGTTGCCACGTGGGGGGCAACTGATTAGCAGGCGTGCCACCACCTCCGGCAAATGGAGACTGTGAAGTCAAGCTCCAGACGTCTTCAGGGGAACCAAGACGTTCTGCTATACGTAAAAGCCCTTTCAGAAGTGTCAGCTCATAGACGGGCAAAAGATAGCTATCAGACAAACTCCCGTCGGACTGGACACTTCTGGGGCTGGTGCCAAAGGCTGGCGACGAGCTGACATTTGACGATGAAAACAGCTCCAGCGAGGGAATGCCTCCAACTGAAGTCAAATCCGAAGAGAGATCTGCCCATTCAATGTCCATTTGCGAGATAGTTGGTTCAATGTTGGAGTTGAGAAGCAGCGGTGTCATGGACATGTCAAGCGAAACAGGCCACCCACTATCAATCCCATCTGTACCACCGATATCTAAAGTATCAGAGGCGCAGTTGATCTGAGTTTGGTTTTCGCTTCCCAGGGTCTTTTCCGAGGTCTTTTCCACCGCCTCATCCTCGGGCCCTTTCTGTGACGGTTGTTTAAGCCGGCGTTGTCTCCTCTTCTCGCCTGTAATCCGTGTTAGCTCAAACGGAATATCAAAGACAACCACTCTTACGGTATCTTCGCTGTGCCAGTACGTTAAGAACCCGCTTTCTCTCTACAGCGTCGTCTTCAATCTCGGGTACATCTAGCTTCGGTGGCGTTTTGTATGTTCGCTGTCGTGAGCGAGGTTTCCCACTGTACTGACTGGTCTCGCTCATGATCGATACAGGGGTGTGGAAACGGACCAAAATATTAGTGCGAATTGACTTCGTACAGAAAAATGTTGTCTTTTCTGAACAAAGACGAAACCGGGAGTTTTAAGAAATATGCCAATCAGTATGTTGATGGTTCAGCTCCCCACCTAGCATAACTGTTGTGATTTAAGTGGAGATCACGGTGCGCACAATCAGCCAGAGACCCACTTATGGCAGAAAGCCAGAAAGGGATAGCGGTGTGCGGATAAAGGAGTCAGGTTCGGAGAAACTGATCCCAATTGCCAACGGAATCGGGCAACGAAAAGATACGCCGAAGGAGTACAATTAGGCCAATTAGCCAGGCTAGAAAACAGGTATAAGAAGGGAGGATTTTCCCCTCCCAGTTGAGAAAGAATAAGGCAAAAACAGCTATAAGTTCTAATACATATTATTCTTTAACTCCACTGCGCAAAATTGCTCTTAGTTGTGACTAGTTATCTGATGTCCACATCAGCCTGCTTACATAATTCATGAGAATAACGCTTATGGCCCTCGTGCGAATGCGTACTGTGCGAGCCTTACTGATATTAGATACTTAAAATCTGCGCAGCGTCTCGCGCAATAACTATGTCGACACCACCAATTTCCAGTTATTACAGTCGGTCACCAAAAGTTCAGTCCTGATGTTTTTTAATATTACCCCTATCTACATAATTTTATATTTACATTCTTAATATAGAAAAATGAAATTTTTCATATAAATAGTAACTTATATACTATACTTACTACTAAAATCAATACTTTATAACTATTTGTATTCAGAATAGCTTAAAAGTATTATATCATTAATATTATTAGTATTTTTAAATAAGTTATTATTGAACTTTTTTTTATATATTTTTTATAATTTTAACTAAGCCGAGCTTTGCAACGGCGTGCGTCATGCGCCTGCGCCAAAGAAGCAGCGTAGCAAACAAAGTACTATCCTCAACGGCACTCCAAGTTTGCCCTTGCACACGGCGTGATGTCAACTTGGTTGTTCAACGGGGGCGCGGGGCCTTGCAATTATGATCTTCTTCTGCTGCCCCTTCCTCAGCCTCGCTTTGGGCAGAGAGACAAAAAGTCGCCGCCGGAGAGCGGGCAACGGGCAGGGGGCTGAACAAGGACCACGGCCAGCCTTGCATAGCCTCACTCACACACAGCGCTGAGTCGCTTGCCAATCACTGGAAATTGCCGCGACAAGCGCCATGTCTTGGGCCGCTTCTGTCGGACTCTGAATGCGAAACTCTTTAAGCTATTGCGGCGATTCCCTCCCGGCCTGTAACAGCCACCAAGGGCTGCTGCTGCGGTGCTTGTTGTTGCGCCCGTAAGTAAGCACCTCGTCAGACAAAGGATGCAGCAGCCCCCAAAGCGCCACTTCTCGGTCTCGTCGGATTCAGAATGCGACACTCTGAGTTGCTTCACGTCATCATTAAGGTTTAGGCGCCGATTCTACCCCCTCTTTGCAGCCCTTTTCAGGGGTCTTTTCAGATCCAGCTTGACCAAGTTGCGATCTTGTGATGGCAGTGCCCAGTTGTATTTGCTCCTAGCCGAAACGGCCTTCAGTCACGTCTTGGCAATTTTATTGTATTTATGGTTAAATTGTCTTTTTGACGATGACTTATATGCTCGGCCTCCACCGATATCTCCCTGTCGTCGACCATCTACAAATTTGCGCCTATCCGCCCGTACTCCAATCTTGCTTCATAAAGCAACGACAGCAGCAGCAGCAACATCACGGCCCAACACCGCGACCATGTCCCAAGGACTACCAAATGCAACCATGGGTCCGCCTGGAATACCGCCTGGCACCATCGTATTCGGTCCCAAGGGCAATTGCTCACTCCCCATCTGCCCTGTGAAATATTCCGTCTACGGCTACCGTCCATCCCTGGCCGCGAATTCAGCATTCATTGCCCTTTTCGCCGTTGCGGGCGTTATTCATCTCTATCAAGGCATCCGCTGGAAATCATGGATGTTTATGGGCAGTATCATTATCGGCTGCGTCTCTGCCATCCTGGGATACATTGGCCGTGTCATGATGTACACGAACCCGTTCAACTTTTCAGCCTTTATGCTTCAAATCAGTAAGTAGTTGGACGAATACTGCTCCAGACGGTTGCACAGAGCACCTAATTTTACATACTCATCTTTTAGTCTGCGTCACAACGACTCCCATCTACTTTTGCGCCGCCATTTACGTCACACTGGCCCAAGTCATCACCACATTCTCACCAGCCCTCTCCCGCTTTAAGCCAAGCTACTTTTACTGGGTTTTTGTCCCTTGCGACTTCCTGTCGCTGGTCATTCAGGCCGCCGGCGGCGCCTTGTCCGTCGCATCTGCTGGGACCAGCCAAATTGGTGTTGATCTTGCGCTGGCTGGCCTCTCTTTCCAAGTCTTCACCATTTGCATTTTCTGCGGCTTCATGGGCGAGTACATGTACCGATACTTCCGATCCGGCAGGGCCAGGGGCATGTATGGTTGGAGATTGTACACCTTCTTTATCTTTCTGTCTCTTGCCATTCTGCTCCTCACTATTCGTTGCGTGTTCCGTCTGGTCGAGCTGCGCCAGGGCTATCGCGGGAAATTAGTCAAGGAAGAATCGCTCTTCATTGCGCTTGAGGGAGTGTCAGTCTTTTCCCCAAATCTTTCCACTTCACTCGTCTCATACTATGCTCTTGCTAATAACGGCGCTCACAAAACAATAGGCTGGTTTTGGCCTCTGCCTTTGCCCTCATGCTTGGACACCCAGGCCTCATCTTCAAGGAGCATACCAACGGTCACCGTGAAATCCGGCCGGATTCCGGAACTATTCCACTAACAGACCGACCCAAAAACAAGCCCGATTCTGATTGATTGTATGATGTGTCGGCTGTCAAAGAGGGTCGAGGCTCCATGTTCTTCGGCGAGGTCGGAATCCACTCTCAGCCGGAGCCGGCTTACATGCCGTGAAGTCGCCGCGGAGCAGTTTCCATGAGCATGTTGCTGACATGCAGACGCTGAAAAAATGTATATCCTATCTTGGCATTAATATTCTAATACAATACTCTAAATCTCTAAGGAAAGCGCCTCGGCTAAACCCACCCCGACAAATCGCCCATAGATCCAGGTTCCGTGCCTTGAACCACCCCATTCTAGATTCTAGCATCAGCCGTCTGGAGATGCATACCGCGAGGCCGAATGACACCAAAATCCCTCTCCGCCTTCCTACCTTCCCAATCGACCAGGGTCTCTTCAATCTGGTCTGCTGCCAGGTACTTTCTTCGCGAGGCAATGCGCGCTATCGATTTATCTACGTGTACATGCTTGACTCCTGTTTACCCACAAACCTCAACATCTGCTTTCACATGGAAGCTGATACCCCAGGTGTTTTAGTGGAGTTAGTACTGACCGAGCGAAACATTTAGCGACCGACTGTACAAATTACTATAGGTACGCTATAGACTCCAGTCCTACTGCCAGTGTTGGCGTAAGCCCAGTACGCGCTGTCGGGCGGCCGGATCCCAGCGAAAAACCCCAGAGCTTTCAAGGTAATCCAGCGCGCTCACAACCCAAGCCTGGCAGTTCCAGGTGGAGCTCACGTTGTCGACCGGGACTTCGAGGAGCATAGAAACGGCAACGCTGTAATATTCGGCCGGGATCTGGCCGACTGCCATGGATACTTTATGGCGGCCAGAACGCTCAGGTTCTTTGTCGTAGACGGGTTGCTCCACATAGTAACCAACGCCAGTCTTGTCATCATTCACCTGGAGGATAACGCGCTGTCCGTTGCTGTTGAGGATATAAAGTGCCCAATGATTAGGGTCACGCTCGTCATAGACTTCGTAAATGGCAATGTAGACGGTGGCCATTGTAAGGTTTCCGTAGGCGAATGATGAGCTGATGAGCTGACGAGGTGGGTAGTTGTTGGTGAGTACTTCTCAAAATGTGCAGTACAGAGGAATGTTTGGTAAAGATGAGGCCTCAAGTAAAGACGTGAAAAGATTTTGGCACTTCTTATAGACGAAGTTTCGGGGCGTCCATTAACATAGTGGGCAACCACTGGCTCTCACGCCTTGCCGGCGCTTAGGGATTGGCCAATATTCTTTCTCACTTCTTGTTACACACCTCGCCTCACTCTTGCATCACACATCCTGGCGGATTCAACACTCTGTCTAAGTGTTACAGACCCCGCCTCACTCTTGCATCACACATCCGGATGCGGATTCAACACTCCTGCTAATCGAAAGACGTTGACAATGCACGAAGAGCCACCAAGCGACGCGCGCTCTGCTGGGCCGGTTCATATTATCAAACCACAGGCTGCACATACGCACACTGCCATCGTGCTCCATGGGCAGGGCAGCAATGGTCCAGAGTTCGCAGAAGAACTATTCGCCACTCGTTTATCTGACAACGGCTCTCTCTCGACAAAATTCCCAGGATGGCGTTGGGTTTTTCCATCGTCCAAGGAGCTCTGGAGCACAACCTTTCAGGAACATATGCCTGCCTGGTTCGAGGCGCAGTCTTTGACGGACACCACTCTCAGACAAGACCTTCAAATCTCGGGTATTATGGACTCCAGCGCATATATCCAGGGTTTGGTAGAAGAAGAGGTTAAAATACTCCATGGAAAAAAGAGCAATCTTCTTTTTGGCGGAATTAGCCAGGGCGGCGCGGTCGCAATGTGGATGCTGCTTTGTCGAGGCACGGAATCCTGGATCGGAGCCTTTTTCGCAGCCAGCACGTGGCTTCCGTTCGCTGAGAACATTGAAAAATTGCTCACCGGCCAAGGAAATGAAGAGGCTGGCACCGCTGGCCAGGATGCGGCGCCGATGAAGTATGACAGTTTCATCCGCCAGGCTATGCAAGATCCAGAGACTGAACAATACATCAATCCCATGCGCTCCCATATCAAGGTATTTCTTGGGCATGGTCTGGATGACGCATACATTGACGTCGAACTTGGGCGTCAGGCTCGCCATGTGCTTACAGCTGCGGGCTTTAACGTCGAGTGGAAGGAATACACTGGTGCTGAGGAGGAGGGGCATTGGCTCCAGGAGCCAAATGAAATGGATGATATTTATCAGTTTATGCTTAAATTTTCGGCTTAATCAGTGAAAGATAATTTAACATTTTTCTTCCTCTCGCTACTATAGAGCACAACATGCTCAAGTTATACACAGTGATGCCGTCTTCTCTTATCCAAGCCAACGGCTTATGAGCAAGTCTAGAGAAAACTCTACTGGCCAGCAGCCAATGGTGTTGGTAGGAAGGTAGTCGCACCAATCCGCAACAGGATCGCGGGGGGTTATGGTACTCAGCGCCTTCACATATTCCCAGTACTCTGGATACCACCCAGACACTTGCCAATCGATCAGACCCGTTACCTTGATCGTCGTTCCCGCATCTCCGTCCCAAGCCACCATGATATTGCGGGGATGAAGATCACCATGAGTCGGTACGATTTTATGGTCTGCGCGCATAGAGGACTGTATCATTCTTATCCAGGCTGTTCGTGTCCTGCCTTGGTGACGGCAAAGGAACTCGTTAAACGCTGTTTCCGCATGAATAGGAGTTTCGCAATGGCGAGAGATTCTTCGCACATCCCTGCATGTACCCGAAACGAAGCTACCAATGCGTTGTACGCCATTTTCTTCGCCGGGGTTCGGGGGCGGAATCGACCGTAGCGAAGAGAGTATCTTCGCCAGCTGTTCTTGAATAGACGTCTTGTGTAGGGTAGTTAGTGTCGGCCAAAGTTTTTCCAGTGTTTGGCCTGGTGCCCGTGACATGAAGAAATAAGTTCGCTCGCCGGATTTCAGTGTTCCCAGGTGCTGAGGTATCGGTATATCAAGGGAGAGGCTGTTTAGGTACTGCAGATTACTGATCTCGTCCATTTCAAGAGAGATGCTTATCTTGACAGCCTCCGACGAGCTGAGGGCGATGACGTGGGTGCTGTGCAGTTTCCAAAGAATTTCTCCCTGTCGCATCGCCGTATTCAACGCCGCAAGGGCGTCTTCTGAAAGTGTGGCGGACTGCCCGACGTCGTGTTCCTGGGCAGTCCCGAGTGCGATCTTCATGACACTGACGTCGAGGCGATGTACCACCTCGACTGGCTGCTGTAGGAAGAGCCATCGGGATTCAGGATCCGGTTCTACAGGTTGAGTCTGCCGTTCGGTGCTGGGTATAGCGACTTGCACCTGGGCAAGTCTGGAGACGAGCTGGTTATATGCTTGTGCTCTTTCGTGGAGAAACTCGGAGTGGTTCGAAGTTGGGTCGGCTATCAGCTTGTCCTGGACATGGCTAAGTATAAACTTATTGGCCAGCTGATAAGCCTCGTTGGCGGCAGGCTTAGAAGCCTTGATAATTGCTTCCGACGGTGCCATCTTTAGCTCGAAGAGAGTGTGATAGAAGGTAAGGCGAGGTTAAAGAGATTCCTGGCCTATCTCGGGGGCTATCCAATGCCTATAACCTTGAGAAGAACGCGAGGCAAGTAATCGTTGCTAAAATGGTAATAATAATTGCCGGCCTTTTACATTGCATTGTTTTAGAATTAATTTAGAGTGAATAACACGTGCTGTCCACTAGGAATGGGTTTATATTTCTCCGAAATTAGATAACAGCCGTGCCAACTCAAGAACATTACCAGCTTTGCAGACAGTGGAAGAATCGATGCTTGTCGGCACACTACATTATTATGCACACTGTAGATACGTGCCAGTAAAGCATCTCCTAAATAAAGCGTCTTAGAGCGCCACAGCGCTTCGGCAGCACTCTAGGAACTGCACGGGCGTATGAATCATCCCCGCCCTTAGCAGCGTCTGGTTGCCTCCGTAACACCTGGTTTTGTGGCAGGTACCAGTGGAAGCCAAATGACCGTAGATAGGGACACCTTGGCACGTTTCCAAACGGCGTATTGCTGAAGCATTGTTCACTCGACAGGGAGTCTCGGCGGTGCGCTGACTTTAGGCTGGCCTTGCCGTAAATTCCGCGATGTACAAGTGACAAGTTGTGTGGATATGCATGTAGAACCGCCAGAGGTGGTGAAAGGCGGGGGCGGAAAAACATCGGCTCATGGTTGTTCAAAAGATTCTTGGCGCGAAGATCTTCCCGTTTACTCCGCAGAAATTAAGCTATTGACTGGCAGATTAGTAGTTGGGTCAGTGACGACGAGCGAGCACCGGCTGTTGTATGTTTTCTTTTATCTTTTTTTTTTTTTTTGGGGGGAATTTGGTTATCGAGTTCGAAGTTACCTACTATTCATCTCTTAGGCTAGTTATGGTTGATGGCGCAGGGACTATTTATTACCTACCTACCTAGGTAGCAAGGTAGGTATTACTGTTTGGTGGCTGAAGAGCTTTTTGGTGTGGCACAACAAGGATACAGGTACATGGTCCGTCGCGTCTCCAGATTTATTTAACGTGCTACGAGAATCTCGCCTCCGCCACGTAACAGTTCGTCCTTCGTGCGACATTGTAGCTCCTAATAAATCAGCAAACATCGCCCACCTGCTTGCGGGATCGAAATTTTCACTTCTCACACACTCGGAAACTCCGCTTCTAACGCCCACGTCAAACACGGTTGCGCGCCAGCCCATGCAGTGCTCGTGCTCATGATGCTTTTCCCCGAAGAGGACGCGGCGCAGCTAAAGACATGGATAGTCAAGCGCATCGAGAACACGTACGTGCTGCCCGCACTCTTCCGTTTGCTTTGCTGCAACCCGCTTGTCTTAAACCACATTCACTGACGTGCTCGCCCCTGATAGTTCCGATGCCGACTCCGACGTGCTAGCAGATTACGTCATTGCTTTGTTAAAGCATGATGGCGACGAAGCCGCTATTCGCAAGCTTTGCGAGAAAGAAATTCCAGACTTCTTGACCGAAGGTTCGTTCTGAATTCATCCACCTGCCGAAACTGTCTCGCCAAGCTAACAGATGGACCGCCTACAGACTCGAAAGCCTTCCTAGACGATGTGTTCCAGGCACTCACTTATAAATCTTACATGCCTGGTGCACCCCCGGTGCCAAATCCAACTCCCAAAAACATCCCCAAGCCTTTAGCGAATCTGCCCCCCAAACCATCGAACTCGAGAAAACGCGGCTTCGAAGAGAGCCAGGATGTCAACGACCAGAACGGCTATACGCAACGCGGCGAGCGAGCACATAAACAGCCTCGAAGAGGTGGGCGGCGAAATGAGTCGTTTGGTGCATACATGCAACGTATGGATACGATGAACGTGCCGCCTTTTGATACAACTACCAATCCAATGGAAGTCTTCATGAGAATGCAGGCTATCGGAATGCCGTTCCCGGGCATGCCAGACTATAGTGGGCAAGCACTAGGGAGCAGACAACACAAGCGCGGAAGGTGCAGAGATTTTGACAGTAAAGGTTTTTGCTCGCGCGGAAGCACCTGTGTATATGATCACGGTCAAGAACCTGATGCAGCTGGAGGTAAGCGTGTGACAAGGTCCCAATGTACGACCGCTAATCAACGTCATCTTAGACTACAGTATGGGCGGTGGGTTTATGGATATGGCACAGATCATGTCCCATGGGCCACAATTTCTGGTAGATGCACCTCGTGGCGGACGAGGTGGCCGAGGTGGGAAGAGGACCCGAGGAGGCAAAGGCCCCAAGGGTACGAGGTCAACTTTTTCTGCCGATGGACCTATCAACGATCGGTCGAAATCAACAATTGTGGTTGAAAATATTCCGGAGGAAAATCTTTCCGACGATCAGGTCCGCAACTTCTTTGCGCAGTTTGGCAATATCCAAGAGGTGTCAATGCAACCGTACAAGCATCTTGCCGTCATCAAATATGATAACTGGGATGAAGCAAGCGCCGCTTACAATTCTCCAAAAGTCATATTTGATAATCGATTCGTCAAAGTATTCTGGCACAAGGAAGAATTGGACAGAGCAAGCCAACGTGGCTCGAGGTCTGGCGCCAGAGGGGCACGAGAAGGCTCCAACGGAGGCGACATTGGTCAGACAGAAGAGCTGGACTCGGAAGAGTTCCAAAGGAGGCAAGAAGAAGCCCAGAAGTCATACGAAGAGAGGGAAAGCAAACGCTCCGAGCTAGAATTAAAGCGTCAAGACCTCGAGAAACAGCAACAGGAGCTACTAGCGAAGCATCGTGCCGAGACGGAAAGGTTGCAAGCGAAACTGTTAGCCAAGTCTGGCCGCGGAGATAATGGCGTCACATCCGATGAGAACGGCGCTTCGACTGGCTCAACAGATATGCTGCGAGCGAAGCTGGCGCTGCTGGAGCAAGAGGCCAAGATTCTGGGCATTGAGCCAGAAGTTTCCAACGTTGAAGACAGTGGCAGCATAGGAGGCTTCCGTGGCGGCTACAGAGGGAGAGGCAATCGTGGCCGGGGTACCTATGCCAGGGGCGGATATGCACCACGCGGACGAGGGTCCCTCAGAGGAAACGGCGCGCGGCATGCTGCCTATGCGCAATTCTCAATAGATAACAGACCCAAGAAAGTCGCCATTGCTGGTGCTGATTTCGCGACGACGGAGAAGAATGAAGCATTGCGTCATTTTCTGATTGTAAGTGTGGCTTTGATGCTGGTGTCCGCGTCAACAAGAAACTAACATGTCGTTTACAGAGCAATGGTGAATTCGAATCTGTTGAAAGCGGCGTTGAGAAGACGACGGTGTCGTTCCCCGATCGCAAGACTGCAGAGAAGTTTTATTTTTCCCTACAGGGCAAGGAGCTTCCCGGGGTTTCGGGCAACTTGGAGCTGTCTTGGGTCAACACGCCACTCCCACCTGTAGCAGCTGGTGGTTCATCTTCATTCTCAGTCGGTCCGTCGGCCACTGGCAAGGCCGCGGGCGAGAGCGAGGCCGTCGGGGGAGACTTTGGCAACATGGGAGATGGAGTGGAAGAATACACAGGGGCGTCGGCGGCAAAACAAGACGAGCCGAAGCGAGAGGTAAATATGGACTACGAAATGCCAGACGAGGAGGCCTGGTAGGCTGCTCCCAGTGCGCTGTTTCGATGTGTGCGTATGAGCTTACAATGAAAATATGGTATATGGGACTTCATCGTTTAGCTGGGTATTTTGTAGAAGAGAAGGTGGTTGAATATATTTACATGTACAGCTTCTGCTTGGTGGCGATGGAAGGCGCGGTGGCGCCATTGGGAATGCATTGCATCTTTATTATTTCTAGCATATCTCTTGGAAAACACAGCTGGTAATGGTTAACTCAACAATAGCTGAGTACCTACACGGGTGAGGCCTGTTTTTTGAAAGGGCACTTTTATTTAATACATAATTTTCCCTGTCACAACGCTGTCAGGCTGCTATTACGTGCTGAAAATCTTTTATATTTTTTTATAAGCCGTGCAAGACACCTGATAGCGTTGTGACAGGGGACATTTACATGTTGAACGGAAAACGTGTCCAGTGCCCTGTCAATCTGTCCAACACCAACCAACCAAGTAAGAGGTGGGGGAAGTGGGAGTTGGTGGGCGAGTGATGATGATGACGGGTCCTGGTGAGGAGGGTTGGTGCCCTGTGGCCTGTCAAGTCAAGCCAACGCATGGCTGTTATTGCTGGCTGGCGCAAGCCGGCTGGCAAATCGTTTTAGCCACGGTCTCGTAACAGCTTTTGGAGGGCGAGGGGCACACTGCACGCTGCAGGCAGTGGCGGGTGGCGGGTGGCGGGGTCCCTCAGAGCTCCTGCCCCACCTTCCGAAACAGACCTGGCAAAGCCTGGCCCTCTGCTCTGTGCCCAGCAAGCAGCCGGCCGTTGTAGTCGTACACTGACTGGACTGCCTGGGGCATCAAACATTGTTGCAGGAGCTTTCGGTGGTCTATCATCATGTGGTTGCTGGGACCGAGAAAAATTTATCGCTCATTTTGCCGTGGACTGGCCCAGCTCTTTTTCCTCTTTTTGTGGGTGCTCTGTGCTCATCCCCCGCTAGGATTGGCTACCGATTGGGAACGGCGTACGCTTGCGCCAAAATGGGCCGCACAAGCTGGCGGGGTTGGTTGAAAATGCGGTGCGAGTTTTGAAAATCGGGCTTATGTAAAGTTGTGTACATAGTCGAGTGAGAAGAGGCAAGGAGTAACTATCGAATTGCACATTTTTCATATTCGTTGTGATACAGAAACAGTCATTAGTCAGCCCGGCCAGTCATCGAGTGACTCTTGTCGCTGAGCAAGCCATCCCATCGAAAAGCCACAGAAGGTACATGCAAGGCTTCTCAATCCTATCTCCGTGGAAGAATTGTACAGAGGTACTTCTACTATCACGTAGCAATGCAGCAGCAAAGGGTAAAAAGCCCACTTGCTTTGGCTCGTTTCTCTCTCTTGTTATAATTAGTGGATGACTCTGGTGGCTGCACCTGTGTTTGGCCGTCGAGTCCTCGCCCCCTCTCCCACCTCGCGCTCCCACTTCTTCGCCCGTCGCCTAAGAAACTCGCTTTCCCTCCACTATTTTCCACTCTTCACCTTTTCATCCTCTCCCAAAACATCCCCCCCCTCCGATTACAACAAGGGACGCAAAGAGTGGCAGTGATCCGGTCGCTGTCTCTCACATCGTCACTTTTGAGTCGTCTTTCCTATAAAAAGAGATCTTTCCACCCAGGAGACTTCGTTATTTACACGTAACCGTCTTCATACTGCGCGGGGTCAAAATCTTCAACCCCGCTTTACCTCTTCGCACCACCAAAGTTTTCTAGGCAAGCTCAGCTTCCAAAACCGCAACTATGGTTAAGTATGTACTCCTTGTCCCGTTGTTGGTTTCATCTATTGGGCGCTTTCAAGCTCCAGATGCAATTTTCCTCCCAATCGTGCTTGCATTGTGGATGCGGGTGCGGCTCAGCGTTCAGAGCCAAAACACCAAGCGAAAAATTATCAGCTCCCAGTCCATTCTGCTGTAGACCTCGGACTTCTAACTTGACTGGGCGCCTCAATCCTTGGAAACATTGCTAACAATGCTCTCTTTATCACAGTTTCACCGTCGACGAGGTCCGGGCCCTCATGGACAAGCCCTGCAACGTCCGTAACATGTCCGTCATTGCCCACGTCGATCACGGCAAGTCTACTCTTACCGACTCCCTTCTCGCCAAGGCCGGTATCATTTCCACCGCTAAGGCTGGCGATGCCCGTGCCACCGATACCCGTCCCGACGAGCAGGAGCGTGGTATCACTATCAAGTCCACTGCCATCTCTCTGTACGGTCATCTTGAAGACCCTGAGGACATCAAGGATATTGTTGGCCAGAAGACCGACGGCCAGGACTTCCTTATCAACCTCATTGACTCGCCTGGTCACGTTGATTTCTCTTCTGAAGTCACTGCTGCCCTCCGTGTTACTGACGGCGCTCTCGTTGTCGTCGACACCGTCGAGGGTGTCTGCGTCCAGACCGAGACTGTCCTGCGTCAGGCTCTTGGTGAGCGTATTAAGCCCGTTGTTGTCATCAACAAGGTCGACCGTGCTCTTCTCGAGCTCCAGGTTTCCAAGGAGGATCTCTACCAGACCTTCTCTCGTACCATCGAGTCCGTCAACGTCGTCATCTCCACCTACTTCGACAAGACCCTGGGTGATGTCCAGGTCTACCCTTACAAGGGTACCGTCGCTTTCGGTTCCGGCCTCCACGGCTGGGCCTTCACCGTCCGCCAGTTCGCTATTCGTTACGCCAAGAAGTTCGGTGTCGACAAGGCCAAGATGATGGAGCGTCTTTGGGTAAGCTCTTCGCGCCGCTCTTCAAACAACCCCAAAGCGACTTTTGCTAATCAACTCCCAGGGCGACAACTTTTTCAACCCCCACACCAAGAAGTGGACCAAGAACGGCACACATGAGGGCAAGCCTCTTGAGCGTGCTTTCAACCAGTTCATTCTTGACCCCATCTTCAAGATCTTCCACGCTGTCATGAACTTCAAGACCGACGAGATCAACACCCTCCTCGATAAGCTCCAGCTCAAGCTCAGCCCCGAGGACCGCTCCAAGGATGGCAAGCAGCTCCTCAAAGCTGTTCTCCGCACTTTCCTCCCCGCTGCCGACTGTCTTCTGGAGATGATGATCCTCCATCTTCCTTCTCCCGTCACGGCTCAGAAGTACCGTGCTGAGACTCTCTACGAGGGTCCTATGGATGATGAGAACGCTATCGGTATCCGTGACTGCGACCCCAAGGGCCCGCTCATGCTCTACGTTTCGAAGATGGTTCCTACCTCCGATAAGGGCCGTTTCTACGCCTTCGGTCGTGTCTTCTCTGGTACCGTCCGCTCTGGCCTCAAGGTCCGCATCCAGGGCCCCAACTACACCCCTGGCAAGAAGGATGATCTCTTCATCAAGGCCATCCAGCGCACCGTCCTCATGATGGGTGGCAAGGTCGAGCCCATTGATGACATGCCTGCCGGTAACATTGTCGGTCTGGTCGGTGTTGATCAGTTCCTTCTCAAGTCCGGTACCATCACCACTTCTGACACTGCCCACAACATGCGTGTTATGAAGTTCTCCGTCTCCCCGGTCGTCCAGCGCTCCGTCAGGGTCAAGAACGGCCAGGATCTGCCCAAGCTTGTCGAGGGTCTCAAGCGTCTCTCCAAGTCTGACCCTTGCGTTCTGACCATGACCAACGAGTCCGGTGAACACGTCGTTTGCGGTGCCGGTGAGTTGCATCTTGAGATTTGCTTGAAGGATCTCGAGGAGGACCACGCTGGTGTGCCGCTCATCATTTCCGACCCCGTCGTTCAGTACCGTGAGACCGTTGCTGGCAAGTCCAGCATGACTGCTCTGTCCAAGTCTCCCAACAAGCACAACCGTATCTACATGAACGCAGAGCCCATTGTCGAGGAGCTCTCCCTTGCCATCGAGGCCGGCAAAATTGCTCCCCGTGATGACTACAAGGCCCGTGCCCGTATTCTTGCTGACGACTTCGGCTGGGATATCACTGATGGTCAGAAGATTTGGTGCTTCGGTCCCGACGGTGGCGGTGCCAACTTGCTCGTTGACCAGACCCGCGCTGTTCAGTATCTCAACGAAATCAAGGACTCGATGGTCTCCGGTTTCCAGTGGGCTTCTCGTGAGGGTCCTCTTGCTGAGGAGCCCATGCGCTCTATCCGCTTCAACCTTCTGGATGTTACCCTCCACGCTGATGCCATTCACCGTGGTGCCGGCCAGATCATGCCCACTACCCGTCGTGTCCTCTACGCCTCGGCGCTCCTTGCCGAGCCCGCTCTTCTCGAACCTGTCTACCTTGTTGAGATCCAGGTTCCCGAGCAGGCCATGGGTGGTGTCTACGGTGTCCTGACCCGTCGTCGTGGTCACGTCTTCAACGAGGAGCAGCGCCCTGGTACCCCTCTGTTCAACATTAAGGCCTACCTTCCCATTCTGGAGTCTTTTGGTTTCAACGCTGATCTGCGCCAGGCCACCTCTGGCCAGGCCTTCCCTCAGTCCGTCTTCGATCACTGGCAGGTTCTTCCCGGTGGCTCTGCCCTCGATGCTGCCTCCAAGGTTGGCCAGCTCGTCACCGAGACCCGTAAGCGTAAGGGTATCAAGCTTGAGATTCCCGGCTACGAGAACTACTATGACAAGCTGTAAGCGGCCTCTTTGGGCGGTGATAGAAATGTGGACTGCACCTGGGGTTCAGTTTACGGAATGGCGGCCAGCAAAATATACGGACATGTGTCCAGATCCTTGGGTAGATACCATGGGGTGCTGCAAGGGGCAAAAAGTACACGCTAGGTCGAGGCCATATCAAAGAGAAAGCTTGGCTTGGCTCTTTTCGTTTTATCTATGTAGTTATGTCGTCTCGGGTGAATTGAAGCAAAATAAGATTGAATACTTACTGAAGTGATGACCTGTTTACAAAGTTTCTTGTCTTTCACCCACCCACAAATTCATTCTTATTCATTCTTTCATGTCTGCTAATGTGCCGAGGCAGTTGAAGATGTTCAACCGGGTTTGTGCATATACGGCGATTTTCATGGGGATATACCACTGTTATTGAGCTGTTGAGCTGTTGGGCTATTGAGCAAAGATCTCATAATCCGAGAATACGTGAACATTTCTGACAATTTCCGGTGTTGTTCTGAATCAACGGCCGTCCTCTCACGCCCACGCCCAGAGCGTTTTCCAACAAATTTGAACAATCGAAGCCATCATAGGAAAATTTCAAATGAGACTGTACAACGCCTTACATTGCGCCCCTCTCGCGTTGCTCAGGCACACCTGCGCCCAATATTAACTCTTTGTAAAATTTAGGTTTGATAGGTCCCCGCAGGGATTCCCCGGGCGTTAAACAGTAATCAATAAATCAATAAATAAACCCAATATTCACTCTTAAGTGTGGCGGCAAGCCAGGACCTTCCCAACTGCAATCTGAGACATTGACGAACGCCACGCAAGGTTGTTTGTTTGTGTGTCTAGTTGGACGTCTGTTGGGTGGGCAGGTCACAATATTAACAAGCGCAATCAAAGCGCGATCGATTATTGCTTTCATCTACTCGATAGCGGTTCCTATTGTCGTCGACGAATGGGCCGTTGTGGCGCCCGAAGCCATAATGGCCTCTTGCATGCAACATGGACAATGTACAATGTGGATGAAGATGCAGATATATAACAAAGTTCTTTTCTGATCTTGTCATCATTCTGTACTCACAATCATACCTTCTTCTCCGTCACGCATTCAAGAAAACGAAAAGAACCCAACAACTCGATTGAGCCAGTGAACCAACAAGCAAACCAAAATGGTCCGCATCGCTTCCGCCGTCATCGCCATTCTGGCCGCGACCGTCGGCGCCGTCGGCGCGAACGACAAGCACATTGTGGCGCGCAACGCCGACGACAGCGTCACCATCAGCCAGGAAGGCGGTGTCCACGTGTGCAGCCGCAACGCGGGCTGGTGCGAGGACATCCAGGTCGTGTGCCCCGTGCCCTCCAAGAGGGACTGCGCCGCCGTCCTGGGCGCGCACGACATCGAGACCGACAACTTCATTGCCATTCCCGCCCGCTGCTACGGCGGCCAGTGCCACCACCCTTAGAGACTGGAAAAGCCGGGAACGGAGCGTGGGTTTGGTGTGGGCGTGCATGTGTTTGTAACAAGAGGGTGCGAGGACGAGACATGTATATACACGATAGACGGACATGAAGCTCGGCATGGGAAAGAAATGGCCATCTTGAAAAATAAACTTGTTTCTAACTAGCCCAAAACGCCAGACGCTTTGCAAAATTAGGGAGAAATTAAGAAATACCAAAACAACTAGAAATCATACACATTATTCATGTACAAATATACAGAAAAAAGGTGATACCTTTTCCTCAAGATGATCCTAAAATGCGTTCGTACGCATCTTCCACTTCTCCTGCCAACTCCAATAGAGCCACAATGACGATCTGGTGTGTCAAGTTGGGCAACCTGTCGCGCTGCAGACCAATCCACTCCAGAGGCGGCGTCGCCTCGCCCATGTCGCGCAGTTGCGGTGTCTCAATGATGGGCTCCTCGAGCGCCGTGTAGTCGTACTTGGACTGGGGTACATTGACCTCGGCCGTAATTTTGCCCTGCTGCGCCGGCGGCTCGTCGTCGTCGTCGTCGCGGTCCGGGTTCAGAAACCTGCTACCACCGCCCAAGCTCTCCGTGCTCTTCTTCGTACTGAGCCCCGGCACGCCGGTAATCTTGACCGCAGTGAGCGGCAGCTGACGGCCCCAGACCTGTTCTAGGGACTTGTTGTGGTTCGCCAGCATGCCCCGAATGTAGCTGATGCGGGAGTAATTCCAACCGACTTCGACCTTTCCTTCAAAGGCACTCTTAAACTTGTAGTCGATGTGGTTGGTGTTGGGCGACTGCCACGTCTCCATGACCGCCTCGACGCAGGGCACCTTGAGGATGGTGCCGCCGCGAGAGCCTGTTGATCTTTCCACAACATCCTCAACGCGCATCTCGCTTAGTGTCCGCGGGGCTTCCACGTTGCGTACACCTGCTAGGCCAACACGAAGCTGCCCCAAAGTCATGCGGAGTAAGCTATGTATCTTTCGCTGCTGCATACTGGCCGCAAACCTCGCATAGGCGTCTAGTGCTTCCATCTTGAAGACTTGGTGATCGGAGAAGGTGCTGGGAAAGACACCGAGATTCAGTGCCCGCAGCGTCACGACAACATCCGTGTCTAGCGAAATGGGTGACTTGGACATTGTATCATTTTCAGGGAGCTTGGGGACGGTATGTCGTGGCTGCAAGGTACTTCGCCCGCCAACTGACTTACGGTTGACAAACTTTTCAATCTCCTTGAGAGACGCCTCGTAGCTTTCTTTGTTCTCCTGAACGAGCTTTTTCAGGGCCCGGTAGGCTGCGACTGCCTGTGCAGCTGAGGATGTGGTACCGAAGAGCTGGATCGTGTCACCATTGAAGATGGCCACAAGACGATCTCCACTACCGTCTCGAGTTTCGCGAACATTGTACATTAGAAATTCGAGAGACGTTACATCTCCAACAAGGAATGCCTGGTAGTCAAACGCTGCTTTGATTTGGAGGGCCTTGAATGCGAGTGAAGCTTGTACCAGGGGCGTTTCATTCAAGGCCTCCTCACGTTTTGGCCATTGGATAGATGTTCGGAGCCGAAAGTGCTGCAGAGCAATGAAGCCACTCAGGCGGCCGGTAGAGTCAATGCCAATCTTGCTAAAACCCAAGCATAGGTTCTGTTCCCAATCAGACGTTTTCTTTGAGGAAACCCAGAACTCTTGAATTTGAAACACGGATTTTCCAATGGACTGGCCGAGATCAATACTGACATCAAGTGCTGCAATCGACACGGTAGCAGTCCAGGGGAAAGCCGCGGTGGCTGCGACTTGCTGGTACCGCTGAACCAAATGAACTTGAGACGTCTCTGTCTCGAGCTTTGCAACCGGCGCAGAATCCACATGACGAAGCTCTTCCGGATACCAAATTTCTCGGAAAAGCAAGAAATCTGGCGCCTGTCTTGCATTCACAGAGATCACCATAGGGCTGACATTCAAGATGGCTGAAACTCCACTGACACCGCTTACATGCTTGCTGTTCATGAGAGACAGGGTGACCGTGTCAAGAGCAAAGCTAGCTGTTGGTTCTCTCGAGTACACATGCTTTACTGATGCTTGTGGTCTTGTCAACACTCCGGATATGGCGAAGAACTCGCCATGCTCTTGCGAGGTAATTGTGTTGAAGGTGAGGTAGAAGTGATCGAAGCTCGTCGTTGCAGCAACTCGCGCAATAGGCTGGCAACTCAACGTGAATTTCTGCTGGCAGATTCTCAACCCGAGATTCAGCTTTAATCGGCCAATAACAGTTCTGGGGTCCGCAGTGAGAATATTCTCCTCCTCCCCGGTTTTCTGAGGCTTGAGCTTCGGTGGCGCGGGGGATTTTTGTTCCTCGTCTTTGTCGCTGACGACCTCCTTAATATTCGACACGATATCGAGAATCAAAGGAACAACTGAGGGGTACAAGATGTTCTCCGATGCATCAATCTTGACCTCACCATACAGTGACGGGTCTGCTTTGCCATCGTCGCGGAACTCTCCCTTGAAGGCTAATCCGGGGCTGCGAAGTACGGCACTGCTGCCAGAGTCATCGACATTAAACTGTCCATATTTACCGCCAAGGGAAGGCCCATTATGGCTTTGCGCTTTGTTACTGCTCGATACGTGAACAACGGCTCCAGCAAAGTCCGCGTCGAGCAAGAGGTTCTCAAGTCGCTTGTTGCGCAGTATTGACTTTTGTTTAATAGTGGGAGTCTCAGCAGGCTCTTTGCTGGTCGTGTCTGGTACAGTATCCGTCGTCCATTTCGCAGAGGCTTCCTGTACGTTCTTGGCAGATAAAGAGATTGATTGCACCAAGTTGGCAGCAGGCAGAATAAACGCTGAAGTGAGCCTCAAGTCCAGCGATTTGCCAATCGCTTGGAAAGCAAGACGTCGAGCATCAGCTGTGGAAATGTACGCGACGTTAAACGTGACCTCGGGCAAGAGAGCTGAATGAAGAGACCTGGTCCCCCTTTCATGACCAGGTGGCACCATTTGTAGCTGCAGGTCTTCAATGGTCAGTCGAGCGGATTTCCTACTCCTTGTGCCGAATTCGATCAACGAAATAGAGAAATGAAGATCTTCTTTATCGTCCGAAGTGTGATCCGCTTCCTTGGCAACATCCCAGCTAGCACGAATATTCCGCAGCTGGAATCGGTATATGACAGACGACAGGACCGAATCAAGAAGATCTTCGGCGTCTGGTTGAGATGCTTCTTCATCGTTGATGGAGATGCGGGGCTTCGTTTGCCTCAGTCTTCGCAGATATTCCAGCTCGCGTGACGTATCCAGATCCTTAATCCTGGAGCTCATGTAGCCCATAATGTCAATGACCGTTGAGACGGTCTCGGGTGACAGTATGACGTGGAGGTCATCGCTCATGAAATTGAAAATCCACTCATCCTTGCCATCTGGCGATCTTCTTGAGCCAGCATTAACGGTGACGCTCGCTCCAAGATTACCACAGGACCTGGTATTGCCTTCGTGACCCCGACGTACATCGAAGCCAATATTCTGCAGATTCAGACTCAACTCGGGATATTTCATAACAGCACCGGAGGAGGCGTCTCTGTTGGATGCTTGCAGATGGAACTTGTCCAGGGCAAAAAGAAGCTGCGCGAAAGGCTCTTCTGGCTTTTTAAGAGGTGTCTTAGTAAGGGCCTGGAATCCAGCTAATGTTAGGTGTATGTCATAAATGATCGGCAGCGGGATCGTCCTCGGGTTGCTCGACGTGCTTGGTACGAGCGGGAGCTGCTCTGGCTCGGAAAGCTCGCTCAAGTGAACCTGGATTGATTTGAACTGCTCCTGTATGTCTTCGACTTCTGCGCTGATTTGCGGTCGGTTCACGGCCGTAAGCAAGCTGTAAATAGCTGACGCGTCAAGGCGAATTACTTCAATTGATGAAAGCACATTAATTGTGCGCTCACCATCGCCCATGCGAGTTGTAATGCGGCCATTTGTCGGTGGCATCTGCAAGATGGAAATACTCTGCAACTTGTTGTTTACATTCATTTGAATGTCGTGCGAGTTATCCTTGACATCAAAGTCAAATACAAGCTCCTTTCCATGGTTGGCCGCGAATGCTGCTCGCGCCACAACTCCAGATACTTTGTAAGTCAGGGATTGGAGTAGCGGTACGCTGATGGAGTACCCGTCCAGAAACATGACAATGTTGATCTGTAAGTTTGAGAGCTGATCAGAAATGTCTGGTGACTCCCCCTTCTTCTGCGGTTTGGGGATTTGCTTCTGAAGTTGGGCCAGCTGCGCACCCTCGTCGCGAATAACAAGATCGGCAATCTCCAAGAGGCCCATTATATCCTTTTCAACGCTAAAGGACAGACCGCGACTGCTCGCAGCTCCTTTGATGACATGAAGGGGCTGGGTTTTGACTTCGGGAATCTCTTGGGAGACAGTCACCGATGGATACAGTAGCTGGCAGGTCCATAGTGAAAAAGACTGGCTGTGCATCCTAGAAGTCACGGCGTCAGAGGTCAGCATAAGGCTGCTGAACTCTCTTCCACTTTCCAACTTGTACAGCAGCGCTGAGGACTTGAAGCCGCTTACAACGTTGCTAGAGCGAAGATTGACGGTTTCCAAGTTGAAAGAGCCCTTTCCAATGTCAAAAAATACGTGCAAGGCCCTGCGGCTTGCTCCTTTGTCGGCCAGCTTCGGCTTTGTGTTCTCGCTCCTGGGGGCAGTGTTGGGTTGATTACGATTGTAGAGCTTCAGTACTGTCTGACCGAGTTCCAAAAGCTCCCAGTTCAGATCCACGTGGACTTGAGAGCAAGAGATATCCACGGTGTTGAGAATATCATCCATAACTTGGATACCAAGCTGTGCCGCGAGTGAGGCATCCAGCTTACGTTCAAACCTACTCGTGAGGTCTTTGACAGCCACACGGTTCTCTTTCGGGCCAGGGTCAAGGATGAACTGTAATTCGCCCAGTCTGCACGCACTCAAGAATGGGCGACCATCACTTTGCTCTTCCATTGGTTGTTTCATAGGGCCAAACACCTTGTTGAGCAGAGCTGTTTGTTGAGGATCTTCGAGATCCCAACTCCTCCATTGCTGAAACGCTTCTACAACAGATTCAGCTGCGTTATGAGGAAGGGGTCCTGTTCCCGTGCTGCAGGCCTGCGTAAGACGAAGTTTGTCAGCTTCTGGCAAGACTGTCCAGATTTGTCTCAGTCGCATGGCCATCTTCCACGAATCAACAGTCCTCAAGTGATGATCCACTGACCGTAGCACTGCTGAAGGACGAATGAGAAATGGAGGGTCGTTGGTCGACCGGCCTAGGGCTACCAAACGATAGCAACAATAACGAACACGGTTTTCTTGGCGGCCTGACGATTCAGCAAGTAGATGCGACAGCTCCGAGGCCACGTTTCCAGTGCGATGTATCAAAGATGCCAAGTACTCAATATTTCCAGAGGCTGTGCTACCGACGACAGAGCCAATGTCGGCATCGAGGTATGTCACGTCTTTTGACCCTAAAGATACTAGAATCTGATCGATCTGCACCATCACAGCCGCTTGAGCTTGGGTGACTGCCGTGAGCCTCTCTGTTGCCGATAACTCGGCGCTTCTCATCCGCAGTTGTAGAGACGTTCTAGACATTTTGCGTATCGCAGAATTGTCTCTTTGCTCCGACACATTCCTAGTAACAAGGCTGACGTTGGATAACTGTAGGTCGTACTGATCGGTTTCGGAGGATGAATCGGGGCTGTCCAAAGTTGATGAGTTCAAGAACCGGATATGCGCTCCCGGGAGTCGGACAAGCAGGTCATTGATATCGCCTAGGGCGTCACTGCGTCGCTTCGCGCTGAAAATCTCTTTGACAGAGTCCACCTGTAGACTATCCAATATATCCTCTGGGTTGCTTGGCTGCAATATTTCCAGCAGGGAGGTCACATGCCTAACAGCCTGTGGATTCACAAAAGCAGTAATCCCGGAGGGGATTTCAACAATGGCACTAGAGTATGCAAATTCTTCACTGAGACTTTGTGGATCAATGTCAGAGAGTCGAGCGGATGGGTTTCGAAACGGGTCATCCCAATCAGCATCATCCTCATCCAAGGTTCCAAGCTGGCGAACGTCTGGCCGAATGCCATCCATGGAAAAATGAGGTGCAAAGTAAGGGCTAGAGAAGGTGACGGCGGGATGACTTGAGTGGCGGTTCCTCGTGTCTTCTGCAGCGCTTGTGGGAGCGGCATAGTTTGACGGCTGTAGCTGGCCATGCAAAGACATTTTCTGAGGTAGCGACTTTGTATGGGTTCGAGCGGTAGCAGCTCTCCGCCTTACGCTGCTCCCACTCCCGGAGCTTGCAAACGACAAGAAGGAGCTTTGCCGTCTGAGTTTGGGAGAAGAATTCAACGCTCGAATGCTTGGAGCAGAATCATACTCGGCATCAACCTCGTCAACAGGATATGGCGGAGGGGGGAAACACTGAGCAGGGTCGTCTACATGGTCAGGCATTAATTCATCCAGCAATTCGTCGAAAATCAGGTAGGGCGTTCTGTCAGTGCGCTGATCTTCGCGGCGTACCAACTGCTGTTGCGTCTTGCGCTCTTCCGAGAAATTCACCTTGCGCCCGATCGAGCCAAGTTGGACATCCATCCGTAGATATGCATCAGTTTGGACAGGATGCTGGTGGCGGGACTTGTGTTCAGTCGCAGACTCGGCATCGACGCATGAGATTTGGATATCCGGGATGAGTACATTTGCTCTCTTGGAGTAATGCGACCGGGCCCAATCATTGCTGTTCACATCAATTGTTCCTGTCGAGATTAGGAATGCAGCATCAGGCAGGTGAACCCACAGCGAAACACCGTCCACCTGGGCTCGGATAAATGTGATGTCGTAGAAAATGAGGGACGAGTATGGCACTAGCGCATTCTCAACATCGTCAAATGTGAAGCCGAACGCAGATGCACCCTTGGTGAGCGCAGACAGGAACTCCGCATTGCAGCCACCACGAACTGCGCCGACTGAGACATCCCAGTTGCACATATATGTAGGCTCAGAAGGTGGCAATCCAAAAGCTCTGTGGCCAAACGCACGTATACCATCGATAAATAGTTGTGTATTGGACGTTGATAAGCTTGGTGAGTCTGTTTGGGCACCAGTACCGAGTGACAAGCTAAGGGGGCTCAAATCCAGCTCCAAGTCCATGTAGTAGTTGGTAAATCGCAAATCGACAGCCAAGCTTGCAAATTCTCCTCGAATGAAGCGGTTTGCTGAGTAAAGATTTGTTGGCACGGCAACCTGGGGATCGTCAACCTTGACAGAAAGAATCACGTCCAAGTCATTCGACTTCTTAACTGGTGGTTGCATCCGAACATCACCGTCGCCCTGAGCCTGTGATTGTAGTTGCTCTTGATATTCGTCGACTGTGCGAAAATGCACAGTTTCGCCGAAATAATTATCCTTAAGCAGCATGAGGTAGCGTATGAGGAAGCCATACAGGGTGACGTGAGGAGACTGGCCATATACATTCAATACCAGGGTGTCGGTGTTGGCTGCTGAGGTTGAGGCATTGTACTGATAGCTTCCCGAAACGACTAGGCCTTCGGCATTGCCTAGCAGGTCCGAGTCCAAAAATGCCGATTCGGTATTCCATTGGGGTGTCCGCACGGATAAGGTGAGCGTCTCAGCTCGAATATCAAAGGGAATAGAATTTTTGTCGGGAATGAATTTGTCGAGCGGTATTGTAGCTTCCATGTTCAGAACAGGAGTCGAGAGAATAAGGAAATTGTTTTCGTCATGCGCTGTCGCATTATCAATAATGTTGCCGTCGTTGACATTTATATATGCTTGCAAATTCCCAAGTTTTAGGTGCAAATGATAGTTGAAAGGGGTGAATACGAGGTAGTCTGAGGGTGGTCCACTGGCCCAGTCATTGACTAGGTCTATCAGAAGAAAGATATGGTCGCGGAGCAAGTACAGGTTCATGTCATCAGACATGATATTGAAGTGCCAATTTCGGAGTGTATTCCATCCAAGAGGGTTCGATAAATCGCAAACAATCTTCTGGGGACCAGAGCGCCAAAGCAGGTCATGGTTGACACTACTCCAAAGCTCCGAAGTTGGCAGATCAACTCGCAAGGTGTTCTTATAGCCACCAAGTCGAGCTAGCATGTCCATAGAGTATTCCACGCATGAATTGGCGGGTACTTTAAGCTCAAGCCATCCTACAGGACGAGTTTGGTTGACATCTGTTTTGCTCTTCTTCTTGGCCTTGTTCCGTTGCTTCCGTTTCGTAGGCGCCTGCTGGCTAATTGGGGGCTCTTTCCCACGCCAGCGCCAATTCTTTGACTCTTCTCGAATGGGTATCCGCAGAGTAACCGTATCTTCCAACTCAATCAACAGCTTGAATTCTGTGGCCACTCGCCATTCGCCCGGTGTCAGCGGCTTTGCGGGTGTCGCATCTTTAGCTAGTCCGGGCAAGAAGACGCGCTGCAAGTCGGCGCGTTGTCGATCGGCCCATGGTCCATAGTTCATGGTACCACCTCTGACAGTGAGATGCATGCCCCAGGCAGGTGCGTCGCCGCCGTTAATATGAAGGAGAGAGTCGGCGGTGTTGGGTCGAGCGTCGCGTTGCGTTACCTTGGCCACCGCATCCCAGTATACTTGCAAGTGGGCGGAAGGTGAATCCATTATGGTCGTTACAGCAGCATATTCCACAGAGCCCCATCTAGCCTTGTCATCTTGGTCGCGGTCATCCAAATACCGGGACAGGCCTTGCCAGCGATTTGATGCTGGAATATGAGAAGCCCCAGAGCCAAGATCAGCACGCGAGTCTGCCGAAAATGACTCGACTGATCTACGCCAATAAGGAACCATGTTTCGCATAGACGAGACGAATTTTCGGCGTCTGTGGCGGAACCAAGTTCGTCGGGGTTGTGAGTCAAATTGTATGCCAATCTCGCGTTCTTGAGTGGCGCGGGTGGCCTGGTCCTCCTTGAAGTCCTCGTTTTCCTTGATCTCGATGACGGGGTGGTCAAAATCGACATCAAAGAGTTGACGGTATGGGTCTGGTGTCCGGGCAGCTCCAGCGTCAACATGGCATGTCACGGCGTTTGCCTTGACGACTAGGACAGCTTTGGTGTTCTCATTTCCGATTACGGCGGCGGCTGTTTTGCATTCAATGTGGATAGGGAGCCACTGGAGAATGAATGGCGTTTCTGATTCCGTAGAGCCAGCTGCATCTCCGTCAACACTGTTGACGTCTTGAGAGCTGCTGCGCTGTCCAGTAACTGGTCGCCCGTTTCGTGATGGCGGAAATATTTCCTCGAGCTGATCCAAGCCATGTAGATTTCTCTTGCGGGGCTTGTCCGTCTCGCTGGGCTTTTCTTCGTAGACATCGTTGGAAGAGGAGCGTGTTGCATCGGTTTCCTTCAGACCAGCCAAAACTCCTTCATAGGCCGGGCTGCGATTGTAGACGAACCATTCCAAGCCGACCAGACTGACGTTGATGCGGCACGGCAGCTTTGAATTATTGTCGGACCTGGAGGGGTGTTTCCCTTGCGAATGCTCATCGTCGAGCACGTCCGCCTCGCGCACCCTACGCAACCAGTATCGCCATGTAATATCGCCATGCTGGACCAAGAAGGATTCATTGACGCCGTGGTAGCGTAAGCCGGAGAAGAAAACTCTGCCAGCCAACAATGAGACTTGAAGAGCTTGTATGTCAACGTATACGTTGTATCGGTGCCAGGTCCATGTTCGAATCGTGTAGGAAACTATCGAGCCGAAGAGTCTGTTGAAGTAAAGGAGGAAGAAGATGGAGAGTAGGCCGGAGATGAGCAGGAAGATGAAAAATTGGCTGTTTGACGGTCAGCACCGCGTACAATTGCACGCTCGCACGGGACTATTACTCACTAATTGAAGTCGAGAGGACCTGGTTGTTTGGGGACGAGTGGCTGGTCCCGCGCGGACATGATGGGGGAAGCTCACAGACAGCTTCGCGACTGAGCTTCAATTCTGCGGCGCAAAGCAGAGATGTGCCAGCTACAGGAGCTTGCGGATCTTGTGCATGATGAGATTGAAAGTGCAAAGCTCAACAGATTTGTACGTAGGATGCGTGTCCCTCGGCAGCGGCGTAAATAGAGATGTTCACGAGACAATCACAAGCATCCCCTGGCAAATGGCAAATGGCCATGTAAAGAGTCGATGATGACGCTACTGCAGCACAGTGGAGCAAGATGGCGTTCAGGCGTGTGGCAGCAGAAAAGGTTCGCTCTCGATGCAACAGCTTCTACAGAATAGGCAGTGATAATTATCAAAAGACGATGAGATGCTCTCCTAGATAAACAGGAATATTAAAATTGAGAAATTTTTAATTTGCACATTGACTACTCTGTACCCAGTGAGGAGATAGCTAGAGGGGTGCGTTGTCCGTAATACTGCTGACCTCTATTCACTAAATAATACAGCTTATTACAGTGTGTTTTAGTGGCTTGCGTGGCCTTGTAGGGCTCCTTGGGTGGAGTAAAATGTCCAATGGTATGTGTCCACGTCCCTTGGGACATCAGACAGATAAGCAAGTACCTTATCTCGCCTGTATTTACCTGCCCCCTCGAGGTACCGACTAAGTCGACTTTTCCATCGTATGTACGTACGTACGTTGTAATACATACTAGGTCGACTCATGATTCAATCAGACTCATGCACCATTGTTACGCGCATCTCCATCTCGACTCGTCACGCTTCCCACAGTTCAACGCCTTTTGCCCCAATCTTGCCCGTCGCGTTTCGTCATCGCCCCTTGCCAAAATCTCGCCTTGCAATTTATTATTTTAGCTAAAGTGCGCCCCCATCGGGTACCCTTCTCGTCCCTCCGACCTGCTACTCGTGGCACCCAAACCCCAAAACGCCAAAACCATGATCTAGTCCTGTCCTCATCCTCCATCTCGGCCTGTCCTATCCTGCCCCCAGATCTAGTTCCGCGCCGTCATGGACGTCCACAGCTACGCAACCTCCAATGGAGGAACCGGGGCCAAATTCAAGGGATACACAACTCTCATAGCTGGTGTCGCCTCCGTCATCGCTACTGTCGTCTCTGTCCTGTTCGTGCCTCGCCACCTTGGCTATCCGTGAAACCAAAAGCTAATATACCCTTCCCTCCAGCTCGATATGGCTCCAAGCAAAAAACTATCGCAAACCGCTGCTGCAGCGCTACGTCGTTCGAATCCTCCTCATGGTTCCAATCTACTCGATAGCGTCGTGGACCAGCATGGTCTCGCTCACAGCCGCACAGTTTGTCGACCCATTTCGCGACATATACGAGGCCTTCACAATCTACACCTTTTTCCAACTGCTCATAAACTACCTCGGTGGTGAGAGATCCCTCATTGTCATGACACACGGCCGCGCCCCAGTACAGCACTTGTGGCCTATGGATCATGTCCTGCCAAAAGTCGACATCTCCGATCCCTACACCTTTCTCTCTATCAAACGTGGCATTCTACAGTATGCTTGGCTGAAGCCTATCCTCTCCATAGCGGCCATCGTCATGAAAGCCACTGGCACATACCAAGAAGGCTATATTGCGGCCAGCTCCGGCTACTTTTGGAGTGGCATCATCTACAACATCAGCGTTTCCCTCAGCTTGTATTCGCTCGGTCTTTTTTGGGTCTGCATGCACAAGGATCTCAAGCCATTCCGACCAGTTCCCAAATTCCTCTCCATCAAGCTCATCATCTTTGCCTCGTACTGGCAAGGCTTCTTCTTATCCATTCTAGTCTGGCTCGGGGCTATCCCAGATGACGTCCAAGGCTACACCCGTGACAACCTAGCTGCAGCCATCCAGGATTTCTTAATCTGTCTCGAGATGCCCATATTCGCTGTGGTGCACTGGTATGCCTTTTCTTGGTACGACTTTGCAGACAATAGCATCCTATCTGCTCGTATGCCCCTGACAAGGGCCCTTCGTGACGCTTTCGGCCCCAAAGACCTTATCGAGGACTCAAAAGAGACGTTCAAGGGCGATAAATACGGCTATCGTACGTTTGACTCTGGCGACAAGGTCATGGCTCACGCAGACTCGAGCTCTCGATTTGCCAGACTCGACGCCGGTATGCGATATGAACGTGGTGGCAAGGCCAAATATTGGCTTCCCAAGCCTGGAGCTTCGTCGTCGTCGCCGTTGCTTGACAACGGCGAAGGCGGCTCCTCCAATCAAGATTCGCAGCGTGATGGCTCAATGGGCACTTTTGACGAGCCTGAAATTGACCCAGACGAGGAGCGTATGTACGACCAGGCGCGTCAGCTGGAATACGGAGATTGGAACGTGAGTCATCTATCAATGCCGCCTTTGAAGCCTATAACTAACTCATTATTATGCAGTATCCCGTCATCACCGCTAATGAGCCGTTGAGGGATCGATATGGGTCTTCCTTCAGCAGTCGTGCGGGTTATTCACCTGCGCCTCGACTAAGCACTCCCCAGAGGCGCGCCCCAGCTTCACCAGCAAAGCCTAGTTCCCCCAAGACAAACGTCAGTGCTCAAGAGCCACCGTTCGTTGCGGTCAAGAAGAAGAAGAAGTCGAGAAAGGTTGTTGTTCAACACCCCGAGCCCGAAGCAGCGGCGCTTCTGGCAGATACTGAGTATGACGCGGGGGTAGGCGCATCCCCAATCCCAGATGGAGCAGCGAGTCCGTTCACGGCTGTTGCGCAACAAGACAACGCTGCTTCTGCGGAGAACGATGAAGAAAATAGCGCACCGAAAGTCAATGTACACGACAGCGACGAGTTCCGCAATGTATGGGGCAGCAGCAGCTAAGCATGAAGATGAGGCATGCAAAGAGTATTTTGGCGAGACGCGTTGTAGATCCGATTTCGCAGCATAGCGAGTTTTATGGGCGTTTATCATGGGCGCAAGCTTGATCCTTAGGTTTGATATCGGAGCAGTAATACACACAAGTCTCGCGATTGAGTGCTTACCAGCATCAGATGCATTTCGTCCCTGCTGTGGAACGTGCCATTTCAACCTTTTCCACGAGCTAGGACCAGTATCAAGGTAGTACTAAGAAAGCATGTTGACGTGGCTCGGGGCCTCTTTTTGCTGTAGCTGAGCCTGGTATTTTATGCCGCCATTGGGTCTGGTACACACACCCCTTGCCCGCCGCCAAGTTATATTAGGATGCGCTTCCCCGCAGTATAAATCCACACCAGCGCAGATGCTCTCAGGAGCGCTTTGCAGTATCATGAATTACGAATTCATCATCGAAACTGGGGGTAGACTGCCCATTCCCGGCAGCTCGACGAGCCCTGAAGCTGCAGCCGCCAGTAGCGCAGCCCCAAGGAAAAAGAAATGGACAACGAGAGCAAGAACCGGCTGCATCACATGCCGGTAAACCCCCCCACTTGACCAGTCAAGCGATGATATTTGTCATTTTCATTATATAGCTCTCTTGCGGCTCTTGTCATACTTTTCCCGTGCTCGTCATCTCTGACCAATTTCTTAGGGCTCGCCGCGTCAAGTGTGATGAGGCGCGGCCTGTCTGCCGACGCTGCGCCGGCAGCCACATGGCCTGTCGCGGATATGAACTTCCGCCTCCCGGTGCTGACGGCATACATGCGGCCGTCAGTGGCGTCGACATTTCCATGGTTCGACGGCAGAATCAGCCGAAACCTGTCGTCGCCGCCGAGATTGAGCCTCCGAGCTGGGATTACCTAGAAGGCATCCGCTACTGTAAGCAAACCCCTCCTCTCAAGAAGCAAAAGAGATGGCGGCTGATGCCGAAACGTTTGTCAAGTAGATTTCGAAGTGGTCCGGCCCGGTCGTGTATCGAGCACAGAGACCAAGTTCAACGATCCTCCTTTCCACCTGCCAGGCTACAACCGAACGTCATTCCTCGGCCAGATCATCTGTGACCAACTCTCAAAGGCGTCCAAGTCCCGTGGCAAGCTTCTCAAGGCCGGCGAGGACCCGGCTTTTGAGCCGTCCTGGAACCGCTACTCCCGCAACATGGTTGACGCCATCAACATGGTCAATCAGAAAATCAGAGACGAGGCACTGTACCCCGATGAAGCCCCTGCCTTCATGGCCATTCGCCATTTGCTCGTGCTCGACCTGTACTTGCGAAGGGTTTTGTGGCGAGCCCATCTGAGAGGCGTTATTGCCTATATCCAGCATCGAGGCGGGATTGGCGAGGTCCTAAAAATGAAGAATGCGCCGCTTTATTTAAATTTTGCGGTAGAGTATGAGACTGATCTGTCCTGACAGGGGTGTGCCCAGAGATGCTAACAGTCGCAATCATCCAGAAATATCATCCACGCCAATACAACTAGCCCAGCAAAGCAGCAACTAGAAGGCCTCGAAGATTTCACAGACGAGCAGCTCAAAGCATCGCTCAGCAACTCTTGCTTTGCGCCCTGCCCTCTGGAGCTCTACCCTCTGATTGTGCATATCACGAGACTACGCGTCGCCGTCGCCAACAATCGGCAAGCTCCGAGGACGAGCCTTGCGCTCCAGGTGCAGGACATGTTCAACGCCACATGGCACTTCGACCCGGACGAGTGGGCCGAGTCGGAATCATGGCGCGGCGAGGTAGACGTCGGCCGCGTCATGGGACGCGTCTTTCCGAAGACCATCCGGCTCTACGGTATTCTGACACTGCCACGACCAGCACTCGTTGCCTGGGGGGCCTCTTTGGCGGACATCCGAACCGCCTACGAACCCCTCCCGGGGCAGAGCGCGTTCGAGTCCCTCCGAGCGCGGCACCGAGGGGAGGTCTTGGCGCTCATCAGGAAACATTGGCATGTGCTGCAGTACAAGACCTCCTTGGTGTGGCCACTGCTCGTGGCTGGCGTGGCCGCGGTGGATGGTGCTGCGGAAGACCGCGAGTTTATTGAGGATTGCTTGGAGGCTATTTTGGCAATGCCAATTACGGCGTGCTCCTTTATCACAGTCGTGGACAAGCTCCGCGCGTTTTGGCGCTCTGGCAAATCGGAATGGGAGGACTGCTGGGATGAGCCGACCGTGGGCTCTGCTTAAAGTGAATGCATAGGTGTATTTTTGTATTGTTTACTACACCCAGACTGCAACAAGATTCCTTTCTACCAACTTCGTTCGACAGACAAAACGGCCGTCCGTCGGAGCCTTTTTCGTGTTCCAATTCTGCCACGCGAGCTACGAGCGAGCTACATGGAATTTTCCTCCCAAGTACTGCATACTCCAGCACATTGGATTCCCAACCACCCCATCGCACCATCCTTTAGCACTTTCCCTTGCCGACTTGGTTCTTCAGAAAAACTTTGGCATCCTCGGCACTCATGCTTCCAGGGCTTGGCGGGCGCTGACCCGTCGCCCAGCTAGCCGCCTCGGGGCCGAGCACAAATTCCAGCGTGCCGCCATGCGCAAAGATGTCGTACCAGCTCAGCCAGCTCCTGTCCCATTGCTTTCCGTTGACCTTGAGCGACTGCACCTGGTAAGCGCTGTCGGAGCCGCCCTGCGCCGTCACCTTGAGCGTCTTGCCGCCGCCGAGCGCCACGGTCAGGTCGGAGAACCAGGGCGAGCCGATGAAAAATGTCGTCTGCCCCGTCATGGGATAGAGGCCAATCATGTTCCACAACAGCCAAGATTCCATGGCGCCGGCATCGCTGTTTCCGGGCAGGCCGTCGCGGGTCGGACGGTAGTAGGACTTGGCGACGAAGCGGCTGCGCTCGACGGCCAGGTCCTGGCGATTGACAAAGTTGTACAGGTACGGCGTGGTGAAGCTCGGCTCGTTGCCCGGGTTGAACAGCGTGTGGCCAAAGGCGCCGTTGCCCGAGAAGATGCCTGGCTCGAACGTCTTGTCGAGCCGCCGGACAAACGCGGCGTCGCCGTCGCAGAGCTCAATGAGCCTGGTCAGATCGTGGCGCGCGTTGAAGGAGTACTCCCAGGGAAGCGCCTGGTAGTAGTCGTCGCGCCAGTAGCAGCCGCCGCAGGACAGGGGATCTTGGGGGATGAATCCGGACGTGTTTCGTGGCCCGACGAAGCCGGCGAATCCCAGAGCCGTCATGTCGGCGTTCCAATGGTTGCGCCAGTTGTGGGAGCGGTTAAAGTATCTATCAAACTCGGCATCCTTGCCCAGGCCTGCGGCGACGCTAGCCAGCGAAAAGTCATTGACCGAGCTATTAAGCAAGAGTTACTCAGACGGGACACACAAGACAGCGTCGCGAGACAACTTACTATTCCACCGCACGACTAACAGATCTTGAAAACTTCGGGGTGATGAAGCCGTATTGAAGCCAGTCCGGCAGAGCGCTGCGGCCTTCCCGCGTCGATCCCGTGGGGTCGCGAGAGTCGTTGTTGTTTGGCGGGACCTTTTCGGCATTCTTCACCATGGAGGCGAAGGCATCGTCCCAGTTGACCTTTCCACGCACGCCCTTGATATAGGCGTCGGCGAATACATTGTCCGAGTTGGAGCCACCTTGGACGGCACCATTGGAAAAGGACGATCGTGCGTCGGACACCCAGCCGACATGGCGCCAGACATCAACCATGGATCGAAGAAGCTCTTCGTAGTACGTGGGCTGCAGTACATGCAGCAAACTCGTCGTGCAGCGATACTATGTACCTGTTGTCAGCCTGAGGGGTCTGTTGAGGCATTGGAAAGTGTCCTTACAATGTCCCAAAACGTGAAGATGTCGTCATAGTACGGTTCGTCGGATTTCCAAAGGGGGTTCTCGCCAGTCTTGTTCTGCGGCAGCAGGTGCATAAAGTACAATGCACTGTATAGTTGATTGAGCTTGGTTGTGCTCGTTTCCGTCGTTGTTACTTTGCCAAATACTTCCTTATTCCACACCTGGCGTGTCTGGTCTTGCACATGTCGGATCCCGGAGCCGCGAGGGATCTCTCTCGCCACGCTCTCGCAGGCCTGCTGCGTCGAGATGAAGGAGACTCCCACCCGAGACGACACGGAGGTCTGGTTGAAGGTAAAGAGAGCGCCAGCACGAGGGGCCTGGGCTGTGTCTTGCCGTTTTTCAGTTTGGCCTTGTGGACTGCGAAAGACTTTATGCGTGGCCGGCGCATCAAAGTGGCCGCAAAAGTACACTGTCCACGGGGCCGCTCTGTTCCATCCCTGTAGGACGGTCAGCATGGGCCTGTCGCGACAGGGACAAGGTGACCTACATTATCATATTTTCCGGAGCCAGTGTAGTACAAGAAGCCTGGCTTGCCAGGCTCGTTCAGAACGGAGATGTTTCCCTCAAGATAGTGTTGGCCGAGACACTGGCCACGATACGACGACAAGACATGGGAGACGTCGACCCAGACGTTCAAAGGCTCGTCTGTTTTCGGGAAGGTATATTGCAATAAGCCAGCTTTAGTAGTTGCTGCAAGCTCAACAGTGGTGCCCGAGCCAAGTTTTGCTCGGTAGTAGCCGACTTCTGTGTAGTCGGGTTCGGCGCGCGTATCATTGGTGTTCTGGTCAAGAGGGTTCTCAATGTTCCCTACAATAGGCATCTGAGACACGACTCCATATTTGGGAGCTCCGCCGGTACCGCTCTCATGGAGCATGGAGAAGCCGGTAAAGTTGCCAGTAGCAAGGTAGCCAGAATAGGCATCGGTTCCCGAGTAAAGATCTGGACCGAGTTTGACTATGCCAAACGGCCGAGACACGCCGGGAAACGTATTCCCTCCTCCAATTGAGCCAGTCTGAAGTTTTGTTAGCATGTGAGAAAAGCGTATCGTGTTCCCGGCGCTGTGGAACTCGGAACTGTGCAAAATACTCACATCTGTCAAGGCGAATGTGAACAAGTCAACATCTACAGCAGGCGCTGCGGCCACAACAGTCCCCCAAGCAAGTAGAAAAAAGGATCTCATCATGTTTTTCAATGATGAAGGACTAGTGTTCCTCAGCAACCGTTTTTTCATCCTCATAAAGTGAGGAAAATAGTATGTCAGACAGCGTGCGGAGATTGCATGTTGAACCTGCCCTACAGGGCACTAACGCGGAGCTAGACATGCCCTGTCGACGATCATCTGTTGCACGCCGTCAGGATGCGCCTGTGAGTGGACGAAAGAGCCAGCCGGATCCGAACCAGAAAAGTTGCGCGATAATGGGGCATGAATGCGATGAAGAACGTGGAAAACGACGAACAATGACGACTTGTACTGGAGAGGAACCAGGGCCAGTGTCAAACAAGAGGCTGAGAGCGAAAACTGGAAAATAGAAAATAAGAAAATAGAAATAAAAGGCACGATCAGACACTCAGCAATCCCTCTCCAGACGTGTCAACGACTCGTCAAGCTTTACCCAGGCCTTGTCCGAAACAGTCGCCATGAGCCAATAACCATCGCCATGATCTTTCCCAATAATGTAGAAATTATCAGTCGCTGTAATATGACCCTTGACCACCAGATGCAGATAGTTGACCATGGTTCCTGTAGGGTTTCGCCTCGACGCGTCGTCTTGGCCGCGGCGGATGACGGCTGGGCCAAAGTCAGCTGTCTGCACATACGATGCCTTGGTCAAGTTATTGGTAAAGATGACGCGCGCGTGCGGCGTCCCCAGAAACTCGAGCTTGGCGCGCTTGTTCTTCCGCAGGCTCTCCCTCACGCGTCTCAAGAGCAGCGTCATTTGCTCTTCCGACGTCTGCGCCACCATCTGTCGCCTGCTTTCCGCCGCAATCGCCCCGACAGAGGCACCCGACATGTTCGGCGTCAAATGGCAGAATGCCGTGCTGACAATGTTTTGCAGGTAGACACCCCCAGTGCTGGCAAGACACCGCAGTCGTCCTCGCCCGTTGACCAGGTGCATTACCGTTACGGGGTGTGGTTTGGGCTCCGCCGAAGTAATGGATTTGACAACCCACGCCGAGATTCCGTCGCCTTCCGTGATGAAGGCATCGCCAGTATGCTTCCTCGCTTCGAGGTTGATCCGATCCACTGCCGCTCGCGGTAGAAAAATCATGCGCGTATCTCGGGGCGTGTAAAATAGTCTGTGCCATAAAAATAGGATAATGAAAAGAACGAGATCCAGGCCGCTCACAAGCTTGGGGCCGACAAAGCCCCCTGTCGCAGGCTGCGAGTCCGTGTCGATTGCGTCAAGGACGTCCTCTCTAGCTCCGAGAACAGCGGGTATCTCATCGTCCTTGCCAGCTAGCTTCAGCGACCAGCCATGTAATACATGAGTGAGTCCGACGCCATCAAAGAGTGTATGCGGCCAAACAAGGGAAACCAAGGTGGCGTCCTTGAACGAGGTAGTGAGCAGCGCCATCTGCGGCGCCTGCGTCGCCACAAACTGCTTCATGCTGGGTGGGAAACCAGCGGGTACCGCAAAGCTTCGAAAGTCCATTTTGCCAGAAATAGATTGAGAGTAAGGCGAGTCCCGAGGCTCGGGCAAGTGCTTGGCCAAGGGGTGCTCGCTTATGCTCAGGGTTGACAAGTCTTGCTTTGTAAAGGCGACGGCTGGCTCTTTGTCAGTGAAGCATCGCGGAACACGAAGTTCCAATTTTCCATCAGGCTACTATAAAGTTAGCATAGATTCGAGCATGGAAAGAAGTCACCGACAGTTCTGTGAAGGCGGCCGCCAAGCTTCCGCCAATCACCATGTTCGAGGAGCTGCGCAAGCGCGAGATGGAGTTTATCGACGTCCAAAACATCGTTGAATCGGAAAAGCCAAGACACAAACTTTTCGTTCATCGAGGCGGCATCTCCCAGATGTACTGGGTAGACATCGTATTGGGCCTCTATCGGAGGAGACATGGTAGGTTATTGTAGGAATAGTGATATGGCGGACAGCTGGAGCGACCGGTCGCCGGTGAACAGAGTATGTAAGGGGTCGGAAAGAAGTATAATACAACGAGCTTCCAGCGATCTAATTGCCCATAAAAAAAGGATGATAAGTGGGAATCGGCACTAAGTAATTCGTAACTTGCTCCGTAAAATAAGGATGCGCAGGTCTCGGTTAGGGACTATGCCATGCCCGTGCCACTTGAACTTGCTTATAATAAGGTCCTGAACGGTCGGTCAAGTACTGTTGACCAAACAAACCAACTAGCAATTTCATCGATACATGTGAATAATTATCCATCTGCCGAGGTCAATCGCTGCGCCCATTAGCAATCGCCGCGACTAGTGCCATTGGCAATTTTGAGCTGATTATTCATGAGTGACAGACAGTCAGCACACCATGCGACCATGCTGTCACCATGGGACCAGGCACACTCCTCAATTGCATCGTGCAGCTCAATGGTGAAAGTGCCCCGACTCTTAAGCCTTGGGGTTATAGGCTGCGCGGCAGCGAGGCGGGCGGGCGGCAGAGACTGCGACGGGAGAAGCAGACAGCTGCATTGTGTGTAAAGAGATGCTGTCGTACAAGTAGACGGACAAACGAGATGGTCCTCCAGACCGTTATCACACCGCAACTGATGAAGGAATCAGATCTCAATAAGAGCAGACCACTCCATAGCTACCTACCCTGTACCATGCCCATCCGCGCTAGAGGCTCATCGAGATTGGGCGGATCAAAGTCGCCCCGCCTGGCACATCAAAATCTCCAAATCTCCCAAGCGCGCCCAAGTCGGTGTGAGAATTTTGTCGGTCAACACAGGCAGAATCACCATCCCGGCGAATCTGCCACTGCTCGAGTTGCACTCTTCGCATCCGACTGCTCTTCTGCGCCGTGTGCCGTCTCGTCGTCTTTTCCCGGGCACGGCTCTGAATACCCCCTGGTGCGCGTTCCGGAACGGCACCAGGAAGTAGTTCCTGGCCATTCTTCCAGGCATCACCAGGCTGCCTGCACCACTCCAACTTCAACCCACCTGGCAACCAACAGCCGAGGGCCTCTACGTCGCCATGGGACGAAAGCCCAATCCGCTCATCCTCGAATACTTTGTCCGCGGGGCTAAACTCAACGACAACAGTAACCGCTACCAGCACACCTGCAAAAGATGTGGCGAGAATTTTCCCAAGGGTCGCATCGATAGCCTGACGACTCACATCACCAAGAAATGCCCCGCCATTTCCGACTCGGATCGTATGCGAGCCTGCCTCGAGCTTCACGGCATTACTACTGCCCGTGCTGCCGCTGCCGAACGACATAATAATGGAAATGGCCCTCGAGGCGCGCGCGCTGTTCCCTCCAACGTCTTGCCACAGGAATGGAGTGCCTTGGAGACTCTGGCTGAAGCCTCAAGACAGGTTGATCTTAACGAGAACAATCGTGTGCTACCCAAAGGGCAAGATGCGACCTCTAATGCCGACACCACTTTTGTGAACGGGAGATTCGAAGTACAGGAACAATTTACCCTTGAAAACCCACCGGCGGGGTATGAGGAGCGCGCCCATTCCTCAACAACTGCCAAACGGCCCACCAACGAGACTGAGTCTGACCAAGCGAATGCTTCTAAGATGGACTTTGGCTTGGATGTCTCTCATGTGTCACCAAATGGTGTAGAATTGTCGGCCGAAGAGAGGCTGCAGGCACTGTTACCTGCTACCGACTCCTCTCCCGACGCGTCAAATATTTCTGTCGCCGCAGCAGCCGCAGCTCGTCTGAACCCATCTTTTCTCGATCCTCAATTAGTGGAGAGCGAGGTTTCCTCAACCACGCCATCTGCCGCTGAAGCTCAACCTTTCGTTGAGGTTCCTTCACCTACCACGAACGACGCGAATGCCGCCCAGCCTTGGGGTGAAATGACGTACCTCGCGGCCACTGCCGCTGTTCCGCTTCTCGTGGAGCATCATACACCACCTGCGCCTCTAAATAGAGGAGGTGTGCGCATGGACACTAGCGATGCTTCTATGCTGGGTAGATCCCGCCATGCTCGGTCTCGATTCACGCCAGCGCGCCGCAAGGAGGTCCAGGAGGTTCGAAAAATCGGCGCTTGCATTCGATGCCGAATTCTCCGCAAGAATTGTGGACAGGGAAATCCTTGCGATACCTGTAGGAAAGTCTTAGCTCCGCGAGTGTGGAGGACGGGCTGTGTTCGCACGCGATTGCACGAGCAGCTTGATCTGTACTCAGCCGGGGTGCAAGTGGTGCTGTCTCAGAATCGTATCAATCTTCTGAAAGGGCAACTACAACTTACCAACAACGGAAGTGTCATTGAAGTCTCTCATTTTCCCGAAGCAGAGAAGCGCATCGTTCTCGGAACAATGGAGGCACTCCTGGAGCCAAACGGGAGTCAAGCCGAAGCTAGAAACAGCACGGAACCTTTCCGACAAGCAATCATGATTGACCAAGAAACGGAAGACATTCCTAGCAAAATTGAGTCATATATGCGAGACGTTCTGCCCTTATTTATAGAGCGCGAACCCTCAAAATTCACCCGCATCACGCTCGAGTCCGCTCTGGAGCAGCAAGCCCTCGAGGAAGATGACCTCTTGAGCAAGGCGCTCGAGCTGTGGGGTCTAGTCGAGAGTATAGACCGCGAGAGGCAATGGACGATTCTGGAGCGCCCGGCCGAGGAGAATACCGATGCGCGGTGGATCAACGAGGCGCAAAACGAAAACGATGCCGACATTTACACCATGATTTGCATGCAGCTCAACGCCGCGGCTGAGCGCAAAGCAAACAGCACTTCAAAGAGCCTACTCAACCATATGGACCGCCTGCTCACCGACAGCAAGACCAAGGTCGGCTTCAAAATGTTCCTCACGGCTCTCATCTTCCTCAACTGCGTGGAAAAGTCCACGTGGGCCTTCAAGGCCTGGGAGCAGGACCACCTGCGGCCCGGCTGGCCACTGGAGCGCGACCCCAGCGTCTTTGCCCAGCAGGGCGGCAACCTCGCCGGCCTGCTCAAGATGCTGCTCGCCATCCGCAAGTCGCTGCCCCAGACGATGCGCGACGACAACGGCAAGCTCGTCGCGCAGAGCCAAGACCCTGCCATCGTCGCCTACTTCCAAAAACTCGATTTAGAGTGTGCGTGCCCCCCGTCCTAAACAAGTCGGTCAATTACGTCCAGATACTGACAGATGTACTAGATGATTCTATCGAATCTCGGCAAAAAGGCTCCCAGTTCTCTCCCGCCGACTCTCGATCACTGGAACTCATGTTTTGTTCCCACCTTCTTCTTCCAAACTCAACGGTATAGAAACGTTCCTCTTTTCGAGCCAAAAATTAACGATGGATGTTGATGACAAGGAACTCTTCTCCCTATTTCCTATCTCTTATTTCCTATTTCCTATTCCTATTCTATTTTCCTTGAACTTCAACGTTTTAGAAGACGCCGTACACACACCAAAGATGGGCATTGAACATTAAGATCGAAGGCCTGGCGTTTTATGGATAGCGAAAAGTATTGGGCAACCAACAAGATAATGACGTATGAATATGATTTGATTTTTACCCCTTCAGGAAGATGTACACTTTTGTGGCCTGCATGCCCTGCGCATCCTCGCATTCCATCGTTTCACTGCATATCGGAGCTATCACGTACTTCATGTCATCATATTGATATCTCGCCTAACTGTAATAGATTGCTTCTGAACCACTCCTAAATAACGCCCGTTGATTCCGAAAACTTGAGACCAGTGCTTCACTACGCACACAAAGGGAAACGCACCCGAGAGGACTGCAAAGGACAAAGCATGCAATGAATAGAATATTTAGCGTCGAGAGTAGGTCTTCTAGCCTGCCGTCGTGCTACCTACACTATTGTATCCGTCTTGCTTGCCTGGCGCGGTGGCAGCGGCGGTCCCCGGAGCCCTCTTGGGTTTCTTGAAACAAGCAAACTCGTTTTTGCTGTTTTCGCGCAGCTTCTTGAGCACGTTGCGCATCTCGGGCAGCTCACTCTGCAGGCGCGCACGCGCGTCATTGTCCGTCCGTCCATCGAGCTCCTGGTATATCTGACTCTGTAACTCAGAGGCGCGGTCTGTGGTGTAGTGGCTTAGGGTTTGCGCCACAAACTCAACGTCGAGTGTCGCCTGCATGAGCGCCTCGAGCGTGTATTTGGGCCGCGTGCGGAACGTCTCGAGTAGCTGCAGTGACGTCTGCTCCAGCAGGAAGCTCAACACTTGGGGTGTCAGGGAAGGTGCTGTCGTAGACACCTGAGAGTGCACCAGAACCAGTGTCAGCAGAGCTTCGTATATGTAAGGCTTGGCTGCGCTAGGTCTCTGGTTTGGTTTGGGTACCCAGTTTGGCGATGCTAGGCCGGTCTGGATAATGTCGCGCAGTTTTTCGATGGAATGTTTAGTGTAGGACTGGAACAGGCGAGCGTCAATCTGGCCCAACACATCCTTGATGGTCTTGGACTCGTCAGTCAGCTTCACAGAAAATGCATTTTCGAACTGTGAGTTCAGGCTTGGAACCACTTGGGAGCGCAAAGCCTGTAGATTGCTGAGAGTCAAGAGCATTCTGACATTGCGATCGCCCGCATCCAGTGTACTCTTGCCAACCGACGAGGTGCTAGTATATACCGTAGCGGCTTGCGACCAATCCTCGTCGTCAGTCTTCTTCAGGGACCGCTCTGCATTCTCTACCATTCCGCTCAAAGCTTTATACAGCGTTGTAACGTACTGGCTACGGACCATCTGGAGTAGCTTGGGTGGCGGGGGCAGAACAATGCTGGGCGCGCCTTGCTCTGTTGTTGCATCTGCAATATAGAGGATCTTCTGCATACCGGTGAGAAGAGTCCCCTCAAAGGCGGCAAAGCTGGCCGGCATTCTGGTGACGTCGCCTGCTTCACTAGAACGCTGCCAATCTTCCACATGCTTGATATTTTCGGCATCACGATTCCACGCCGCGCAGAGGGCAGTGACACATCGCTCTCGAGAGGCACCGATTAGAAGCTTCAGTCTATCCAGCTCTTGGTTAGGCCCCTTGGCAGCGGCTACAGGCGCAATAGTGGCCATCTCAGATGCTCCTGATCCAACTAGCGCAAGCATTCTGGACAAGTAATGCACGCCGCTGAGCGAGTTTGACCAAGGCGGCCAGAATGCGAGCTTCTCCCACGGCTCCCCCCTACTAGGAGATGGAGGCGGTGGGTTGCTGGGATCAAAGTTGAAGCGTGGGTCCCGTAGAGCAGTTGGTGTGAGGGAACCAGAAATACCACCAGTGTTGGAACCTGGCGAGCCTGGATTTGGAGTCAACGGCGATAGAAGAATTGATATATCCTCAGGTGGAAGCCCAGCAAAGAATGCGTATATGTGCTCTCTAACTTGCTCGACAAGTTCTCTTGCGCCTTGTGATAGTTGGCTGACGCGTTCGCTGGACAATTCGTGATGCACCTGCGACTCTCCGTTGTAGCCGATTGGTAGAGTCCGCTGAGTTCTGCCGTCAATAAAACCTTGGGCAAGCGACCAAAACTCAACAATTTCACCCATGGTACCTTGCGAGGAAATGAGATTGCTCAGGAATGTGTACATTTTCTCCCAAAGTTCAATAACTTCAACCGAATCATTGACGGGAGGACTGCGGTCGATCGCCTGTCTGCCGAGGCCGTTCAGGTACATACCTGCTTGCTTGGGGGTTGGCTTCTCACTAGCGGCTAACCGTCGTCGCAAGACTTCAATCTCTGTCTTTTGACGGTCACCTGTCACTTGGATCTTGCTCTTCAAGTGATCATAGCGGCTTATTAACCAGACCCAGATGGGACTTTCCTTGACTCCAAGCTCCAAAAGCAGGCTTATGAGCTCAATATGCTGATCTTGCACGCGGCCAGCCGCAGCATTAGGTTTTGAATGAGATGAAGACGAAGACATCTTCTTCCAAATGTCGGTCTTGAAGGACTCCACTTGCCGATTAACATCATGCCACATGCGAGCCGCGAGAAGAATTTGATACAGCTGTGTATCGTCGGGCGTGGCACCTTTGAGCTGCTTACCCAAGTGGCGAGCCTGATCGGCAAATGTTCTCGCGCGGTTGTAGCTTTCGACTAGACTTTCGTAGTCTTTGCGCTTAATACTATCCGCGACAGTTCCGCTCAAATCAACATAGTCTTTGAATTTTGAGAGGTGAGTCGAGACAACTTTGAGATGCTCCTCCTTCTCGCGGCCGCCCAGCGCAGGACCCCAGACTTCTTCAGCTTTGGCAGAAACGTCCAGTAGTGGAACCTTTATGCCGAGAACACCATATTCACTCTCCTTGGTCAGGGCGTTCTTCTTCCTGTTGTCAGAGACAGGAAAAGCCAATTGGTTGTTAAAGGCAAGCTTGCTACCGCTATTGCGAAAACTGCTGCGGCTTGCATGTCGTGAGTGCGTCTTCATTTGCGGATCTTCACCACGGTACTTCATTTCCTTGTAGACATTATCGATGGTCGCTTTGGCCTTGACGAATCGCTCGAAATTGGATTCGACAAGGACCTTGAGCGATGCCGACTTTTGATCGATCGAGGTAGATAGGGCATCCAGTCCTTGTAACAGGCTTTGCGTGTCGCCATCTGAATGCATCTGCGAGAGGAATAGGGCCGGTGAGAATGTCGTCGATGAGAGAAGGAATCGATTCCCTAGCGCTATCTGTTAATATCTGGTCTGTAAAGTGGGTTGATCCAACTTTTGTATACTCACGAAGGCGAATATCATCCTGCACGGGAAGCCCGAGATTCTTTAGGCTGCGAACGACACTGTCAGAGGAGCCGAGGGGATCCGGCTCGTCTCGCTGTACGAGGCTATTCATTCCTCCTTTTACATCGGAATTGTTTAGGAAACTCCGCCGCTCATTGACGGCAGACTCGAGAGCCTGGTACCGAGACGTTCGCTTATTGCTGCCCCAAGCATCCGTCTGGTCCGTCGCCGCGTCCTCGGCATCCTTCTCAGCCGGCCATTCGGATGGATACGGTGATGGGAGTTGGTAAAACTCCAGAACTGTCCTCTCGAAATCGGCCATAGCGGCGCGTTGATGGTGATGACGTGCCTCGTGGAGGGTCTTTCAGGGGACGGGCCCCTTTGCAGCTGACGGGCAGCAGATAGGAGGGTGATGGTTTCGGAGCAGGGTATTGCAGGTGTCGCAGAGTTCTGATCGTAATATGGCCACCTCGAGAGCCCAGGACCCTGTCCTCTGGTCATTCGCGTTTGAAGCTATCGTAAGTGAGCAGGCTGTACCTGTAGCCCAGCGACAACGCGATGACCACAGAACCCACCTGGGACCCCACTGCTTGTCGCAAAAAGGCGAGGTGTGGCTGGGGAGGAGCATGGTTACATGTGGCTGGTGAAGTCTCGGTATCCTCAGGCGCATTTCCGACGGCTCCGAGTCGGGCGGCCGGAGTTCCACTAAATCATGCTGCGCCAACAGCAGGGAGCCCCCGGTGGCGCAGAGTGTTAGGCACAAGAGTTCGGCAAGATAATGATATATTCGCTAGCTTCTACGTAGGTGGCTTATAGCCCTAAGAGTGCTATATACATACTATGCACGTAATAATATGCCTTATCGCCTATAGTAGTGACCTTACTATTAAATAAAACTAAATAATCTTACCCTATATATAAATAAACTAATTATACTTTACTATATATAAAGATATCTCCTCTAAAGCTAAACTAAATTATAAATATATATAAGTCTTATAAATAAAAAAAAGAAACTAAATAATCTTACTTTATATATAAGTAAAAACTAATTATACTCTATTATATATAAAGATAATTCCTTTATACTAAAGAATCCTTATACTTCTATCCTATCTACCTTATCTATCTTATTTTTATCTATATTATTAGCTAGCTTTAGTACCTCTATATTTTACCTAAGTTCTTCTATATTTAGCTTAATAGGTACTAGGCCTAGTATACTTATATTTATATCCTTAAGATTAGTAAACTAGCTATCTTTAGAACTAAAGAACTAGCCTTTATTTATTCTAAATATATATTATTTCTAGTCTTAAATTAGCTTAACTAGCTTTAGCTATTATAGTATAGGCTTTTATCTAGGCTTTAACTTTAGCTTTATTATTTTAATTACTACTTTAGTTACTTTAGTAGTTATATTTATCTTAATTATAAAAAGTATTATATTTACTATATCTTTAGCCTTTTTTACTATTATATACTATATAAGGTTATTATTAAATTCTAGCTTTAGTATTAGTTATTATATAAATATATACTCTATTTACTAGTATATATAGCTTTTTAAGCCTTTTATTATAAAGATATTTAAAGTATAGTTTATTATATTAAGGTAATAAAATATACTAAAGGCTATATAGGTCTATTCTATAGGTTATATATTAATACTATTAATTATCTTTTTTTATATTATTTTATATATAATCTTTAATATAGTAATAATAGTTAAGTAGTTTATATACTATATATTAAAAAGCTTATATTTAAATATAAAGATAGTATTAAATAGGTATTTATTAGACTCCTATATAGCTATTAGTATATTAATATATATCTATATAGATATAACTTTTTATTATATAGTAGCTATACTTATCTTTATTATCTAATATATAAAGTTAATACTATATAGAACTATATTAGGCTTATTTATAAGGGTATAAGCTATAACTTTATTAATCTAATCCTTTATAGCCTTTACTATCTCCTAACCTAGTTAAGGTCTTTAGAGTTAATTCTTTACTATAGTAATTATCTTTCCTATAATATATATTAGCTCCTCTATATAGCTTTTAAGTAGCTTAGTACTACCTTCTAGGTATACTACCTTAATAAAGGTAGGTAGTAGCGTTATAAACTATCTAGTATCTTAGTATAGCTCTACTAGGGTAATATTTATTCTACTAACTAGGTCCTTTAGGTAGGTAAGTTCTTAGTATATTATCTTATTATCCTTTTCTAAAGTATTTATAATTCCTTATATCTTAACTATATATTTTTATAACTTATTAATAATATTAACCTTATTTACTATATATAAGTTACTTTAAACTATATTATATATATTCTCTTATAAGCTATATAAGTATTTATATTCTACCTTAACTAGTATAATATTATACCTAGCTACTCTTTATAGTATTACTAGCCTAATATTAATATAGTTATTAAACTATATAATAAGGGGTAATAACTTAGCTATTAGCTAAAGAGGTATTTACTATAACTATATATAAATAAGGTAGTTAATATTATTTAGGTTTTTCTTTTTACTATTATATATAATTATTAGCTTAACTTACTTAATATTTCTAATAATCTTTAGCTTTTACTACTTTATATTAATTAACTCTATCTCTTATACTTTATTATCTTATTATTTCCCTTTTTTATTATAAAGTATTATAAGCTTTACTATTAATTCTACTATATAATTCTTTACTTATTTTTTTATCTTTAATACTATATTAAACTTAACTATATAAGGCTTAACTCTTATAAGTACTCTTTTAAGATTCTTATCTTTTAAATACTATTTTATAGTATAAGCTTTATCTATACTATAAACTACTATAATAACTACTATCTATATAAGTATCTTTAGCTTTAATATATTATATTTAGTTATTAGTAAATTACTAGTATTTTTATAGTTAAAGGTATATAATTACTATATACTTAATATATACTACTTAAGGTATACTACTATAAGTAAGATATTCTAATTTAAGTATAATACCTATTATATAATAAGAGCTTTTAATAATAGCTAGAATTTAATATTTAGTAGGTTAAGTAGTTTTACTAGCTTACTTATTATATTATATAAGGCTTTTAAATTAACTTTATTATACTATATAAGTATAGAATCTATAATATCCTTTAGTATCTATATATAGTAAAGCTTTATAAGCTTAAGGTTTATTAGTAGGGGCTTACTTAGTATAGCTAGTATAGTTAATAGATAGGAGGCTAATATATAAGAACCTTTTTCTTTTATTAAGTTATTAAGTAGATCTTAATACTTTATTTTCTTATATTTATAAGCCTTATATAATACTACTTTTATTAATAAGCTTATTATATTATATTTTACTAATAAGCTTACCTTATTATATATATAAATAAGAAATAAAAATTAAAAGATAGAAAGAAATAGTTATCTATTAAGAAAAGTAATAATATTAATATTAGGAAA